CTACTACTACTACTACTACTACTACTACTACTACTACTACTACTACTACTACTACTACTACTACTACTACTACTACTACTACTACTACTACTACTCCTCCACCTGATGCTGCAGCTGCAACTACCTCCACCACGACTACAGCAACAAAAAGGAAATTTAAGAAGGCCATATAGCGGACAAGCCAGTCATCCCAAAACTTCAATACAACCCTTCCATTTCTAGCATCTACCTATCTTACCCCCAAGTTAAATCTAAACTACATAGCAGGTATCCCCAGTGACCAATCCGAGAAGAAATCACGATCGTCTTCAGCGTTGTAATCTGACTAATGAACAATATCTCAACGCAAGCAGATGAGCTGATTTCAATTGAATCACATATTCCCATTTCACCTGATACATACCTACGTAAATGGTCTGACGAACTGCAGAATATTTACTCCCTCTCAACACTAATGTAGCGAACATTGGAATATTTTTGCAAGAGATAAGTAGGCAGAGAAAGAGGGTTTGGAACTCGATTGATTACAGAGCGAGGGAGCGACTAAGCCTCCACGCCTCTGAAGAAGACTTCATTCCGTGGATTGATATTCGATCGACTAAAATTCGTCGACATAAACGTGATACTATTCCTTCGTTAGCATGATACTGGTCTATATATATAGCCAGTTCGGATTTAAATAACCTAGGACAGTCACCATACACAAGCAGAGACATTAAAGGCAATGTATTTCTTTGCAAAATTTTTGATCAATGCCAACACCGACTCGATTGCATATTCCCACGAAAACCACAAATTTCCCAGAGTACTCCGTACAAAAAGCAAAAAGAAGCGACCGAACACGCAAGAAACCCCACAACCCCACACATACACACACTTCCTTGCGTAACTCATCCAACATTTGGAATCGTCAATGTAGATCTCCACATGGTTAATCGAGTCATCGACTAACCCAGTCATCACATCATGTAGAGAATCATTTATGAGTTGATGGTCCACCCATCAATGAATTAAGCACAGCCCGTTTTCCGTCGCGTCGGGTAGATGAAGACCAAGACCTCGGCCCACCCCGCCTCCGTACGTACTAAAAATAGAGATAGTCTGGCTTGGTTCCTTGTCCGACATACTGGACACGAAGAGAAGGTAATGATTACTGTCTTGAAAGATTGAGACAATCTGGTCATTAGTACTGGCGATGAGTGGTAAAGGTATGCGACGTAATCAAACCTTCTGATGAAGGGTTTGAGTTTCATGAGTGGCGGTACGTATCGGATGGGTCGGTCTGGATGCATCTATTTATTTCTTCTTTCCATAGGGTTAAACTTTTGGAGTTAAATGCAGTATCTGAGTTGTGTTGTTTTGGATATGAGGTGGCTTATAATAGGGATGCTAAGGAATGAATGCGACAATGCTCTAGGGTTGGAAGATGGTGGATCGGGATCTCAGGCACGAGCACTATGTGCTTTGATCGCTGTGCTTACTGCTGAGGATTATGCTTTGGTGGATAGATGGTGAAACACAGCACTATGAGACGACAGGGATATTCCCTGTCAAGTAATCAAATCGATGGCATAGCACTTGCTGGCATGCTGCTTCTCAGCTGTCAGCTATTATCAATATACTACGAAGTACGGCAGTGGCTCGGTGCAGCCAAGAAATACTTGCAGTTGAGCTCTGCAAGTGGTGCTGCTGAAACGACGGTATATGCAGGCAGTCGAGGACTGACCGGTCTTGTGTCGTGTCAAGATTGTGTGCAATTTGTTCTCAGTGTGTGGCTTTCAATAGCTTTCCGATGATGGTCTTGGTTGTCTCAGGTCCCTTGATGTCGGCCATTAATCCGGAGCTAGTGGCCGGGAAGCATAAGTCTCCGGCTGAAAATAGCATGTGCTGCGAGTCAGATAGTGTGTCGTGGACGGTCCCTGTTGTGAAATGCAATGCTGTGTTCCCGCGCGGGAAAGTTGACCGGGTTGTGTTGGTGCGGAGTACTCCGTACGCCGTTCCTGCATCGGGCTTGGAGGGACGTGATCCTGCCGTCGAGGCTGAGTCGTATCCTCGATTATTGACAGGGGTGTGCCAGTCATGAACCCAAATCCAGAATCCCTATCCATCAGAAATTTCGGGGTCAGAAATGACCTGTCTGAGAGCGGACTCAAAGCCCTTTCATATTCTCCTGAGTCCCCGAGGGAAAATGAAAGTTGGGTCTTTGACGGTTTCACGGTTTCACCCGGGGCTGCCCAGACGGAGAGAATTCGACTCGTGCAGTGCCACGAAGGCCTGGCCGGGCGGAGGGGGCGAATAAGAGGGCGCCGTTGGATGGGGCGGAAACAGCCGTCTGACGTTTGGCCCGCGTGGCGCGGCCTGACTGCCTGAAACAGGGGGTCTGGACCGCCCCGGCCATTGGCCAGGCGCTCGCCGAGTGCGGATCGCCCAAGCGCTCCTGGCAGCTGACCCTCCCCATTGGTCCACCGCCCTCTCTCTACATCTCCCGATTCTGCACCGGGTGGGATCCGAACGAGCCAAAAAAAGCCCCAACTGGCGGTCGTACGTACCGGCAGGGGCGGTACAGTCAGTGTACGGGAGTACATTGTAGTTATAGTCATCGGGGGTTTCGACTCCCGACCGAATTTCTGGTCCACCACGGGCAGTCCTGCAGAGTGAGAGCAGTGAGCTCACTGACGAGTGAACTCAGTTTTATGGATCTGCCGGAAACTTTAAGGCATGGCAGTTGCTGGCCACCCAGGGATTCAGGGATTAATATACGGGCGTTTCGCACTAGATCGTATCCCACTGGAAGAACGCCTCCCTGACGTACCGTCCGTCTCGATTGATCTTCGCTCGCTTCCTGGGGATATTTTATCCTTTCATTCCTTTCGTTCCTTCGATTCCCCACTGGTCCTTCCTTCTCGGATCGATCCTTTTGACTCTCGTTTTCCGAAGGCAGGCCCTTCAATTCTTTGACTTTTCATCTCCTCTTTCCAATTCCCCATCCAAACTTCCATCTCCCGTGAGAGCCATGGCTGAAGAGTCGAGTCACGACAACCTGGCACCGGTTGTGCACGAGGTCCCCGCTGTTGCGACCCAACAGCAGAAAGAGCCTCGACCAGGACGCCTGACTCCCCGTCCAAGCTTCCTGGAGAACCTGGCCAGTTCACGGGCCACTCAATTCATGTTAGACAGACGCAACTCGAGCGAACTCGATCGGTATTTCGTAAGTCAGCTGCTGTTGACGTCTACAAAGGGTGCATTGAACTAACACATCTGAATACTAGCACGGTCCGCGAGATCTCGACAGACATTCCAAATGGCCCATCTTCCTTCGAATGCACGGCAGTATCATGCCGAAGATGATACTGCCGCTTGCCTTTGTCGCTGCCTGGGCCACCTTGATCACCTGTATCTCCAAGTTTGTACACAACAGTAGGTAGTCTCCAGACCAGCTGACGAGCCTTGCTGACTCATGTCTCAGTCGGTATCAACGATATTCTACTCACGGTGACGGGCTTCGTGGTCAGTTTGGCGCTGTCGTTTCGCAGCTCGACAGCTTATGAGAGGTAAACGCAGCTTCAGGTCCGATCCGAAGACAACAACTAAGTTTTCATAGATGGGCGGACGGAAGAAAATACTGGGCACTCTTGAATCAGACCTCGCGCAATCTTGCGCGTACTATCTGGGTCAACACCGCAGAGCGCAGCGGAGAGGAAGGAAAGGAGGATCTGCTGTCAAAATTGTAAGACACTCAATTCTTTCCACTACTGTGTGTCCAACACTAACAAATAAGGACGGCCATGAACCTCATTCTGGCCTTTGCTGTTTCCCTCAAACACAAACTCCGATTCGAGCCCGACGTCGGCTACGAAGACCTGGCTGGTCTGGTCGGACATCTCGACACGTTTGCCAAGGAAGCCCACGACCGCGAGGTGCTTCAGCCCCCGAAGAAGAGCCCGTGGAAGTCGTTCGGTGAATACCTGGGTGTGTCTTTCGCCGAATCCAACCCGAGGAAGCTTGTCAAGCGTTCCAAGAAGCCATTGGGTCATCTTCCCCTGGAGATCTTGAACCATCTCTCGGCCTATATCGACCGGTGTATCGCGAACGGAACTCTCAGTGTCAGTCTTCACCAAAGTCAAGCCAGTATGTATCATTTCCTCGTCACTCGATAGACATTTTCCTAATCCATGCAGTCACCGCTATCTCGACCTTGAACGAAGTTCTGACCGGCACCGAACGTGTCCTGGACACCCCTCTCCCCGCTGCCTACAGTATTTCCATCGCTCAAATTGCCTGGATCTACGTCCTTGCGCTACCATTCCAGCTTTACGAATTCCTGAAATGGGTCACCATCCCTGCTTCAATGGGTGAGCTTCCCCTTTCCGCTGATCCACTGAGAACCTGTAAGCTAACGAGAACAGTCGCCGCCTACATTATCCTCGGACTCGCCTTCATCGGCAGCGAAATCGAGAACCCCTTCGGCCACGACGTCAATGATCTCCCCCTCGACACCTACTGCCGTCAACTCGCCGCCGAACTCGACATCATCACCGCCATGCCCCCGCCCAGACTGGATGATTTCGGCACCCGTGACGACAACTACGTCCTCTACCCTCTCAGCACCTGCGGCTACCCCGAATGGAAGGACCGCAGTGTCGAAGAAATCCGCGCCGCCCTGCGAACCAAGGTCGTCGCGAGCTCCCCGGGAGTTGCGCTGTCCGATACCGCGACGGTGATTGGAAGCGTGCGAAGCAAGCAGTCGGTCTAGCCTAGACGCACAAACATAAAATATACCCAGCCCCGAAAAGACCCGTCGGGTTGCTGTTGTTGTTCGAAATGATATTATTGGGTGGTGTCAGTGTCACTACTATGGGAATTGAGCAATGCGAGTCTGGTGTTCTGTTTATACAAAAAAGGGTTGGCGAGTCATTCGTTACGATTGGATGGGATCTTTCGATGTGAATATTTGGTTTTGGATTGAATGGGATTGCTTGGATAGATCATTGTGAAGGGGTATATATGCATACAATTTGACATACAAGGATTTATCATCTTCATCACTCAGTGAAATTTGATGCGCTGGCAGAGTAGTGGTAGTAGTGGATTTCATGCCAAAATATCCTGCTAGAATGGTACTTCATCTACTGGAGTCCTGCACTGCAAACGGGCCGGAATTGAACCGGGGATCGACACTCAAATCTGCAGGGGAGATTTTCATCTGCAATCCCAATAGATAGCCGGGGTACCGCCTGGTCGTCTGTCTGCGGAGGCGTCTGCGATGTTTCACCAGTCGTGCGTCGTTCGGTGTGTCTGCGGACCTGGACTCCTTATTCCGTTCTCTCCAACGGTGGCGAGTTCTCAACCCTCCATTTAAAGTGGTAGACCCTGTGCACCAGGCCGCATTGTTATAGCCCTCTCATCAATCACCAACCAACCATTTCCCTCTTTCACCTACGGCACAAACAACTCCCCCCCGGACCCCTGCACCAACGCCCCCAGATAATTCCCCTTCGCGCAGACCCGCCACGCCACATTCCCTGCCGCCGCATCACCACCACCATTGGTACTTGCCCCCCCGCCAATCCAAGAACTCAGCGCCGCCACGACAGCCGAGGCATCGTCGCGGGGAACTCGCGTCCACAGTGTTGGAGTTCGTTGTTCGGTGAAGACTTTGAGGATGTCGATGGGGATGGCGGTGCCGGTTAGGCCGAGGAATTGGGTGAGGGCGGCGGAGAGGTAGGTTCGGGCTGTGAGGGGGTCGAGGGTGGGGGTGATGTCGTGGGTGATGCTGGGGAGGTTAGTTGGGGGTTTGACGGGGAAGGGAAGGGGAGGGGAGGGAAGGGGGGGAGGGACGTACAGTTGGAGTTTGAGATAGGTCCATGTGGGTGTGCGTGCGGTGAAGTGGATGGTTTGGGGGGTTGAGGGGGAGTCGGAGGGGGAGGATTTGCGTTTTGTGGTTGTGGTTGTGGTTGTTGGTGGTGTTGGGTTTGTGAGGGGGGTGGAGGTTGCCATTGTGAGTGATGGGAGAATGGTTGCGGATAATTGAGGAGGGAGGAAAGAGGTTGTAGGTGTGTATGTGGTGTGCGATGCTGCGCGATCGCAATGCGAAAGTCGGAAGATGCGGCGGAAGTTGCTCGATTGCGGGAAGAAAGAAAAGTCGGGATGATCCCCGTGATGTCACGGCGCGTGCCGCGGAGGGCAGTCTTCACCCGTATACTCGGTAGCACGCAATTTTTGTAGCTTTTGTGATCGCCATTGCGACCGAGAGAGATGTATTCGTAAAATATCATTTCGGCATAACTGCCGCTTCCAAAATCCCCCGCGCTTGTCGAAGAAACTCATCCTCGCTTTGCGACCCGATATCGAGGTCGGTGATGGCGAGGGTCTTTTCTCGGGACTTCAAGCCGCGGATGACTTCTACATTAGATTTAGGAACCTGAAAGACCTGTTGCATGTCAATAGACCACTTCCTTGGAAGGCAATGTAAGGGATGCTCACCTGCGCCAACACACGCGAGACGGCTGCATTTGCCTCGCCCTTTCTGGGGACGGCGGCGACGCAGACGTCTACCCGGTCGGGTCCAATGGCTGTGATGCCTTCGCGGTTATTTGAGGCGTTGGGCTTTACGTGGCAGGAGACTTGGAGGTTGTAGCGTTTGGGGTGGAGGGGCGCGTTGGTTCGGGATTTGGTGGTCACGGTTTGGATGAGGCGGAGGAGGGGGGACGGAGTGGACATGGTGGTGGTCGGTGATGTGTTTGGCTATATGGATATAGCTACGGGACTGGGGAATGAGAATTATGGAGAGGTGAGGTGGAATGTTTAGAATGAAGATGATGGATGAAGGGAGTTAGCAGGCGGATGGTGGGTTGGCCAGTAGGTATATCGGAGCCCGCTCATTGGCTCTACCGAGAACTACAAATGGTAGTCGTCGTTCTCCCTGAAGAGCTTCATTCGAAGTGAGTATAAGAGACCCCGGGTGTTTACATTCGAGGAATCGAGCAAGTCAGTACAATGGTCTAGTACGTGAGCTCGTTGGCCTTTTCTGAATAGCTATAGAGATACCATTGATGGGAAATTCCCGTTCTAGTGGGGACTTGCTCTAAGGTGTTATAGAAGTCATCATGGAACTGTTTACCAAGACACTTTATCAAAAGTTTACAGTTTTGTTCTTTGACATTACATATGCTACCTTTCTGCTTGCCATTGCTTCCTACAGGAAAACTTCCCAGCCGTTTGTCAAAGCCTTGCTCTGACAGGCCCTAGGAATCCACTCACAGCAAAGCACGCTCTCTTACCAAGAACAAAGGCTATACCGCACACCAAGTCACATTCAACGGACCAGCCGCACTATTCAGCTTACCAGGTGACAATAGAGACCCACCGGAGAACAAAGACATGCAGGCAACGAGTGTATAGTAGACGGCTGGCAATGGCCCCACCCACAAGCTTCTTTGTTGCTGCGGAGCTGTGACTGCAATAGAAACGGCTGGTATAGCGGAGCATTCCGCCATGAGCAAGCGGATCCCTCTGGGGTTTTGGCAGCGCGGCTGCCATGCCAGCATCGAAACATGGTCAGTTGTGCAGTCCGGTGCACCCCAAGTAAGTGCAATAGGGGCATTCTTGGGTTCATTAGATAGAGCAGAACCCAGCCAACCTACAACTGTCAGTAGGAGCGTCAATCAATGCTGGCGCTTTGGAAATCGCCATCGAAAGATAGCACACTGGTGGACTGGGGAGCGCAGCGAAGAGCATGCACAGTGAATACTTCTCCGCCCACTTCCAAGTCCAAGATGCCCGTTTTGGACACACCAGGCCCTATATGGAGCTCTATACCAACCCCCCTTATTTACAGCAGGAGTCAGAGGGGAACAATAGCATTTCCCAACACAAGACGGACAAGTCGTATAAAATCCGCTTTCCTCCCATCAAGAAGAGGTTGTACTGCTTCGTCGGCATCGTGTACATCATCCCCATCGTTCAATCGTTTAACCCATCCAACTCCATTTGCTAGTAGCAGAGAACTCTCCATTGCATGCAAAAAGCAACCTTCCCAGTGATATTCAACTCAAGTCGTATCGGCACAGCTCGCTTGTTCCCAAGATGGCCGTCTATTCTATGACAAGCGTTAACCCTCCTCAGGGCATGTATGCCCAGGACTATGAAATGGGTGAGTCAACATCTGCCATTGCAATCAGAAATCTAACAGGAAGCAGTCGATGCTGCCTACCATCCGGGCAATCCAGAACCCGTCGAGCCTCGTGACGTGACCTCCTTCCATCCCGATCAGCAAGCCTGGTCGTGGGACAATCTTCCGGATATCCTGTATCAACTCAAGCCCATTGGCCCTAAGAGCAAAGTGGAACCGCCGCGCATGAGCTATCCGATCCACGGGAAATATCTTCGAGATCTCCCTGTCCTGCCCGATCACATTGCTTCAGATGTTGAGGAATTCCGTGTCGAGGCCTGGATGCGATCGGATAGGCGCATTCGCCTAAGCGACATCGTCGACCGGATGGCCGATAAATTCAGAATTGCGCCCAATGCCCTGCAGCAGCGCGGCGGCCGCTTCCGACAGGCGTTCCGAATGCTTGCCTGGGATTCTGGAAACAAATTGAGCCGGGATCTCGAAGCCGGGCTTCTCATGGAACTCATGGAGCATGGAATCGATCCTCTGCTGAATACTACCCGAGGTCTTACCCCCGGATTGATTAACCCTGCCCTTGGCGAAGCTGGGGGGCGCATCGACCTTCCATCTACTTACTCTCCCGATAGGCGCAAGAAGCGCAGACGCTCGCCGCGGACTGAGCAACCAAAGCAAATGCCTAGCAAACAGAAAAAGAAGTTGGTCAAAACGGCCCAAGCGGCGCTCCGCGTTTTTCAGAGAGTTGGACCAGCGCCCCAGAGCGTTGAGCTGCCTGCCGTGGTCTCTAGCCATTGCAGCGTTCCTGAATTCGAGATGCACGGGATGGTTAATGTCTGCAACGCCGTCGACGAAGCCCCCGTTGTCGCCGAGGTTCCAGCAGTTGGTCAACCGAGCATCTGCCATGAGTGGCCAGTGTCCGTTGAAGAAGCCCAGGTTGGCCAGCTTTATACACTCGTTCCATTTGAAGAACATTTGGACGAGCCAACTGGGCCGATGCCGATCTTTTGTCACGATATCCCGGATGATGAACTGTCCGAGACAGTCTGTCTGGAGGACATTGATTTGTCTCGCGGTGTCAAGAAACCGTGCCGCCGTCGGGAACCGGTGTCGAAGACGGCTGGACGCAGGGCGGCAGCCGGTAAGAGAAGACCCAACATGTTGAGATATCCCGAGTCCGGATTGAAGACTTTATTCGACACTTTTGATGACAGCTCGCTTCCCCCAAAGCCCATTCACGTTCAGTATGCACCTGGGGAGATTTCGCAGCCCACCAACGGGCTTTACCAGATGAAACAACCCCTTTTCCTGGGCATGTTCCCCGCGTATTCCCACCACAGGGTCTTTGATTTTTGCCTCCAGTCCTACCATAATGGGGAAAGATACGTCTGTGACATGCCTGTCCTCACTACATAAGACGATCGCATCTCATCTTGCGCTTGTTTTCTTTATTTTTTTTCTTTTTGCTCTCGTTGGCTTTTATAACGCCTTCCTGCTTGATTTAGCCAGTGTTTTCTTCTTCTCATATGGAGTCTGGGTTTTCTTGTTTGGTGGAATACTGCATTGAATAACGTGCGATATCGAATACTTGAGGTCTTGTTTAGCGGAAGGAGGAATGCGGAGACGAAGAGAGAGTTAAGATAAGGTTGAGTGCCAAGAAGGCTTCCGCTGTTAGTCGGGTTCCGAGAAAGGGCCGTTTTGTTAGTGCGACGTTATTGCTGACGTGAATACATATCACGGGATGGATGATATGGTTAATGGGATATGCAGTGATATAGCTCAGAGCTGATCATCAGAGGAAATATTCACCGTTTCTTGTAGAAGTTGGTTCTGTGATCGTACCTGGCTTCCGCATTGTAGACGATGGCTGCTGGCTTCATCCAAGACCGAAGAGGAATCCGATTGCTTCCAGCTTGAACGAAGCTCTTGTGTACGAAGCTCTATGTAGGAATGGCATCTCAATATGCATAAATGTGGGGATGCAAACCCCTCCACTCGAGATGTTCATAGTAGAAGATGGGAGGATGTGATCGGTCTGCTCCAGGCTTTTCAATGCTTCTATCTCGCCATTGGCAAGATGCTAGCATTATGAGTGAGTTGTCTCTCTCCGAATCGCTCCCTACCGGAGAGGAGATCCTAACATCCGTCAACAACCTCGTGAAGTCGGTTTTGCTGCATCGGATCTGCGGCGGGGCAGCCAACACACCGCCCTGGTTGCCGCCCTAAGATACCGGCAGAAATGGCCGACATTGTCGTCTCGGCCTGATTCGCGCGTGGCTCTCGCGGCGCGCCGGGCTTTGTTTCTGTCCGGGTCTCCTCCTGCTGCCTGTTGCTGGCAAGATTTCCCCTCATCCTCACGCGCTGGCTGTTGCCGCTTCACTCCACGCTCACTCGCATGGCCGTTCCATCACCAAATTGCCATAAAATGCCATGTCTCTTCCGTCATTTTGATACCTTATCAAGCAATAGAAATGGTCCTCTAAGAGGTCGAAGCTCAGACATCCTATAAAGCGGCCCGAAAGACGGAAATTGGCCAGTTGAAATGTCCCTGGGCGAAGATCCCATTGACTGGACGGTCGACGAGGTGGTGCAGTTCCTGTGCCGGAATCCTGAGACGCCATGGGCCCGATCATCGTCGCGCGCGCCACGACCCAACCCGGTCACCTTCGAGGCTACTCTTCGAGAGAATGAGGTCACAGGCGAGGTTCTTCTGCACGATGTCGATAAGGAAACGCTACGGGATGATCTAGGGCTGAGAGCTCTTGGCCACCGTAGCTCGATGCTCATGGCAATACGATATCTGCAGCGGAATTCCCCAAAGTTCCAGGACTCCAGAACTCTCTTAAGTGTCCCGCATGAAGACCAATACAGCTCTGCAGCCCCGGTCTTTCCCCAGTTTAATTCCCCATCATATCACATTCCTTTGTCTCACGATGTGACACCTCAGCGAAAAGCTTTCCAAAATCCCCGTCTGCAGACCCCTACTGCACCCAGGGGCGCACTCTTGGGGGCTTCTGCAAACGAGCAAAGATCTGGAACGGCAGATGATCGCAGATCAGATGGGACGGCCAGTCATCACGATGTCACAGATCAAAATGAAGGACGCAAGGCTGACTCCGAACCAAAGTCCCCGGAAAGACGCACCCGCCCGGGCGAGGATATGGTTGTTGACGGCCAGGGAAGGAAAAGGCGAAAGCTAAACCTAAGTGCCTTGAACCAGGACTCGAATAACGATCTTGCCCCAAGACAGGAAAGCAGACCACAAACTGCCAAGGAGTGGTATATGGGTCCAGATGAACTCAATGTCTCGCAGCTGTTCTACGCTTCTGACTCGGATGAAAACGATCAGGAATTTACCATGGTTAGCTCCAGATTCCCGACTGCTCAGCGCAAATTCGTGAACAAGTCTCTTGGCTATTCCTACAAACAGCGACCCGTGAAGCTGAACGCTAATCAGTCGGCCTTGGTTCCTTATCAACAATTGACCAAGCAAACAAGCAAACCATCAAAGAAGCCACTAACCATAGATGCAAGTAAGCCGAAGTACTGTACCCTGTTCACGGTCAGCAATGGCAACGTCACGGTCACCAAGGACGAGCTGCACAAGTGGCCGCAGCTACTCCGATCTGAGGCTGCGGAGAGCGAGAAGAACGCCGACCCCTATGATTACCTCCTACATAGATACCCCGCGCAAGACGACGATGATCCAGATACTTACCCTTTATACGGAGATTCTGGATCGGAAGGCGAGTTTGATGAAGAGACTTGGCAGGAGATTGAGAACGAACGCCGGGAACCGTTACCACAGCAAAGAACACTGACATCTGCCGAGGTCAACTCTATCATTGACAGTTGCGTTGCAGAGTTCGAGAATGACTGGCTTCAACATGGGAAGGCAAAAGAAGAACCTAAGGCACGGAGAATTTGGCTAGCAGCTAGAAGAGGGAAATGCACCAATGAACAAATCAAGAACCTTACACGCGACATCAGTCTTCTGGACAGGCGCCTAGGGGTTTTCACCAAAGCAATCCGGGAAGGCGAATATAATACATCAAAGGAACTACAAACACAATGTCGCAGCTTGGAGAACACCGTGACCAATATCCAGAAGCAGAAATGGCGCATTTCCATTCTCGAGCAAGAACAGTGCCCCCCGAAGATCTCTGCTCCTGCGAGGCCATTACCTCCCAGGCGACAAGGCACTGACGAGGATGGAGAGTCGCTCGCCTCGGATTCTGATGGTGCATCTACGGGCTCTTTGGATGACTTTATTGATAACTCCGATGTGCTCCATGCAAGCTCGACTCCTTCATCGTCTGACGATGATATCATTAGCCCTTCTGGTGCAAGGCGGAAATTCAGGAACCGGAGCGTCACGGCTCGAGGTCACCCTTTTGTTGAGTCCAGTTCTCCCTCTCCTGCTCCGGTTTTTGAAGCGCCAGTAGAGTGTATTGACCTCACCCGGGATTCGCCTCTGCCTGAAGACGATGAATTCAGAGTGGAGACGCCTCCATTGAATCCACCGCAACCGAGGACTCCACAATCTGAACATGTCATGTCTAGAGATATCTCTCCTGCACCCAGCCTTCCCCTGAGCGTGTATGTCGAGATACCACCTATCAAGCGAGAGCAGCCTTCCAGGCCCCATGAGGAGGATCACTCAAAGTCCCGTAAAGAGAGATCGGCGAGCCTACCTGACATCAGCGACATCGACCGATTAAAAGAGACCCCTTGGAGGATGCTCTGGGAGCATCAGGACCGTCGCAGGCTGTTGGCGAAGCTGATAATTGGCCTGGCGGATGAAGAGCGAAAGAGGTTGATTGGGAAAATTCCTAGATATGATGTGTTCGACCTGCAACATCTCACGCTCGCTGCCTTGAAACAACTAACCAAAAAGAGGGATACAATGCCTGATATGGAACCTTTGGAGGCAAGCTTGATCCTGCGCACGGCATCGCTTTTCGTCTCATGGATAAATTGCACTCATTATCGTATGGCGAAGGGCTTACCAAGGAAGGACGTCAAGCGGGCAAGATCCGAGATCACCGGATTCCCCGAGTTCTATAAGGAGCTTTGTGCCTGCTTGGATGCATATCATATCTGGCAACGAAACAAACAGGGCGAGTCGCAGGAGACACAATCAGCCCTTGGCGATACACCTCACAAAAAGCGAAAGAGGGAGGTGAAAGAGAGTCAGACCGCCAAGACGACCCAGGAAACCGCCCAACTTCGTGTTGCAGTCCAAGAAAGTCTCCGACAGAAGCTTGAGCGGAAACTAGAGAGTATGGGGGTCAGCAATACGGACGCCACTCGCCAGGCCGTCAGCTTTGGGAACCCTGTCATCTACTTGGACCCGCATATTGGACAGCGGGTCAAGCCTCACCAACTGCATGGCGTTCAATTCATGTGGCGAGAGCTGATAGAGGACGAAACGCATCAAGGCTGCTTGCTAGCTCATACAATGGGCTTGGGCAAAACAATGCAAGTCATTTCCCTTATAGTAACAATCGCAAATGCCGCCGCCTCGGAGGATCCTGAAATCAGGCAAAAGGTCCCCAAAGAACTCCTTCGGTCTCAAACTCTGATTCTTTGTCCCTCGTCGCTGATCGAGAATTGGTATGAGGAGTTTCTCATGTGGACTCCAAAAGACTCGGCAGTCGGACCAGTGAATAAGGTGACAAGCTCTGCTTCGCACCCGGAAAGAATGGACACGCTTGCTCGTTGGAATGAGGAAGGCGGCGTACTTCTTATAAGCTATGACATGTTCCGGACTTGGGTGTTTAACAAAGAAACAACCAAACGACCCAAGCCTCTCTCGGATGAGGAGCATCAAAACATCAAGAAATGGCTCCTGGAAGGGGCTAGGCTCATTGTCGCGGACGAAGCCCATAAAATGAAGAATCCCTCCTCCGCAATTACCGCTGCAGCCATGCAATTCCGTTCCCAAAGCCGCATTGCACTGACCGGCTCTCCACTGGCAAATAACCTTGTCGATTACTTCACCATGGTGAATTGGATTGCAAAGGGATACCTGGGAGAGTTCTTGGAATTCAAGGCCAACTTCTTGGAACCTATTGAGGAAGGGCTGTATGTGGATAGCACCTACACCGAGCGGCGGAGGTCACTCGTGAAGCTCCAGGTGCTCAACACCATCCTCGACCCAAAGATTAACCGTGCCGATATTTCCGTCCTTGCAGGCAGCTTGCCACCCAAAGTTGAATTTGTGATCACGGTTCCGTTGACTGACGTGCAGAAAGCGGCGTACAATCTATATGTGGAATCGGTTCTACGTGGAACAAGTGATGTTAGCAGAGTTCAGCTAATGTCGTGGCTCGCTATTCTGGGACTGTGCTGTAATCACCCGACTTGCTTCCGGGATAAGCTGATGAGCCGAGCCAACGATGCACAGAGGCTGGACAAAACGATTGAGGGAGTTGAACCAGCTCCTGGCGATGAGCCGATCACCCAGTTAGGCCTAGATGTCGACAGCCTAGTAGCTGAACAAGAGCGACTTTTCTCCGCTGTCCCTGATATGAAAGCACCAGTGTTGTCTTGTCGAGCACAGATTTTGGATAGGATCGTCGCCGAGTCTGTCCGAGCCGGAGATAAAGTGCTGGTATTCTCTCATAGTATACCTACACTCAACTACGTGGAACATCTACTCAGAAAGTCTGGGTGGAAATACTGCCGCCTCGATGGACAGACACCAATCGCCAGCCGACAAGCTGCTACCAAGCAGTTTAACCAAGGGTCCGCAGAGAATGTATATCTAATCTCGACTCGAGCCGGAGGTCTTGGTCTGAACATTTTTGGTGCCAACCGTGTCATTCTTTTCGATTTCTCCTTCAGCCCTATTTGGGAAGAGCAGGCCGTCGGGCGTGCATATCGCATGGGCCAAAACAAACCTGTCTTTGTCTATCGGTTCATTGCAGGCGGCACGTTCGAAGAGAACATGTACAACAAGGCTCTGTTCAAGACCCAGCTTGCTTTCCGCGTCGTTGACAAGAAGAATCCAGTGCGATCAGCGGCAAAGTCTCTTGGGGACTATCTGTTCCCTGCCAAGGAGGTGCCGGAGACAGATGTGACGGCCTTTTTAGGAAAGGATCCCGAGGTCCTAGACAAAATTATTCGGAGTGACGCAGACGCCAGCGAACGACTGATCCGGAAAATCACCCTGACTGAAACTTTCCAGAAGGATGACAACGACAAATTGACCGAGGAAGAGAGAAATGCGGCCCAGCAGCAACTCAGTGATGAACGGCTCAAACGTACCGACCCAGAAGCCTATCAGAGACTGGTTATCGAAAGGCAACGGGCACTGTTGGCACAAAACTCTTTGAGCCATCAAACGGGACCTTACATGTCGCCGTCGTCTGCTCTGGCCTTATACCCACCGCAGTATCCTGCACAACCTCCGCGCCCCTATTATTCGCGGCCTCCTCAGACCCCAGCTCCGCAGCCAACTGTCCCAGCTAGCGCGCACAACGTTGGCCCTCCTGCTTTGGCGCCTGACACGAGCGTCATGCAGTCAACGCCAGCAGCCGATGAGCAACCGCCCTTGACGATTCCAGGACTTGGAATGCTCCCGAGAACTCACCCTCATGCTCAAAGCGAGCCTGTGACCCCAATCACCAACGTCAACTTTCGTTCAGTACCAGGAAGCATCCCTACTGGAGTCCCAGCACCGTCGGCACCTGCACAGGACTATCACAGCCCCACCACCCTCGAACACCAAGAATCCACCTCCACCGCAAGAGGACAAGCCGAACCGCCACAATCCTCCGAAGAAAGTAACAAAAACGCTAGTTGCAGGCCCCAATGAGAAATACATCCACCATTCATCAGAATAGAATCCCTACCCTTTGATCACCATCATCATCACCCCCTCTTCTTCTTCTTTCTTTTTTCCGCCCTCTCAGTATTAATGAAACGTGACATGACGAATACGAATGAAATGAATACGTTGATGGTTATTACGAATGAGATTCGTTTCCCTCAGAAGAATAGGAACAAATATACTTTGCTTGTGGCATCTATCTTACTCGAAGCCGACTATGATATCATACGCTATTGCTATGGCAATGGCTTTATGAGCTGAGTAGGAAGAGTAAGTAGACTGGGTTTGATATTCAATTTTCTAATGAACAACGTTTTCGATTCTGGGATCTGACCTGCAGAAGAATGGTAAGAGAGCTTTGATCTTTTGAATGCTGGGATCGGACTCTACCCTCGACCCGTTAGACGATAATGAGATAGATATCGAAACAGAGAATTTAAATCGACCAGATGGTAGCAAACCTCGAAATAAAAGAAAAAGCAAGCACTGTAGACAATGGTAGTATTCAGACAACGACGGATTTGAATAAAAATAACAAATCAATCCATTATCCCACAAGATGATGACAGAAATTGGAATGAGATTCGGGATACGATAGGTAAAGTTAAGGCATTTGCTAATTGAGAAGTGTCTCTAGATCCGCAACCCGAGTTGCTCGATCGTCGACCTTTTTCTTTGTGGCCGTCTCCCGGAAGGCCTCGAGCATCAGCTTGCGTTTATTTTCCTGAATGGCCAGGACGCGATCCTCGATACTGTCTTCCATGATGAGTCGCCAGACAGTGGTTTCCCGTTTCTGGCCAAGTCGGTGGACGCGGTCGACGGCTTGGTCTTCGATGGCCGGGGCCCACCAGCTATCCGCTAGGATGGCTTGGTTGGCGGCGACGAGGTTCAGGCCGACGCTGCAGACGCTCAAGCTGGCGAGGAGGACGGTGCAGGTTGGGTCGGTGGAGAAGCGGAGGGTGGAGTTGTCGCGGTTGATGGAGGTCATTTTGCCGTCGATACGGGCGAAGCCGATGCCGTGGCGTTGGAGGTGAGGTTCGACGAGATTGAGGAAGGAGGTCCATTGGCTGAAGACGACGGTTTTGGTCCCGGGGGCTTGGCCTTGCGCGGTGAGGATCTTGATCAGGGCTTCGATTTTGCTGCTTGGGTTGTCGGGGTCTGCGACGACTGTGTCCACGCTTTCGCCCATTTCGACGGCCGGGGAGACAAGCGTGGAGGTGTCTTGGATCTCGGCTCGGCACATGGGACATTTGTGCTGGCGCTCAATGACTTGCTCGATGCAGCCGCGGTCGAAGGCGTGGGCGCAGGCGGTGATTACGGGTTGTTCGAGGTTATCCAGGCAGATGGGACAGGTGTCTTGGCTTTCGATTCGGATTTGTAGCAAGTCCTGGAGGGCTTTGATGTTTTCAGGAGTCAAGGGAACGACTTTGTTGTTCTCGAGAAGGTCGGAGAGCTTGTCGAGTCGGTTCTTGCAGAGTGCCCAGTGGTTGCAGACCTGACGCAGGCGCAGAATAACCTCAAGCAGATGAGAGTAGGTGGCCGTAGTTTTGTCTTTGTTTTTGAAATCAAGAAGCATCCCCTTTGCCTCGGACCTGTTGGCTGTTAGTGGATGGATTGGGGCGGGGTGTTGGCCAATACATACTGGAAGAGATCGTATTTCTCCTGCTCGTGAGGGTGGAACTTGACGCGTAGAATGCGCGAGGTGAGCGGTGGCAAACGCAGGTTCACAAAGTTCATGTCCTTTCTGCGACGTAGGCAGATAGTGGTCATCAGAGCTTGAAGTAGCAGACGGGCATCGGGGTCTCCGGACACGAGGGGCCGGATCAAGACGCTGTTGAAGACGGCCAGGTCTTCGAGACCACCAGAAAGTCTCAAGAAGCGCACCTGAGAGTAGAGATCCTTGAGGGTGTTAATGATGGGAGTTCCGGTAAGAGTCCAGCGCGAGCCCGCCCTCAGATTACAAGCTGCCAGGGACCCCTTGGACCGCGGGTTGCGAATCGTATGGCCTTCATCGAGGACGACGCGACGCCAATGGACTGAAAAGAGGCCCTTCTTCGGAGGAGCTTTCGCATTCGGACTGTACTCCATGGCCAGAGCACCATAGCTCGTGACAACCACGTCATACTGGTCAAGGTTGCCTGCTTCCTTTTTCCCTTGGCCATGGTAGATGAGCACCTTTGGAGCCTTGTCGCTATGGGTATGATCCCGCGCCTGGTTTCTCCAGTTGCTCATCACACCTACCGGGGACACGATCAACGTAGTGCTGGAGGACTCTGGGGTCTTCGGCTGGGAATTGGCCAGTATCAACGAGATAATTTGAATCGTCTTGCCCAACCCCATATCATCGGCCAATATGCCACCGCTAGCCAGAGGTGGAGCCTGAGACATAGAATAGTTGGTAGCAATGTTGGTGTATTTGTTGCCATTCTTTTTCCACAACTGCACGACATCCCCGCCGTCGCCAGGAAGACTTGGGTTCTCTTTGGCTGTCATCCAGGCGAGCCCCTGGCGCTGGTAAGGAAGAAGCTGGGTTGCCAGAGCGGCTGGAGTTTCGGCCATCGGCATATTCTCCAAGTCTGATTCCTTCATGCCGAAATCTTCTGCCACCTGGCCAATATCCCGGGGATTAAATGCGCTGCTCTGGCCAATGAGTTCTTCGAGGTTCTGGCCTTCGACAAGCCCCTCCCCAGTGAAGAGGTTGGAATAGCCAAATACGTTCTCAGCTTGCCACTGCTGGTCTTTGCCCTTCGCAAGTGAGCGAGCCAGTTTAGCCGCATCCTTCATCGCCTTTTCACGTTCCTTCTGTCGGTTTCGCTCGTTGCGCTCGTTCTGCTTAAACGCACCCAGTGGCAACCTGTCGGCCTCCATCCTGCTTTTCAGCGCCTGTCTAGCTTCAGGATGGTTCGTGCCAAACAGCTTCAAAGATATCGGACAGTCATAGACACCGATCACGCCCGTCAGAACGCCTTCAACAACCAACGACCTATCATCCTACAGCAAGCAGGCTAGATTTAGCTCCAAATTCATTCACATCTAGCCACAAAGAACAACTTACCATGTACTTGGCCAGCTTAGCTGCCATCGTTCGTGGAATATGCCCAATCTGTGCTCCCATAACATTGCTCACACGTATGGCATTCGAGTCATAAGCATTCCCAATGTCCCGCTGGATCCTGACATGCTCACCAATGGTGGCATGTCCTCGATAATAACGGACACCCACGATCTTGGTCTGCAGGTCCCCATAATGTATATAAGTCCCGATCGAGGAGTCATCAACATCCTGACTACCTTGAATCAGATCTGCCGCCTGTGCATCGTCTTCATCTTCGCCTCCATAGACCTGCGAAGACTGACTGGGGGGCACGAAGGTCGTGTCTTGCCCAAACCGCTGGCCATTGGGAGTACGAGGCGACTTTGATGGTAAAGTGCGGGGAGATGCTTCGTCACCGTCACCGGTGAGGTCAACCTGCTCGATACTTCTCTTTGCTGGTGTTCGACCCATGCTGGCGGTTGGCAATTGGTGATGGGCGAAGTAGATTGATGTCACCGTTTATTTCCCAGGCTGCGACGGTGGGGAACGCGCTAAAACACGGCCCCATGTGACCGGAGCGTCGGGTTACGCTTAATTGAACGAAGAGCGAAAAAGGCGGACGGAATGCAACGAACGGCGCCACGCCACTTTCAGTTTTTATATGGGATTTCCATATAAAATCCATATAAAAGTCAAGTTCCCCTCACTTGCAGTTCTCAACCACGCCTTCTGATAATATTCTATTATTCTATGTACTCTTCAAATGGTTTGCTATCTATACCACAAATTTTATATCTTGGGATTCCCCAAAGCAACAGCGAAAAAGGAAATATGCATTCGTGCCTGAGAAATAAGGCACTGTGTGTACCACGACGAAGCTCTCTTGTACACCCTTCCCCCTCAATTCCCATCACCCTGTAACCATGTCTACTGAAAGATAGTACCAACAAATGCAAAGAATCCATCCGTGCCCCTATGCAAGAGAATTCACTCATTACAATCGTTATTCATCGCCATTCTTTCCTCTGGGGTGCCTGCCCAGTGCACCCATAACCTACTATACCACTACATCCCTCAACCTTAGAAGATCCCTACTATCATTAAGTCCTTGTGCGGCTTACAATAAGTATCTGGTGTAGATCGGAGAAGTGCTTATAGACAGGTATCTGTAGTCTCCAAGCTCGAACGGATATAGCATGTCTTTTGTAGCCTGCTATGTCGAGATCTTCAGGCTGTATTCAACAAGGCCGGGGAAGGACGAATGGGAAGTCGGATCGTTTATCAAGAATCAGATTCTACATGCCCAAAGCGCCCTCGTAGTAAAGACCTGAACGGATGTTGATTGGGGGAATTATTACTTCTTCAGGTTCCCAGTTGCTGCATCGCATAGACCTCTTTGACGGTTGTAGCCCCGCATTATCACCGCTTAGATGTCGAGATTCGCTTACTGTGCACGATATCATCTTTTAGTGCTGAGAGATAAGCGAGGACGCGGCCTATGACATGTCACAGATATTCTGTGATTCGGGATGGCAATACCCTTCCTATCCGGTCCCGCCCTTGACCCGGTGTCTTTGTGTTTATTGTCCATGCGTTTCTATGACAGGTCGGGGGGGAGCTATCTACCACAGCAAAACCGATGCCCATCTCCCGAATCTTATGTAATACATGCATTTTGATGCTATTCACACTATTCTATATTAAAAGAAACGCTATGATGCGGCCAATCCGAACCGTAATGCCAAGGGAATTTTAGGTGACAACACCTTCTATCTAGCTGGATCATTTTAGCATGGTAATCATATGCAATATACAAAGTCAGTCTCATTCCTTGAAGGATCCCCGAGTGTTCACTCGGTCAATGTCGTAAGGATTCCCCTCATAAATGGATTTCGCAGTAGCCGGACGTTGAGAGCCTTGCGACGCGATAGAATGTGCCCGGCCAGACTCTGCCGGCTCAACCGAGAGATCGCCCACCTTCATCTCTCCCAGAGTGGACCCCGACGAGTGCTGGTTTGGCAATCCTTCATCCGCAGCGGCTTCCTTTTCGGGCTCTGCCTGAAGGTTGTCTCCCTTCGTCTGCTCCATCAGTTTCTGCATGAACGCCTCAGATTGCGCGGAATATTTGCATCGTGTACGTATCGCTGGGCCGTACTTGTAGAACAGAAATGGGAAGGGCACGCACGCCAGGGCGAGAAATGCGGGGATGCTGGAGGCCCAATGGACACCAAGATTGTTGTACATGTATGTCGTGAAAAGAGGGAATGCTGCGCCGAATACGGAACGCAAGACCGAGTTCGCTGCCAAAACAGAGGCCGCGAAGATGGTATAGGCATCGATCAGGTAGTTCATCAAGCTAAGAAAGACCAGCACCATGCCAAATCCAAATGGCACACCGGCAGCGATGCTTGCTAGAAAGTGGATCGACGGGTAATTGGTCCAGGCAAACCAAAAAAGGCCGATAGGAATAGCAATGGAGGCGATCAGGCAAGGGGGCAGACGAGCTTCGGGGGGTGCGAACCCCTTATGGGCCTCCTCCGTCCTGACATACCTCTTGTTATCCCAGATGCTGTACAGCACCGCCGCATTCATTCCCACCATGATCCCCAGGAAGGCCAAGCCGGAGACACCTTGGTTCCAACCGCGCAGCTCCTCATACACGATGGGAAACGCTGCAAACATCATGTATAAGGTCCCATAAATAATCGCCATGTAAATGGATAGCAAGAGGACAATCGGCTCACGAAACAGAAGAATCCAAGGACGTGAGAGGGCAGCCTTGAAGACAGTGGAATAAGGGACCTTGCCCCGTTCCGCCTCCATCTTGCTCTGATGTACCTTGCCCGTCACTTTAGTCAGGTTCTTCGCACGTTGTCGCAATAGAACCGGTGCGTAGGTCTCCGGCATGACCAGACTGCCGATGATCCAGAGACAACCCGAGAAGGCGGCCAAAAAGCCCATCACCCATTTCCATCCTGCATTCATTCCCAAGAAGCCACCGCATACGGGGCCCAGTGTCGGGCCCATGAACGGCGCCGCCGCAAAAATGCTCATGGCCAGCCCCCGCTGCTTCGCGGGAAACAAATCCGCGATCACCCCTCCGGCGTTCGTCAAGGGTGATGATCCAAATGCGCCCGCAAGGAAGCGTAGAATGATGAGGGTTTGGATGTTCTTCGAGCCGACGAGGCCAGCGTTGAAAGCTGTGAGACCACAGTAGCTGCCGATAAAAAGGTATTGCCGCCCCCAAAGCTCGCTCATAGGGGCCCAGAACAAAGGTCCAATGGCAAAGCCCAGCACGAAGAGTGAGACCCCGAGTGTAGCGACCTCGGAGCCTACATGGAAGCTTTCCATGATTTGTTCGACGCCCCCCGTGTAGGCGGACGAGACCATGGAAACGGCAAGCGTGGCCCAGGCCACAGTGATGGTATACAGCCATTTCCGCCAGGCAGGAAAATTCATGGGATTTCGGGGATCATTGGGTATCCAGGTGACGAGGTAAGGGTCCTCCTCGGTGCCTGAGCCAGCCCACGGATAGTCGAGGATTTCTTGGGTGAGCACACCCTGGTCGAACAGAAGGCGCCAATAAGAGATCCGGGTGGGCTTGACCGGCTCGTCCGCGGCCGAGATATTGTCACCTGCCATGCTGGGTTATTTTGAACGACGATTTTGACCACAACAAGATAGGCAAAGGCTTAGAATATATACGGTCACGGCCTAGGCATGGGAAAAAGTCGGGATTATTTATCTTGGACCTAACCGGGATGGGGGTATCATGGCAACTAGTCGAAGAAGCAAGCTGATACTGAAAAAAAATTCACCGAGTGGCTAGTCAGCGATGGGATTCTGCAGCCCTCTAATAGCTGGGGCTGCTAGTAGAGCAGCTGATCCAAGATCGCGACAGACCCATGACGGGCCTGATATGCCCACCCGGTTGGCTGTTGAGCGAGCACGAGAGCGGTCCATCTTCCAATCATCACGAGGGCCTGCATCCAAGATTATGGGAGCGAGTGTTGAGGCGGTCATAACACAGGATCGGACGGCCGGTTATGTGGTGTGGGTTGTGTGAGCTCCTCGTGCATAAGAGAGGGCCGCATAAAACCACGCATCCGACGATCGATTCCCGGATCGGGGGGGTCAGAGCATGGCTGGTCTCCGCCTCTGGTTGGAGGAACCTCGGTGCAGGATGCAGACCACCGTTAGCGGCTGGCTGGCCGTAGGTTAGATGCTGCTGAGCGGAGATAGAATACGATCGAAAGCAAGTCCGGCTAGCCAGGGTACGACGGGAGGTTAGTAGTGGGATAGCCGACCGACGACCGCTTCGCGAATCCTCCAGAATTCCGGCCGATACTCCGTACGGAGTAGGCCACGACGCTATCACCCCAAGGGAATCATTCTCCGCCTATTGTGGAATGTACTCCTCGCTTCCTTCGTCATAATAGTCCCAGTCGAGCATCCATCCCAGCTGCATTGGCCTCGTATCAATGTGATGATGGATAGAATCGATAGGTAGAACGACCCGGGGATTCGGCAAATCAAAGGAGGGTCTTTATCTCTACCCCGGACTGGAGACCCATCCAGATCCACCTTTCCCTGACTTGGGAGACCTGAGAATAATGAAAAGATCAGTCGGGGTTCCAAGACAGAACATAAACGAAGGATGCTTACTCCAGATCACTCGGACATTGCGGAAGTGGCGTAAACAGCTGGAGTGGGGAGGAGAGAGTGGTGAGTGGCCATCTCAATAGTGAGTGTGACGAGGACAGAGAGCATCTAGGCCGTGCCTTCCTTCTCCCACCTTCCCTCCTTCCTTTTTCAGTCCAGTCCCCCGCCCGAGAATGACATGACGAAGTTGTTATTCTCCCACCCTCGCCTCTCCAGCACTACGATGATTCTGCTCTATATATCTCAATGTCGTTCTCTATGAAGCAGTGTAACCTAGCACACCCTCTATCGCTGGTTTGAATCGAATATCTGCCGAATTGACGCTGACCAGGTAATGTTGCTTCTCCAAGTTCCATCCCCTACACTATCCACAGGGTCAACCCCTGCAATCGACTTATGGCTATCCAACTTTCTCCAAGGATTTTCCCTAGTCGAAAGCCTCTAGGAGCACGAGAAAATATCCAAGGCGTACAATCAGGTTGGCAGCTGGTCATTTATCTCCCGAGGCATTGGAGCGTAATCCACTCGACTATCTACCAGTTGGTCATGTCAACCTATCCTCAAAGCCTGATTACACAACTATTTCGAGAAACAACATTATCCAATTTGCGCTCCTCATGCGATCAACACAAGGACACTGAAATGCGACCCTGAGCGGCCCGAGATCCTGCAGCGGCGGTCCCTTGCATGGAACTTGGAAACACCCACCGCCGCCGCCGCGGATGCATCGCGATGACTTCGCCGCCACTTAGATGGAGTCTCCTTACGTGAGCCGTTAGTCGTCTGCTGCATGGACTCTTAACTTCCTTCCTCCTACTTCAGAACACATCCGTTCTGTCCCCTTTCCCTCATCCTTGGTCTCATCCTCATTAGTTTCAGCAGACTGATCATCCATCCTATGGCCGCCTCCCCCCATCCACCTGATTCTTACCGCCACCTCGTTGACGAGAATCGCGCCCGTTTTGAGTCATTCATCCAGAATGGCGAAAAGAAGCCTGTACTCCTATGGAACCTATTAATTCCTCTCTTGTTGCCCGTCATAGCACTCCTTGTCCCGCACGAGAAGGGCGCCCGTTATGTTCGCCCCCTGGTGATGGCTTGCATCATCGGCCTCTCCGTTGATACCCTCTGCCACCGTCGCATGCTCCTAGGAGGAAATGGATATATGGGGGGTCTGATCCCCGCATGGGGGTGCATCTGGTCTGCAACACTACTCATCTTCCGCAATGTCGAGCGCGATTTTCAACGCATCGAGCGTCGCTCACTACCCCCCGCGAAGGCTGGCCCAAACGGAGATGCGGCCCTGAACGGCTATGCCAGAAAAACGAGATGTCAGGACACCACATTGCGCTCTGAAACCCTTGTATGGCAGCCCTACCCACAGACTCTGACTCATCGTCTGAACTGGGTTCTTGGCCTGGTTGCCAATATGCGCGGGCCCGAATGGAACTGGCGCATCTCCTCATTGGGCGCATTACCACCCTCGGTCCAGTCGCAGCTCAACCACAGGCACAACTTTAAAGATAATGCAGACCCAGAACTCAACGATATGCGCTTCCGCCTGCGCGCCGTATTCTCAACCTGGCTGAAATCTTACCTCATCCTCGACCTCATCAAGCTCCTCATGATCCGTGATCAATACTTCATGGGTGCCGTATATCCTACTCCAGATCCGCCCTTCCCATTCCACCGCCTTACGCCTTACCCAGCTCTCGTCCATGTCTACCGCTGCTTGATTACAGGCACTGGTGTCCTGGCAGCACTTCAATATGTCTGCTGTTTCAACCCACTTCTCTTCGGCGGTCTCTCCCTCGCCTTCCCTAACGCCGCCCGCACCCTCACCTCCGTTCCCCTCTCCGCTGGCTGGCTCTACCCACCCACATTCGGCCCCTTCCTCACGACCATCCTTGACGACAGCCTCGCTGGCTGCTGGAGCCAATGGTGGCACCAGCTCTTCCGCTTTGGCTTCACCTCCACCGCCCACTGGCTCCTCGGGTTTCTCCCGTCCCGTCTAGCTAACATTCGCACTATCCGCCGATTCCTCACTGTCCTCATCGCGTTCGGCCTCAGCGGGTTCGTCCACGCCAGTGGAAGTTATGTCCAGTACCGTGACACCATTCCGGCTACTGGCGCATTCTGCTTCTTCATACTGCAGGCCGTCGGGGTTCTCATCCAGGAGATTATCTCACCCTCGTGGTCCAGACTCCCTAAACCTATGCGGCGAGTCTGCAATGCTGTGTTCGCACTGGGCTGGCTACTTCTCACAGGGGGATTCATCATGGAGGACTTCTCGAGGGGTGGACTGTGGCTTACGGAGCCGTTGCCCGCGAGTATCTTCAGGGGATTAGGCATTGGAGTGGTCCCAGCTGATAGGGGATGGTGGTGGTGGGGAGGAACTTGGTTCGGGAGTTGGGATGGCGGGGATGGATTCTGGGACAGAGGGGTGAGGATTTATTGAACGCACTTTGGGGCTTTGTTGATATATACATGGTTTAAAGTTACTTAGATTTATTCTTAGATGTAGGTGTAGATATAGATTTCTAGACCAAGATAGAGTATTGAGTTTCTGTCATACATTGTTGGCATACAAAGACTATTTTGCAGTGGCATGAGCGTTGACATGTCTAGAGATAAGTCTTTACTGACTGCGCAGTATCCTCATACCTGTACCAGGAAGGGACCTTACAAGATATCTGGACCTTTTTGGATCAATGATGATTCGTGTAGATTGCTTTGCTTGTGGAGAAGCTGTTACAGATGTCCTTAATGGACCAGTCCATCATGTAATAATTTCCATGACTTGTGGATATCAATTGTTTTTGACGCTTTTGTAAAAGACACCTAGATGCTTGTGCACATGAAACCATCCAGGTCATATAATACATGAATTTCGTGGCATTAATCGACGTGAGCCGTCACGGAAAAAGTATCGGAATCCATATTTTTTTGCTGCTGCTGCTACAGAGAACTCAAGCGCTTACTCGTCGTCTTCCTCATCATCCGTATCAGGATCGATGTTCAAAGACGGCATCTCATCGTCGCTGTCATCCTCTGCAGCTTCGGTGGTAGATGTCGACTGGAGGGCGGATGGTTGCTTTGCGCTTGAGATGGTAGGTTTCGATGTCGCCACGGGGGTCGGACCAGCGATCGATGATGACGGGACGGAGATAGCGGCCGTGCCGGTGAAGGTAGCGGGGGATGCGGCGTCCAAGGCGGGCTGGGGGGCTGTTTCGGGTTCGAAACGGGCCTTTTTGCTTTGTGAGCCGGGGCTAGGGAAGGTGGGTGCTGCCGGGGCCGGGGCTGGGGCTGAGGCTGGGGCTTCGACGTCTTCGGTGTAGCTGCGTTTGCTTTGGAGGGTGGGCCGGGGGGTCACTTCCACGTCCATCATGTCGTGGTGTAGACTGGGCGTGGGGGTGTTCTTGAGGAATCCGCTGGCTGCGGGGGCGGGTTGTGGTGCGGTGGCTGTTTCGACTTCGTCGTCCTCGTCTTCGTCGATGGGGGCGAAGCCGTTGGTTGCGGGGGCGTTCATCAGCACGGGCATGCGTGGGCGGATGAGGCATTCCACTTCTGTTTCGGCGGGGTAGCTGCGAGCCAGGAATGGTAGGATGCTGGTGCCCACGCCACGGCCTTGCATGGCGGGGAAGGGGTTGAGGACGCTGGACAGCATGGCGTTCTTGTCGGAGGTCAGGATGATGGTTCGGTCGATTTCCGCACGGAGAGCAGGGGAGATGAACTCGGTCGGCGCGTGCGCCAGCGCAGCGACGAGGAGCTCGGATGCAGCGCGCTTGAGGCAGGGGAAGGACGAGGAGGAGCTGGTTTGACGGACTTGTTTCAGTCCGGGGTTCAGGAAGGAGTCGGCGTTCACGGTGGTCTGGTTCGACTTGTTCTTCGACTTCGGGTCCGGCTTGTCGACGGCCGCAGCCTGGTTGCCGGTAGGAGGCAAGAGGTCATGGCAGGAAGTGCGGATGATACCGGTCAGAGAAGATACACTTTGCTTGGTCATGGATGGGCCGATCTGGGTGAGCAAGACAGAAACCAGGTCATACACTGCAGTGCGGACCTCCCGGTTGAACTTCTCGGCACGGAAGATCCACAGCGCCTGCTCGAGGATGGTCTGGGCGACGGAGATGGCGCTGGTTTCCAGGGCGTTGACCAGGTGCAGCAGGAGCTTTATGCAGGCAACGTGGATGCGAGGGAGCTCGGTAAGCAGATGTTCTCTTTCTGCTCGACCAATTTGCGGGTTGGCTTGGATGTCGCTATCCCCGGAGGGAACGGTCACCATGTTCAAGCGAGCCGTCAGATCCAGGATTGCTCCCACTGGAATGGTCACGGTGGAAGCAGTAGCAGTGCCCACGAATCCGGAGAGCATGCGCAAGAGCACAACCAGCCGGTTGACACCAGCATTCAGACCCTGCCAGCTACTGAGTCCCAAAGCGTCAGGCCCATTACCCACTTCCTGGCTGTAGTTTTGCGGTTGCGACATCTGGCGCAGAGACGGGTCAACGGATTCCCATTGTTCCAGAATAGCTCGCAGGACGTAAGACGATGCCGCATGAACAGAGGTGATCGTCATGCGACAAGCGCTCTTCCATTCTTCACCACCCGTGTTCTTCGGGGCGCAATTGTGGAGGGAAATGAATAGCTTCTGGGCGATGTCCAATACCGGTTCAGGGAATGTGGGCGACGTAGAGCCGATGATGGTCTGGAGGATACTGTGGATTTGCGACGTGAAAGGCCGGAAGATGGTCGGATGCCTTGCGATCAGCTCGCCAAATGCCTGAAGCACGACCTCCACGAAGGGAGTATTGGGCTTCAGCCTCCGGATAGGCTCAGAGGATGGCTTGACGGAGATCAGGTTCAGCGCAGCGGTGATAAAACCTGGTAGAGCCGGGGTTGTGATCTCGCGGACAAGGGTCGGGTACTGGTAGGTGAGGTGAAAGATGCGGGCCAATGTGATGATGCACATTTTCTTCGTAGAGACGGGGTCGGATTTCTGTTTATCGGGGCAGTTCAGTAAGCATCTTCCAAGAAAGGCGAATATGGACTGGGGCCTCTTACAGCCAGGATGCTGATCAAACCGCGCACAAACGGTTCGCAACCGCGCAGGATCTCCCACTGGCCGGCCTCGACGAGAGCCTTGACCAAGACGATAGCGGTCCAGCGGCCTTCATACGTCCTGTCTTGCAGCAAGCTGCCCAGACGAGTCATAAGCTTATGGACCTGGACGGCATTGTCCGAGTCCGCCTTGCCAGCCTTCTGGCTCTGGGGAGTCGACAGCAGCTCCCCGCAATTGCTGATCGAGGTTGCGATGGATGATGCGAAATGCGGGAGGTGCTTGACAGGCACATTGGTCAGGCGGTGGTTGACCGCATGGAGGGACATGGACATGTACGCCATCTTCACGAGGTCACACGGGTGATTGCGACCGCGGCAAAGCAATTGAGGGGGTCTGGCGCAAGTTTGGGTTGAATGATGCTCAAGTTTCTGGAAATTTTTGGCCGCGGAAACGCTCGGGCCACATGAAGCCTCGGGGCGATACGAGAAATACCGGATTGCGTACGATACATACGGGGCGGGTCCTGGGCTCTCCCCTAAACGGCCAAGGCGGATCATCGCCGTCGTCACGGCCTCCGGTCTTAATATCTCGATTCTCCGCTGCTGCCTCGGGTGGGCATCTGTCCGGGTTATGGATGCTGCTTCTTTCTTTTCCCCCCCGATTGTGCTGTTTTACCCCCGTCTCTGTCTGACCTTCCTCAATCATGACTGTATGTGGTGCTCTCCCCTCCTACCTCCCTCTGACCCCTGGCGAACTTAACTTACCACAGCTACAAATAACCCCCCTCAATCTGGCACCATGACCCCTCCGCTGACCGTGGTACCAATCTGTAGGGTCGAGACTCTGATAAGGGGCATCGCTATGTTACGGCCCTGGACAACGCGCGCTGCCAGAACAAGTGGGATGAAGTTCCCGAGCTGATTCGCAAGGTCACCAAACATGCTCCTCAAAAAACATGTAATGCCAACTTGTCTTCCCCGGGAATTCATGGCCGACCAGCAACCGGGCTAACGCAGTGTGCTATAGGTTTCCTCGAGGTAGCCAGTACCGAATACCAGATTGCCTCACACCTACAGAAGCATCCGTCCACTCCCCGCCCGGCCTCCGCGTCCGGTCTCCACGACCTGATTCCAACACTCCTCTCCACCGTGAACAGGGCCGAAGGATCCAAGCAAGAGGTATTTCAGGCGCAGGTCTGCCTGGGATGGGTACACTGGACAGTCAATGAGCTAGGCTTGGCAGTATCTCGGTTTCCTCATGATTTTGGAGACACCCTGAATGAACTCGAGCACGCAGGAGAAGAGCTGTCGCCATGGACCAAGACATGTTTCGTCAAGGCTTGCTATCTCAAGGGTGCGTGTGCTTGATGGTGGAGTTGAGGGTCTGCTCTTTTCTAATCCATGCATAGGTTCTGCACAACGCATGACTTCCGATCCCTATGGCGCCTTGGAAACCCTTCATTCGCTTGCACCATGGCTGAACAGTCAGCTTCAGTCCTCTACGAACAGCCCACAGTTTATCTACTGGTCCGAGAAACTATTAGCAGAAGCCGCATCACTGGCTGGCGAGGAAGCCTGCAAGGACATTGCTGCTGCTAATGCGCAAACGATAGCCACCGCCCTGGGGTTCTTCAGGCTGTGGGCGTCACATCCTCAAGTCAAGCTAGTGGCTTTGCCTCAAGGCATTCTTATGGATGGCCTCGCTGAGCCCAATTCGAGAGCACCATTATGGAAGTCGTACTACAATCTTCTGTCATCGATCCTGCAACAGGGTCTACCATACAGCCCCCCTGCCAGCGGCCCCGAGCGCCCACAGCTTGCCAGTGAGCTCCGGCGCGTTGAGTCTCTTTGTGAAGCAAGCATCTTGCGTGAAACAAAGTTTCCCACAGCTAATTCGAACAGCCCCGAAATCGAAGCTTGGGTCGAGCAAGTCATCCAGAACTGGGAGGTGCTTTGCGGCTCTAACTGGACGGATGAAGAGCTCGGAGAAGGTGGCCAGAATTCTGTTGGTAGAAATGTGCTTGATGTATGTTCCCACACGAAAGGAAGGACGAGAGAGTGGGAAAAAACATAAGAACCATTGCTAATGATTATAGATCCTTTACCGTGCTGCTACCAAGACCTATCACTCGCACCTGATTCTCCGGCGTCTTTTCCATGTGCACTGTGCACTTGCCGATTACGATCTTGCCTTGAGGGCGCTCGATTCCTATATTGAGATAGTCACAAGTGCCAAAGAGAGGGCAGAAAAGGCAGCCCAGTATGGAGACCTGGAGAATGATGGGACCCTGCTGCGCACGGTGTCAGAGGGCGTCACGATGTTGAGCTGCTTTGGCTCTGAAAAGGAGGCCGAGAAAGCCAAGGATCTCACGTCCCTCTTGAAGGAGTTTTCTGCGAAGCATGTACAGGATGACGAGAATGGAGAGCAGGGCATAATTCTTATAGCGCCCGAAACAAGCTCGACTCGCTCCCAATCCGTTTCCCCCTCGGACATCGCTGCAGCTTATAGGGGCATTGGTATAGGGCTTGCTACTTGGGCCTACTGGACCCCGGTCAACGAGGACCGGGATGACATCCGGGCCGAAGCCATTGACTACCTTGAGAGGAGTTTGGCGCCAGAGCTTGAAGATGAGTCCAACTGCTCCTCTCTCTATACGCTGGCTGTTCTCCTTGCCGAGAACCGGGATTTAGACGGCGCCATCGACTACGTAAAGTCAGCATTGACATCGGATGCGCAGCATAAACCGGGACAGGCCGACTTTGCCCGGGAGCGAGATCTTGTGCCTCTGTGGCATTTGCTTGCTCTTTTACTAAGTGCGAAGCAGGACTTCGACATCGCGGAACGCTCGTGTGAAGCCGCGTTTGAGCAATTTCCCGCGACCGTGACATCTCTAGCTCATAGCGATCGACGACCCCAAAAGCAAAACCAGAGTGGCCAAGACCAAATCACGGGCATAACTCATGAGCTGATTGACAAGCTGCGAGACCGCGAGAAGGAGCGCATTATTGAGACTCGGATGACCCAATTGGCGTTTGTGGAACTGGTTGAGGGCCCTGGAGCTGCTGTTAACCATAGCGAGCAACTCCTCAGCCTATTCGCCACTCTTTTCCACTCCCTGAACCCTGAAGGGGACGAGAAGAGCAATACCAAGACCGACCATCTCGTTCCCCCCAAAAGCTCTGCCGGGACTGTGAAAAGTCTTCGCGGAAGCATCTTTGGACGGCACAGAGGGCCCCGTGGACCTGACCGGAGGGCAGAGTTTGCCCCGGAATCCAAGACAGAGAGCCCCGACTCAGCGTCGCATGGGTCCTCAGCCAATACCGATTCCGCACCGGCGATACAGGTCACAGATGGAGAGAAGCCTGCTTCGAACGACAGCCCGGCCGGTCAATTACGCACAAGGAGCAGTACATTGAAGAAGGGCGACGACGCCCAAAATCCGGTCGCAAGTTATGTCAACGGCGATGTCGGGACTCCGGCTGGACCTGGAGCCGGCGACGTAACTCCAGACGTGTCTGGGGTCGCCGTGTCCGACGCGGCTCAGTCGCAGAGCGCAAAGCAGCCACTGCGGCCTATGGCCCATAACATGAAGCCCAACCAACAACCCCCTCCGACCGGGCATTCCAAGCAACCGCCAGAGCAGGATATCCGACTGCCTACGCCCTTCGCGTTTGACTCTCCCACGCGAGCTGTGACCAAAGTCCCTCCGGCCCAGGCCCAGAAGCATGCACTGTGCATACTTGTTAAGGTCTGGCTGCTTATTGCCGGGCTCTATCGCCGGGCGTCGTCCTTTGAAGATGCCCAGGAGGCGTGCGAGGAGGCAGCCAAGCAGGTGGCACGAGTCGAGGCTCTCGTCGCGTCACAGGAAACTTCTGCTCGCGCGTTTAGAGAGCGTGGATGGGGCATTCCTAAGAGCACAGATGAGCTGTGGGCGGACGTTAATGCAGAGCGTGGACTCTTGTCGAATGCCCAGGCTCGTCCTCACGAAGCCATGGAGCACTTCGAAACGGCGCTTCTGCATTACGCCGATCATCCGAAGGCGACGGCTGGGCTGTCGAATCTGCTCCTCGACATTTATGATCAGAAGATGCCCTTGCAACCGCCAAAGCCTAGCCTCGACGCCGGCATATCCACCTTGTCCGTGTCCTCCCCGAGCAAGGCAAACAAACCGTTGTCGGAAGATGATGTGAAGCGGTCCGACCAAGCGGGCACTCCGGAGGCTAAGCCTCTCGCCGACTCCGACGACGAGGAGCCCCGGCTCTTGAACCGCATAGCGGCTCGCGAGCGAGCCTTCGGCCTGCTCTCCGGGCTGACGAAGCGTGGCAGCTCCTGGGACAACACCGAGGCGTGGTATGCCCTCTCCCGGGCGTACGAGGCGGAGGGGCGGATCCAGAAACTGAAGGAGGTGCTGTGGTGGTGTATCGAGCTCGAGGATCGGCGCCCCATCCGACACTGGTCCAACATCGGCTCGGGTATATACGTCCTCTGAGTTTTGTATCTACTCTGGTCGCACGAGCTATTCTGTGGCATTTGACATTTGGCATTTGGTTGACGCGATACCTTGGCGATATCCTCGTGTGAATAATTAGAGCATGGGCTACTGTATAGAAATGGCAGGTAATTGGGGATAGTGTTTCAAAACGGAAAGTAGGACATCTTTATTTACACATCTTCGAACATGGTCTGATTCAAGCCAACGGTCTACCAGCACTACGGTGAATCTACCGGGGGGCCGCCACGGGGGTCCAGGCCGAGTACTTGGGACGGGTCCTGGGCTCTGGGTCAGCACATTATCCACCCTCTCCGACTAGAGAAAGGGGCTGGGTACTCACGTGGAGTAGGTCTTGAAAGCAGCACGGCTCTGGGTCAAGTTGGGGCGGTGCTCAGGCAACTCCCAACGGCGAAGGCCAGTCTGCATGATCTTGTCGGCGGTGGGGGGAGCATCCACCATGTAAGAGATCCAGGCGTGCCTGCAGCGAGGTCAGCAAAGGGCATGTCCGAAAACCATTCTCCACGAGGGTCTCACCAGCCAGGCTCGATGTGGGAGGGGTCGTATTCGTGGTCCTTGTAGTCCACCCAGCGCGTCCGGACTATGTACGGTCAGCAGATGCCATGGAGCTAGGCGAAGCATCACCCACGAGGAAGCTCCTCCTCAATGTTCTCGTAAAACTTGTTGCCGTAGCGGTCCACCCCAATCAGGGTACCGGCCTTGGTATCACCTGGAATCGCGATTGTGTTAGTCTAGCCCCATCCCCCGGCGGAAGCCACTCACCAATGTACTATTCGCAGCGAACCGCATGTCTCGTTAGTATCCGTCTCGCCCCTCCAGGACATTCTCTTCTTCTCCCAGGATCCGAAAGCATACCTGCATTTGGTGGCCATATTCCTGTGAGGGGATGCAGTTAGCAGCTAGTCCGTGAAGGTCCGAAAGAACCGCCAGAGGCTCACCTTGAAGCCAATGCGCTTCAGGTTGCGCAGCGTGCGAAGAATGGTCGACATCTTGTAGGCAGAGCAGCGAGGGGGCAGCAATGGCTCGAGCTGAGTGCAGGTCGGGTTCGACTCTCGTTCTCTCTTGCGTCGCTCGCTTTCCGCCCGGCGGTTGCAAGTCTCCCAATCCGGTCTAGCGCGTATCGCGGTTTGCCGTGTTTGCAGCCGCCGCCGGGGATCTTTATCCAGCATCTCGTGCGTCGTCTGCACACTTCTCCCAGCCCCTTGAATCTTGTGCCAGTCCATTCGGCTGCTTGGGTGAGCATCCGCGAGAGACGCCGTAACCATGTTCGGACGTGTCGGGGGTAATGCCCTGCGATGTGCTGCGCGCAGACCAGCTGCCCGGAGGGCCCTACTCTTCGAGCGCAAATTCTCGGCCAGCACCGCCCATGCCAGCACCAGCTCAACTGCAGCCTCGGCTGCGTCACCGTTAGGGAGTATTACGACTGAGCTGGATCGCATCTCGCCGTGTTTTGAGGTTCCGGCGTCGCGAATCACCATCCTGGACTCTCCGTCCAGCTTCTACAATACCCTCAAGGTACGGTGATATCTCGGACCTAGACCCGCCGCGAATCTGCGACTAATCCAAGCATGTTTCATTATATAGGACAAGATCAGGAAGGCTCGCAAACGCATCTATCTGTCGACATTGTACATTGGCAAGACAGAACATGACCTGGTCGACACGCTAGACCAGGCTCTTCGGGCCAATCCCGACCTCAAGGTCTCCATTCTCACAGACGCTCTACGAGGAACGCGAGAAACGCCCAATCCTTCGTGCGCATCACTGTTGGCATCGCTGGTTGCGACACATGGCGCGGATCGCGTGGAGATCCGCATGTTCCATACTCCCAATTTGACTGGGTTCAAGAAGAGATGGGTGCCGAGCCGCATCAATGAGGGCTGGGGTCTGCAGCACATGAAGCTGTATGGCTTTGACGAGGAGATTATCTTGTCGGGGTATGTGCAGTCCTACCCTGAGACCCCAGAATAGCCACTGACGGAACTATAGGGCGAATCTGTCGAACGAGTACTTCACCAGCCGTCTAGATCGGTACCATGTCTTCCACTCCAAGGAGTTGACCGATTACTATGCTCGCATCCAAGAGGCCGTCTGCAGCCTCAGCTTCCAGGTCCTCCCCGACCCTGAGGATGCCGCCGGCTACGTCCTCAACTGGCCGACATCCAACGGCGCCCCTTCACCCCTCGACAACCCCGAGGACTTCATCACATACTCGTCCACCGTCTTGCACCCGCTCATCCAACCGTCGGAAAAGCAGGCCGCCCTCCAGCCCAAGTCGTCCGACCAGACCTACGTATACCCCGTCGCCCAGTTCACCTCCCTATTCAAACCCGACACCTCTACTGAATTCCCCGCCGTCACGGCCATCCTCCGTCTCCTCTCCACCTCGCCGGCCTTCTCAGGAGCCCGCTGGCTCTTCACCGCCGGCTACTTCAACATCCACCCCGCCCTCTCCTCCCTCCTCATCGCGAGCACCTCCACCACCTACACCGACTCCACGACGCGCGGCACCGTCCTCACAGCCTCCCCCTGGGCCAACGGCTTCTACGGCTCCCCCGGCATCTCTGGCATGCTGCCCGCCGCCTACACGCATCTCTCGGCCCGGTTCCTCGACCGCGTCGCCGACGCCCAACGCACCAACTCCATCCAACTCAAAGAATGGCGCCGCGGCACCGTCGGCGAACCCGGCGGCTGGACCTACCACGCCAAGGGCCTCTGGATCACCCTTCCCAAGGAAGAACATCCCAGTCTGACCTTCGTCGGCAGCAGCAACTACACCAAGCGCAGCTACAGTCTGGATCTGGAGGTCGGCGCGCTCGTCGTGACCGGCGACCCGGAGCTGAAGCAGAAACTCGGCGCCGAGACGGATCGTCTGCAGGAGGAGGCGAAGGTCATTTCGCGCGAGGATCTGCGGCGCACGGAGCGACGTGTGGGTTGGAATGTCCGGCTCGCCATGTGGATTGTCGAGAAGGTCGGAGGGGCGTTATAGATGATACGATGTGATGCGATAGAGATAGAATCTGTATACCCCGTGTACTACTATTATACAATGAATGTACAGTAATCTACGACACTACAATTACTACTTCCATTTACCCACCCAGCACACAATAAAAAAAGTGATGTAGTAGCCCCCGAAAAATAACTTTTATGATATATAAGAAAAAGGAAAAGTCTATGACCATGCATTGCAATGCCACACCAACAAAAAACGCCATCCTATCCAGGATCTTTTTTTTCCAACCAAAATAAACCAATCATGGTAGAGAAGTGAGATGCAATGAAGTAAAGGAAGTGAAAAAAAAAAAAATGGTATCGTTGCAATCGTTGAAGCCATGCACACACACACACACACACACATACATCGGACTCAAGCCCGTCCCGAGACCTTTCCGCCAAGTCGCGCAGGGCCAAGACCTTGACGCACCTCATCCAGCATACGGATGCCGATGGCCTCGTTACCGTTCTTTCCGCGCTTGGCTTTAGCGCCCTTGCGCTTGGCCTGGGCGCTGGTCTTGTCGTCCCAGCCGGCGAGGAAGTCGTCCATGATGTTGTTGAAGTTGTGGGAGGGGCGGACGGCGTCGCCGTTGGCGTCGATGAGGCTGGGGGCTTGGGAGGAGGCGGTGGAGATACCGGTCATGCCGGTCATGTTGGTCATTCCGGTCATGCCGCTGACCATGGACATGCTGTCGTCGAATTCTTCGTCCTCTTCGTCGAGGGAGTAGAGGGCTTCGACGCGCTCGAAGCGGTCATCTAGGAGGCGGTGGCCTTCCGTTCGGGCCAGGGAGGAGGAGGTCATGGAGTAGGCGGAGGGGTTGGTCAGGGCGCCCTTGCGCTTCTTTCGGCGGATGGGGGTGCCGCCGACGGTGAAGACGGTCGAGGCCAGGGTGCTTTGCTGTTCGGAGGGCACGACGCTGGCGGGTGCGGCGGGAGCCGCGGTCTTGCCCTTGGCGTCTTTCTTGAATTTGGCGAACTCGCGCATCCAGCCCTGGTCCTCGGGGTGCATGTCGGGGGCGGGCTGCTCGGGCACGGGGAGCTCTCCGTCGGGCTGCTCGGTGTCCTGGTACCGTGCTCTCGCGTCGGTGGTGTTCATCTGCACGGGGGCCTTCTCGGTCGCATCGGATTCCCAGCCGTCATCCTCCTCCTCCTCGACATCATCGAACAGGGTATCTTCCCAATCGCCCTGGTCCATCTCCTCGGCCCGCGTCGTCAACTGGCCGAACACATCCTCGTTGTCGTTCTCATCTACATACTCCTCGTCCTCCAAAGCTTCGAGCACCTCACGCAACCGCGGGTCCATGTCTGGCTGGAAGCCCGCAATCGCATCGGGGACGTTCTGCTGGTCCTGGTAGGTGGGCTGGCGCACGTACGACGAGGCGGTCGAGCGCATATCATAGCTGTAGACGCTCTCCGCGCCGCCAAACTCGCTCCGGCCATCATCCAGCGACACCTGGCGCAGGGCATCCTCCAACTTCAAGCCCTTGCCCTTCTCCTTGCCCTTGGTCTTGGCCTCGACGAAATGAGCGTCACCGGCGCCCGTGCCGAGCTCGCGCAAGTGCTGCATGTAGTCGTACTTGGAGTCATCGTAGTAGATGCCGTAGTTGGCGGCTTCACCTTCGTTTTTGCGGACGGCGGCACCACCGAAGGCTTGGTTCAGGTCGGCGAGGTTCTGGCCGCGGTGCTGGGGTGCGGAGGCGGAGGCGCTGCTGCTGGGGACCGGGGCGGGGCCGGAGACGGGTGCCAGGACGCGATCGTCGGCGGAAGGGTCGTGGATGAGGGGGTCATGTTGGGCACGGTGGAAGAGTTGGTAGGTGGTTGCGTTTTTCTTGTCACTGGACGGGTTGGGTTGGTTAGTTCAGCCTAACAGATAGGGTTGGACTGATAAAAGGGTTTTGGAGGACGTACATCCACTGCTTCCGGGGAGGCATTTTGGCGGGTTACCGGGTGGTCCAGAGGGCGAGTTCTGAGGGAAGAGAGAGAGGAAGAAAGAGAGGAAGAGGGGAAATCGACGGTGAAGCTGGATGGATGGCAGCAAATCAATTTCGGAGGGAAGAAAAATAATCGCCGGTCGTGGGGGTCACGTGCGGCTTATCGCGGGGGGTCCTCACGACCCTTCATGCCAGAATTTCCAAGGACATGAGGGATCGAGAGTCGATAGGACTCTTTTTCTTACTTCTCCTCTTATTCTCTTCAGTGATTATCCTCTTTCACACGATCTTCTGCTGAAATTGGGGGAAACAACCTGCTGAGTCAGCCTTATCTTATCCGCGCGGGGTTCAGACGAAAATTGCCCGATTGGGTTTTTATCAAATCTTTCGGGAATCTTTCTTAATAATTATTCTTCGCTTCTTCTTCTCTCCGTCTCTTCGCCTCTTCATCTCTCCCTCCCTTTCCTTCTCCCTCCCCCCTTCTCCCCCCCCCTTCTTCCTTCCTTATCCTCTCTCCCCATCTGTCTCCCTTATCCAGGGAATTCCGCCATCATGGTGTTAGCCAAATCCAAAAACTCCGTCGGGCTGGGCAACAGCCTGATGAACGACCGCTTCGGCAAAGGCAAGACCTCCGCTATGAAGAAGGCCTCCCACAATGCCGCCATCGCCCGTAAGAACGAAAAGGGTGAGACTTACATCACCAACGCCCCCACCGAGGCCGCCTGGGTCAAGATGCGCAGTATTACCGAGCAAGCCGCCCTCGACGAGTTCCTCAGCACCGCCGAACTGGCCGGCACCGATTTTACCGCCGAGAAGATGAACAACGTCAAGATCATCCACACCGACCAGAAGAACCCCTACCTGCTGTCCGCCTCCGAGGAGAAGTCCGCCGTCAAGAAGCACCAGAAGAACAAGGGCCGTCTGACCGTCCCCAGACGGCCCAAATGGGACCAGACCACCACCCGCCAGCAGCTCGAGCTGATGGAGCGCGAGAGTTTCCTCAGCTGGCGCCGCGGCCTGGCTGAGCTGCAGGAGAACCACGATCTGCTGATGACTCCCTTCGAGCGCAACCTGGAAGTCTGGCGTCAGCTGTGGCGTGTCATCGAACGCTCCGACCTTGTCGTCCAGATTGTCGATGCCCGTAATCCCCTGCTCTTCCGCTCCGAGGATCTGGAGGCCTACGTCAAGGAGATCCACCCCGAGAAGCGCAACCTGCTGCTCGTCAACAAGGCCGATATGCTGACTGAAAAACAACGATCCGCTTGGGCCGACTACTTCGAGAGACACAATATCAGCTTCCGGTTCTTCTCCGCCCACATGGCCAAGGAGCGCAACGAACTCCTCCAGCAGGACCTCGGATCCGATATCGAAAGCGATGAGGAGGAGGAGGAGGAGGAGGAGGAGGAGGAAACCCCCGCGGAGGAACAGCTGGCTGAGGGCGCCAAGTCTCTGAACATCCAGGACGGCGAGCCCGCCCCGGAGCCCCAAGAAGAGCACGACGGAGGTCTCGAACTGAACCCTGGCGCCAGCTCCAGCGCATCCCGACGGACTGAGATCCTCAACGTCGAAGAGCTCGAGGAGCTCTTCCTTTCCAACACGCCCGACACGCTCCCTGAGAACAACACTACCGACGGCCCGACCAAGGCGAAGACGGTCATCGGTCTGGTCGGATACCCCAACGTGGGTAAATCCAGCACGATCAACGCCCTGCTCGGCGCCAAGAAGGTGTCCGTGTCCGCCACCCCCGGTAAAACCAAGCACTTCCAGACGCTGTACCTGTCCCCCGAGATCATGCTCTGCGATTGCCCCGGTCTCGTGTTCCCCAACTTCGCCACCACCAAGGCCGAGCTCGTCGTCAACGGTGTCCTCCCCATCGACCAGCAGCGCGAGTTCACCGGCCCCGCCGCCCTCGTCGCCCAGCGTATCCCCAAGCACTTCGTCGAGAATGTCTACGGTATCAAGGTCAACACTCGCCCCCTCGAAGAAGGCGGCACTGGCATCCCCACCGCCAACGAGCTCCTCCGCGCCTACGCCCGCGCCCGCGGTTTCGCCACCCAAGGCCAAGGTCAACCTGATGAGTCGCGCGCGGCCCGTTACGTCCTGAAGGACTACGTGAACGGCAAGCTTCTCTTCTGCCACCCGCCCCCTCCCGCCCAGGAAGGCGCCGACCCCATCGACCCTCTCGAATTCAACCAAGATCTCTACGACATGGCGCACCTCCCTCCCCGCCGGCAAGCCCAACTCGCCAAACTCCTCCAAAACGACGAGTCCGTCGACCCAGACACCCTCGCCCTCCTCCTGACCAGCCAACAACCCCTCCCTGGCCCTCGCTCCCGCAGGCTCGACACCGGCTTCTTCGGCCCCGGCGCCAAAACCACCACGGGCCGTCTCACCCTCCCCTTCAACGCACAGTACACCGAGCAAGGCCAGGAAATGCGCAAGCAGCTGACCGGCCGCAAGGAGCGCATGATGGTCGCGCTCGAGCGCGGCGTGGATGTCTCCGAGGTGCGCAACGGGTCCTCGAAGAAACATTTCAAGGCCAACAAGCGCCGCGCTAAGAAGGTGCGCAAGAACACCGCCAATGATGACGATTATTAAGCGGGCTCGCGGGCGAGATACCTTTTTCTGTTTCCTTTGGCATTTAATAGCTTTCCTTTGGGTGTGCGGTTGAAAAGTCTGCTTCGGATAGGGTTTTCTTTTTCTTTGCTATGTTATGTGGTGGTGGCATTTCTTCACTACTTACGACTACTGAGGGGGATGGTGAGTTGAGAAGTACGTATAGAGGGAGGGAAGTCGAGGTTTCGTATATCCATTACTGTCATTGTTCTTGTTAGAGATATTATGGTCTGCTATGGTGTGCATGATGAATATGATTCATGACGTGTTTTTTCACCATTCATTCATGTCAAGAATGCGTTTCGCAATATTATCCTTCATAGCATGGCTCTTCTATGTCAATCCAACTCCCTACTCGTGGAAGGTATAAGGCAGATCCCGGAGTCGCTACCCCTTGAAATCGGGTCCCTTTGAAGAATCCGCCAACTCACACATCCCAAAACATAATTTACAACAGCACGAACACCACATGGGTATGGGTTCACTCTCTAGATAATGTAAAGAACTTAAAACAGAGAACAAACATATGGTATCAAGTGTGTCCGGGTATTCCAGATGCCAAAATCAAAGTAAATTATATAGGACGAACACCACATGGGTCTAGATTCACTCGCCAGGTAATATAAATAACCCCAAACAGCAAGTATATGACAGACTCCGTGGATGGGCATGGAAGCTATAACGGATGCCGACCAGTGCTGGTAGCCTTCAGCCCCAGTGAGTGGTGGCAGATTTGTCAAATTTGCAGTGGCACTGCACATTCTGAAGACTGAAACGAGCGCGAGGCGGAAGATTGAAATGCAAAATGCAGATGTCGATGCACGAGTGATAGACCCCCTTGAAGGCAAATTAAGTAGGGAACTGAATGGTGTTCGGTCGCATAGTCGCATGAACAGCAAGAAAGTGCATGGACTGCTACTTGGAGCAACCGCCCTGTATGCGATCTTGAGCGGTCGATGATTGTCCCGTCCCACATGACTGCAGGCCTCTGACATCAGACTTTGGATACTTCCAGGTCCGCAGCAGTTTGGTCAGCCTTCTTCAGAACTCGCATTCGTCGGCGGTTCGCTCTGTTGGCGTCGCTCATCCCGTCGCTGACACGATCAGGCTTGAAAGTGCTCTGCGTAGCTTTGTCGACATAACCGATCTCCCTCTTCGATACAAATAGCAAGACTGTAGACGCGTCATCCGGAACTCCTGCATCTAGCAAGGCCAATAGTGTTCCCCCTTTTCTCAGTGACTTGGAATCGATCCAACATTGCTTCCGCTTTGCTGGATCCATTCTTGAGTCGATGAAGCTGGTCAAATTCCATGTTCACTTCAACTCTTTTTATATACGTCCCTGAGCCCTGCGCCATCGAACGCCATTTGTGAGGATGCGGTAATGAAGCTCCGACCCTGGCAGTTGCTAAAGCTAGATTGGCAATGCGCTTGATTCATGGAATCGTTTGGCCCTTCTTTCTGTTTCTTGAACGGGTCACCCTAACCCTCACGTCTATTCACGAACGGGTACAAGCCCTGCATGCCGAGAAATCCATTTGGCCGATACGCACGGATGATACTATATACCAGACCTTCCTGTCTGCAGAGCCATAAGCAGTGTCCCGTCGAGTCGAGATGATCTTCGCTCCAACCCAGCATATGGCAGCTGGATCCACCGTGTGATTGCGGTTGAGCTTGGCGATTAGTTTCGTGTTGATAAACAGGAACATGAGACATGGTTCGAGGGGAACAAGAATATCATCGAGAGTAGAGTTCATCTCATGTGACCGCAGAGCAACAGCAGAAAATATGCTGTTGTTGAGTCTTAAACTGAGTGACAGAGGAACATGAGACATGGTTCGAAGGGAACAAGAACATCATCGAGAGCAGAGTTCATCTCATGTGACCGCAGAGCAACAGCAGAAAAGATGCTGTTGCTGAGTCTTAAACTCAGCGACAGAGGAAGCACAGGCTGGTTCGAATAGTAAATCGACGCAGCCATCAGCCGGTAGACATTAGTTACCGTGAAACGACCCGCGCATACAGCATGTACAGCGCCAGACTTGTTGCCAATTTGCATATATATTTACTCAAAACTCCGCCATGGCGGAGTACCGATTTACCTCCTCAATAGGAGGCGTGAGGGGTTTACCAGAACCATGTGTCATGTTCTTGACCAGCGGCATGGTGACAGGTCCAAAAGGGACGCAGTATAAGACGTAGGCGTAATGTGAGACCATTCATTTGTTGATGTACAGGCAGGTCTCCTTCTTATATTGAACTGAGAACCTTGCAGGTCATTTGTTTTGCTCTATAGCGGACAGTCAGCATAAAGTGGAGGCAGAGTAGCGGGAGTCCGATAAATTACTAACCGTGGTTGAGGTGCCAGCACCAAGCACTTAGTATATAAACATGTATTCTGGGACCCAGCATTTGTTGCATCTACTGCATGCAGTTCGATGTCTGACCGAGTGAATATGGTGGCATCATACGGTTAACATCTTGTCAAGTGACCTTGGACCGGACAGTCAGCATAAAGCAGAGGTGAAGTAGCGAAGTCAATAAACAACTCACCTTGGGCCCCATCATCATCCTCCTCATCCCCCTCTACCCCCCCTTATCATCTTCCTCACTCTCGCATAGTGAGGAAGGAACGGAAAAGACACCCAGTGTCTAAGTCACTCTCGCAACGCGAGAGGACCCAACCCGATGAAAAGCCCATGGTCTGCGACCGGCATTCGAGAGATTACCGACGCAGCCATCATGAGACGATCACCAACAAGGAGAGACCAAGACCCTTGAATCAGACAGTAAGTGAGGTGATACTTCCCACGTGGATAGGTGGAGGACATCAGTAGCATGTGGCAGCTAACATCTTCCTCAACGCCGCACCCCCACCCCCCATCCTTATCATCCTCCTCACTCTTCCCCCAAACCCCATATCGTCCTCCTCATCCTCGAATAGTGAGGATGAGGAGCAATGAAACAAAGAAACCCAGTGTAAAAGGGACCATTTCGACGAGCACAGACAAGACCCAATAAGAAAGCCATGGCCTGCGACCGGCATTCGAGAGATTACCGACGCAGCCACCGTCACACACAGACAAACACCATCACATCAACAACAAACAGGAGGCGCCATGCCAAGATACATCATGAATCAATCACACAACATACATAGGAGGTGATACACACACAGCAGTGAGGTGATACTTTCCACGTGGACGAAGGAGACACAGCGGCGTTTGCCAGCTGGCGGATGACAGGCACCCCCCGACATGCGAGAGTTCGAAGTAGATAGGTATGTACAAAAGTACTATATAGAAAGAGAAGCCATGGATCGACCAGTCCAGATTCACTTCCGGCTAGAGTGGACCTAGTGGAGTGACTAGTGGAGTCAAACCATCCTGAACACTAATGTGGATGGGAGTCTGGCTGGCATGGTGGGGTGAATGAGAAGGGCGGACCGAATTTTGGACGGTCGGAGGTCTGTAAATAGTGGGAAAGGGTCACGGGATAAGGTCACGGGGTGGGGTAAAGACCTACCGCTAGTCTGGAAATGGGTTGGCAAAGACTAGCGAGAGTGGATGAGTCCAGCGGATTTGAGGAGCTGTCGATCGAGGCCCTGCATCCCCGGACGGGGGGAGGAACATGATGAGTTTACAACACGAACAAGGAAGTACGGAATACGGAGTACTTGGAATAAGATACTTTTTTCTTACTCGAATGATTCAATGGCAATTATGCGTGCTTACATGACTATGTTACTATAGAGGCTGTCCTCGATGGCTCCGAAGCATGTTTACAACCGACTCTTCAACCCACTAACCTCCAACAGCCGCGCCCCCTCCTCCTTCTGCCACTTCAGCTTCTGCATGATTTCATCCTTGCGTGCCCGGTTCTCCCGCCGCCCCATCTGCTGCAGATGCACCTCATCCGGCCCATCCGCAATCCGCAGCGTCCGGATCAACGCCCACAGATACGCCAAGGGGGTGTCCTGACTCACGCCCGCGGCTCCATACGCCTGCACGGCGCGATCAATCACCGTCAATGCTGCCTGGGGCACTAAAACCTTCGCCTGAGCAATCTCCTTCAGGGCCGATTTGGCGTCGCCCTGGTCAATCTTAATCGCCGCGTTGAGAACAATCAGTCTTGCGGCGTCGATCTCGATGCGTGACTTGGCCACCCATTCCAGAATCACTCCGTGTGAGGACAGATGCTTTCCGAAGGTCTTTTTGCGGTCGTCGTTGATGCGCGCGATCATCCATTCGAGAGCCTTCTCGGCCGCTCCAATGGTACGCATGGCGTGGTGGATACGGCCCGGACCCAGACGGCCCTGGATGATTTCGAAGCCCCGGCCTTCCCCGAGGACGATGTTGGAGGCGGGAACGCGCACATCCTTGAAGGTGATGTGCCCGTGGCCATGCGGGGCGTCGTCGTAGCCGTAGACAGTCAGCATGCGGTGCACGGTGATACCAGGGGTTTTAGCGGGGACGAGGATGACGGATTGTTGCTTGTAGGGATCCGGGTGGTTGGCGGCGGTCTTGCCCATGACGAGGTAGATTTGGCAGCGGGGGTCACCAGCGCCAGAGGACCACCATTTCTATGATATAGTTGTTAATGACGGGCTCTATTAGGGGAGCTCAAGGATGACAGGGGGAGAGGTATACCGATCCGTTCAGCACGTATTCCTTCCCTTCGCGCCGGATGTCAAGCTCGATGTTGGTGGCGTCACTCGAGGCGACGTCGGGTTCTGTCATCAGGAAGGCCGACCGGATCTTCCCGTCCAGCAGGGGAGCCAGCCATTCCTTCTTCTGGGCTTCGTTGCCGTACTTAGCGAGGACTTCCATGTTGCCTGTATCCGGGGCGGCGTTGTTGGTGGCCTATGGACATAGTTCGGTAAGCTGGCGGTCCGTCTGCAGCAGTACAGCGATCCGGGACTCACTTCCGACGCAATTGTGCTCTTCCCCAGGTACTCAGCCATCAGGCCGTACTCGACGTTGCTGAATCCCGCGCCCTGCGAGAAATGACTCTTGGGGAGGAACATGTTCCATAGGCCCTGCTGGCGGGCCTTGACCTTCAGGGTCTCCATGATGGCCGGGTAGGTGGACCAGCGCTGCTGGCCCTCGCCGAGCTGGGCCCGAAAGATTGGTTCAACGGGGATACATTCTTTCTCGACAAATTGTTCGACCTGAAGAATTAGTGGCTAAGCACCGATCTAGATGGAGACTAGGGACGGAAGTACCAGGTCCAGGGTCTGTTTGGCCCGGTCGCTAACGAAGGGCTGGGCAATGACGGGGATACGGGAGGAAGCGGACATAATGCAGATCCGGATGGGATATACGATGAAAACGATGTCAAGATGGGGGACTGGAGAAGAGGGTTTATAAAGGGAGGAGGATCAGACGATGCCGATGCGGAGAGCGAAGTTGCGGAGAAGCAGCCGAGCCAGACCTCGGCTGAAACCCCGGCGCTGAGTCAGCACCGAGGAGCAGTGATGATTAAGAACGTTATTATTGGGAGTCTCGTAATGCCAGAATCTAGGCCAGAAACAATGCAAGAAGCAATGTAGGAATCAATCAATCATAATAACTGGTCGTCTGGCCGGTAGTCCCCGTCCGACCAACGATTTCTCGTCCCAAAAAAACCCGAACCCAAACCCCCAACACCTCCACCGAACCCAGGGAAACAAAGAACCAAGAAAAACAAGACATCCGCCGGCAACGAAGGGTCGGGCCACTGCGACCGGCGCAGACTCCTCACTCCTTCATCCACCGGGAATCGCACCATCTCTAAACACTCTCGGTGTTCTCCTTTTGGCGATTGGCTTCGGCGGACGACTGTTCGAAGTTCTTCTTGCCTAGCTTGGCGAACAATGACTGGGGCTTGCCGACACTGCGAGCAAATTAGCATCTAAGGCCGTACAAGCATCGAATAATTTGGTAGAACTCGACGTGAAAAGATAAATAAGTATATGAGTAAGAGGGGATAGAACGTACTTCTTGAAGCGCTTGCCCTTCAGATCACTTAGCTTTTTCGAGCACGGACTCATGATATCATCCGAGGGCGAGACGTAGCTGGCTTGGTTCCTGGGTCCGTTAGAGACGCGTCCGCAGTGTAAACACCACAACACGCAGAGGAAACCTACTTGTCGCCGCTCTCCAGCTTTCCCTGCAACACCTGACGGTGATATTCCATCGAGTTGATCTTTGCGGGAGCCGCCTTGAGCTCGTTGAGCTTGTCCTTGTCCTGGACCAGGTGGGTGTTGGTGCGGTCGGTCAGCGGATGGGCGTCCATTGTGAATTTCTTTCTTTCTTTCTTTCTTTCTTTCTTGCGTGATAAGGGAACGTGTGTGTCTCTTTGCGAGAATCGATCGACGGTAGTCTGGAAGATGAAAAAGAGAGGGAGGGTGGAGAGGATGGGAAAAGCAGAGGATAAGAGTGGCAGCCGCGAAGAAAAACCCGTCGATTGTTGTCATGGCAACCGCCGATGTCATCGCCGCCCGCAGCGGAGGCAAGAGCCGGAATGAGATGATAACTTGCTGTACATTATTCGTCTCGTCATGTCTCGTATCGCCTCACGTCGGTCTATCTACATTAACTGTACATACAGATATGGTGTATTCCAAGAGCCCACAGCCCCGTACGCTTCCTTGATGGCGCTGCCCTGTCCACGCCGGCTGCCACAGTGACCATCCTCCAGGAATGGTGGCTGGTCGAGGAAATAAGCTCTCCCTCGGACGTGGCGGCCCTTCTGCAACTGTTGGCCAGGAAACTGGCTGGCAGAGACATCGCCACGGTCGTCGGAACCCCTGCGGCCGATTGCAACCTGCCGCGCTGGCCATCTGGTCTGGTCCATGTCATGTCATGGGCTCCACATGCCACGAATGCATCCCCCTGCCAGCGTCCATCATCCCTCCACCGTCACATTCCGCATCCCATCAGGCACAGGTGACCCTTCCTCCGGTGACTCCGATGATGCAGACGATTCCTCGGGGGTTTCATCCTCGCCCCCTTTCAGGTCAGGTGGGCTACTGCGCGATCGGAGCGTCGAGGGGGTCACCTCAGGCAATGCGAGCGAGCCCCCCGTCCGGTTCTCAGCCTCCTCCGACGAACTCATCACATCGGACACCGGAGTCGGCGGGGAGTAGGCCAGCGTCGGACTGATCGGTCCGTCTTGCGAATCCTCGGACAGGTTACGTCGATGGCCACCCGCGCGTCGACCCGACGACGTCGGGCTCACAGATGGAGAACCGAATGGAGGCGACGACGACCGCAAACTGTACGACCGCGACACCATGTTCTGCATACTGGGTAATTCAATGTAGCTGCTGACGGCGCCTCGTGAGAAGAGCACCAGTCCGAAGCAGAAGAGAATCATGATGCTCTGGATGACGGCGACCCGCTTCTGGAATACCAGCTCGTCGGCCAGGAACCCCAGCTGCGTGCTCAGCGATTGCACCTCCTGGTGGTACTGGATCCGCTGGAGCTCAAACTCCAGTGCGACGCTCTTCCACACGTGGTCATACTGCTCGCGGAATTGCCTCAACTCATGGAGGACCGTTCCGTTCAAATTCTCCAAGAATGAGGATGTCTTCGCCAGCTGCCGCTTTTCAACCTTGTTGAACGCGTCGCGCAGAATCCGCGATTGCTCTTCAATGTACAATAACGACAAGCTGGAATTGGATTCCAGCATCTGTAGCCGCTTATTCACAGACTTAAAGAAAGACTCCTGCGTAGTCGGATTCGAGGAAGGCGGCTGCGTCGCCGTAGACCGCGTCGATTCAACCGCGCCGCTCTGCTCTTCCTTCGCAAATGCAGTCGGTCGGTTGTCTGCTTCCGACGCGACCTGAGATGCAGTCTCCTGGGCGGCCGGTGTAGCAGACGAAGGGATCGTCTCGATATCCGTGCCAGCCGCCACCGTTGCTTTCGGCTCTCCCAGCTCTTTGGCCAGTGCCTCGTTTCCGGCAGCCGGCGACGCAACATCTTCGCCATTTGGAGAAGGTGCGTCATTCGTTGACGGGCGACTGGGAGGCACCGGGGCCCCTTCAGGTCCAGCAGCAGCTGGAGAGTCATGCACACTACATGTCTCGGTAACCCCCAGAAGCCTCATCAGGACCGTCTCGTCAATGGCCAGTCCCGGGTTAGGGCAAGCCTCTGGTGTCTGGTCGCTTGACTCCTTCTCTGCTATCCCTACATCAGCCGGTGAGTCCACCGTTGGGATAGTCTCTGGTTCAGCATCCACCGGCGCAGGCTCCGGGACTTCATCCGGAACCACGTCTTCAACTCGACCGGCCTCCCCGTCATGCTTGTACTCCTCCAACATAGTCGTTCCGTGGACACGGATCAAGCTGAGCGGGCAAAAGAACTCATTTCCGTAATGAGTCAGGAACTCAACCCTCACATAGCGGGCCCAAATCAGCGGATTCTCAACCGCAAAGGCCTGAACCTCCCGCGTATTCCTCGCCTCGTAGATCCCAAGCTCCCTCCACTGGTCCGGTTTGGCCGGATATCGATCCGACACACTGACCCGGAAGGTGTGGAAGATGGAGCTGAAGAACTCGTAGTTGGCCAACACGACCGTATCCACCAGAATATCATCGCACAGCTCCAGAATCAAGAACTTGTTCTTCGCCCGACACTCATTCAACATATAACTATCCTTATTCTCAATCAACACCGACGACGACCCCGTACACTCCGGGTTCGTCTTGAGCACCGTCGCTGCACAATCAAACGACGCATAGTTGAACCGCTCCTTACAAGTCGTGCCCGCATCCTTCGAGCGCGACACGCCCGCCTGGGGGACCCCCTGAGCCAGGGTATCCACATCACGGTCCCCAGCACCAGGGACCGCCCCCGTCCTCGCATCCGAGGGCACGCGCGCTCCCCAGGACGTAGGTTTCGCGGTCTCGGGGGTATCAGCGCCAAAGCCACCAAAATCCAACTCAATCTCTACATCTTCGCCCAGAGAATCCAAGGCGTTATTGATCCCCGTCGGCCGTCGTCTATCTTCCTTCCCAGCACCGCCCCGTCTATTCCCGCCCACATTCTCCGCCGACTGCCCGACTTTAGCCAAGTTCTGCTTCTTCCAATCTTCAAAGGAAAGGAAATTGGCATTGTCAAGCGGGGACTCGGTGTCCAGCTCATGATCGGGGCGTTCATCGGCGGTGGGGACGGTGGGCTCGCTCGAGGATGCCATGGGGACGGGGACAGAGACGGTCTCGTCGGGCGCCTTCAGTAAATGTGGGGGAAGGGTCGGGGTATCCAGGCCTGGCTGGCTCTCCCACCGGGTCTCGGGACATTGAGGCCATTGGAGGAATTCGGCTTCGACAGTCCTCCAGCTTCTCGCGGGGCAGACCGACTGACTATTGTCTCCGGCTGTGCCCTCGATCCAGGTGGAGATCAGGGTCATCCAGGGGATCCATTGTGTTGCTGTCCACCCGGTCATGGTGACCGTGTCGCAAAGCGACCGTGATCACGATACGGTCAAGAGGCGAGGCGGAAAGGAAATCGTAGCGTTACTTGGTTCTGGCGGGGTTCCTCGCGCAAGCATGATCTGCTAGGCCTGGTGCAAGATTCTAGGGAATTTCAGGGGAAGGGAGGGCGCGAACGACAGCAAGCGCCTTATCTAGTGGTTGCGCTTCAGGAGATCGATCAGGCGGAGGGATGGATAGAGGAGAACAGGGACGAGCCCTTGGGTAGATGAGGTCAGCAACAATAGGAGTAACTAAGTCGCCCTCAAGGCCACGCTCCCAAGACACCGCCTCTTTGCTCACCGTTAGTTGGAGCGAGTTGCGCGAGAAGGGCGATCAACCCACGATGCCGCCGGGGAGGATTACGCTGGCTCTCCACCGGGGCGGTCTGGAACCGCGGCCCGCCACCGCCCTCATTTCCTTCCGGTCTTACGGGATGTATATAGATGGGAGTGAATTACCACTCCCACATAGTAAGGACTAGTAACTGGGTGAGTTACTATGTATAGCAGTGAGTCATCGACCAGAAGTCCAGCTGGCAGTCTAGACTATACAATTACACTCTACAAGGGCAAGTCAGATCCACACCAGAATCACTTTTGATTTCTCCTGGTTGCATTTCACCCCCAGTCCTCGTCCCACCTACTCCACCATGCCAGCTAATTACAGTACAAAGAAACCAGTCCAGTGCATTGTTGGCCCTTCCCCGGCACAGCAGCCTCCGTCCAGGTATAGATGAAACGACTGAAGGGTTGCTTTTCCATGGCCCTTCCTGGCCCCATCGTAATTTCCCGGCAGCCTCCCCGGCCACCCGCCATCGCCCTCGCTCTGCGTCGTCGTCCAGCCCCGTCATGTTGAACCATTTTCGTTTGGGAAGAAAGTTGAATGTGGACATTGTGTGCAAAATGGATGAGAAGAGAAGAAGAACCGCGTCCTCCCGTATTCAGCTGATGAGTCACTTTTCAACCGCCCGTCCCCAGGCTTGCTCCTTCGAAGAGTGTTATATTATACAGGATAGGAAACAAAACACTGACATGTCCGATGTGCGAGGATACCGCATACAAACAATCTATAGAACGGAAGAGAAGAGGAGAAAATAGAGTATTGAATATAAGGCCGCGGTGCACCAGCGTCGGGTGTCACCACGCCGGAGGAGAGAGACGCTTCAGAAAATCAAGTAAAAAAGAAGAGAAAACAAGCGGGAGGATTGGTTATCGGTAGAAAAGTTGTTTGATATTTGCCACTCTTTTCAGGCGTGTTGGTCGGTACAACAATCACAAGTCAACTCGAACACAGGCAGAAGGGTGAAAGGCAGGAGGCCTCGCCCTTAGAGGTGGAGATCATGCCAGCCACCGACGAGATCGAGATCCTCGTCGATGCTGCCATCGTAACCGTGGGGTACCTTAGCATGGGCAGCCTTTGGAGACTCCCAGGCGTCACGACGCCGTCCCTTCTCCTGGAAGGGGCGGCGACGGCGGTCCTGGAATGAGGCGGGTTCTTTCTTAGCGGCCCAAGAGCCATAGTCGAAGCCTGAGGAACCCAGGCCCCAGTCTTTCCTCCAGCTCATGTTGAGAGGGAACTTTTTGCGTCCGAGGGAAGCATCTGGGGACTTGTAGTTCCTCCTTTTGTCACCCAAGGCAGCCCACTTGTCCATGCTGGAATTCTTTGGAGGAGACTCGGGAGTGCGAGGGGGCGTTCTGAGGGCAGTGGTGCCCGGGCGAACATCCCAGGGCTTCCCTGACATTTCATCAGACGCACCTAAAGACTTTCGTGGCTGAAGCTTGGCGTTGAGCATTGAGCCATTGCCGGCGTTCCGGAGACCCGTCAGTGGACCGCAGAGCTCAGGAACATCGACGGGGCTGTTGCTTTCGTGACTCCAGCTGCGAGAGTTCTGCTGGCGCCGCTGGTGGAAAGCCAGGTCCTCGGGTTCGGATTCTTCCTCCTCATCCCAAAGGTCGCTCCAGCTCTTGGAAATCTGCTCCTCCTTCTTCTTGCCGAACACCATGGAAAGGGAAGGCAGTGGCTTGGTCGGGTGACTTGGCAAGGACCCGGTGATGGGCACGGGATCCGAAGGGGGAGGGAAACGAAGCTCATGCTTGCGGAAAGCAGATGGCCGGAACGATTCGCCAAGAGCAGACTCGAGAACGGATGCCATGGACGGGGTGCCCTGATGGACGGTGAACCACGAAGTACCAGCTGTCTCGGACGGAGGGAAGAGATCCTCCGAGTAGCTCTCGTTGTCGGGAATAGCCGAGAGCTGCCGAATCTGCTGAGGGGGGCTGGCTTGCAGTGCTTTGGCCCAGGGGAACGAGTCGCCCTGGTTGATGTGCGGGCTCTGGATGGATGGGGTCCGAAGCGGCTCCCGGTTGGCACTTGCAGCGACGACCTCGCGGTCATCGGTGCAGAACTCATCCAATGCTTCGTCGTCGGTGGTGAAGGAGACGGTCCGCATGATAGACTCACGGATGCCAGACAGGGAACGCTTTTCGGGATCGATGGCCATGGCGAACCTCAGAATTTCAAAGGTGTCCTGAGACATGTTGGGGAAGATGTCGAAGAGGGACTGGCGGTCACGCACATAGTCGGCGAAGAGGATGTCCGATTCGGTCGGGGTGGCGAAAGGGTTCCGGGCAAAGAGAACATTGAGCAAACAGATTCCAATCGCCCAGATATCGGCCTTTGCGGGAGAATAGCCAGCAGCCGGGGGGTCGTACTGCTCCGGAGCCATGTACCGGTCACTTCCTACACACGCCTCATGGCACACATCATCCCGGGATGCCAGGCCTAGGTCACCCAGCTTCATAGATCCATCCTGCGTCAAGAAGATGTTCTCGGGCTTGATGTCACGGTGATACATGCCATTGGCGTGCATGAACTCGACAGCGCTAACAAGCTGCAACATGAAGTCACGCACGTGCTCGGTCTCCAGGGGACCGCGGTTGAGCCTGATCGCCTCATATAGATCGCCATTCGCGCAGTACTCCAAAACCAGGTACATGTGAGAGTCGGTTTCGAAGGAATGGATGAGGTTGACAATGTTGGGGTGGTAAGCAAGGCGTTTGTGGCAGTCGAGCTCTTCGAACCGAGCGTCGTACGGCGATGCACCACCTTTGGTCAGGCATTTGATGGCAACGTCTTCCCCGGTTGTGTTGTCGGTCGCGAGGAAGACCATGCCAAACGATCCATGGTTGAGAGGAGCGACAGTGCGAAAGCGCCCATCCAGGAGCTGACCCTCCACGAAGCTGTTCTTGAGACACTCCATACTTGTTGTTGTTACTCGAACGGGACGATGTTCTCCCAGAGATGTTCGTCGCGATGAAGAAATAGCAGGAGGATGAGATGCCACCTAACGGGATGATGGCAACAAGGAAAAAGAGGCGCTGAGAGAAGCGGCCTTAGGACAAGACCGATGCAGTAACGAAATCAAACCAGGCAACCAATAGTCAAATGCTGGTGTGTAAGTCCAAGCAGATCTCGACCACCGAGAACCAAAGAGCAATGGAAGAAGGATGAGAAAGAGGATAGAGTAGAAAAGACAAAAAAACAACCGGATGGTAGGCTCAAAGTTTCGTATAAATACCGGGAAGTGATATGGTGACAAACGAAAGGAAAGCGATGACGAGTTGGCGCGAAGCGCAGTTCAGAGATACCCTCGGGGGTTTGACGACGGTTAGGAAATAGTAGAGACTGTTATGAGTGCATCTGTATATCGTTTCACAGTTGTAGAGCCACAAGGGCCAGGCGATGGAAGTATGGCGAGGGAAAGAAAGTGTCGAAGTGAATGACTATGTCCGGCAAGAGGACACCAAAGGGCAAAACCAAGGATGAAGAACGCTGCGTGATATCGTAACTTTGACACCAAATGTATAAACAAACAAGGCTCGTAACTGAAGCGGCCTTCGAACACCAGGCTGAAGGTCCGGGGGCGGTCGTGACTCAGGGGGGGGGAAGGGGAATTGATCGAGGACGGTCCGACGCTATAGAGTCATAGGTCGCCCGATGAACGATATATAGTCCTGAGTGGAGGAGGAAACTATATAGATGCCGAGGGCTCTGGACAACTGGTATGATGGATCTTCAGTCCCGTAACTGGACGAGTTGAAGAACCGAATACCAGCACCCGGCCCAGGTTGCGCGGCGGATGGATGGACAACTAAGCAGTGTCGACCTCAAGCGAACGCAGAACCCTCACACGTATCTCTGCAATTGAAACGTAGCACGGCTTTGGGTTACGGTTGGTTTGAGGGAAGGCTCGTGGGTCCGACGGAGCTCTCGACGTGGTTGGCTTGGAATGAGTCACGCAGGGTGTTCGGAAGGCCAGGAGACGAGACAGCGGAGAAGTAGACAAGACCGCAGACGACAGGACAAGTGCACTTTCTGAACTAGAGCCGGTGGGGGGCTTTTGAGATTGTGACCTAATCAGAAGATTGCAGGAGGTACTATATCGTGTCGCAACGATGAAAGGTGAGGCGGGAAGAAGGTGATGATGATGGGTGGCGATGGATGATGGGTGATGGATACTAGTGATTGGGAACAAGCGCGGTTATAGAAGGAGCAATGGCGGGCGGAGCGATGAAGGATGACTGTGTCGATGAAGGAGGAAGAAGGTGGAACGGAAGAAGAGAGTCGAGGAGAGAAGACGAAGGAAGAGGAAGGGTAGAGGAAGGGTAGAGGAAGGTGGTCGGTAGAGTCGGAAGGTGTGAGGTGGATAGGAAGAAGAGCAGGCGGAGCGATAGGGATAAGGAGGTTCCGGTCGATAGCAACCAGTTGGGATCAGTTGGGGTTTAGGTAGGTACGGTAATTTGTAAAGTACCGGGGGGGGGGCGACTCAAGAGCAGCACTCGGAACCTTGGGGGGGAAGACTGAGGATGGCAAGAAAGTGGGCGAACGAGCGAGAACCTCCTACGTCGCCTTGGCCCAGGGTGGGTGTCCCAGCGGCCAATGGCGGATGTTTGGTACGGTACCGTGCATACCCAGGCATCCTCAACGGGCCAAGTGCCTGCGAGGATTGTATCGGCAACCCCCGTTTCCTCGTGGTAAGTGGTAACGATACTGTACGTGCGATCTCCGGCCGGGCCCACCAGCTGGCGACTGGCGGCAGGTCGAGAAGAGGCCGCTTCCGGGCAGGGGCTCCACACCCCCCTGAATGAATCACCGTCTGGCAGTCGCCAGAAGACTCCGCGATGGGTGATTCAACATCGCGCTGCAAAAGACCGTCCCCATAGGACTTCGTCATGGTCCTGGAGCCCGTTCCGGGATAACTTTGGTTGAGCCACCCTGCTCAAAATCGGGTCGTCCAGTCGAGGTACCACCAGCAGACACCAGCAGCGTCAAAGAATGGATTGTTGACTGCCTCCCAGCCATTAATGGCTCATAGTAATGTTTCAGTAGCGTTCCAGTCATTACGAAGACTTTTGGTCCCTCCTGCCTATCAATCACCTCAGCAGCCAGGCATTCCTCCACTGGCTCTTCCGGAGCCCTCCTTGACTCATCCCCTCCCATTGTTGCCCGGTCGTCGCAATTCGCATTACTGTTTTCTAATAGTTATCGGTCATCGGCATTGTTGATGACGAGATCTGTTGCAATTCGCGATGACGGGCTGGGGCATGTGTCATGAATGCGTGCTTCCAGTATCTACTATGTAGACAGTATGGCTGGGGGGATCGTCCCCCTTCCTCAGGTACATGTAACCTGTCCTGATCGCGGCCATCTTTGTCAGCACGATCCTTCTGAATCAGCAGCTACTATCTAGTTAGTTAGCTATTACTGTGTAGAACAGTACTCCGTATCCGTACGGAGTAGATAACTAATTAATAAGAAAGTTAATAGGCATACTAACTAACTCCTAAGGCCATGTCTAGTAGTTACCCTAGGAAGACAGGTTAAGGGCTTGTTTAGAGTTTCCCCAAGTCAGCCGGGCCAGTCAACTCCCAGTGAGCATGGACTTGGAGATACGGCCTGGGCACCAAAGCAGCACCGACTCTACCGGCTAAGGTAAGTTCCTGCAGGTCCCGGAAGGGTCTCACGCCCCATCCGAGCTCTCCATCATCATCGTTGATACGGGATAGCCATTAGACAGAATCCAAATGCTCCGTGAGACGTGAGAGGTGTCTGCCCCCGTTCCAGTCCCTCATCCCTACCTCCATTGATTCAACGATGACGGAATAATGCGCCCGCACCCGTCTCCCAGGTATCCAGGTATCCAGGTATGGTAATACGGATCAATTTCTGTCAATAATGATCAACGGCCTGCCCCTCCGTCGTCTCTCAAACGGGACCGGATCAGATCGATGCTGAATCCATCTGGACGGACTCCACCAGACTGGTCCGTTCGATGGCGGATGACGATGGGCGATGATGCATCGCTATCATGTTTCCATTTTCATAACAATTCCCTCGGCCGATGGCGGAGCAATACAGGGTGGCGGCCGGACTACGCCCTTTCCGGTGCCTGGAGTGACGCTACTGTGGGCTGGGACCAATCAGGGCGGCCCCTGTTGGCACTATTTCCAGGCTGCATGACGCCAGTCCCAAGCAAGCAACGAGTGGGCGGCGTCGTGGCCAATAATTGACCATTCGGTTGGGTCGCCTGTCTGAAAAAGGCCCGGGGGTGCGTGGATGATCCTCTATGATAGGGTGTATGGGGAAGCGTCGGCAGTGGTGATCCCCTATCGCTGGTCATACGGGGCAGTAACAAGTAAACAAGTCAACAACAAAGAAACCGAGAGTATCTCTACCCGACCGGGCGGAGAGGACCTAAAAGTCAGCACCGCTTCAGGTACCTTTGGAGCTTCCCAGTCAGTACCTAAGGTTCCTAAGGTTTGTTGGTGGGAGGTGGAGAGGGGAGGAGTTAACCAGGGAAACCATGACACTGAATCAACAAACGTCCATTGTTGTTGCACAACCCTGCGTGATCCACGTTGATCCTGTTTACCGCGCGCGATTTCTGTAACCGGAATTGCGGGGTTACGATGGGGATTACGTCTCAGACTCCTGGGCCAACTTTTAATCGTACTCTGGACGATGGACTATCGATCGCAGTGGAGACCTCGAGGGCAACATATGACAGATGAGGAGATGGTGGAGGAAGAGGTTGGAGGTATTCCGTACGGAGTACCACGACGGACGTACCGCAGACAGGTTATCCTCCGTCCTGGCCAGAAAACTGGAACGAGGTGAGTGGATGGCAGTCCAGCCTCTCACAGGCACAGTTGATATGCTCGGAGACCACAACAACCAAAACAAAACAAGAAAAAAAAAAAAAAAAAAAAAAAAAAGGCAAAAATGCCAAATCCCCAATTATTCACGCAAAAAGCACTGGCAGCAGCAACACCCCCGTGGCTGGCATGGTTCCGGGCTGCATGCCGGGCCCAACTGAGCAGCAGATGGGCAGATGGACAGAGATGGGCAGATGCTGGCGGTGAGCCAGTGCATTAGTGGCAGCTTGACCGCCTCCCGAGGGATGTCGGGAAGGTTTCGTCCTTGCAGCTACGAGTTGCGTGTCTCGATCATGCAGGCTGCCTGTCTCCGACGGACGGGCAGTACGCACTACGCAGTAAGCAGTAGGCTGTAGGCAGCCAAGGGTGATGAGGTGGTCATCAGAAGATAGAGAGAAATGAACCTAAGGCATAACTACGTGGAGGCTTCTGACTAAGGATCCTCCTAGCCATGCTGCCAGGTGGCTGTTGTCGCCGACATCACGCGATAAGCACCGTGGCCAGGGCCCTTACCACACCACCCCCCCGGGATGGTCACATCATCCAACATCCTTCTCGCTTCCCTTGAATCTCTGTTGGTGGCTGACACGCGATTCGTTTGAGGGGGGAATTCCATGGGGTTCCATCTGCTTCGGTCCGCCCCAGGAATCCGCCTGCTCAGTTCCAGCCCATATTAGGCTTTCTGGTGTCCAGGTCACCTGGTTCTTCGGGCTCGCCAGCAGAGTTTCTGGCTAACATTCTCTCCCATGGAACGGCAAGGCCCGGCGGCAACGTGACCCGCGGGATCAACGTGATGGCTATCTCGCTATCTTTCGATGGAGGATCCAGGACGGGGTCGAAACGAGACCTGAACCTTGGGTATCTTGCCCCTTATCGGAGGCAATGATTATCAGCCGATGGAGCACCGCATCGGTGGCTGGAACGCCAATGACAGAGGAGGGGTCTATCAACCCGTCTGGGCGTATCGGTGGAACAGACAGATAGCCAGTGGCTCTGCAACTTGATCGGAGTAAGGTTGAAACTCTATCTCTGGGACCAGGAGAGAGGGATTGCGTGTGGAAGGTTACACCATGGAAGGCGAGTATCCCGTCATTCTTCCGGGTGTCAGGGAGATAAGGAAACCCCAATATCTGTATCACCTGTATCACCATCCTTGACAAGTTCGAGAACAATCAGATGTCAGAAGATCCGTAGGATGAACAAGCATGGTATTCAGATGCATTCCACATACTACAATCTTGAATCTACTGAATGTATGAATGTATCATATCCAACGCCCCAAAACTTCAATCATGGACAGATACCAAGCACGCAACCCCAAAGGCCAAAGCAGACCATCCATCCCCCCAGAGCACGCGACACGATTCCACCATCACCAGCCGATCACGACCATCTCCTCCTCTCGCCCCATCTCAACCGATAGCGATAGTACATAGTAAAAGTCCACAGTTAACCAAAAACCCAGAAACATCCATAGTAGTAATAGTAGATTACTAGTAGTCTACCCCGCACGATCTGCAGTCCGGTTCCAAATCTCTCCGCCCGATAGGCCCAGTCCCTCCAACCCAGCCCCATCCCGAATCCCTCAACAGTCAACTCAGCACCAAACCACCCCCCAGTAGCAATCCCAATCCACTAATGGGATTGAGTGCCTTCTTTCCGCGGTTAGAATCCCAACTGGATTGGACATACGGGAATATTAACTAGGGACTAGGTATCACTAGTAGTTACATCCATCCATACATACATACATAACTTAGGTTGGCGTGGTCGTTTGATCACCATCCTGAGGGAATGCAGACTGTGGAATGTGGGTGTATGTGTATGTGTTCCCCGGATTCTGGATAAAGTTCGGTCGGGAGGGAGGGAGACTCCTTGCCGACCGTTGAGACTCATTTTTGGGATTGCGTAAGTTACTACCCCGTAGATAGTGTCTCGGTCAGTGTGATGTGAATCATTACCTAACAAACAACCGATCAAAATGGAATTGATAGTCTTGTATTCTTACCCCAGTTCTTCAGGCTTTCTAGGTGGTTACCTACTTAGTAATGGAGGAGAGGATCGGGGGGTAGTTAGTTACTGTTCATGTATCCCATACCATACAACCTATCTGTATGGATGGATGTATGGATATGTCTCACTAGGTTGAAACTCTCACTCAATTCCTAATCTCAATCTCAATTCTCAGAATCTGAACCTCTATCTCAACCCTAGACCAAGACTCAGCAAGATAATCCTGCACTGCACTGTGTTACCCCTCCTCCTCCTCCTCCTCCGGTCCTGTCTTCGACTCCTCCGGTCCTTGTCTCAGACATTTATGATCCATCCCATCGGACACACTACATCCTATGTACGGAGTACCTAGTGCATACATATCCACAACCAGCCACGAAATATGCAGAGGAGATACTACATACTGGGTATACCCCGTAGGTAAAAAGATAGATCATATGTATCTTGGATCACGACATGGTACCTACCTACCTACCTACCTACCTGCGTACAGGTTTCCACATACTAACTAAATAGGTAACGACGTCAGTTGGTGGCTAAGTAATTAAGTAGGTAAATAACAAGATAAACCAAAACTTGCTCAATCTCTCTCAACAAGCCAGCCAAGCAGTTAACCAAGCAGTTAACCAAGCAATCCGTACACATAGATATGCACACCGACCAGTCCAGAATCAAACCAACCCGAATTCATTAAATTAATCAAATCCCCATCCCTACATCAACCCGTCCACACACACACACACACAAACAATCGATCTAGCCCGATCATCATCATCACTAAACGTACGTAGGTAAGTGCACAAGACAGGGATACGGGCGCTTGGATGCATCCAACAAGCCAGCCTACAGCAGCAGCAGCAGCAGCAGCAGTGGTCGTCACGACTCTGCAAGAAAGTGGATCTCTCCATACATACATACAGTACGGATCACGTACTCCGTACTGTACTTATGTCTGTGTGGGCAGTGGGCAGTGCAGCCCTGTCGAGATGCATAAAGGTGGGTAAGTAGTAGGTGGGCGAGACGCTCAGGTGGAGTGGATCAGCAAGGCGCTTCATCTTTGAGGGGAGACAGGACAGGACAGGACAGGACAGGGGGTGGGGGTGATTCCATCCTTGCTACTGCCATGCCGGTTTCTGAACTGTGTCAGTCTAGACATGGGTGGTGCCTAGTGCTGCGTGGTATGGCGATTGGCTGAAGCTACTGAGACTATCTATGTCCATGTTGATATTGCATATTATATACCGGCAATCCAAGGCAAGAGAAATGAGATGATTCGTTCACGCTGATAATGCAAGGTGCCATCGTATGACAAAGACAAGACAAAGTACAGAGGTACTTGGAAGCTACCGGGAAAGAGACATGCACGCATGTAGCCTGAATAACTGCCGACTAAACTACAAGGCCCATTCATCGGCCCCGTCGGCCTCCGTAACAAACGGTTTGTCGATCTGTTTGATGGCATGGTCGCCGCAGAGGACGCTGGAGATGATGTTAATAGCTGGAGAGATGCGAGGGAAGGAGGATGAATGCTTACCAAGCTTCTGCAATGAGCCCGTCCAGTTCACGCACAATCTCCTCTCGTCGCGAGGCACTGACGGTCCCCTTGTTCAATTGCGCTTGCAGGTCGCGGATGTACTTCTTCTTGCCCCCGGCGCCATCCAGAACCTCCTTGCCCAGGCAGTCGCTGTGGAAGGCATGCTGGCACGGGAAGACGAAGAACTGCCGGCTGAGCACCGGCAGCGAGCAGAGCCAGCACTTCTCCCCGGGCTCGACAATGGCATATCGCGTGTCCAGGGCTGCGATTTCTGTCCGAATCTGACGTGCCGTATGGGCCGAGTTGTCCATCTCTTGCCGCAACGCATCGATATGGCGGGAGTATTCCTCCAGGGCACTGCAGATCTCATCTTTGAAGTCGTCAATGACGACAAAGTCGGGGAAGAACGGAATGAGATCCTCGATGCGGAGCAGTTCGCATCGTTTCAGGAACTCGATCGCGTCTTTGATGCCCGTCCCCGGCTGGCGGATCTTCTTCTCCGCCACAAGGAGCCAGAGCTTCTTCCGGAGCTTGTCGTTTCCTTCCGGTCGGTCGGCCACAATGGCGGCCAGTTCAATATCGTCGTGCTGCAGAGCCAGCTCCACCGCCTGGAGATATTGTCCCATGGCGCTGTAGATGTGGACGCACGATTGCACGCGCTGGTGCTGAATGCAAAGACGGAGGGCGAAGTCGGCATCGTACGGTGGCGGCGTAGATGGTTGGGACTGCAGGTAGGTGAGAAGCCCTGCCTCCGAGGACGAGGCACTCGACGCGTGAATCGAGATTAGGGTATTGTGTACCGCCGCCGACGGTTTCGGGTGATTGACAATGATGAAGTTCAGGTATCGCACAGCCTGGTTCTGCCCCAGGGGAACATTGACCGTCTTGTTGTAGTTCAGCAACGCAGGAATCAATTTCTCTGGCTCAAGGTTGGTCTGGCGCATTAGAATGTCAACGAGTCCTGCTGCGGCATGCGTCATGAGGACGCTGCTATACTTGTAAAACACATCGGGCTCGCTCTGTCTTTGTAGAACATTGAGCGCCTCCGACCATTTCTCCCGCTGGATCCAGTAGGACAGCACATAGCTGTGATCATTGACCGCTGTGGCAAAGAAAAGCAACTCCTCCTCCCGGCCATGGCTGCTGATGAGGTTGTATGCGGTCTTCTTGTCCAAGTCGGCCCGATACTTGGTGACAAACTCCTGGAACTCGGCCCGCACACTGCCCAGCTCATCCTTGACCTCCTCCGTGCTCGTCCCCTCCGCCAGTTCCGCCCTGGTGGCGATGTTGTCATCGAGCGAGTTCAGCTTGGTCATGAATACCTCGACAAGCCAGCTGGCAACCATTATCCTCTGCATCGACGAGGACTTCTTATAAGTCGAGAGCTGGCCGAGAAGGTACTTCCGCAGCGCATCATGCTCACCCCGGTTGATCAGAGTCAGGCAGACCTCTTCAAAGCCTTTACTGCTCTTTCCCCAGACATTAGCCGCCTCCAGATAACGGCCCTTGCTGGCGAGGAAGTCGCCCGAGGCGGTGGAAACGGCATCCTTTTGTGCTGTGGTACGGGCGTACTGCAAAGCCTCATCGAACATCTGTTTCTGCAGGAAAACCTTCCAAACGTCTCGATCCTCGTCCTCAACCGCAATCTCGAAAATTTCCTGGCTGGTGAACAGCCAGTAGGTGTGCTGCATGGCATCCGTCAGGAGACCCAACGCACTTTGGCCGGGTTCCAGTACTGCCTCATCGTAGACAATCTCTTCATTCATCCGATTGACGGCAATAACCCTTCCTTCGACGAGGGCTAGAATGTGCCACTGGGACAATGTCATGGCAGTTATTGGATCCTGTATAAGTTTCTTGCCACCTCGCGACGATTCACTAGCGGGAAACATTGACCGCGGCAGCATGTTCGAGTTCTCGAATGGCTGTGAGAGTTTCTGCGTCGAGTACGGGAGTTGTCCGTGATAGATACCTTGTGAACTGAGCCATGCGAACTCATTCTCCGGTTGGCCACTCACATTCTGGCCCTCAGGAAGGATGGGTGAAATAGACAGCGTCGACGGTGCAGCGCTAGAGGGCTTCTGGATCTCATGGACCACCGGTGCTTCACGTTGGAATAGGTCCGCATAGATGGGGCTTCCCCCTTCTCTCCCGTATCTCCCTGTCCGCCCCGAGAAGCACAATAGCTGGCCATGAGTCGCGATCAGCACTCGTCTCAACTCAGGCTTGGAAGGTATCGCCTCCGCCCATACTCCCGTCACCGGCGAGGCCTCTGGCGCTTTGTAGACAGCATGCGCATATCTCTCTTCGCGACGATAGAATTCAGTCGAGGGTTCGATGTAGGCCTCCCAGATCTGTCCATCCGTTGTTCCCAGAAGGATCTCCCTTGTCGACGCCGTCGGAAGGGAGGGGTTCCACGCAACACTCTCAATCGCAACGCCCTTCAGCCGCGACAGTGGCTTGGGTTGTCTGGACTGAGTATGGAGGTAATAGTTCTCGCCGAGGGTGGTGGTGATGATCAGATGAGACGCAGACGGGTCCAGGAACATTCGGCGTATGACACCGATCTCGGATGATTTCTTGGGCAGGTCAATATCTAGGAAGTCCGAGTCAGTCTCGCAACGAGTGCGGAGCCATCCAGCCCAGGCAGCCCATTCCGTCATAGGATCCACGAACCGTCAATGTCTTCGGGGGTATCGAGGTCTATGCGCAGAATGCGTCCCGTCGATAAGGCCAGAATCAGCACATTGTTAGCGACCTGCGCTGCGACAAAGTCCGCAGCCAGCGGGAACTGCAACTGCACACGTCGGACATCGAACATGGAGAGAGCGGCGTCCGGAGGAGGCTCGGTGAGGTTGCTGGGAGCAACATATCCGCTGGATGTCTCCAGCGCCATGATGCGCCAATTGTCAAGGACGAGCTTATTTCATATCTCGCCCGCACGGAGAAGCCTGAGTGGAGCTGCCCGGACGAGTTTGAAACAGCCAGGCAAGCTGGAGATAGGCGATGATGAAGATGGGGGGAAGCTCGCCCGAGGCGGAGCTGGCATGCCTTGGCACGTGTGCCTGAGGCAGCACTGTGCTACTATACCGGTCAGGCCCTACTTATAGTACTACCCAACCATGGAGAATCTATGGGATTTTCACATTAGATGCTATAACAATTGCCACACACGCTTAAGAGCTTACCCTGTCGACTCTATTAACCCGCAATGCAGTCTACAGAACGCCGATGCAACCCTTCAACGAGAAAAGAAAGGCCCAGATGAAAACACAAACATCACCATGCCTGGGTATCGATTCCCTTGTCCTTCAAACATGCAAACTGGCATCCTAGCGCATCAAGCAATAACTCTGAAAAACAGAAAGCTATGCGAAACGTAAAGATCGAGTCGTCATCGTCATCCACGTGGTCACATCACAACGCACTCCCGGTCTAGTTTCCGCCCAATCTTCTCCCGCGATTTGTCCTTCAGCTTGCCCTTGATCCTCTCGGAGTCTTTAGTCCGTCTAGGGCTCCGGCCCTTACGCTCGCTGCTAGGCAGGGCGAACTTTTCGCCCAGGCCAAGCTCAGTCTCCGTCAACTCATCGCCATCGCCTTCAGTGAGTCCGTCGCCGGTGAACTTGTCCCGGCTAAGTCGCCCAGTAAACCGTGAGAAGGTAGTGCTGATCCTGCTCTCGCTGGCTTGGCTCCCTGCACGGCTGCCCGGATTGCTTCTTGTGCCTCGAGAACTGCGTCGAGAAAACGAGAACGAGCCTCTGCCATCGTCGTCTCGTGGGGTGAGTCTCGGAGAGGTTGATGGGTAAGACTGCATCGAACTTGGGTCGAAAACTTCAGAGAATGCCACACTTTGCTTTCGGCTGTTCTGGCCCATGGGCGCAGGGTCTGCACCATCCGGGCCGGTAATTTCGAAACTTGGCCGTCCAGAAGCGTACCCCTCAACGCGATCACCACCAAGCTCGTCTACGGACGGTTTGTGTAGCCTCTGCACAATGCCGATTTCCAAGTCTCGAGAATCTGCCGACATCTCGGAAGACGGTGGCTTATCGAACAGATTGGCTGCCGCGGCATCTTCGTTGATGGGCAAGATCTGGTAGAACAAGAGATACGGCGATTCGTGTTTCATGGCCTGTTCAATGTCGACCAGCGTGACCCGTTCCTTAGCCAGGTCATCAAACCGCATCCAATATCTTGAGGCATCGGGGGAGGTCATATCCTGGTCCGGGCCATGAGAGCTGGCTGGAGGTGCACCAGCACTAGTACCCCTGACAATAGAGATGTAATGCCCTGAATCGACTGAGTTGCCGCGATGACACACCATTGCCTGCAAAGACAGCTTGAAGTTTCCGTAGATGGGGCCTTCCTCATCCATACTGTCATCCTGGATGAAATGGGGCAACCCTATTTCAGTCGGTATGTCGATAAATGTATTGAGTCGTACTGCCTTGCCGCTCGGAGTCATGGAATAGCGCTTTAGACACATGCCTAGAATTGGTCGCTTCGAAGAGAAGTGCGCGGCAACTTGGGCATCATTTGTCGGGGTATTGTCCGTGTACCATGCTATATATGCGTTAGCATTTCCCTCACACATATAATATGGTCGACCTCACGTATTAAACTGAAAAATTGCCACGCGGGCATCATGACTTCTTTCCTGTATGAACCTCTCCTGTGAGACACAATCGTACCGTCCTTCGCTTTTGCATCATCGGGAAAAAATCGCTCCTGCACGATGCTGCTCCGTCGATAAGGTGGCGGACCCGAGTCGACCACTCCTGTCAGCGAGGCCACCGGTGTTATTTCTTCCAACGGAGAAGGTGACTGGCTTGAACATGGCGATAAAGGCGATCCAACCTCGATTGCCTCAACATGGGTCGTACAGCCTTTGGCCAATGAATCAATGGACTTGGTTGATCCCACAGTGTGACGCCGCTCAAGATACCTCTTGACCTCAATCCTGTTATTGAAATACGACTCCAGGCAGTCTTCCAAGGTCACAGTCTGGCCGTCACTGGGCTCGGGGATCGCAACTTCTAGCAGTCTTTCGTTGATAAACTTGTGATCGCCGCTCACATCCTCTTTCCCGGTATGGTAAATGTCCATCTTCAATGTGAGAAGCGGCAACTCTAGCTTCTCCGTGATGAAAGTAAACGCCTCTGATGTATCCTGTTGGCGAAGCTTAGCCGCATCCTCCCAACCGCATTCTGCAAGGGCATCCTGCAAATGTTTTGTCTTTCAATCGGGTTCGTCAGCCTCAATACAGAGAAGACAATTCTGGAGTACGCACAAGGTCTGTCGTGATGAGTCTCCCCGATCGCAATAGATTGACCCACAGCCTTAACAGTATCGATAATTTCCGACGGGGCTCATCATTGAATGACTTGTAGAGAATTGCCTCGAAGCAATCCAACCGTGCAAACATGGCAAAGAGCAGTGCATCCAGGTAGCAAGTGACTCCTTCGCGGTTTACCGCCCCAAGAAGCTTCGTGGTCGGCGTGTATCCTCTGATGATGCCCTCGATCGCATCTTCAAGAATCATGAGCATGTCAAACGCCTTGTCTACATCCCCCTGCGCATGGTCTGATTGCAGAGCATAGCTGAAGTGTTCGGGTTTCAAGCCGGTGATACCAAGCTGTGCGACACGTTGCTCAAGGATCTTGATCTACTTCTTGTCAACACCAACGACCGACCGTATCCAAATTATATATTCACCTTCTTTTCCTCCTCGTTGGTGTCTCCGGTTGGGATCTTATCGGATGAGAAAAAGCCACGAAAATGGGGGCGAGAAAGGAGGTTCGTCTGGATGAGGGGGACACCGTTAGCATGAGTAGGACAATCTGGGGAAATCATTGGCCAATCTTCGCACCGTACCTCTTCTTTGGAGTTTTTCTTCTCACGCCTGGTGAGAAACCTGTGTATGCCACTCATCCTCAACGGCGCATGAACCCTAGCCAGACGATGGGAGAAACAGACAAGTGTGCAAGGTGTGGAGTCTGCGACGCATCGATAAGTGGGGGATCTATATAAATCCTTGCTCAGGCTCCAGAATTCCGATGGAGCACGCGAAGAGATCCGTCTGTGGAGTCACAACACATATCAGATGGCTATTAAGACCGATGACTGTTTTTCCGTTTTCAACCTTTTTTTCTTCTAGACTTTTCGTTGCGATGGTTTCCCCGCGACGTCCAATTAGCAGAGCCCCTCGTATACTACTAGGCACCAGCTGAGATCCGTGACATCACATGCACCGCCACAAGGTCTCAGTCGTACAAAGGCGGATGGAAGGAAAAAGGAAGCCTGCTCGAAGCAATAAAGAGGATAGGTGAGGTGGTTGAAAGAGCCGCCCATCAGAAGACCTTCCCAGCCGATCGCAGCGATCGCAGCGCATTGACGATAAGCTTGCTGGTGGCGGGGATGACGAAGCTGATCACATGTGGATCCCCGCCTGCGGAGCGCCCGTTTGCTGCCTGATGTGCAGGCCCGATTCCTCAGGCATTCAGGCCAGGTCCCCCGGCACCACGTGATGCTGTCCCGAAAGAGTCGATGCTCGCCGGTCCGCGAAACAATTTTTGGAGCCCAGTCTCGACCAGTCTACAGCAAACCATTCTCCCTGTAGACCTCAATGGCTGCCAGTGAACCCTCCAGATACCTGGCAAGGTCATTGCCACGGGCCTTGGTGCCCTCTTCGCGGCACCAGGCCTTCTGCTGGCGACGCAATGTCTCCGATCAAGCATCGTCGAGAGCCCCGTCCGCCGCCCTCAGCGACCTGGAGTCGACCTCTCTGTCCACCTCCCTGCCTGACGACGTGGTGAAGACCTTCAAGCCTCTCGAAAGAGCCAGAGCCCGCAAGACCCAACTGCCCCGGAGTCGGTACGTCTTCCCCTGATGCGATCCGGCGCTCAAGCATCTCCTTCTCTTGAACCGGCCTCATCGCTAACATAAACACCTAGTTATCAATTCCGATCCCCCAAATACGACCGTGGTCCTCTCCACCCTCACCGGCCTCCTCCGCCCTCTGATCCTTCCTCTCGTGTCTTCGTCCCCGGTCCTTTCTCCCTTCCCCGAGTCGAGCAGACCTGGCAATCAACCGTCGCATCGGACATTCTCACCCTCCTCTACGTCCACAACCCCCCGGGTTTCAAACCCCCACCGAAGGCCCCTCGTCTCCGTACATGGGACGAGAGCTCTCCGTACCACAAGAACAGACCTCTCCGTGGCCCCCGTGGTGGTGACGTTCTCCGCCTTCTCCGCAAACCGATCACCTTCAACAACATCCCCAAGATCGAGCGCATCACCCTCCACAGTTACGTCAAGAAGGCTGCTACGGAGAACTCATCATGGCTGCACGTTGCCGGTATGGCCCTGCAAGCCATTAGCAACGTCAAGGTGGAGACGTTCAAGTCGAAGACTAGCGTTGCCCAGTGGCACATCGCCCCTGGCCGTGATACCGTTGCCGTGAAGGCGGAGCTGCGCGGTGAGAACATGCAGCACTTCTTCGGAAAGCTGGTCGACCTTGTGATGCCCAAGCTCAAGGACTGGCAGGGTGTGAAGGGTAGCAGTGGTGACAGCAGTGGAAACATCACTTTCGGTCTTGAACCGGAGGAGATGGCTCTCTTCCCCGAGATTGAGGTCAACTACGACATGTAAGCGCCCCTTTCTTTCACTCCTACCAATGGTTTTATGCATGCGACGAATACTGATCCAATCGTCAATAGGTACCCCCCCAAGATGATCCCCGGTTGCCACATCACCATCCACACCAGCGCCGCCACTGACAAGGACGCCCGTCTCTTGCTCAGTGCCATGGGTGTTCCCTTCTACGGCAAGATGGTCAACTAAGAAAGCGAGAATATACCACCTTCCCTGCGCACATGCGTTGGGAATGTCATTGGCATAGACGGTGTCTTTTCCGAACCCTTATTTATTGAGCAAGCTCTTCCTTGACTTCCGTGTTGGCCCTGAATATGTAACATGAAGGATATATGTGTGGTGTTGTTAGATTTATGTAAAATATGCTCTGCTTTGGTACTTCAATTGCACATTTCTATTACAGTTCAGGTCAGGTCAGGTCAGGTCAGGTCACCGTACTTCAATCTCTCTCCGATTCAACCAAGATAGGTACCCAACATTAATGATCGTCCAATTAGTTAGTCTATCAACTAAATAGAGAGAGGGCCCTTTTTTAGGGCAGTAACAATGCATGACAGTATTCGTTAATGCCACAGTTCGCAGCATAACAAATCTTATTACAGTTAAACAAGGAGGAGTAATCACGACACGCTGCAGCTCTGTACATGAAATGAATCGACTCCCATTAATGACTTGTCAACAAGCCGAATACAAAAGGGTAAGTGGGGGAAATCGGCCCCTATGGTTGTGCTTTTGTGTCAAAAAAGGCAAATAATATAGGGAGTGATAATGATGACGATGCGGGACATGAAACGAAAGAAACGCACGCAAATCAAGGGGGTATTCAATTCTCCACAATTAACCAATCGATTACGCATCGGGAATAATTTCGTCGTCAATATACTGCTCGGAGGAGGTCCGGGGTTATGCAGTTTTATGCAAGAGGGTTGGCCAAGAATTGGCACTTGAGAAGTTCGTCAGCAGCCGGTCTCTTCTCGTAGTCGACTTGGAAAGTCATGTCCAGGAATGCGACGGCTTCTTTGCTTGCGTGCTCTGGAGCGGGAGGTCTGGCTTTCTCTTTGCCGATGGCATAGATGGCTTGCAACTGACTGCAGGCAGGGAAGGGATGGGCCCCTGTGAACATCTCGACAACGAGACAGCCCAAGCTCCAAATGTCAGCCTTCTTAGTGTGGATTGTCTGTTGGACCACCTCTGGTGCCATCCAGTACACACTACCCTGCATCGAGACTCGGTGGGCATGGCCACCTCCGCCACTGGCTCGGGCTCCAAGGAGAGTGGAGGCCTCCACTCGTTTGGAGATACCAAAATCGGAGATCTTGATGCCACCCTTGTTGTCAACGAGGATGTTGGCACCCTTGATATCGCGATGAATGATGTCACGGCTATGGAGATAAGAGAGGCCGGCAAGGATCTGCCTGACGAAGTTCTTGATCAGAGGCTCTTGGAACGTGTTATACTGCTTGAGCATCGTGGCAATGGACCCTCCTGGCACGTACTCCAGGAAAATGTTCAAGTACTGGTCATCAGCAGCTGTGCCCAGATATTGGACGATGTTCGGATGATGAAAGCCCTGTAGAAGTTCAATCTCATGCTTGAGGGCGGTAACCATGCTGTTCTTCCGTTTGTCGAACTCCGTACCCTTGGTTGCGGACGGGATCTCAACTTGCTTCACAGCCATGAGCTCTCCGGTGATAGCATGAAGAGCGAGGAAGACACTTCCGAAAGAACCTTCTCCGATGAGAGATCCTTTCATCCAGTTCTTGGGGGCAAAGTTGTTGCCAGCTAAGAAGTCGTTAAGACCATCGTCTTCCTCTTCCCCATCCTCTGCTACGAGGATACTCAAGCGTTCATTGAATGAGCCTCCGTCAGTTGCAGCAACACTTGCATTCTCGTCCACAAGGCTCTGACGCGAAGTGGTGGGGTCATCTGAGCCACTATCGAAAGAGACATACGACTTGCGATTTGGCTCAATGGGCGACTCTTCCTGAAGGGGCTGAAGGGAGCTGGAAGCGATCGAATCCCTGTACGTTGCGGTAGGAAGATTGAATTTGGACACTGAGAGTGGCCTTGAGGCGCGAGAAGGGGCGCCTCCGGTATTGAGCCAGGTATCTGCGATGCTAGGAATCGGGGGCGCGTCTCGCAAGCTAGATGCGTAGCTTGTGTTACTAACGACACTCAAGCGGCTGGCAGCCCGGCTCAAGCGCTGAGATCTGCGGACCGACATGCGCATGGTCTTTTCGATTTCCTCCCGCTGGTGACTAGGGAAATAAGACGTAATCTCGTGGATAATCATTTCGCTAGGTGGACGAGCACCAAAGAAGGACCGTAACTTGCCCACCTGGCGTTCCACATTCATGGGTGGTCGTATATCATGCTCACTCGGGGTCTGGTTGTGTCGGGAAGAGACGGGCGACATGGGTTGCCTGATATTGTGCCAGGGCTCTCCAGTCAACTGTTGGATCTTCAGCTGATTGCGCACATTCGAGCTGCTCAGAGCATTCATGTGGGCTAGCTGGCTTTCGTCTACCGCCAGTTGAGAAGCGCGGCGAAGCTCATCTGGATCCGGTTCCCCAGCATGGATTTTGCGAAGGATAAGGCGGCCCCGCTCCGACCTGTGTGGGCTTGCGCATACATCCAGGAGCTCCTGGTCCGTGAGTCTTCTGCAATGGGCAGCATCTGGCTCCAGGCCATCCAGAACATAGAAACAATAGTTGCGGAACTGGTGTTCTGGGAGCTGCAGTTTCTTCAGTACGCAAAGAACGATCCCATCGGCAGTCTTGCAGTGCTTGATGTCCAGCATCTTAGTCTGTCCTCCTGTGTAAATCACTCTAATGACGAAAGAATTTGTCGGCAACTGCCCCATTGTCAAGCCATCCAAACTAGGGTTTTGCCTCAGGTGGGACCCGGATCTCTCGCTGGGAGTTCCTGGCTTCTGGCTGGTCATCGAGCTACTAGATGATGGGTGACTGAAGTAGCTTTGTCCTTGTTCCATCCGTCCCATTTCCATGGGGCTATTGGCGACATACTGTTGAGGACGCAGTGGCGACTCTGGCCGTGACGAGGGCCTGTTGGCAGAGTAACCCAGAGAGCTCGTCTCGGCCGCTCGGGAAGAGCGGCGAGTGTTTGAAGTCTGCCGGTGATTGGAAGGACGTGAGGGTTCCGACGAGGCATTCGTATAAGAGACGGACTCAAGCGTAGCCAATGAATTCTGCTTAACGATGAGTATAAGTGATCTCAGGCCGATGACGTATCCAACTAACCAGATTCCTTGACTTGCGGTTGAGGACTGATTTGTTCCTGAGCTGCTTGATAGCAACGAAAATCCGCACTCGATCGCCGATCTTCTTGATGCCCATCTCCTGGAGGATCTTCTGATCACATTCAATCAGATTGTTACCGTTGAAGTTGTTCGCTGGAGTCCGTCAGCGCTTTCCGTACGGGACTTCGGACCATGGGTGGAATGACAGGTTGTTGTAAGTACCTTTGAACAATGCCTCGTATTGGCCACAATTTATGCTGTGAAGCCAGGCAATCACCTGTTTTTCATCCCAAGACCTTGTAAGGGTCAATCTCCCGCAACCTTTACCGTCAGATTCGGATGCGGGCAAGACTCACCGAACAGCATCAAGCCCGTCGTACACGTCGGAGAAACTCGACTCGGTAGGGCTGACGAACATCATCCCCTTCTGTGTGTCTCCGACCGCGGCAGTCTTCTGCGATGACCCAGTGTAGTAGGAGGTTGTTGGCGTCTGGGTCGCAGATACACCCAACGGGTTGTAGGTTGCTTTGGCGAGCATGGCTGCAAAATGTGGAGGCCGCGAACGATATAATCCTGGTCTTTAAATTCCCTTGCTAAAGCCCTGCAAAGATGGCGACAAAATGTGCGATTGAAACCGTATAACCTGGACTATCGCCACCGGGTGCGTGTGTATAACCTTGACGATGCCTTCGGAACAACCCCCGACTGGAAGAAGAGGGACTGGGCGGAGATGTTGAGACGTTTAATGCATGGTCCAGAACTGTACCCCTAGGATTGTCGCGTAACTGTCAGTCCATAATGCGGCGTCCACATCGATAAACAAAGACCGGGTTGGAGGCAACCGCGGGGGTGGGCGCCTGTGGAGGGACCATATGACGACTTACACTTCAGGCCGAATCACTATCACAGGTGCATCCAACCGGAAGGGGAGACGATAAATGGTAAGGTGTCTGTGCTGCTACTTCTCAAAGACCACAAAAAACCTCCTTTGTGCCGGTCTGCCCGAGGTCTCGGCTGCCCTAGGAAAGTTCTCGACCTGACACTATCGCCGATAGAGTCCGTCCACCCAGCGGGAGCGAAAGAGACCAACAAGGGGATGGTGAGGCGGGCGGCTGAGGCTGAGGCTGAGGCGAAGGCGACAGGCGATGACAGCGGTGCTGGCCGGATGGTGCGAGGAGGGGAGGAGGGGAGGGAGGGACCGATCACGATGCAGGGAAGAGAAGAGCGAAAGCCAAAGTGACAGCCTCCTCCTATCTAGCGCGGTCAGTCCGGAGGCTAATGAATGGTTTCTGGCTTACAGACCGGACTGGATCTGACGGAGCCTGTTAGGCCGATCGGTCGGGGACGATGGGCTCCTCCGGCATGCGTCCTTCAGAGCGGGCTCATTCTCAAACACGCCGCCACAAATGATTTGTCAAGGGGCCCAATCTGAAACAATGAACCCAAAAGGCCCCTCCGACTATCCCTTCCCTTCCACTGCTTCCAGAGGCTATTCTTAGGCGGTTGAGCCGTCCGAGTGGGCGGGTTCCATGGTTTGCGCCTGGCGGAGGCTTGGTTCTTTCCAAGAACCTTTCCCTGGTGGTTGCTTGGGTTTGTTTATCCTTTCTCTCGGGAATTTGGGATGGACGATGATATCAATCACGGCTGGTCGCATGAGACACCGTTCGTGTTCATCGGTTGAGAACCAGCCGGGTTGGTGTTGACCACCTGGAAAGTTGCGTTTTAGTGTCAGGCTTACCATGTCTCGGGAGTATTTAAGCACCTGACTAGTATAGTGTAGCCCGCACCACCCTGATCCTACTACTTATCTAGTCCCTAGTACGGTGTATCTAGTCAGTATCCCGCCCTTGCTATCCTTGAGACCGTGTGTCTAGGCCACTCAAAGTCTATTTATCACCTCAATCATTCAAGGTCAGACACGGAGTACCTTCGATCTATTTCGGTCTTCACACTCTACTGCTTCAGTATGTGGAGGTTGATCCTAGTATGTCTCTGACCATGATATCATCGATTCTAGCGGGTCTACTACCGATATCGAAATACTACGAGGCGCTGTCCCCTTAAGCGTCTTACTCTAAGGGTAGACCTAGCGATCTGATCCCATGGTGGATCGCGCAGTCTGAATAAATACTTCGTCATCCCTGGAGTGCGCCCTCCCTGTGGACGGCCGCCTTATCCGATGTGTTACTTAGGAAGTATTTAACGGAACTAGGCCGATCTCTAAAGGATGATCGCTCTATGTAGCGGAGCAACTGTCGATTATTGACTTGGTTGAGCTACGTTGCCCTGTGTCCATGCGCTCAAAACGTACCCTCTTAAACTGGGTCTTTGACGAGTTGACCCGCAGCAGTTGCACTGTGAAAATTTGCAACCCGAGTAGGAGCGATGGAAGATCCCATCTGCCGCCAGAACCCGCTGGTAGCACGAGGAGAAATCATAAGTCCTGGGCATGGAGTTGTTCGGCTTTATAAGAACAGCGTTTTGTAGCTTTGGGATATTAGATGGATCGAAAGCTTTTAGGTTTAATTACTGTGTATCATCCCTTCTGTCGGGACGCTCGATGAGGACTTTCTGTCTTGGATTCTTTGTTGGCATGTAATGTGTACATGACTACTTGCTGTATAGCAGATGGCTACTAGATCGTGGGCCCGTTTCGGTACCGAGTTCTGGGGGAAGGTGGGGTCGGACGGTTCGAAAGTTGAACCATCCGGCCGTCCGTGTTCGGCGCCCTTCTAATCTCGGCTGCTGCAACTCAGGACCAACCCGCGTAGCTTCGTAGAAGGACCGATAAGAACTGGCAACAGAGGGTCTAACTGTCCAAACAAAAATAAGAGTCCTTCGCAGATAAATAACAGGGACGGGAACTACGCTTCACTCCCATATACTCTGGCATCCGCCTAGCTTAAGATGAAACATTCGTCTGCTGCGGTAATCATTGCTAAGCAGACAAGCAGAACTTAAGAGTGTCCCGACCCCTATTCCCTTTCGCCAGCCGGGTAACATGAAACCCCATCTTAGGCTTCGACATGCCTTCCCACTCTGATGCAACGGGTGTCATTGATTTGGTCCTCAACTGGGGTATGCCGGTGGGGGAAAGTGGGGGAAAACAGAGGAGCAGACTTGAAAGTGGAAGCTGCTATGAAGGACCTTGTGGAATGGGGGACAATAAGCAGTGAACTAAGTCGGTGGTATGATTGAGTTTGGGCTGGGTACAAAGTAAACATATATGTTGCACACGATACTATATCTCCGAGGAACGATTGCGATGTATATAATTAGTAAGGTTGACACCGCTCATATGTGTAGTGTGTACAACCCTACTAGTGATCTTCATAGTAAGCTCCCCCCTCCCCTCTTTTAGTTTGGAACTCAAAGCTCTGTCGTAACCCCAACGGTTTCCCCATGAAATGCGGGCCTTGGTGAGGAGATGCTCGTGATATCGACGCCCAAAGTAAACATCTCCGCACCGGTGGGGATGGCGGAGTCCATTCTCGTCCAAAGGATGCAGGATTCCTGCGTAGAGACCTGACCGGCGCGCGATGCAGTCGTCGACGCTACCATGCCATTGATTCTGGATGCTGCTAGCCGCCATGAATTGGTCGTGTGGACAGAGGCCTCGCGACTGTAAGATGTACGATGTACTCCGTACTGAGCAACTAGCCATGCTGCTGGACGGAAGCAGACGGGAGAGCCCCCCACGTGACCGGCGCTCGCAAAACCCCCTCATGTTGACCCCACAGTTTTTCTTCCCCGCTCGCCTGTTATCCCATCTAAGGACATGGTCCAATTCCAAGGCAATTCGCCATGGAGGACGACAGAGGCACCCCGGGAAAAGTGAGGAAGAAAAGCACACCGGCCCATCGCAAGTCTTTGTCTTGTGAATACTGCAGCCGGTCCTTTGCGCGCCTGGAACACCTCCAGCGCCATCTCCGCACCCGTTGAGTAACCCTGAAGCCCGTCCCGGCTGCCGCTGGGCTTCCCACAGATGCGATATTGACGTGTGTTGATTAGATACCAAGGAGAAGCCGTTCTCATGTGATATCTGCTCCAAATCTTTCGCGAGGAGGTAAGCTGCTGCCCGCGTTGCATCGTCGGACCGTCCCGCGCTAATATGGGGGGAAATTTCATAGTGATCTACTCGTACGACACGAACGGCTAGTCCATCCAACAGAGACCGCAGCCAACCGGGAACATCGTGCTCAGAATAGTCATGATGTCCCTCAGACCCAACCTCCTATAATACAGCCCACCCACCATGAGTCCCGCATGCTAGAGCTTGCCGACGCCGTCCCCATCCACACACAACCAGTTCCGCCGCCTCCGCCCGAGGTGCAGGTGCAGCCTCCCCCGATCGTGGAGACAACTCATTTCAACCCTTCTTGGGGGTATGACCTGAACCTTCTTTCTCACGCTGCAAGCCATGTTGCCCTGGAGGGTGAGCAAGAGAGTCTTGAGTCGATCCGAAAGTCTTCACAGAACGTGGGCCCCTCGCAGCCGCTTTCTCATGTCCCAGAAAGAGCAATAACTGATAACTATGGCGTCGAACCCTCCATCTTGGACCTCGCTGACCTAGGAGATCCCGTCCAAGACTTCACTGTCTTCTTAGAGAGTGTCGGCCTTTCGTCCGATTGGGATTCTGGCGTGTTCTCTACGGTTGAAGATCCAATCTTACCGACGACTCTCCCGATGGATTCCAAGCCACCCGTCCGTGAAATGGGGAGACTCGGTCCTGAACTTATGAGTGATCCACGAAATGCAGCTGATGAGCCGCCGTCGTTTTCCAACTTTGGATCGCGCTTACCGTCCCTACAGCCGGAACCTCATGAGGTAGATGATCGTCTCGGGTTCGGCGATGAAGGACCTCGTCCTGCCTGGGATATATCCAATACAGACCGTCAGGTCTTCCTATCGAAACTCGAAGAGTTTGCTTACATCCTTCCTAAAGGCTTCGTCCCACCCTCGAGACACGCCCTGTCTCGCTTTTTTGCCGGCTATATCAACGGTTTAAACGAGCATCTTCCCTTCATTCATGTTCCTACACTCTCTGTCGCAAAATGCTCTCCCGAGCTCACTCTTGCGTTGGCGGCTGCAGGATCTCACTATCGGTTCGAAAACAATCGAGGAATAGAGCTTTTCCATGCAGCGAAGGCCATCCTGCTCCAACGTCTCCATCGCAGAGACAGTAAGCAAGTCGCTTGTCCAACATGGAACTTCCTGTCCCCAGCATCGGGCTTTCACAACTCTCGCGGGTCATCCGCGACCTCAAACCATGCTAGTAGCCCGTTTCAGCAACACCATCCCACGCTGTACCCGGCAGACCCTTCTGGGTATACACCTGAAGATTCGGATGCTCACATGGAAGTAATCCGAACTTTCCTCCTGCTGACGGTATTTGCTTCTTGGGAAAGGCACCCCGAGTTGCTACGAGAGATGCTCTCGCTTCAAAGCACTCTGGCAAGACTTGTAAGGGAACATGGCCTCATCGAGCCACCTCCTAGTTCCGACCCGAGCAACTGGGAAGACTGGATACGAAGAGAAGGCAACCGGCGCACCAAATTCATTGTTTATTGTTTCTTCAATCTCCACTCCATCATGTACAACATCCCTCCCTTGATTCTCAACGCCGAACTGAAGTTGAATATGCCCTGCTCTCATGATGTCTGGAAGGCTACAAATGCGGCGCAGTGGCGTCGGGTGGCTCGCGCGAGGCATGGCCCAGACGTTTCCTTTCAGGAGGCCTTCTCCAGATTGTTTCTCAAATCCAGTATCTCGAGTTCTTCCGCGCCGATATCACCTCTTGGGAACTATATCCTGATACACGCTCTCATCCAGCAAATCTTCTTCGCGCGCCAGCTGTGTCTCTCCGCTCCAAGTATGCATGGGACTAGTCTACGCCAAGAGGACCTCTCCGCTTTGGACAATTCTTTGAGTGCCTGGAAAGCGTTGTGGAAACGCACTCCCGAATCCAGCATTGATCCTCAAAATCCGGCAGGGCCAATCGCGTTTACATCCACTGCCCTTCTTGGTCTCGCTTACATCAGATTGCATGTTGACTTGGGACCTTGTCGTCGTCTTATCACCCAAGATCCAATTCAAATAGCAAGAGCCCTGGGTGAATCGGCACCCGTGGCACGAAGCCCACGTCTAATCATGGCCCTCCTGCATTCCGCCCATGCACTTTCGATTCCGGTACGCCTCGGTATTGATTTCGTGGCCAGGACTCATTCATTTTTCTGGAGTATCCAGCATTCTCTATGTAGCTTGGAGTGTGCTTTCCTCCTAAGTCGGTGGCTGCTGTCTATACCAGTAACCCAGGCTGAGCAGAGGCTATCGGAGCATGAACGAAAACTTCTTTTGTGGATCAAGAGCATGATGGATGAAACCGACATGGCCGTCGATCCGCCTGGTCCACCAGATCTGGAATTTATAACCAATCCTTACAAAGCAAAGCAGCTGAGCGTTGCTATCGTGCGCGTTTGGGCAAGAACCTTCAAGGGGAATACCAGCTGGGCGATCGTAGATCTGGTTGGGTCGAGCCTCGATACTTATGCCGATCTTCTGGAGACGCAGATGTAACGGTCAACTTCGTTTGACGTTCTGTTGGGCCCCGCTCGAGTCCAACGCTGCATTTCCAATTGATGAGTCTTTCTTTACAGCGCCAGTGGACTCAAGCGCTGTCGTCATGTTCCTTTCCTGCTTGGCTTTATTGCTTACTTTGGCCAGATGGCCGACCATTCTGCTAATGACACCCGGGCTGTTTGTGATTTTAGGATGTTGCTTGGTGTTGTTGTATACCCATGTCTTCACGGATATGATATTGTTACTTTCCAGTTTACTCCGTGTATATAAAATATATTCCATGTCTTTTTTTCTCGGGAGAGAGCAGCCTTCGTGTACCGGTCGTCATTTTTGACCAGGTATATGGTGAGCCCATGAGGCTTGCCTTTAGCATGAGAGATACTGGAAGACTATAACAGCCAAAGAACCGATGAAATCACCGAAACTCATTCTTTAGCTGAAGTGTTCTCATTCCCTGTCTTGCATGCCCCGTTGGACACTGGCTGCTCTCCAGTAGCGTATTGAAATGTTGTGTGTTTCAGTGGCTGGTATTGAAAGGAAAGCGTGCAGTTGCCTTCAAAAGTCCGTGGAAAGACCAGAAACCGTTGAAGTCGGTACGCCGTAGTAGCCCACATTACCAGCTAGGTAAACTTTACCCACCCTTGGTGAAACAGACACCGGCTTCACGTTCCATTTAAAATCCAATAGTCCAAGTCAAGACTTACCCCCAACCTTACCGCGACTTCTCGCTACGCTGGCCGGAACAAATCGCAACGCAGACATGGACTTTTCCAGCTCGACAATCTCCATATCGTCGGCGTCTTTTTGAGGCGGCGCCGAGGCTTTTGAGCCCGACTCAGCCTGGGATACGGAAGTCTGTCGATTCCGTAACCGTCCTTCCTGCGGCGAGGTCGGAGCGGCGGATATGCGACGTCGGTGGCTCTGTGGTGAGCGCAATAGAGACGTTTGCTTGTCGATACCGTCATTTACGATGTAAAAGTTATATGTCTGGTAGATTAGTCGACGCAAAAGGAAACTGGTGGGCATCAAACTGTTTAGTACGTACTTTGGGAAACATATGTTTGTCTATCAAATGCATTCTGCGTTTCTGGGGCGTAGAGCATACTCGCTCGCAGCCTTCGACGAAACATGCATACTGCATAGTCCCCAAACTCAGCAAATCTTCCGGCAAAAAGGAAATAAGGAAATAATGTAAACTATAGCCAAAAGGAAAGAAGAAAACATACAGTCTTCTCCCCCCGTTCCCGTCTCGTCGCAACCAAAGCATCATGATTCTCCTCGATATGGAGATTCAGGAACCGATCCGTAGGGAAATTCTTCCCACATTGCGAACATCGATTCACGTGCGCTTGCATATAATGAACCTCGTAGTCCTCATACGAGACAAACGATAGCGTTTCTCGATGAGGCGGTAACGAGCAATGCATGACTTCCGCGACGGGAGCCATGGCCGCGGGATCAAGAAAATGGATCTTGGGCCGGTTGAGAGATGGCGTGGTTGAGGATGCTGGGGAGGTGGATCTGGACCAGCCCTCTGGGGATGGAGATCGGGATGTGCTGCGAGAGCGTTTGGACATCTTGCGGTGGTGGTGGGCTGGAGCTGGTCCTTTTTGCGGTGATGATGAGGTGTCTCGAGATTGTGATAGGTCAGGTTCAGTGGGAGGGCCTGCAGTGCGCAGATGATGGCGTGACGACGGGGTGGGTGGGAATGGCCATTGGTGATGGGGTCTGAGCATCTCAGTGGTGAGGGATTGGCGGATGGTGGAATCTTATTTACTTACGGTTATAAGGAAGAAATTACCATCTTGACGCCTCTGTGGCGCTGATATCATTCTACGAATCTACTTACTCCGAATGGATGAATCCATCAAATATTGGCGACCAATTTCCACTAGGCTGGATTAGTCTTAGACTGAAGGCTGGATGGAGCCTTTAGCGGCTGTCATAGCTTCCTAGTGGTCCATAGGACTGAAAGCTTACTGGGTGGTGGTTTGGACAGCATATCCAAACTACCAAGGTGATAAGTGGATAGTAGAGTTCTCGCAAGATGGAGTCAAGGGCTGTGTAAACGGAGCTCTAGAAGCGTACTATGTATGAAGTAGTGGGCAGTATACAGATAGCTAAGAATAGGATGCTCTACTGTGGCCAAGCGTTGTGGGGACCCTGGGACTCCGACTTGGTTGAGACAATCAAGACGAGAAGCTACTTACTAGCTACCTATCTATACGAGACGAGGTGACGAGTAAACGCCATGAAACTAAGGTATCAATAGCTCACTTGGCAATTGTGTCAAGTATGCAAATCATTTGCCTGTCTCAGGAGCTTAGAGGAAGAACCGTGAGAGGTAAGGATCGTATCGTACGGTCACCGGCGGACGGTTCGGTGCCTGAACCGGGCATCAGCCACAGCCCAGCCAGCCAATCATGGAGCCCACACCAGCCACAGACGGGCGGCCGTCCATCCCGAGCCATTCAACCATTTTTCGGACGAGCGTCGAAAAGTTCCCGTGATATGGGATTTTCTCTCCAACGAGCGGCGGCCGCGAACCCCTCCGTTGTTCGTCCTCGCGCTTCGGAGTCCATCCTCATCTCATCGTCATCAGCCCCTTTTTCTTTCGTATCATTGGCTGTCACTCCGAAGTCCTGACCGCCCTTCACATCTGCGCTCGTTTTGTATATACTAGTCTTACTGACTGATGGCTCGTTCACTCTTCCTCTCGCCCGCAGACTCCCAGCCAGCCATAGCCATCTGACGGGCGAAGTCAACGGTGGATTGACGCGGGTGTGATCTCCTTGGTCCTGAGCATGGCGTCCGCGTTCCAGAATACGTGGCAGTCAGTACTCTCCGCATCCTAACTGATAATGTTCTACTCTTCAATACCTGGACCCGTGTCTCTAAATAAATCTCGCATGGTACAGAACTGCGCTCGAAGTCGAAAAGGAGCTCCTCAAGAGCCTTGCCGAAAAAGAGCCGACGTTTGCTGAAATCTCTCACTACCTGTCGGAGTCAGTTGCTTCCTTTCTGCCATCTACGGTCTTTGGTTGCGCGCAATTCATCTGACACACACTCTCTCTCCGCCGCTGCAGATTCCGCTCCGCTTGCCAAAATGCTGTCCTCCAGGCCTTCGAAACCGCCCGCTCCGTCGATGTCGAAACTCGCCTTTGGGATGCGCATCTCAAGATCAACACTCGGTTTCGCAAATTACTTTCCCGCGTGAGTGTCGCATGGCCCTGCTGTATTGCAGGTCGTCGGTAATTAATCCGTGACGTACGATTTAGTTCCGTGAAGAAGGCGGGAAGAAAAAGAAGCCGGTAGAGAGGCGGAAACTCGAAAAACACTACCTCGAATTCATCAAATCAAGTCAACGATTCTATCGAGCCTACATTCAACAATTATCCTCCCATTTTGGAGGCATTCCGGAGCTGGAAAAAGTTGCGCGGAAATTCAATTCTGACAGTGAGCAATGCCGTCCCCGTTACTTCTTGGGCTCCCATTGAGCAAACCTGTGTGTCCCCAGATCTGTCTGCGGAGCCTCCGATTCAAAGTTCCGAACCCCTCAGAAGGCTCGTTCTTTTGTCGTGCCATGCAACCCTTATTCGCCTCGGTGATCTCTCGCGCTACCGCGAAACCGAGCTGGTAAGCAAGAACCGCAATTGGGGTCCGGCCATCGGCTATTATGACCTGGCCACCTTGATCCATCCAGCCTCGGGTGCGCCCCATAATCAGCTGGCAGTCATTGCTTTGGCCGACGGGAATCATCTGAGGGCCACTTATCATCTTTATAGGGCACTTGGGGCTCAAGAGCCTCATCCATCGGCTAAGGGCAACCTGGAGATCGAATTCAGAAAGGTGATGAATGCTTGGAACAAACGAGAATTGATTCGACCTGAAGATGCTGGTATTCCGGGCAGGGCACTGGCTCCTTGGTTCGTATACCTCCACGCACAATGTTACCGAGGGCTTGATTTCCCCGAACATGATGAGCTTGAGAGTGAAGTTTTGAACCAGCTTGCTGTGGACTTGAAGGAGCGCTCACTTGAAGGCACTTTGCAAAAGTTTTGCCTGATCAATATTGCTGCTGAGGATTTCTCCCGGACACGCACCACTGGTAAGTTGCCTGCCTTGACAGGTGACAAACGGATCATTAATATCGGCATCAGAAGATACTGCACCAAATGCGCGCCTCTTCTTTCAGCGTATCAACGTGAAGACCTTCTTCACACTGCTCCAGATACTCCTTGCCGAGGTAGAACGATTTGCGGTCGAAGACCCGAGCAATCAAGACGCAAAAACCGGACCCGACAAGGTCACAGTCGTGGCGCGACGTATACTACCGGCGCTCCGGAACTACAGCTCTTGGCTTCTTACGGCCAGCAGCCTGTTGGTCTCGTATAAAGGGGAAAAGGACACGCCTCTCGCTGTCCAGATAATTGAGTTCTGGAAGATATATGCCAACACTCTGACCCTCCTCGCGTCGACGTTTGATGTGGTCCATCTTCCCGAGATTGATTATCTATTGGAAGAAGATGAAGAGACACTGTGTTTTGCGCCCCTGGCCAAGGAATCAACCTCGCGGAGATACTTTAACTCGGCTGGCCAGCAGAAGCCTCGAATGAACGATCCAGGGGTGGAAAGGAACCATCCTAACATGGAGATGCTCTACCGAATCCGCGAATTTGTTATTGATGGGTTGGATCTTGTTGTGAGCAATGTACGGAGAGCCCATACTCTTTATCAGCATTTTTGATTATCTTGCTAATGATGACCCGCTTTAGAAAATCCCAATCGCCTTAGTGGATGATGAAGACAAGAAAACTTTCATCTACCAAGAAGAAGGGCTTCCATCGCAATTCTTCGCCAGCCCGTCGGGTCATCACCATACGCTCTCCTCTGCTAGTATCGAAAGGGACGATATCCAACAGGCGGCTAACGATGTCAATCCTAATGTGGACACCAAAAGCGTCTTTGGCGGGTCGCAATCCGCCTCTGCGTCAATGTCAGCCAGTATGCATCGCATCGTCGAAGATGTAGAGCGATTGGTCGAATCAGACACCTACGAGAACGCCCCGGCCGTGCCAGAGCAGCTGACTTTCCCACGATCTAGCAATCAGCAGCGACCGTCCAGCCAGTTTTTTGACCCGATTAGTGCGGACTCGATTTTCCAGGAGGACCTCCTTCCTCGGCAGACTCCAGCTGCTCCTCCCGGGCTCGTCCCACCGATGGCAGGATCTGCAGCTCTAGCCCGGGTGCCGTCGTCCCAATCATACACTCAACGGCCCTCCCTCCCCGGCATCCCAAGTATCTGGAACACGGCTCTTTCGCCGGAAATTGGTGACGCACCTTCCCCACGGACCCCACCAGGCCTGGGACAGCAATACCCGGCTTCGATGCCATTTCCAAACATCGGAAGCCCCAGTCATCGCCATCCCTCTCAGGACTCGATCACCAACGAGCTCATGCTCCGTCAAAATCTGATCAATCAAGCCCAGATGCAGAGCGCTTTCAACGGTCCTGGCGCCATATCCTCCTCATGGATGCCCACGTCACACTCGACATCGCATCACCGTCTTTCTGGTATGTCATGGGACCGACACCTCCTCGAGGCTGCCGCAAACACTCCTGCATCACTCGGAGTTCCCAGTCAGCCCCTATCCAGCGGTCTATCCAATGCATCGTGGGCCAATGACGCGTTCATGGCCAGCAGTTTCCCATCTGGGGCCGGCTACCCCAGTTCCGGTTTCGGCAACAGTCGCAAGTCTGCCACGCAATACGGTGCTATCGGCCAAACACCCCCTTGTGGACACGGAGGCTGATTGAAACTCCTCGCAAATCAAGTTTCATGAGTGAGTGAGTGTGGCTACTCATTTGTCTCGGCACCTACATCGCAGTGGCATGAGCAGGAAACGAAGAAGCATGCGATCAAAAATATGGGATGGGTAGACTGCCTAGCGATTTGACTGACTGACTGTCTCTGTTCCCGATCTCGTATATCATAGTCGTCTTCGACTGGTAACAAAGGAGGTCTCCAGGGGGAAAGAAGGAAAAAAGGGGAGAACAAATTGGCTTGTTTGCAGCCTCCCTCACTCTCTCATTACATCAGAACAGTTCGGGGTCTAAAGCTTGGCGTGACCAACCACATGGCGGCCGGACCAAGCGGATCGATCTTGTGTCATCTGTCCATGGCCTTGACTGCTACTTATATAATAGTGCGTGACTAGTTAGCTAGGATGGGATGGGATTGGATTCGGCTGTGCCTGTCTGAGGAGATATGATGACGACGATGACGATCTAAAGATCTTGACGCTTGTCCGCTGAGGAAGGAAAGACATGCATGCATGCAGGTATTATATGAGGCCACGGAATGGATGAACGGTGCGCGCGCGAGCGTTACGAGATCAATTTATATTCTTATCTTTTTCCATTTTATCTTCAAGCTCTCATTTTCATTTCTCTGAGGTTTATTCGTGTTGTGTGACTTGACATTCTAGCTTATTTGCGATTTATTTCCTCAATCATGACAGGTAGCAAGCTACACTATCAATACGAATCATTTGTTATTCTTTTGATTGATGTCCCAAGATAGATAGATCATGGGGAAGAATCAGATCTGTTTGTACGTATATATACAACCGGAAAAGAAAAAGCGTCATCATTAAATCGTTGTTGAGAACGTCATCTGCGACTCCAATCTATCGTCAAAAAACCCAATGGGAGCGTATTCCGCACAAACCGTTGATGAAAACAGCATAGTCTAAGACGTTAAGTCTAGGACGGGGTATAGAAGGTTGAATCCTTAGAAAGAAAAATTTTTTGCTGGTGGAAACTGCTATGGCCCCAGAATGCCGAAAGGTGGGTGTTCGATTAGGGGGATTTAGTGAAGATGCTTAGGACCGGTTGATAGGGGTGTAGGCCTGCTTGGGGAAAGGGTAACTAGCAAACAGTCAGGTCAGTCAACCCGCTACTTGGGGGTTTCAGTAGACTTCAAGGGAGAACTTACGAGGCACCCAATTCCTGGATGCTGAGGGAAGCGAGCCACTGGCCCATGTCGATGCTCTCCTCGAGAGACTTGCCCTGGACGATACCACCGCAGAAACCACCGCAGAAAGCGTCACTACACAGAAGTCAGTCTTGATTTCCTGCGGTGGATAGTATAGCGGCTTCACTTACCCGGCACCGTTGGTGTCGTTGATGCTGCTCTTGGGGATCTCGCGCACGGGGAACTCCTTGACCTCAACCTCACCGCTGGGCTTAACGGTAGCAGCGACGGTGGGGAGAGTGCCCTGAGTCACAATGGCAACGCGGGGGCGGCTGGTGTTCTTCTTGGGCAGCTGAGCCAGCTTCTTGGCGATCTCGACAACATCGTCAGTGCCCCAGCTGTGGCTCTCGGAGAAAGCACGAGCCTCAGTCTCGTTACAGAAGGTGTAATCGGTGTAGGGCAGAACACTGTCGAGCTGCTCCTTGAAGAACTGGGCGATGAAGGGGGCAGAGAGGTTAAGCATGAAGACCTGTGCGCATTCCAGTCAACATCCTTCCGCTAGAACCAAACATGAAGGCTATACATACCTTGTTCTTGGCAGCAGCCTCCTGGCCAAGGGCTTCGATGGCGGGAACACACACGGTCAGGTGGAAACCACCGACGTAGTAGAACTGGGCCTTCTCAACGAGAGACCAGATGTGAGGCTGCTTCAGGTGGTCGATCTTGTACTCGTTGGCCGCAGCAAGGTGGGTGCACATGCTGCGGTTGTGGCCAGTGATGATGACACCGCACTTGCCGGTGGGCTGAACGTCATCGACACGGTATTCGGTGTGGACACCGGCCTTGGTGCAGGCCTCCTTCAGGATTTCGGCCTCCTTGTCACGGCCAACACAGCCGATGTAGAGGACGGAGTTGTCGGGAAGGATGTACTAATTCGCAGCAGCACGTTAACATCTGTTTACCGAGAGTTCTGGATGGTCTATGTACCTGAGCACCACGGGCGGTGTTCTGGGCAGCACCACCAGCAATCAGCTTCACATCCTTCTTCTCGAACAGCTCTCCGTAGAGATCCATGTGCTTGTCCTCAGCAAGGATGGCATCGTTGTCCTTCAGGCCATACTTCTGGAGAAGGGCAGCATCGCTATACAGGATGTCAGTATGTTCCCCTGCAGCAAGAAATAGTCCTCCTAGGAATAGAGATTCTATGTTGGACAACCTACCCAACAGCCTGGATGTCTGGATGAATGTCAGCCCATTGAACGATGTAAGACCGGAAGAGTAAGCAGCAGGAATCTTACGCACCGAGGAGGGGGTTCTCCAAGCACAGAAGAGGGTATCCTTGAGGAGCAGCCATTGTAAGGGCAGTGGGGAGGATCCTGGAAGACAGAGAGGAAGAATTGACAGACAAAGGAAGTATAGAAGGGGGAAGGAAAAAGAGGGGAGGGAGAGAGAAAGGGAGAAGTAGTAGATATATCGAGGGGGAGCGGAGGAGGGGCTGCTGCAGAATGCAAAAGGCGGCCGAGAGGCCGGCCCCCCGCTGATTGGCCGAATGACGGCAACCGTGCCCTTGAGTTACTCCGGCCCCGATCCTCCCTGCATCGCATCTCATCCTCCATTGACGAGTCCGCCGTTTAGACTACGGTGTGCCGTGATTCTCTTCGATTCAAGTGTGACTCGAAGCATTATCCACCATGACCGACCCCGCCTTGCAAATCCCCGAAGTCATCCAGACGGCCTCAATCAACCCGGAGCCGTCTGCGGAACACGACGTCAATCCTCCAACTGCGGCCTCCGAGAAGCAACCCGTCGTGGAGCATGCGCCCTCAGAGGCAGGCAGTATCCCTTCCGATATCGTTGACCCCCATCGATTGGTCAAGCCTATCTCGCGGCGGCACCAACTTCCCCCGCTGCCTGATCTGCGGTTCGAACAGAGCTATCTCGCCAGCTTGCGGGGAGCTGATACCTGGGGCCGAGTGGCATGGATCACGATTAGAGACCAGGTACCTATTTTCTTGCCCAGAATTTTCAGCCTGCCATATAGACTCTATTCGGCAGGCGATGGGAGAGAAACCCCAGACTTACGCAAACCTCCTTAGGTCCTCCTTCCTCTGATCCAAGGGACCGTCTGGACTCTGGCCCTCTCTGGCTGGCGGTTCTGGAACCGCAACGCGTCCCTCAGTGGACAAACCCTCGGTAGCAAGATACGGAGATGGTGGTACGATGTGAACAACTGGAAGCTTCCTCCCCTCAGGCCGTCTAAGAACCCTCGCCTGGCTGCGAGCGTGGAAGACGTGAGTGCTGTCCCTGTATCTGTTTTTGTTTCCCGGATCAATGCCTCGATTCTTCCCCATTCGACTATGAATGGGTGTGCGTGCAAGAGAGGCTGACAGACACTGACATCTCCGGAGTTTTTGCAGTTCTACACGGCCCAGTTCTCAAATGCGGGTGCGGACTAGGCTTCCTGGTCTACGAATCATTTGGTTACTACTAAATATATTATATGGTTGTAAGTCAGCATTTCGGGTGTTCAGCGTACGGCGTTCAGAACAGCAAGCATTCAGCTTGGCTTGGGCTTTCCTTTCATACACACTTCCGGCTTCACTGAATCTTGAGAGATCTCATGCACCTGTCGTTCATCTCAAGCTTGCAATTTCAGTAATGTACATAGCGCATAGGCCCAGCAAGCGGTTCATATCGAATCTCATGTTGTAAGACAGATCATGTCCTGGGTAATCCGTCATCTCACTACAAATCCACGGTGTGGTGATCCTGCCATATAGCAGTCGCAGGGAACTCCAGACCAAGCATCACACTTCTAATAGTAGCACAATTTCCCTCGAGGCTGTCCCGACAATTCTACCCACAAACAGAAGAACGCCTTGAATGAAACTCTGGATTCTGTCCTCCCTTTGACAAGAAACAATCCGGCATAGAATTCTCTCTATCAAGGCCAGAAAATAAACGAATAAGTGCAAGGGACTGGCTACTGATCCAGCGCATTAGCATGTATTCCCCGACATTTTAAGCCGTTTTGGTTTGAGCCTGCGTGGGAGGCGCTTGAGCCACATCGACGCTGGCAGGTACACCAGTTGAAGCTTCCTGGCCCGGAGGAACGGTCGCACTGGCTGCAGCATCGGGTAGAGCCTTTGCCGCAGTTGATTCCCCGTTCAACTCGGGTTGGGGTTGGGCCTGCGATGAATTCTCAGCGTTGCTCGCTGTAGCTGGTTTAGCCATGCCCTCATCCTTGCTCTCGAATTTCCCCGCTAAGTGTTCCTCTGCGGGACCACTGGGGCTACTTGGTGCCTTGTCTTTGTTGTATCTGAGTTGCACCACGAGGCTTGGAGCCTCCCCGTTCATGACCGCTTCATCACCACTCAGCTCCTCCTCATCGTCTCCCTCGAAATCGTTGTCCTCTTCCTCCTCGCCTCCTTGCCACTCATTTCCGCTTGATTGTGCGGCTTCCGAGCCCTCGTCCATTTCCTCGTCCACGTCATAATCCGTATATCCGTTCGATCGGGTAGCCCGAGTTCTTGAAGGTCTGCCATCTTCACCGGCGATGACGTCCTCACGTTGACCGCTCAACAAAGTCTCACCATATACGCCACCTGCGCGTGAGCGTATTTGACGGCCACTGGCCGTAAATCTAGGCCCGCTCGGCTCTGGGGGCGTAGAAACACCCGATGTGTTACGTGTCGAACGCCGTGTTGAGGGAAGGCCATCAGAGAAGATGTCCTCGTCATCGGAATAGGTGTATTTCAACTTCTTTCCGCGTGTGCGCCCTTCGTAGAGAGAGAACCCAGGCTCCGGGCGCGCAAATGCTGCTTTCCGTGCAATACGGTAATCTCGGCGTTTGCGTTTCTGCGATTGGTAAGCATGGAGGGGAAGAAATCCCAACTAGGGGACAACTGTAGCATACCTCTTCAGAGCCCTCGAAACGGGGGATTGAGTTCCTTATCTTCTCACTGAGTTTCCTCGAGTGCATACTTTTCTCCGTATCCAGCTTGTCTGCAACGGCCTTCAACTCAGGAATACTTCCCGCCACACTCCACCAAGAGACATTCTTGAGCGACGGATTACTCTCGCGATAGAGCCTAAAGTGTGTATCATCTAGACCTTCAATGAGCCAGTATCTGCGCTTGAGGCCATCGCGACCCCATGGTTGGACGGAGAGTGGTTGGTTCAGGTCGTCTTCGTGGCGTGCTTGTTTGTAGGACTCTTTGATTTTAGCTTGGACGGCATCGGAGGAGGCAAGGGACCAGAGGATCAACGACTTCAGTAGTAGTAACTAAGGAGGGTCAGTCAGTAAGCATCCGGTAATCACAATCCGAGTTTCATAACATACGCGTTCTTCTGGGGTCATGGTTGCGAAAGTGCGACCCCCGTGCAGAGGGTTCTTCCCTTGCCAAGCCTTGGGCCATTGGGAAGAATGGGTTTGGATCGCCTCTTCCAACGGACGCTGGTAGTGATTCCGACTGCGCATTAATCAAGCGAGTTAGCCTCTAATGTAGAATCACCCAGCTTGGCTCGTATGTGGTAAAAGGGAGCTCTCCGGCGATTCTCCAAGAGCGCAGGGTCGGGGTTATAGGCGGCGGTCATACTCCACGTCCTTCTTCCTGTTCAGCACCAAGCCAAGAAATGCACATAATAGTCTCTCGATATGATCCCCCGGGGGGGATTCCGCAACGCCTCTCTCAATGTCTTGTGGTCCAAAGTGTGGTGTTGATCGCGGAAACGCATCATGAAAACGCGCACGGAACATTACAATGAACTTCAGATTGCGACGAGTCAGCGAACATGTCCAGGAAGCGTGACAAACGCGTCAAACGAGCACCGAGAAGTTTCCAGCATCATAGGGTCACCGGAGATCATACTGCAATATCTGAATTATCCGCCAACACATATTCGTGGGGTGGTGAGGGCTCCCGCTTCGGCGGCGGAGATTCGGTCTCCTTCTTGAAGTACTTCGTGATGCCCACGGGCTCATCGATGGCCATGGAACCTGTTTCTTCGTCAGACGGGGGTGCCGATGAGAGCGACGAGAGCTCCGAGTCCGATAGCGACATGTTGGACATGTTCGTGTTGCTGTGCGCAGGCAGTTGTGTTGAGGCAAGACCGAGCGGGCGAGTCCGCGGCAGAAGTTCTACTTACGCTACTGCTACCTACTTGGGTTGGAGCGCGGCTTTTACGCGCCTGGCCTGCCTGGCCTGCCTGGCAGCATCGAGCAGCCCTTATCCAGGGATGATCCACACCCAATCAGGATAACACGTTCGCTATCGCGAATTGGACTCTGTCAAACACGCCAGAGCTCCGAGGAGCCGCATGATGATACATTCAAAACATTCCTCCGCGAGAAGTCAATTAAGTGTAAACCAGCCTCGGAACATGAATTTGAGATGTCTAACTAGGTAATACAACCCACTCACCCGCTCTGGAAAGAACGAGTGCCACAAGTCGCCAAACAGTGCAGATGATATTCAAGGATATATGGACATACATGCCCTTTCATCCTTTCAGGGAGAGACATGGGCTCTTGGGGGGCAAGCCGACGCTGGATTTTGTGAAAAATGCTCAGCCAGCACTTAGTCGATCAATGGCGGCAATGATTGTCCACCTGTCCGCATCGAGTACCCAGGTGTGAAATGTTGCAAGGATGAGCTTGTGATAGTCACCGCCCATAATGACTGACTACCTCCTCGGGTGTGTCAAAATCATTCAGCCGGTATCCTTTGTCTCATTTGAGACTGCGGACCGAGGAACAAGTGTGAAGCGGGCCGGGCTCTCAAGGACATCTAGAACCCAACACGCATCCTGCAAATCGCGATAGGATGGTCATCAACACTTTGTTGACTGAGATGAATGTCCGATTTTAGATCGATCTGACCGGTGTAGTCCTCTACTCTAGTCATTCCGTTCACACACGGGGAACACCCGAGGGTCGGAAAAACCGTAGGACAGTTGTGCTACCGAGCCAGGTCAGCCTAGGACGATAAATGGTGAGGGTGCCAATCAATCATAGCCCAACTGCAAGACACCGATGGCCACCACCGAAAAATCGCAGGGGAGACTGCTTGCTAAGAGACGGCATCCGACATAGATGAACCATGAGGGAGTGCGATAGTCCGGGAAGGATGATTTGGATGAAGTGGCATTAGACGATAGAGAGGAACGGTATCTATGTAGGTTGTGGAAGAATTACTGGCAAGTCCTTTACACAGTATGTACCAACAAGACTTTGGTGAGGGAAGGTAGACTACGTCGTTCCTTCCTAAGTCCGCACGTTACAGTAGTCTACCCTACTTAGTAAGAGCGACCCGCGCCACGCTCAGAGCGCAGCCGCGCTCACAACGGCACTAGTCCCAGCGCGGTTAGATTAGCGACTTCCACCCTAAAGCCCACACAGCCCTTCGCCGACGAATTCTCAACACCAACCCGACAAGCCCATCTTAGTCTTGAGGTACGAGAACTCGAACTCTCCCACCACCAGGTCGCCAGGCGCACTTTCCTTGTATACTAACGTCCAGGTTCCTCTATAGAAAGTCGCCATGGGTCGTGTGATCCGCAACCAGAGGAAGGGTCGTGGATCCATTTTCAGTGAGTGCGACCGCAGATAACCTGAGCGAAATCACAACAGATCAAAATTTGCTGATACAAAATCTCGCCGACAGCGGCCAACACCCGTCTCAACAAGGCCCCTGCCCAGTTCCGTACCCTCGACTATGCCGAGCGTCATGGATACACTCGTGGTGTTGTGAAGGAGATCATCCACGACCCCGGCCGTGGTGCTCCTCTCGCCAAGGTCCAGTTCCGTCACCCCTACAAGTTCAAGCACATCACCGAGACCTTCATCGCCAACGAGGGCATGTACACCGGTCAATTCATCTACGCCGGAAAGAACGCCGCCCTGACTGTCGGAAACGTCCTTCCTCTCGCCTCCGTCCCTGAGGGTACCGTCGTTACCAACGTCGAGGAGAAGTCTGGTGACCGTGGTGCTCTTGGTCGTACCTCCGGTAACTACGTTACCGTCATCGGCCACAACCCCGACGAGGGCAAGACCCGTATCAAGCTTCCCTCCGGTGCCAAGAAGGTCGTCAAGAACACCTCCCGTGGTATGATCGGTATCGTCGCCGGTGGTGGTCGTACCGACAAGCCTTTGCTCAAGGCTTCTCGTGCCAAGCACAAGTTCGCTGTCAAGCGCAACTCTTGGCCCAAGACTCGTGGTGTTGCCATGAACCCCGTGGATCACGTAAGGCTCTCTCCCTTGAATTTCTACATCGAGCCGGATTCTGACATGCATTTTCTCTACAGCCTCACGGTGGTGGTAACCACCAGCACATTGGTAAGGCTTCGACCATCTCCCGCTACGCTGCCCACGGTCAAAAAGCCGGTCTTATTGCTGCCCGGAGAACTGGTCTGCTCCGCGGTACCCAGAAGACCAAGGACTAAGCGTGATATTGTGTGGAGTTTTCTTTGTGACGGGTTGAAAATGCTCTTTTGCTATGAGGCATATGTACTTAGGCGAATGCGGATGATCTCCCACGCGTCCTTAGCGAATCTAGGTCGTGGCCACCAAATATTTTCATGATGATCAAAGCAAAAGAAATGGGTTCAAAAAATTCAAGTCCGGGTGCATTATGACATATCATACCTACGTAAGGATTCAGGGTTTAGGTGTTGAATCAGAGGCCAACTTTTCCTGTTTATGTGTGCTTGTTCAAGTGACGACTAGCAGACAAACTGCTCGTAAAGGGAACTGGTACAGATCCGATAATACGAGATCAAGATCACTTGTGTCGCGGAACTGCGTTTAGCCCAGTCTTTGGATACAGGTGGTCCAATGTACAGGCGTCAGTGCACCTCCTGATCTATATATAGGTAGGCTTTGTGGGATTCAAGCAACCCAACTATCGTCTGGGTCCAGGAATCATAATTAAATATCTGATTATATTGCTTTGGTCTAATAACAGGATTATTATTCTTGGGTTCTGGTGGCTATACTTCCTTGTCTATTCAAAGTGCGTGGTCGGATGGAAATATATCTATCTTGATCATACTAGGTCGTTAACTCAGACCATGTTCACTATCCGTATCAAATAAGTGGCTCCGAGGACTCCGCATTCCAAGTAAAAAGTAGGGCGCAAAAACCCGGGCCGGTCTTCGATTATTACCCAGTAAATTGACTCGGGGAAAGACAAGATGCAGAGTGCGAATCGAGATGCCTGCAGCCGAGACTCGAAACTTTGCTCTCAAAGTGACCAATCAGAGGCGAATAGCTCCTCGCTCAAGTCTCCCAGGGAATGGGAGACCAAAGAAAGAGGAATTAAGCACACATGCAGCTGAAAATCAAATCACACTGATGATTTGAGATTACCTCCACATCAGACACAAAGTCTCTCCTCCACTCTACAATGCAACCCAGAGTCCTAGCGCAGGAACTGCCCCGGCTACCCAAGTCGTCCACATGCGCCAGCGCGCGCTGGCAAGCCGTAGTGACTCGAGATGCGACCGCCAACTCCTTTGTCTACGCGGTGCTCACCACAAGAATCTACTGTCGTCCCTCATGCCCGGCGCGTCTTGCCCGACGAGCCAACGTGCGCTTCTACGACAACCCTTCACAGGCCGAGCGAGCAGGGTTTCGGCCCTGTAAGCGCTGCAAACCCGATGCCTCCGGGACAAACTACAACCCTCAGGTCCAATCAGTGCACCGAGCCTGTCAAACCATCAAAGCTATCGTCCAGTCTGGATCGAAACCAACCCTACAAAGGCTGGCGGCTGAGGCGAACCTGACACCCAGTCACCTTCTTCGCGTCTTTAAGAAGGTCATGGGCGTTACGCCGGGGCGATATGTGGCGGACATGTTGAGGAAGGATGCAGTTGCTGGGAACTCGTTGGAGGGATCAGGGATTCAGCCCGAACCTACTAGTATCGCTGAATGCAACCCATGCGATGGGGAAGGGAATGGGTCGGTCGGGCTGGATGGTGGTGGTAACAGTAAGAGTGAGGATGGGGATGGGGCCGTGCTGTGGAATGAGTTTGATGTCTTGATAGCCGCCGAGGCTGGGTTCGTTGCGATGCAGGATGTACAACCTGTCGATGAACTGCTTGCTTGGCATGGAGTACCAGATTCTTACGACGTGGGTTTGGATGAAACTTCTTCTTTATCGGATGGGAAGACCACTTGAAGAAGGAGGGGCTTCTTTGAGATTAAACGGAATTGAAACTCCCGAAGACATGAAGCGACTGTCGCGTGACATGCACAGCCTGAATGGAACCTTTTTAGCCGTGACTTGTCTTGGTCGGCATGGGGAAACCCGAACCAAATGTCTAGGACTTACGTATTCAGGGGAAGGAACAACGGTGACGGTGGTAGTGCTGATGGTGCTGGGGCCGTCAGCAGAGCGGGCGTGGAGGCCCAGGAGTATATATTTTCCCGCCTGTGCTGCTGCTGGGGGTGGTGGTCCACTTTTCTCTGTCTAGGGGTCTTCTTTCATCCTCAAACGTAAGGTACGATCTTTGCCCGTTTGACAATGGCCTCCGCATCAAAGGGGGTTGTTTCAGATCGAGGTTATCATGATAGGTTCCACTAATTCTATCTACACTATACGAGTACGAGTCTGTGTGCTGTATACCATAAAAATCAACGCCGCTGCTTGGCTGTCCTCTAAAATTCATTACCCTCGGTAAACAGATGCAGGTGATGTTAAGATTATCCCCTGCAGTACTAGTAATTTTTACCCAGGACTGATACACCGTACTGGCAGGTTTGGGCAGATAAGCTCGCGTGGGCTGGCCAATGGATACGACCCTCATGCATTAGCCAGGGCTTGCATCACGATCTGCGGTTGACATCCCACCCGGGCGCGTTGGGATTACCATGGAGATGGATCATCCAAGCAAGAAATGCCATTCCCTTGGATCCTCGATCATTATGATATGAACTGTACGGAGTAATAGTGATTGAACCTATAGCCCTGAACTTGTAGCTTTAGAGATGTGCTATTGGTCAGGCTAACGAAACTAGTACGGAGTACTAGTAGTACTATGGTATGTATGATGGACTATGAAGGCAATACTGTACGAATAAGAGCCTGATATCAGATATATTTACACATACCCAGAACCATATTATCACTCCGATCAACCGATCTTCTCAACGCCTTTAAACTTCAGCATTCTGAACAAAAGCAACCTCTTCCCTACCCACCTTCTGTTCTGTAAATAGCAACGACTCCCGATGGGTGGCAAAGGCACTGCAGCTTCCAATCCAATCGAGGGCCACGTTTGAGACTGACCCTCGACCGCCAATCGACGGCGGTGGATCTCCACCTGAATGGCCCACAAACGCGTGTCACTTACGGCAGTCCAGAATCCTACACCTCAAGATCCGCCCGGTTCTTTGGCAAAAACCCGGTTTGAAGTGCGATGCGCCGATGATACTGATAGGCTCCCCCCCTCAGCGATTTATCAAGCGGCTGTGCCACCGGGCTGTCCGTCCTTTGACCGGCACTACTGCCTAGTGTCGACACTCTACTGTCTAGCATCTCTCCAGGGGAGTTGCTAGGTTTCAGGTACACCTCATCCTGCTGGGTCAACCGAACTCAATATGGCCGGTTCTGGCCCCGCCTCCACCCCCCATTGGATGGATGGTACCCTCCGTTTCCATCGCAGGGATTGACTGCTTCTCTCCATCGTATCTGGAGGTAATTCCAGGGTTCAGAACAATAAGCGCGCAGGATTGCATCCAAAGAGGGAGGGGCCAGACGATGGTCCAGAACAGAGACAACGGTAGTGCATCGTCAAGCGACCAAATTCCTGCTCCTGGTGGGGGTCATTCTGCTGGGAACCTTGAAGAGGCAATGTGGCGCTTTCCGTGCAACCAGCTCCATCCGTGTGTCTGGCCCGCTTGCGATTGGCAATCACCTTGTGGTCGTTGCTGTCTGTCATTCCTCGATAAACACTGCCGGTGGTCGCAATAGCAGCCCCGGATTTACTAATAATATTCACGCAAACGATCGCTCGAAACTAAAATAAAATAATCAAACCCATACTATCGAGTAATAATAAATTCCACCCACTAATTTCCCCTGTCACCCTTTTCGGGACTTGCCTTAAGACCCAGCCTGTCCCTCCTGGTCTGTTGCAACTGGCGGCTTTTTCCCACCTGCTACCACTCAACTTCTTCCCTACCTTTCGTTCTGCCTTTTCTTTCTCAATTTCGCCTCCTGGCTGTGGCGCCCTCTTTTGTCCCATACGCACCAGCGTGCTTCTTACCAGTCGTGTTTCTTTCGTTCAACTACCACTACTACTACTTACACCTTTCGATTTTCGGACCATAATCGAGACGATTTAGCCTATTGCTGGTCGCACCGCAACCCCATTCTTTAGTGTATTATACTCGAATAAACCCCAACAGTCGTTTTCCAGTCCATTTCTATACATCAACCGCAATCTGTCAACATGAACGTCAACCGCAAATTCGATCGCTTCAAGCAATGGGCGGGGGAGAGAATGGGAGGAGAGGTTAAGACCAGTCTCTCCGATGACTTTAAAGCCATGGAGACGGAGATGAACGTGCGCCATGAAGGTGAGACCATAGCACGAAATTCAGTGGGAGTCTTCGCATTTCTCGTATACTGACCCACGTGCTCTCTTTTAGGAGTTGACCGTATCCACAAGGCAACCGGGTCTTACATCAAGTCCATCTCGAAGCGCAGCGAAGGCGATGATAAGGAGAAGACCTTGCCTATCGCCCACCTGGGTAGCAGCATGGTCGGTCATGGTGAAGACTTCGATGCGAACTCGGAGTACGGCCGTTGCATGACCAGTAAGTAGATATTATCTTTCGGTGACGAGGTCAATACTGATGATGTCTGCGTAGTGCTTGGAAGAGCCGAGGAGCGCCTGGCTCGTCTCCAGGACGCCTACATCTCGCAGGTGAGCTCGGGCTGGCTTGAGTCGCTGGAGCATTCCTTGACCCAGATGAAAGATTACCAGGTAAGAACCACTGACGAGTGCAGATTCATCACACGAGACGTTGATTAGATTTTCCATAGACCGCTCGCAAGAAGCTTGACAGCCGACGTCTGGCCTACGATACCTCTCTTTCTAAGATGGAGAAGGCGAAACGGGAGGATTTCCGTGTGGAGGAGGAGCTCCGGACTCAGAAGGTCAAGTATGAAGAGGCCAACGATGACGTGTCCCGGCGGATGCAGGACATCAAGGATTCCGAAGTCGAAGGTGTTATGAATCTGGAGGCCTTCTTGGAGGCCCAGCTTGACTACCACGAGCGATGCCGCGACGTGCTTCTTCAGCTCAGAAATGAGTGGCCAAGCAGGTGGGTGCCAATCGACCTACTGGATCTACTGCAATGCTAATATACCGGTAGACAACCGCTTTCCCAGGCCCCAAGTGCCCGTCGTCCAGGACGCCCTCGCTCAAACACTGCGCATTCCTACCATGAACGCTACGAACCGCTCCATGAGGAGGTTGACAACACGGCTGATGTGCGACCAATTATCCGATCGACAAGGGCTCCTTCTATCGAGCCAGCTGCGAGAGAGGTCTACCCGCCAGATGCTTACTCCCAGAGACCCATTCTGAACCGCACTTCGACGTTCGAGGGACCTACCCAGCTGCGCCAGGAGCAAAACTCCAGCCCGTACCAATGGCCCTCTCGGGCGGCCAGTGACAATTACATCGGCCGGAGAAATAGCGTGCAATCCCGGACTATGGGTAGATCATACGCTGACCCGTACGAACAAGAGGATACTAGCCCTAGCGGCACTAGTCCCGAGAGGTCATACATGGGACGGAACCAGTCTCCAGGGTCGTCATACGGGGGTGCAGTTTCGAGGAAATCTAGCTCGACAACCTTGAACGGCACGCCGCTGACCTTGAACAAGAAGGCCCCTCCGCCTCCACCTCCCCGCGCGAAGAAGCCTGCCCCGCCCCCGCCCCCAATGAAGCGTCCTATTCTCAGTGGAGGCGAGTACTAAGGGCCGTCCTCCAATCCCAGTGTATCCTGCCTATCTTGAAAGGCTGAAGCTTGAGGATTCATAGGATCCATCTTGCTCACGGGTTTCCGGCAAACTCGTTTAATGCTGGCCATGTCCGTGCCATGTTCATCCTACTGGCGAGTGATGAGTAAGGGCCAAGGGCTCCGCTGGCAAGCCATGCGCGGTTGCTAGTAGTAAGTAGTCTCGACGGGATCAGCGAGTCGCGCTTGCGCAGTCACAGTGGTGGTAGTAGTTGCCCCCGCAAGACAGGCCAGGCGCGTCGCTGCTGTTTTGCTGTATCGGAACGGGGAATTGGAATGTCGGATAGTGTAATTTTGCCCTGGGTTAGGTGCCGGTTAATTCAATGGCGTTGAGCAAGCGGATTTGAATGCTACATGCTACATACTACCCACTATCCACCCCCGTAGGTCGTAGTACCCCGACTGGGAGCGGGGAGTCCGAGGCTGGCTGGGGGCGCTAGGCCCAAGGCGGGCATGCCGGGGCGACGGGCTGAGTCAGCGACGGCTGCGGGAGCGACACGTGACCCGGCACGAAATCTTCTTCCAACGTCTCGCCGCCTGCCTCTCCTCGTTACAGGCACAGGCTGAGCACTGCCAGTTTCCCCGACCAGCACGGAAAGTCGCGAAAGCCCCGTCCCCTCCATCTCCATTTCATCCAGACTGGCCATCCACGCGCCTTTTCCAACGCGGCCCCTCCTTCTGGGGTCCTTTCCACCCCTACATCTTCGTGTTCTACACCCCTTTCCCCCTTCTTTCTGATTCTCCTGTTTGTCGCCTACCGCCCTGTGTCTCCCCCGACTCGGACCAAACATCACGAAACCTGTCGCCAAGGTCCAGATACAGGCCGCTACCAGTCGCATCCATCGACCAAAGGAGCCCCCCATCCCTCCACGTCAGTAAATTAGCGCACTTGGTCGCCCTTCACTGCGCGAATTGTCATTCACTGTCGCCATCCTCAATTCCCACGTGTTTTCCCAAGCGCTTAACCGTGCACCGTCGCAAACAGGCCGCCCTCAGCTCTCCCCCCAGCGTGTCGTTTCGCTTATGACTATACCCACCACGCGCTAAAGCATGGCTTCTCTCCAGTCGGTGCCCAGTATGGCGGCTGGAAACATGTCGCTGCCGCCAAACATCACGCAGCAACAAATCCAAGAGGTTTTCCAGGTATGCTGGTCTTCCCTTGGGGGAACACACACTCACCCGACACAACCACTATACCTTTCTCTTTCCCTTCACTGCCACCCACGTAATGTGCAATACTCTGACATCGCCCATGGTAGAAATTCAAGCAGATGCAGGAGCAAGGCGTGCGCCATGACGACCCTGAGTACCTTAAAGCACATAACCTTCTCTCAGCTTTCCAACGTCAACAAGCATTTCACAAACAAAGGCAAATGCACCAGCAGCACCTGCAGGCGCAACAACGCCAGCAGCAGCTCAATGGCGCGAATCCAGATGCTGTCGCTGCCAACGGTATGAATGGTATGATTGTCATATCGCTGCATGTGGCAGGTTAGAATCACTCACTGACCGACCTGGGCAATTATAGGCCGGAATAATTCTATCACCAGTACGACAAATACCGTGCCGGATGCCTCCGCCACGCCAGGTGCTCAACAACCCGTGGGCCAGGCTGCATCCCAAAAGGGTGCGCCTGGTCCCAGCAATAGTTTCTCTTCTGAGCAGCTCACCACCTTGCGGAATCAAATCCTGGCATTCAAGATGCTTTCAAAGAATCTTCCGATACCGGCTCGTGTTCAGCAACAACTATTTCCTTCGAAAAAATCAGAGACTCCGGCTCCGTCCGAGAATGTTGCAGCAGCGGAAGGCGTACTGGAAGGTGCTGCTCAGGGAAAGCCCGAGCAGCCTGCAAGCACAGCGGAAGCAACCCAGTCCAAAGATTTCTACGAGACATTTCAGTCGCCGTACGATCAAATACCCAAGACTGTCAGCTTCACCGACCACGCCTCTCGCGCCCATCGTATGCGCATCCCCGCCTTGATGCCACCTGGCATCGACCTTGAGCAGGTGCGCGAGGAAAGGGAAGTGGTTCTATACAATAGGATTAACGCGCGCAAAGCGGAGCTAGCTGAGCTTCCGGCCAATATCGGCGCATGGGATTCTAGCCAGAGCGACACCGCCACTGCGGATGACTCTCTAAAACTCAAGGCTCTCATCGAGTACAAGATGCTGAACCTCCTCCCGAAGCAAAAGCTTTTCCGGAAACAGATTCAAAATGAGATGTTTCATTTCGATAACCTGGGTATGTCTGCGAACCGCTCTAGCCATCGTCGTATGAAGAAACAATCATTACGGGAGGCCCGGATCACGGAGAAGTTGGAGAAACAACAGCGCGATGCTCGCGAGTCCAGAGAAAAGCGGAAGCAATATGATCATCTTCAGGCTATCCTCAACCATGGGGCCGAGCTCCAGAACGCGGCTACTCAGCAGCGCACTCGTATGCAGAAGCTGGGCCGTATGATGCTTCAGCATCACCAGCATATGGAGCGCGAAGAACAGAGGCGTGTTGAGCGTACTGCCAAGCAGCGTCTTCAGGCCCTTAAAGCCAACGATGAGGAAACGTATCTCAAGCTGCTCGGACAGGCCAAAGATTCTCGTATTTCTCACCTTCTCAAGCAGACTGACAACTTCCTCAAGCAACTTGCCGCCTCCGTTCGGGAGCAACAACGGAGTTTGGCCGAGCGTTATGGCGAGGAAGACCAGTTCTTCGAAGAAGAGGAAGAGGAGGAAATTGTCTCCGGAAGCGAAGATGAAGGCGACGGAAGGAAGAAGATCGACTACTATGCTGTTGCACATCGCATCAAGGAGGAGGTTCTTGTACAACCCAGCATCCTTGTGGGTGGTACGCTTAAGGAATACCAGATGAAGGGTCTACAGTGGATGATATCCCTATATAACAACAACCTGAATGGTATCTTGGCCGATGAGATGGGTCTCGGAAAGACTATCCAGACCATCAGTCTGATCACCTATATCATCGAGCGAAAGAAGAACAATGGCCCTTTCCTCGTCATTGTTCCCCTGAGTACCCTCACCAACTGGAACTTGGAGTTCGAGAAATGGGCGCCATCGGTTTCACGGGTTGTTTACAAGGGACCTCCCAATGCTCGTAAACAGCAGCAGCAGCAGATCCGCTGGGGCAACTTCCAGGTTCTGTTGACGACCTACGAGTACATCATCAAGGATCGACCGATCTTGAGCAAGATCAAGTGGACTCACATGATCGTTGACGAAGGTCATCGTATGAAGAACACCCAGTCCAAGCTGAGTAGTACATTGTCACAGTACTATGTCAGCCGTTACCGCCTTATCTTGACTGGTACGCCGCTGCAAAATAACCTTCCCGAACTTTGGGCACTGCTCAACTTCGTTCTCCCCAACATCTTCAAGTCGGTGAAGTCGTTCGATGAGTGGTTTAACACGCCGTTTGCCAACACTGGTGGACAAGATCGCATGGAACTGAGCGAAGAAGAACAGCTCCTGGTGATTCGTCGCCTCCACAAGGTCTTGCGTCCCTTCTTGCTGAGACGTCTCAAGAAGGATGTCGAAAAGGATCTTCCCGACAAGCAAGAGAGGGTTATCAAGTGTCGCTTCTCTGCTCTGCAGGCTAAGCTGTACCGGCAGCTTGTCACCCACAACAAGATGGCCGTCAGCGACGGCAAGGGCGGCAAGACCGGCATGCGTGGTCTTAGTAACATGCTGATGCAGCTGAGGAAGCTTTGCAACCACCCATTCGTGTTCGAGCCTGTGGAAGATCAAATGAACCCTGGACGCGGGACCAACGATCTGCTCTGGCGTACCGCCGGTAAATTCGAGCTTCTGGACCGAATTCTGCCCAAGTTCCGGGCCACTGGTCACCGCGTCCTGATGTTCTTCCAAATGACTCAGATCATGAATATCATGGAAGATTTCTTGCGTCTTCGTGGATTGAAGTATCTTCGTCTCGATGGATCCACCAAATCAGACGACCGATCCGATCTGCTGAAATTATTCAATGCCCCGGACTCGGAGTATTTCTGCTTCCTGCTATCCACACGTGCAGGAGGTTTGGGTCTCAATCTTCAGTCCGCCGATACCGTTATCATTTTCGACTCTGATTGGAATCCCCACCAGGATTTGCAAGCTCAGGATCGTGCCCACCGTATCGGCCAGAAGAATGAGGTCCGTATCCTGCGTCTGATCAGTTCCAACTCCGTTGAGGAGAAGATCCTGGAACGTGCGCAGTTCAAGCTTGATATGGATGGCAAGGTTATCCAAGCCGGAAAATTCGATAACAAGTCCACCAATGAGGAGCGAGATGCATTGCTGCGGACGCTCCTGGAGACTGCCGAGGCTGCGGACCAGATCGGTGATCAGGAAGAGATGGATGACGATGATTTGAACGATATCATGGCACGGTCTGACGACGAGTTGATCGTATTCCAGCAAATTGACAAAGAGCGACAGAAGAATGGTCAGTATGGGCCAGGTCACAAGTATCCCCGATTGATGTGCGAAGATGAATTACCGGACATCTATCTCACTGAGGATAACCCGGTTACTGAGGAGGCCGATGTTGAGTATGCCGGTCGCGGTGCCCGTGAGCGCAAGGTTACCCGGTACGATGACGGTCTCACCGAAGAACAGTGGCTTATGGCTGTGGATGCCGACGACGATACGATTGAGGATGCAATTGCCCGGAAAGAGGCCCGGGTTGAGCGCCGACGGGTGAACAAGGAAAAGCGTCAAAAGAAGACCGTGGGTGACTCTTCACCGGAACCGTCCCGCGAGAGCTCGGAGACCCCTCAGCCGAAGAAGCGCCGCAGAGGCCCTGCTCCTAAACGCAAGGCCGAGGAGGTTGTGGAGGAAACGCCTCAGCCGAAGCGGAAGAGGGGCAGACAAGCCAAGCCGGTGGAGACGTTGACTCCGGAGGATCGTGCCATCCTGCAACGGATCGTGAACCACGTGTACCAGGCGTTGATGGATATGGAGCAGGAGCTGCCGGCCGACTCGTCCGACAGCGAAGATGGGCCTGTAACGCGGTCGATCATTGAGCCATTCATGAAGCCGCCGCCCAAGTCGCAGTATCCGGATTATTACATGATCATCCAGAACCCGATCGCCATGGATATGATCAAGAAGAAGATCAACCGCGATGAATATCAGAACCTGAAGGACTTCCGGAATGACATCCACCTCCTGTGCCAGAATGCCCGAACCTACAACGAGGACGGCAGCATCCTGTTCCAGGATGCCAATGATATCGAGGTGAGTAGACATGCAACATGAGATGGCTCTGGGCCGTTGCTGACCGTACACAGGCAAAATGTTTGGCGGAGCTGAAGAAGCAAACCGAGGGCCACCCACAGTTCGCCAACTACGACGACGTGGGGGCCCCGGGTGGACATGATCCGTCCACCGCCGCGGCGTCGGGGGCCGAGACGCCTTCTGCTGTTGCGACGCCCAAGTTGAAGCTCACCTTCAACAGCGGCAATCGGGACAGCGCTGCGGCGGCGGCGGCGGGAGCCGGCAATGGCGTGAACGAGAACGAGTGACTTTGCTAATAGACGTTGGTGAAGACATAGTGGTTGTGATTTTCTGAGATGGTTAACGTGTTGCCAAAACTTCGATTACCTGCACATTACATTCTATGCTGTTTTGATCCCTTCTTGATATGCCCCTTCCGACTTTTGCTCCGTGAACGGCGTTATGTGACCTTGGTGGCTGGGGATGGACGACGGTTGATGGCGCAATGCTCGAGTCGACTTGAAGACGAGCGATTCTCCTTTACACTTCTCTTCGCGGTCCTCTTCGCTATTCTATTACTACACCCGCTTTTCTGATTTGCTTGTTGATGTCTAGACGGGGCAGGTGGAGGATCGTTCACTGTCACTTCCGATATTCCTGGGGGGCCCGCCCGGCGATGCTTTTTGAAGATGACATTGGTTGTAATTGGATCGACCCCGATGTGATTTATTAGCGATGGTCAATGTAGCCCTACGTAATGTACCATGTGTGATATTGTCTGAGGCACTCGGTAGAGAAGTTGTGACCCAGCGACCGATCATTTGCCACTCGCATCCGGTCCTCCACCTTGTTTAATCTGTATCCCGACCGAGCCCATTATTGAGTGCCGCTCGGTCGCACAAAACTCCGAATAGATAGGCCCAGCACCGTCTTCAGCAGATTCCTTTGACACGGACATCCCTGGTTTCTGCTCCATGGATAATCATATAATCCACAGCGCCGTACCCCAATAGAAGTATTCCAACCTTGTCTTTTTCCATCCTCAATATTATCTGCCCTAAGTATGGATGAGCATGAGTGGATTGACCCAAACCCGGCTCGCTAGATACCTCGGGGTGGATGGGGATGTCGTAACTCGTAAGTATGGATGTATGGAAATGAATTCCGCACACACCCGAACATCAGTTCCACCATCTTCTATCCGTCAGTACTCCGTAGGGCAAGAGGACCTAGTACTTGTATCTATGACTAGCTACTCATTCAAGTTTATACCCAGACATCTTATGTCCAAAGCGCAGCAGCAGCGACAGATGCGACGGGGAGAGTGCAGATCTGTTACGTATCTAAGTTTCCGTCCATGTATTCTGATTCCCTCCCGGCGGCAGAGCGATCGGGTTCGATCCTGGATGGACCTATAGCATGGATGAGAGGGATCTACTATGTATAGAAGGGGTCGGGAGTCGGTTATTGGTTGGTCGGCTGGTTGTTGGCTAGAGATCCATTTCCGAATCCCGACCGTAGGGTTGGTTTGTGGGTAGGCTTTTTTCACCTGTCTTTCTTTAGTTCTATTTCTGTCTTTACCTAGGTGGGATATACGGAGTAGTGGGATCTATTTCGCTATTTCTTCTAAAAGTATCCATACGCAGTAGGTGATATAGGAGAAATGATAGTAGTTATATCTGATGAAACTTAGTAATAGGAATAGTATCGGCTGCTAATGTGAGGGATTATCCAGCTGCTCACCAGTGGAGCCCAACTGCTGCAACGCAAAGCCCTGCCGGGCCCTTCCAGTCCCAGTCGCAGTTTCAGTTTGCAGCTCCAGCCCAGCCAGTCAGTCCAGTTCCATCCGGACTCGCCCGTATCAGTCGCGCTGGTATCATACCGCCAGCATACATACAAGATACAATACCCCCGACCGCATCGCCCTAGCTAGAAAGACATCCCTAGCGACCCTCCCAAGGATTGAGAATCGACCTATCCATCAAGGAACCATAAATCACTCCAACGTAAAACAGAAGATAGCAACCAAGCACACGACCAACCCCGATCCACCCCCATCAGGGAGAAAGTAAAAGAATGCCGTCATCCGGGTTCGACCAGCCCTCGACGTCATGAGCACCATCACGTGACCCCACCGTCATCCCGGCCTGGAGGTTCCGTAACCGCCAGCTCGTCCTTTCGAATCTCACCTGCTCTGCTTCGTCTTTCTTCCTTCTGCCGCGCCCTGATAACGACCGTCCGACTTCGCTTCCCTTTCCCCCCTTCCCTACCAGACCCAAAAGTCCACTGTCAGCTTCATCCAGCACAGCTATCCATTTTTTTCCTTTACAAAATGGCCTCTTTCCAGGATCGTGCTCAGCACGCCATTGCCCAGCTCGACAAGGAGGTAAGTCGTGTGTGCGTTTTGTGTTTGGTGTCGTTCTTGCGTCGGTCAGCGAAATTGACCTCGTCGGGGTTCCTTTTTCCCTTTCCTCCCCTTTTCCCCTTCTTGTTTGCATTGACTTGATGATTGTTCTATTCATATCATCATCAAAGTCATATGTTTTGACGGGGGAGGCGCTGGTGGTCGCGGACGGGTACCTCTGTGTGGCTTTTTCAGCCTGGGTTGGCATATTTCAGCGACTGAGCCAGCGAGCGAGCTAACCATCTCACCCCTTTGTGGGTACACCTTTTATTTTAGCTCTCCAAGTACCCTGTCCTTAACAACCTGGAGCGTCAGACCTCCGTTCCTAAGGTCTACGTGATCCTGGGTCTGGTCGGTATCTACTTCTTCCTCGTTTTCTTCAACATCGCTGGGGAATTCCTCGTCAACTTCGCCGGTTTCCTTATCCCTGGTTACTACTCTCTCAACGCTCTCTTCACTACTGGAAAGGCCGATGATACGCAGGTATGTTTTTCTTGGTTTCCCTTGTTCCCTGTTTCTGATTGTGTGAGGGATTGGATGTGCTGACTTTGGTGTCCCCTGCGTCTAGTGGTTGACGGTATGTTCTTGTGATCTTCTTATCTGGACTTGGGTGTTCATACCTAGGTTATCTGGGTGCACGTGACAACGTGTGGTCGTCAGCAGCGGTAATTGATTGACATGTGATCTCTCTAGTACTGGGTTGTCTATGCCTTCTTCACCGTGATTGAGAGCGCTATCAGCGCCCCCTACTGGTTCCGTAAGTTTCGGCGACAATTGAGATTTTTCAGTAGTGGCCATGGACTGATTGCGTCTCCAAACAGCCTTCTACTACATTTTCAAGTTCGCCCTTGTCCTCTGGATGTCTCTTCCCCAGACCAAGTAAGCTGCCTACTTCCGCGAATCTGCATCTCAGTGCGCAGCCCGACTGACTTCTCTCTAGCGGTGCCCAAGTTGTCTTCCACTCCTTCATCCAGCCCGTGCTGGGCCGCTTCTTCGTTGGCGGTTCCACCTCCGCCAACCTCCGCGCTCAGGCCGAGGCTGCTGCCAAGGACCAGTAAATGGCTGGCCGTGAGTTCGGGTGATCTGTGGCTTGGTCTCGACCTGCCACGGAGTCGGTCGTTTCTCGCTATGTTTGGGGATCTGCAAAGCACCCGAGTCATCTCGAGACTTCGGGGATACGTTGGAAAAACGATGTACTGGATGCGCGGTGACATGATACTTGAGCCACGTCGGGCGAGATTGGGCCATTCTGTTTATGTTGTTCCTTTTGCCATGACTTGATTAAGTAGAATTGTGAAATGTTTGTTGGCGGTGAAGGACAGAACTTGGTTGTTCCTGCTCCGTGGGTGATATAGCTATACTTTGATGCATTATGCCTCTTCTTGGTAATTTGAGCATTGTCGATTGCTGCTTCTTCTGATCGCTTTCTTTCCGCCGCGGGGAGGGGTATAGATGGTATAGGACATTTCCTCTTCTGAACGAGACGGACGCCATGATCGAAAGATCGAAAAGGGAGCGGGTAATGTACAGCCAACGAAACAAAGAACGGCCAACGAGCACGTAACATTCCAGACGAATCGCAGACGCGCCACGGCCTGCGGATCGTTCACATCGAATCCAGGTACCGTAGCCCAGCCGATGCTTTTTCGAGACCTGACATGGTTCAGTATAATCCAAAGCGATTCTGCCATCCATCAGGCCGAGGGTTCAACACAATGCGATAAGGGAACGGATTCGAATCGCTCGTTGTAATCGGCGGGATATGGTCCTTATCGCGGTTGACGACGGCCAGGATCTTCAAGGCCGCTTTCTGAAGCATGTTCTCCATTGCTTTGCGCACTTTGGCGCGTTCTAGAGCATATCACATGTCAGCCAGGGGGTATAGCTTGGCACGCGTAGGAGGCGTAGAATGCCATTCGTCCATACCGGATTCTGTTCGAGGTGTAGCTATCGTCACATCCAAATTCCACACCTCCCAACATACTTCTTCCTCTCCCTTTCCTGCCAGTCCGCCAAACCAGATTCCGGAACGTCGACGCCGCTTTTCATAGAATTCCACTGCGATGCGGCCGCGCACGCCCCCGCCGCCGCTACCGTCGGGGGCGCTAGTGACGGAGGAGTGTTGGCGGACAAGAGTGCTAATGCGGGAGTCGATGAGGGTTTCGAGGTCTACGTCGTTGATAGCGGGGAGGGTGAAATCTAGGACCTCGAAAGTGGTTGGGTGGATGGAGGGGAAGTATCGGTGGAAGAAGATGAGGTTGAGGATGCCTAAAAGGGAAAGATGTTAGTCCAAAATGGTTGAGATTATAGTAGGATCATAGTTGTGGAGGTTGCGGAGAGAGGCTGACCTTTTAACACGTCCCGAACGGTCGTGGTATCCGCGAAGACCTCCAGGAAGTACTCCGGGGGCGTTTTGCGGGGCTCCATCTCAACGAGGGAGCGGCCGGGTGCCAACCCTCTGTATGTGACAAAGGCTGTGAAGATAGTGGAGCTCAGCACTTGTCTAGTAGTACCAATAGTAGCCCAGCTAGGATTCCGAGCCGAGTCGTGCAGCGGAGGAGGGTCCGATGTGTGGGTGGAAGATGAATTAAGTCTGGGGTTGAAGGGGTACGGGGGCGATGACGACGGCGTTGGGGAGGGGACAGGCGGGTTGTCTAGGACCAGTGTGGAGAGGCTCGCATGGAGGACGGGTCATGGGGGATGCATGATCTGCTGGGGAGATAATCCATGTGTCTTTTGAATACTGGAGATCCGCAAGAGAGAAAGAAGGAGAAGAGATAAAGAGAAAAAGGGAAGAGGTAGTGAGATAATGGACGATGAGGTGGAAGGAGAGGGAATGTACAGTCATGGGGTGTATGTAATCCGCTCGCTGCCCCTCGTTCTGTGACCGTACGTTCTCCGTATCCTTATCGCCCTGATGGTTCTGATAGGGGCATCCACGCCCGTATCCATGGTATGGGCGGTACCGGGCAGGTCAGACAGGATCAGGCCAAGATGGGCCGGATGACGATGATGATGCAACAACCTTCGTGGGGATGAAGTGGCACGTCCTACACGCCCTGTCAGCCCTCCAGCTGCATACGATGGCAATTTAGCAATTAGAATACCCCATGCGGAGTGCTTGCTACGCCTTTGCCCTCGCATCCGCGATGACCTGACCCGCTGGGGACGATCATCACGTTGCCGGTTATCATTTGCTGCTGCGCTCGTTAGCCGAGGCCGCGCCAGGGACCCTCGTTCCCCGACCGTGCTTCCCGTCGCTCTCCCATCACCATCTTCCACGCTGCCTCTTGGCCTTTCCCTGTGATTGTTCCCTTCGCAGTCTCAGCTTCATTGATTTTAAACTACTTCATACGATGCACTGAACTGCCTCTTACATCTGAAAAACCACCCCCGACCCTCTCTGCTCCACCATGATCAGTGCTTCTAAGCGCTGGTTCCGGCGCAATCGCAAGGGTCTTGCGATCGGAGCTGGCGTTATCGGAGCGGGCTATCTCGCAGGACAGTACCTGCTGTCCAAGATCTCGGAGGCGCGAGAGCGCATGAGCAGTGACCGCATTGCCCGGGAGAAGTGAGTGGCAGACCTCCTTACCTCTTATCTTGACAACGTGACATGCTCGCGTGCTTGGGAACGGTGACTGACAGCTCTTACCTCTTGGCCAGCTTACGGCGACGCTTCGAACAAAATCAGACCGACTGCACCTATACCGTCCTAGCCCTCTTACCGACTGCGGCGGAGGATATTCTCGAGGCCCTACCCGTGGAGGAATTGACTAAGGAGCTACAGAAGAAGCGTGCAGAGCGACTGGCTCGCCTGAACGCTGGGGAGGGGACAGGCTCGGACCTGAGCTCAGTGTCGCCCAGTGTAACGGACGATGATCGACGGAGCTTGTCTAGCTTCCAGAGTGATGGCTTCGTCCGCACGAGTCAATTAGGGGAGTCAACCTTCGAGGGTGGCGGCCCACCACGGCCGAAGCGAAATAAGACTCAGCTCTGGAACGAGGTCAAGATAACCTGTCAGTCATCACATGCCATTCTATTGCAATAGCCATGGGTCCTAACATACCACCATAGCCATAACCAGGTCATTCACTCTCATCTACACCCTATCCTTGCTGACCATCTTCACCCGAATTCAACTCAACCTTCTCGGCCGTCGAAACTACCTGTCCAGCGTGATCTCCATGGCTACACCACCTGCCGACGCATCGACTATCCGACTAGAGGACCATGATGATGACGATCTCACACAGACCTTGGGGAATGATTTTGAGACAAATCGGCGATACCTCGCCTTCAGCTGGTGGCTGCTCCACCGAGGCTGGAAGCAGTTGATGGATGAGGTGCAGGCCGCCGTGACGGAGGTGTTTGGCCCTTTGAACCCTAGAGAGGATATCTCATTGGGTAAGCTGTCAGAATTGACTTTGCAAGCTCGGAGGAAAATCGAGGGCGATACCGAGGAGGACAGGAAGTACGTTACCGTTGCACGAGGTTTAGTGACCTGTTGCTGACCGTTCCTACCAGGCGTCGGAAGTGGTTGTCTTATCTGCTCCCCTCGAGGGAAGAGGAGGACCATCTGTTGGAGGAGTCTGGCGTTCTTGGAGTGACAGAACCCACGACGCCTCAGACGACAGCATCACTGCGCCATCTCCTGGACGAGACGGCCGACTTGATTGACTCTCCAACCTTCACTCGTGTTATGCTGCTTCTCAACAACGAATGCTTCCAAACTCTGATCGACCAGTGCAAAGCAGACGCGTTCAAGTCATCGTCGCAGGCCCCTATGTCTGTTCCTCAGTCGTTCACATCAGTTGCCACGGTCGTCCCGGCAGCTGACAGCTCAGACCCGAAAACGAAACTGGCGAATGTTCTGGCCGTCCTGGCCCGACAGGCTCACGTCATCGGAAATGGGACAGCTCCCCCAAACTTGTATCTAACCGCAATTGATCAGGGAGTGCGCGAGCTGGAGGCCTTTGCGGCTGTTGTATACAGCTCCAATTTCGACTCGGAGCTGCTTGGGTCCGAATCAAGGACGCAGCCATTGGGAGGAGACACGGGCTCTGATACCTCTTCTTCTCCTGCCCCAGTGATGGTCGAGAAGGACGAGGTCGATGAGGAACAACCTGGCCCCGGAGCGTCAGGCGTAGCAGCGGCCGATGATTCGGCCTTTGAGAAGGCGTGGGGGAAGGCGGTAGAAGATCGACCGTCGAGTGGTTCAACCGTGTAGTGCGGGCTTATAGCACTTGTTGGGGATGTCCATGTCATTTCGGAATTTGAATGGTCCCCCATCTATACACCGTCATGTTTAGGCGTAGCAGGGGAGGGATAGGGGGTGATTGTATGATAGCTCATGGAAGCTAGTAATGATGATGATGACTACTGGTTTATGTAGGACAGGGATTGTTCGTCTAGTGGTCTGCCGGGCTTGTTGACTGCCATCATGCGGACGCGGCTTATTCATGACAGGGGGTGAGCAGCACGTGGCCAGTCACAGCCAGTCTGTGGAACAGACCTGGATGGTTCTATTCGTTGGGATGTGTGGTTATGCAACCTGGTCCGTCTTTCCCTGCTCTTCCCAGTCGACTACCTCAGACTCGATGCCAACCTCGTATTTCGGGGTCCGCAATCTCGATGACCTCCCACAAAGGATTCCAAGCGCAGGAAATTCTTCTGGCAAACTACTCTGACTTGAGACACCGCATGGCACTCAGATTGGTCCCTCAGCCATTCGCTGGACTCCAACTCCATGAGGAGTCAAGGAGGGCCGACTGTGGGGTAAATTAGCTAAGCGACGTGTGGGGAAAGTGGGCTCGCTAGTACCAAACGAACCATGGGGTAAATCCAGACTGGTTGGAGTTTCGAGCCATCCTGTCTAGATTCCTGGTAGAGTTCCCCCTCGGCACGTTGCATCCACCCAAACTGTCATGTCCATCTCTGGTTCCTACCCAGATATGCTTATCATCATGGCCTCAGGCCGTGCCATCGGGGCAGTGCAGGCCAGTTTTGGTCGGAGAATTCGACTTCCCGTAAACCTTGAGTGACGGACATGGTCGAGAACCTCAATGGATCGGAGCATGCTAAGCAATAGCCGAGCTGTCAGGCTGTCGAGCCTACAGATCAGGCCGGAATGGGCAGGACTCAGGTATCTGGTTAAAGTAAGGCCCCCCGGGTTGATGTGTTCATTGGCGCGCACCCACTGCCGTGTTCGCTGGAACCGAGTAAAGGCCGCGCAAGGCGATTGGTTTTGGCGGGCTGGGATCGTCAGCAGCCATCACAGCTGAGCAGTCGTACTAACTAAAATCCTCATATTCCCCTCTCAGCTTGCCTGTGTTGCTTACTTTTCTTCTGCTCGCCCGCTTCGCTCGTTGAACCAGTGGTTCGGATCCTTATTTCTGCTATTGACGTGCACACCTCGTCATCCGTCCCTTGCTCTTGGACGTCAATTATTGAACCTTCCGCCTCCGACAGTGGGAGTCAGCAAGTGGCTTCTTAGTTGTGGCCGCGCGGTTAAATTTGGCTAGACTTATTGTCTCTACTGTTCCGTGATTTAGACCAGAAGCATTGCACATAGAAGATTATTGACCTTGTCAAGCATCATTCAAAAATGGGGTTCTCCGAAGGTACGACACATGCGCTGCACTGTTTCATCAAGGACAACAATAACCTCTCAAGTTGCGCAAACAGATATAGACCATTCTCCTCGGCCCGAATTCAAAGCCGAGGACCAGATAGAAGCGCTTACGCCGGGTCTTCCTCCTCTCACCACGACCACGGAGCGCAAGCTTATGGCCAAGATCGATTGGCACATCGTTCCATGTTTATGCGTTCTGTACTTACTTGCTTTCTTGGATCGGTATGTGGATGCAATGCTTGTGCTTGGCAGGGGTCGACAGGCCAATAACCGATTTCGTGGAACAGGGTAAACATCAGCAATGCTGCCGTACTCGGGCTCCAGGAGGACCTCAATATTGTCAACGGAACGAAGTACAATACCGCGCTGACGATATTTTTCGTTCCCTATGTCATATTTGAGATTCCGTCCAATATCTTGCTCAAGAAGTTGAAGCCCCATGTATGGTGTACGTCTCCAAGCCAATGATCACTGTTGAGCACCGGTCAACGGGTCGCTGATCATGACAGTGTCTATGTGTATGTTCATGTTCGGCCTCGTCATGATCTGTCAAGGGCTGGTCTCGAACTGGGGTGGATTGATGACTACGCGCTGGTTCCTAGGTATGAAGACGCTCCGATGCAGCGACATATAGCTGATCCCGACCCAGGAATGTTTGAAACGGGCATGTTCCCTGGTTGTAAGTGGTCCCTCCGTGATATAATGAAGCCATACTAATCGGAATTTTCCAAGGCTTCTATCTGCTGGGCATGTGGTATAAACGCAGTGAAGCACAGAAGCGATTCAGCTTCTTCTTTAGCTCTACTACACTGGCCGGCGCTTTCGGCGGCCTGCTTGCAAGTGGTCTAGGGAAGATGGATGGGATCCGGGGGTATGGAGGGTGGCGGTGGGTCTTCATCATCGAAGGGGTTATCACCTGCGTTGTCGCTATCATCTGGTTTTTCGTGATCCCAGGTTTTCCCGAGGATGTCAAATGGCTGAATGAGGAGGAGCGGACTTACATCCGAGCAAAGCTGGCTCAGGATGTAGGTAAGGCTGGTGCTGATGCCCATATGGGTTGGCGCGACGTATTGGCTGTCTTCAAGGACTGTAAGTCCACGACCCCCCAGGAAAGCCATTCATGCACCCTGACCGCAACTATAGACAAGATATTTATTGGCGGGTGTATGTATTTTGGGCAGGTCGTCACAGCATATGGTGAGCTTGACTGAAACTTCCAATTCGCGAGTATCTGGTGAGAACTATAGACTAACAAGCGCAGGATATGCTTACTTCGCCCCAACTATCATCAAGACCTACGGTTATGGAGGTATGTATTCAGACCATCTGAATGCACTGCATGCTAAGCCTTTTCCAGCCATTCAAACCCAGCTGTACTCGATCCCCCCATGGGCAGCTGCATTTGCGTTCTCGATGGTAATCGCCACTTTCTCGGACCTAGTTCGACATCGGTTTGCTTTCACTTTGTTTCCCATGATGATTGCCATGGCTGGATATGGCATTCTGTTGAACATACACGGAGAGGCGCACCGGCACGTCCAGTACGGCGCGCTCTTCATGGTCACCTGCGGCAGCTATAGTGCGATGCCAGTCATTGTATGTTGGTTTGCGATGAATTTGGGAGGCCATCGCCGACGCAGCGTGGGCACAGCATGGCAGGTTGGATTTGGAAACAGTAAGTGACGTCGACCAAAAGCATAAATTGGTTACACCGCTGACACGGACCCCAGTTGGAGGGATCATCTCCACCTATTCATTCCTAGCAAAAGATGCGCCTCTCTACCGAAACGGCTACATTATCAGCCTGTCCTTCCTTTGCTTCTCCGCTGCCTGCTGCATTGCGTACTTTGTGGCCATCTGGACGGAGAACAAACGACGGGACCGGGTCATGGCCAATGGGGCGCCAGCGGAGCTTCGAGGTGAGGAAGAAGAGGTCCTAGGAGATCTGGCGGTGACCTACCGCTATGCGTATTAGGTCTCAAATCTCAGTATCCCACAATGATTGTTTCCGGGCATCTATAGAGATTGGAGAGTCTCTGTTCTCCAGCAGTAGATAGGGCTAGCTAGGGCTTGGGTCGATGCAGATACACCAACAAGTGAAACAGGAATATTTAAACTATATGCCATATCGTTGAATCATAGCCATGAGTCTTTTTTTCTACTCGTAATGGGTTCCCACCGCATGCCACGGTACTGGAGGTACACGCACCGGGAGGGTTGATGTCACGGGCAGGCCCAAAGCGGTAATCGCCAGGCTCGGTAAAGCAGTGGGTGACGGGCAACGGGCCAATCAGAGCTGGCGCAACACTAGCGAGCCCTTAGCGGCATTGGATGCTGAGTCAGCCACGGCGCACACAAGAAGCTCAACCGCGGCCGCTCTCCATCCTTCTTGCAACCATCTCTTCATCCTCGCAGAAGTGTGAGTCCTCCCCCCCCGGCCTGCCTGGTTGCAGTGCTTCGTCTTTATGGCTCCAGTGACTGACTGACTGGCTTCAGTTTCGAATTCTCTACGAAGATGAGAGCCAAGTGGAGAAAGAAGCGCGTCCGTCGCCTCAAGCGTAAGCGCAGAAAGATGCGTGCCAGATCGTGAGTGCACCCAGTCATTGCACGCGAAGTGGTAAACAGCCACACGAACAGCCAACTAACCAATCAATGCAGAAAATAAATGACTCGCCCACTCCATCTCAGCTCTTCATGTGAAGACTCGGGTTGAACGCTAAACATGACAATTGCGACGACGTCACGATGATGATTCCGGTTATGGTCGTTACGTGGTTCGGTATCTCGATCGAGGCCTGTCTGGTCTGCAACACTTCCTCGGTGCAGTCGATCTCGGAGCCCGCCGTTCAGCAGGATTAAAGCAATTTCATCCACCCAATCCCACGCGGCTCGTTTACGATTTCGATTTTCTCTCTTGATTTTCCTTTGAACCAGACAGTGGGGTTACGCTCGACGTATCTTTTTCTCGGAGGTGCGAATGTGTTTTGTGGGGTTGGAAGACATGGTGGAAGAGTTCAAAGGTCTCCTGTATTCCTGTACTATCTTGCTCTTTTCCATCGGTCTCTGGGTTTTGCATGGTGACTGGTCAATTACTCGTGTCCTGGGCTTGGTTCGGTTCATCCGACTGGGTTCAGGCCATGGAGAGGTTCATGAGAATTTATTTCAAATACCAAAAGTTACGACGCATTGATATTCCTTGTAAATCTTCAATCTGACTGTAGAATAATGGAGATCGTCTGGATAGATGCATGATCATCCGATAGCCCTGATGGGATAATAAGATAGTCAAGCTGGTAGATCATCCCAGGGCGCCGTTGTGTGGCGCGTGATGCATGCCCGCCTGGGCTCTTCTCCGCCTTCCGCTCGTAGGCCGCCTGACCGCCTTCAACTTTTTTTCGTGGAATTTTCCCTCCACCTGCCCGATAACCTCACGGCCAGCCCATTCTCCCTCCGCATTGTCGCATTCCCCTGCAATTCTCTGCGCTGGACACAATGCCGTCCGATAAGGTCGACAAGAAGCGCAAGCGCGCCTCCGATCGCCACGAGAGGCCCAGCAAGAAGCCTGCCCTCGAGCTGCAAGATCTGCCTCCGCTGGCCTCCAGCGTCCTGGAAGATGATAGCGAACTAGCTCCGGTGATCAGTATGTTTCACTATACCTTGCACTATCTTCCTGTCCATTACTTTGGTACCTGGGGAATTAAGTGATCTGACCATATAATGAAGTTACCACTCCCGGTCTCAGCGCTCCCCGAAACCTCCGCCTCAATCCATACCTCAAGACCCGCAGCAAAACCTCCTCCACGTCCTCACGAAACAAGGGAATCGTCTCGTCCGAATTGTTGCTCCAGTCCTCCGAGCACCCCAAGCTGGACTTTGTGGGCCGCGAGGCCGAGGAAGACGCCGACTCCCAGTTGAAGCACTATGTCGCGGTCGTGGACCCGGAGAAGAAGACCTGGCAGTTCATCGAAGTGCGGAAGATGACCCTGCGTGGCTCCGTTCGCAAGATGAGGGCGATCGAAGAGGAGGAAGAGGAGGAGAGTGAAGAGGAGGAGATGGTTCGTTGCCTTCTTCCCCGCTCTCCCGCCTGACAGCTCTTAACTAACCCATCAACGCAACAGAAAACCATGCGCGCCCAAAGAACCGAACTCACCAACACCTTCGGTACCAAACAATCTCGCAAGGCCGCTCAATCGCTCGCCGAAAACGCCCAGCTCTCCAACGTGCCCGAGGGCGCCGCCTCCGCTGCCGAAAACGCCATTCTATCTGCCATGCCCGTCGATGCGGCCACCGATATTGCCTCCAAGACCGCCGCCGTGCAGGCCCAAGTCCAAGCCGCGAAGCCCCTGCCCCAGCCCAACTTGGATGCTGCGCACCCCTCGGACGTCTACCCGATTGACGTCCTCGTCCCCAACGGCCTGGCCACGCTGCGCCAACTCCCCAACATCAAAGAATGGCAAGATACCGTCAACTCCGGCGCCGCCGTCAACACCACATCGCGGTACGTCTCCCGCCGCGTCGAAGCCGTCGCCCTCTCCGGCAACACCACCCACATCCAGATCCTTCGCTTCATCCTCCTCCTCCTGGAACTGGCGCGCTGTCTCCGTCCCAGTCGCGACAAGTCCTCCGGCCCCGGCAGCAAGCGTCTCCCACCCCGCGAAGACCTCCGCCGCATCCTCTCCGGCGGAACGACCAACGAAAACGCCGCCAGCGGCGACCAACTCGCCGATCCGGTCATCGACGCCGTCCGCCGCAAATTCGCCCCTCAGGGTGCCTCCCTCTCCAAGAACGACATCACCTTCCTTCACACCACCATCTGCGCCCTCTCGCTGCACATCCCGCCCCAACCGGCTAAGGACGGCGGAAACAGCTCCGCCGGCGGAAACTCCCCCAACGAGCTGGCCACCGACCCGTCCGATCTCCGTGACGATCTGCGCCTGGATAACGTCGCTATCACGCAGTATTTCCGGGAGCTGGGATGTCGGGTCGATAAGCCTCGCGAGTCGGAATTCGCTAAATGGGGTATTAAGGGCGGCAAGGCTGAGGCCGCGGCTAGACGTGTCGCGCGGTTGAAGATCCCCGTCGAGTTCCCCAAGGTCAGTCGTGGCGGTGGTGGTGGTGGTGGACGGAGATAGATAGATCGATAGGAATTGAGAGAGAGAGGGGTGACTGTGATTGTGATTGTACGTTAGCATATTTGTTCTCTGTATGTATGTATGTATGTAGGTCTGGGAAAAGAAGTCTGTTTTTTTTTATCTCTATCTAATTTTTTTTTACCCTTTCCGTCTATTTTCCTTCCTCTTTGATTCATTTTGCTATGTTTGTCCAAGGAGGTATGTATCTGACGTATGTATGTATGTACATAGTAACACTTTCTTGCATGGGTAGGTAGTGGACTGTTCTTTTTTTTTTTTTCATTTTGGGAAGGAGGAGGGGAGGCGGGGTGTGTTGTTTCTATGACATTTTATACGTTACATACGTACATATATACACGTTGGTAGATGGATAGATGAAAATATGTGTATGTCCACGCACGTGAGACCTGCTGGTAACCTCGGCTATATACTGTATTCCTTTGTCCCAACTATCTTTTGGTTAGCCTCAACTATCACCGGCGATGTCCAAGAACGCGTACATTTCCATGACCCTTTTGAATCTGGCTCCAGGTCCCTCAGCAGCCGGCTGAGCAGCTGCACCCTCTATATCCTCCGGACAAGCACCGATGGTGCTGGTGGTTGCGACTTCAACTCAAGCAAGGTCATGAACAACTCTTTCAGTTGGCCCATTGTCACCGGCTCAGAGGCACTGCCTGGAATGATATTGGTTTGGGCACCGTCTCAGAAACGATGGTCCGCGGCTGCGCTGGTCCAGTTGGCGTACGCCCTTCGGTCATTGGGAGAAGGGACCATCAAGCCAATAGGCTCTTTCGCGTCATTCATTGCCACACTCCCCAGGTGAGGAGTCCGTGGAGCATTGGGCGGCATAACGTTGGAAGAACGAATAGTAGAGCCCGGAGCGGCCTCCGAACATCGTGCCTGCCGGTTCATATCAAAGGGTGGAGGAACAGGCATCTTGTCAATTAACGCCTGTCTAACAGCATCAAGTACTGGCTTCCGATCGTCTTCGTCTACATTCCACAAGGATGCAACCCGAGGAGGGCTCTCAGGAGGCGTCGCAACCTGAAGAAAGGGCGAAGAGGGTGCGGTCATCACTTTTCGAGCAGGAGCCATGGCGGACGATTGATAAGTAATAAGGCCTATGCAGTTCAATTCAACCTAAACTAAAGAACTTGAGCTGTTGATGGTATGAAATCGAAGGAGGCCTGAGGGAAAATGCATTCTTATATGTTTTGCTGGGTCTTGACCTTTATGAATAGTAACTTTCTTTTGCCTAGCCCGTCACGTATCTTTAACCCCTTCCCCTCTGTTGCTTCCTGGAAAAAATATGGCACAAAATCCATTATCCTTGTAGCGCCATTATGCGTGTTTTCCTTTGGATACAACGTTAGTGAACTTCCTTCTCCTGATTGAGGTACATTCGTGATAAGTGGCGTCGACATGCATCTCTATACACGCACATCTAATATCGCTAGTAGCTTAGAGCAATTGGCCATCCAATCATCCCGCCTAATCTCCTTGCGAAAATGCTAACTGGACTCGAAGGGTTGCCAATAGAAACAGGACAATCTACCTGTCGTTCTTTTAGGAACCGATAGCTTGTGGTCTTTATAAAAGTGATAGTTAGATGTCTAAGTTAGTAATCTATCACTTTGGTGAACTACTTATGTAATAAATCGCAACGTCAGATGGCTAGTTACTAGTTGTAACCACCAAAGTATATGAAAGCACTGTCTCCACCTCCCGTGCCAAGCCGGATGTCTCGCCGGATGTTTCAACCCATTGAATCACTCAAGTTAATCCGACCAAGGTGGGGTCCGCTTGACTTCGTGCGCGAGGACATAGACCGGCACCCTCTCCCAGTCACACCATCAGAACTGCTATTCCAACCTGTCATCCACACATCTGGGCTATCACTAGGGAATGTTGCTCCCAATCTATTTACGTTTCCACGGTGCAGTGGCGGGAAGACGAATGACGCTGATTTGCTATCGCCCACTGAAACGGAAGCGCCGGCTATGGTCACTGCGGTTGGCCTTGGCATCCTAAAATCATGCGGGCCCCCCAATCACAAAGGCTTGAGAGAGTGATTAGATGTTGATATCTGAGGCTAATGCTGCAACCCCTCCCCGAGGCAACAAGCTGACCGCATAGTATTTTTGCTTAGATTCATGTCTGCCTCGTCACAGGAAGTATCTCCGGCGGGCTCTGTCCCGATCACAGGTGAAAGGCTGAATCTTGAACACCTGCATACTCTCCTATTGGTGGTCCTACATTAGCAATATGCGGTATGACCCATTCCCAACGAAAAAGGACCGATTTCTTGTTGGTCCAGGCCATCTCGCACGCAGCATCCCAGCCTAAATGTACTTGCCAAATCCCACAGGTTCTCCGCAATGGCGCCCATGCGTTGGCATCAGCTGAATGCTCCGCGCCGATAAGCATCCATGTATTTTCCCCCAGGCAGTAAGTAGTACGGTGTGACAGCAAATGATGGGAAGTTAATTTTTGTTTTGGCACTAAATGGAATATCCGTTCCGTAGCCTTGTGCGCCCAACAACCATGCCTTTCGGAAAGCCAATGTGCTGTGTTTTTTCACTGGTGGCTGTATACCTTGTTCTAGCCAGCCATCAGCTCATTGCTCAGGTGCTCATCTTGCACCACTAGTGCAGCGTATAGTGTCAGCATCGCTGTCAATTCGCCAAAGGACTTACTGGCTGTAGAACTAGTTTAATGGTTGGGCGGAGCTGTTAGTAGGATGAGTATCCCTGCCTTAAATAGATCTAATCCACTCCTATTTGAATAGCTAGTTGACTATCCCTTTTATCTACTCACAATAATATACTCCCCTGAAATCGATAGCAATCGGGAAGCCAGAAAGAGTAACTCGGACCTCAGTGTGAGTGCCCCTCCGTGGTTGCTAAGTATGTCATATTTCTCTGATACGATGCTTACATTATTACAACATCCAGCTTTGAAAAAGCCAGATATCCTCAGAATGTCCAGCGCTCTTAAGAAATTTGGCGAAAAAGTTGCCAACGACTCAAAGCAGATCACCAAGCTATTCAAAGAGTCTGCAGCTGGCAGTCGGGTCCTACCATCCAGAACCAGCAAAAATGATGCAGAGTACCAGTGTCGAATTGACATGGGAGAGGAGGTTAAGGATAAGCCAGGCTACTACAACGTGTATCTTCAGGTAAACAGTCAGGCAAAAAGTGAGGGACTCAAGGATTGGCTGCGAAAAAATCCACATGGAAAGCTCGCAATGGCACAAGTGAATAGGGATGCCCCCGAGAAAGAGCAATCTGAGGAGGGCAAGCGCGTAATTTCGGAATTGGTTGAACAAGCAAAGAAGAACCTCTGAGCTCGTGGCTAAGGGACTCATGAACTTTTAGGCGGAAACGGCCACTTCTTCGACGCTGCATCCAGTGACAGTTCCTCGCTCATAGTTTTGATGTATGTCTCAAAGAGACTTTTATTCATGTCGTTTGTTTTCTCCCAGCGTTCCATCGGTACCCAACCAGAATCATCAGTGCAGAGCTGGGTCTTCACAACATCCCACAAATAAAGCATGTCTTGATACAACACCACCTTCTCATTGTGCATTTTCAACTCCTCTTCAGAAAACTGGAATGGACAACTGCCTGGAAGGTCAAGAAAATCCCAGTCCTGCGAAACGCGTAACAAAGAGTTACGTAGCGGGACCATACTGCCATTCGAGAAAAGCTGGCAACAAGTGAAAGGTTCCCATAGCCTCCGGTCAAGTTTCATTGCATCATAGACGCGTTTATTGTATGCCAGGTTAGACATTTCGTAGTATTTAGACTGGGACGCTGATGCCCGCTCCCTCCTAGCTTGATCCTTCTGTTCAGGATCCAATTCGTCGAAGTTACTCGGCAAGTTGGGGATATCAGTCCCAGGGTTGTAATCCTTTGGCGGCCTGAGAAATTCCGGAAATCGAGCTTGTAGGAATAGAGGAGCAATTTGAGTTGACTGCCAATCAATTATGCCCTCGATAATAGTTGGGTCGTCCATAGAAACAAAAATATTTCCCAAGTGTAAATCAGTATGCCATAGAACGGGGTCTGCTACTTCTCTCACAAGAGGATGGTGTGAAATGGTAGGAATTATCGCCTTCACTTTCTGTAAAAGGTTGAAATATTCATCAAGGGATTGGCTCTCATCAAATTGATTGAGATGGTGCTGCACTTCGCTTGTTGAGTCTGTCATGATATCTAATTCTCGTTCAGGAATAGATAGTGCAAATTCCAAAAAAGAAGCCCCTTCAATTTGTCAGATATCAAAAATTAAGTAGAGAATAACAAATCACTTACAGGGGCCGACATTAGGCATAGATTTGCACATGCCGGTAACATCTTTACTCCACATAGATCGATTGCAGGACGGCCCAACGCAGAACAACCCGGTAGGATCCAGTTGTGGGGGAAGTGGATAATGGCAATATCCATCAGGCACGGACTGTCGCAAGTAGAGACTTCCATAGGCAGGGAACTTCAACTCCTCAAGTTCCTTCTCCACTTCAATAATTCGATCAATTATTTTGTAGCGCTGTAGCATGTTCATTGCTTCCCACCTCTCACTGAGTGCAATCCCTGGAACCTTCTCCATGATGATATATTCTGCGCCTACCGGGTTCCCTGGATCGGAACTCCATGCGAACACCTCGGGAACCCGAACCGATGTACACGACCGCACTAAAAACAAGAGGAAATAAGCAACCAAAGCAGCCTGAATCAAGTGCAAGAAAACCTACAATATCTCAGAGTGGCCACCTCGGATGCCGTCGTCAGCGAGGGTGTACCCGCATTTGGACATGGGATCTTTGCGATAACCTCATTGCCGTCATCCATTGTGAGGAGAAATGCTTTGTTAAAGTTCCCTTCCAACTTAACAATGCACACGCATTTCGTCGCCTTGCTGAATAATGAGACAGCCTGACGACAAAGGCTCTCCATATCGAACTTCACAAAACGTTGCTCTAGTTGGTGTTCTTCATTGATCAGCCATCGGCCTGAAGTATATCTAAAAAGCTCGCCTTGGTCCATTATCTTCGCCACTGGCATTCGTTAGTGCTCATGAATCGCAGTAACTTGTGATAGAAGGCGAGAAAACGAACTGATATCTTCTATGCCGGGTTTCTTCACCGGTCTAGTCAGGTGTAAACACCGTCTAAAGTTTGGAAAAATATCTCGCAAACGACCAGAAAACCTGACATGACCCGAGTGCTGTGGTAAAAAACGACGAATAAATGATTGTTTCCACATCGTCTTTATCATCTTCCCAATGCAAACTTCAACGGCACACACTGCCTTATTTGCTGAGCAACTAAGGCTGGCATGTGCTCTAGAAACCCCAGGCTAAGAACACGAAAACTGGACAACTTGGGCTTTCTCCGGATAAATATAGGCGACCATGGGACAAGTAGTCGCCTCCTCAAGTAATCGGGCTACGCTGATATATAGCCCGATTGTTTGGGGCGGTCAGTTAGGCGGTCAGTTATTAGTTTTGTTGGTAAATCAGGCTCCTTTACCTAATATGGCGGAATAATCGAAGCTAAGACATAGCGGGGTTGGGCTAAACCACTAAAAAGACCAGAATATCGAACGTAATGTGAACCTGTAATAGTAAGGCGTTTTGACAAGCGCGGTTTAGAGAAAAAAAATGCTGCTACTCATGCTCCGCAGAGTTCGAATCCCATCTTAGCCGGATTGTGGAGCCATGACCTCGCTCAAAAGTAACCGTCTCTTAAGTCAGCAGCCCCACCCCACCCGCCCTTTCGGCGTGTTGGTCTGCTTCATCTCAGGGGTAAATTTCAACCTATTGAGAGCTCCTATATACTACCACCCTGCCTGGTTCTTAGTCTGATATTGAGATACGTATTGTACAGGCCTGTGAAATCTCTCAAGGCCAAAAAAACCTAATATCTCTGCGTTAGCGCGTCAATTTAACGTTCCTTACCTATGACTCTGAGCGCGTATTCATGGCCGAGCTACACACGTTCTATTTCAACCAAAGCCCCTGATGATATACAAGAAAAGGGAAGACTACCCTCTCAGAATACCTTGAAGCCTTTCATCGCTTTATCACGAAACCACTGACTATCCATTCGATCCGCCCAATAGCCTCTTTTCGATGAAGTATATCGGTTCTTCCACCCTTTTTCCGCCTCTTATTGTTATTGAAGACTGGGACAACAAGCTGTACAAGTCAGACAAAGAAAGCTAATGTTACTCTTGATGGCCCATAGGAGATCGATTTGTTGCGAGGCTCAAGGGAAAAAAGGTTGTGGCTTAGAACAAAAAGAGGGGCCGGGGCGAAGGGTGGGAGATTGAAGCAACGGTCGCGACCGAGTGAATTCAGGATATGAGAGTAGAAAGTGGAAAGGAAGAAGTTGGATACAGAGGGGGAAGAATAGTGAGGAGACAGGTTATCGTCGGACGTTCGGCCGGGTAACCATGACAGTACGCAGACTTCATCAGTCCTCTTTTGGCAGCAAGCTGAGTAAAGAAAGACGTATAACCACAAAGTCAGAAGGTTTCAAAACAGGCCCTACGATATTTATATTCTTTCCCCCATCGTTCCTACCTACACTTACTGATGCGGATATGCATGATCTATAATCAATTCTGACACTGATTAAGGGTGGTGCCTAATGTGTTAGATAAATTAGCCAATGATACGAACTAAATCTTGTCTCAGGCATTATACGCAGCTTCACTGCGTATCTTCGAATATTGAACTTGAAGAGATGCCTGGGTCCGATGTTTAAAGTGTTTCGCAACTTCCCTCCAGGGCAGACCACGCTGATTTCTCAGCTCGGACAATAGCTGATTCTCTGCAGGTGAATAGGAGCTTCGCTTATGGCGCCTCCTGTGGATCGTTTGTCGCGAAGACTGATTCTGGGGGCGACAACCATCAGAGAATGACGATTTTTCACGAGATGCCCCTGGTGTTGAAGACGGGGGTAGATGGTGAACAAGATCTGGAAGAAACGTAATGAAGTAAGTACGTCGATTGCCGAGGGGTTGAATACGCAGAACTCCCCGACCGAAGACCTCCCGTGCCTCGTCCAGAGTGCCAAAGTCACTACCTGGTGGGTTCTGAATTGAGTTCATGACGCCCTCAATAGCGAGATTGGTTGAGGTTGAATCTGTTTCCGCTGCGTTTCTCGACCCGGCGGCATGTTTGCGTCTTTTCTGCGGCTGTTCTTCCTCAGAACAGTATCGGTCATCATTGAAGTCCAGCGTTGCTGTACTATTGGTATCATTGTTATTGTCGCCCCCGTCCTGTTTATTACGGCGTCGAAGTTGAATTAGACGATTGTTTGCGGCACTGGCCATCTACCTTCGGTAAGCTTTAGAAAGGTTGTATAGACCTTGGAGAACCGCATTTCGCAGGGCTGCGATCGGTGACGGCGGCGAAAATAACCCACGGAATCGCCGTTGAGGCATTTCTGCCATTGGATTTGTTTCTCCCAGGCGTGGTTTCGTCGTCATCTGAGCGATCCGACCGCAGGCAACGGCACACAAGATCTACATGATTGGGGCGAAAATGCAACCCAAGACGGGGGGTCGCGGAAAGGGGTAGGAAAGTAGGATTAGTCGTAAGCCACAATCAGCCTTGGAGCCTGTCGGGGGTTTGTGTCAGTCACTTTCTTGAAGAGGGGAGTACGAAGGGCAGAAGAGATACCATAGAAGATAGAAGACCGTTCGAAAAAGCGGGTTTTCAAGTCGACGCATGGTCTAGTAGAGGTTGGCAAACAGAGAGCAGAAAATATAAATAAATTCACTGCATAATAAAACAGAGGAAGACAGAATCAGCTCCAAGGCTGGTCAGATCAAGCCGGATGGACGTAGAGGAAACTGGAAGTGGAGACGGGGTGAGGGCGCAGCTGCAATTTCCGATGGATGGGCGGGGAAAAGAAAAAAGAGGGGGGCTAAGTGAGGAACTAATGGACGGATGAGACGACCAGCCCCCGACTGGGTGAGTGCAGAATATAGGAGGTAGAATTGGGGTGGAAGAAGAAGTTGGGAGGGGAAGAGCTTAGAACAGCGAGGGGAGGATTCTTATATACTTGGGAGGAGGAGGCGGGCGGTGATTACAGGACGGCGTATCGGGAAGCCATACCGGAAGCGGTAAAGCTAACCGGAAGAGGGAATTCACAGGTCCTCGCTTTACAACTACGATAGAAGAGTTGGGAGCAAGTTGAGAGGAAGAAGATAAGAGGAGGGGAAGAGACATGAACCCAGTGATCATCGGTAACGACAGGCCGGTTCACTTAGTGTCTTTTGTCCGCCTCCCATGTTCAAATTATGATTCGGCAAATGTCCAATTAGCTGGTCATATGGCCATGCTGGGGTGGTTTCCCTCAGCGGATAGAAGAATTAACAACGATTTCACGTGGTGTGCCATCAAGGCGATGGTCACACCCTACCCTACCCTACCATTTCAAGAAGACGAATGTTGGATAGGGATTTAAGCAACCACTCCCACAGGGATCGAGGCGGCCGCGGCAGCAGGACGGATGGGAGTGGCAGTCTGCATGCGCGAAGCAGCCTGGGTGAGAGCCTCGGCAGCGGCACCCTGGAACTCCCGCTCCACGGCAGCCTCGACGGTCTCGTTGGCCTGCAGGCCCAGCTGCGCATCCTCCCAAATGGGCTGATTCGCGGCCTCGGCACCTTCCACGCCAACACCGACAAAGCCACCCTGAGCCTTCCAGTCGCTGGCGCGCTTGATGCCCAGGTCGTTCCAGACGGTCTGCAGAGCCTGCACCAGATGGTCGCGGTGTTCCTTGACGTGACCGGGGGTGGGCGTGATGCGGAGACGCTCTTCGCCGCGGGGAACAGTCGGATAGTTGATGGCCTGCACGTAGATACCGTGTTCCTCGAGCAGCTTGTCAGACGCCTGCTTGGCCACCTCCGCATCACCGACGAGAAGAGGAATGATGTGAGACGGGTTCGGGATCACGGGGATGTCCAGCTCCTTGAGTGATTCCTTGACCGCACGGGTATGCAACTGCTGCAGGACGCGGTCACGCTTGTACTGGGCCTGGTACTGGATAGCGGTGTCCGCTCCGGCCATGGTTGCGGGAGGCAGCGAGGTCGTGAAGATGAAGCCGGGGGCGAGAGAGCGGATAGTATCAACCATGGCCGCCGATCCCGCGATGTAACCACCGACGCAGCCGTACGCCTTGCCGAGGGTGCCGGTAATGATGTCGACCCGGTCCATCACGGTGCCCTTGGTGTCACGAGGGTTGGCCGTATCCTGAGACGCATAGATATCGTAGTCGAGATGCTCCGCCACTCCTGCGCCGTGAGGTCCGTACATGCCCACAGCGTGGACTTCATCGAGGAAGGTGATAGCCCCGTACTTGTCGGCCAGATCACAGATCTTCTCGATGGGGGCAATGGATCCGCACATACTGTAGACGGATTCGAAAGCGATGATCTTGGGAACATTCAGGGGCAAAGACGCCAATTTGGTTTCGAGGTCGACCAGGTCGTTGTGCTTGAACACCATCTTCTTAGTTCCCGAGTGGCGGATACCCTGGATCATGGAAGCGTGGTTGAGGCTGTCGGATAGGATAACACAGTCAGGCATCTTGCTGCCCAGAGTCGCCAGCGTCGCATCATTGGCCACGAAGCACGAGCTGAAGACCAGCGCCGCCTCCTTGTTGTGTAGTTTAGCCAAGGTCTGTTCGAGAGCCACAGCGTGCTGATTGTGACCGGAAATGTTGCGAGTACCTCCGGCACCGGCTCCGTAGGTGTCCAGGGTCTGGTGCATAGACTTCAAGACCTCGGGGTTACGGCCCATGCCGAGGTAGTCGTTAGAGCACCACACGGTCACCTTCTCTTCGGGGGAGGCCGTGTGGGCGCGGGGGAATTCCTTGGCCAAGCGATTGATGTTGTTGAAGTAGCGGTACGACTTGTCCTTGTGCTTCTTGTCCAATTCAGCCTGGTAGAATGCCTTGTAGTTGAACGGCGCGGTGGCGGGCGCATGGGGACGAGGGCCAGGCGCAGTGGCAGCAGGAGGCTCGAAGCGCTGCTTAACACCGGAGAGCCCGGGATGAACTGTGGCAATACCGTCAGCATATGGGGTGTCGTGGTAATCCGATCGAAGCGAATCCCAAGCACCTACCTCGCTGAGACTCCTTGTAGACGTTGGGGGTCACATCGGCGCCATTGCCAGCAGTCGAATGCAACGCCCTTTTGCCCGCAGTGGAACGAAGATGCTTGGGGCTCACACCCGCCACGCCGGCAGTATAAGAGGTAAACCGCTTGGTGTGGGCCAGGCGGGCACTCTGCACGGCCAGAGCCTTGCTCATGACGGGGCAGCGACGAGCCAGGACCTGGAGGTTCGACATGGTGCCGCCACCAGGGCTGGTGCTTGGGCGCGTAGCGGTCGACAGAGAGCGCAAGGCATTGGGCGAAGTGCGCTTGAGAAACGGGCACATAGCCCGAGACTGCTGCAGAAGCGACTCCATGAAGGGCCAAGTGACGGGTCAATGAGCCGAGACACAGTACACGATCGGAAGGAGGATGAGAGTCCCGAATGGAAGGTCAGGGAGCCAAGGATGAGGGGAGAGAGGGAAGGAAAAGGACGAGGTAGAGAAGGAGAAGAAGAAAAGGGAACCCAAAGATTTCACCGTTACAAGATTACGGCGTCCGATCGGTAATCGGTATTGCAGGGGTCGTGGGAGGGCGCTTGCCCCTCGGCGGCCTAGTCGGCTTCCTTTCCTTCCGTGGCTGACGATCCAAGGGCTGCTGATTGGCCCGTGAGCGCCGCGGCTTCGGGGAACAGCGATGTGACTAAGGCAAGCGGGCCAGTCACGGCGGAGATCAGGCCACACGGCACCAGTGCAAAGTCCGGAGTGAGTCCGGAGAAAGTTCGCAACTAAGTTCGCGGGCGGAACTCGGCTGGGAAGCCTGAAAATCCTGGCCGGTACTGGCACGGAACTGGCTCAGAACCTGGCCCCCCTTCCTGAGTGCGGAGACGATCGTCACAGAACACCGCGAATGAATCCACGGTGACTCCGTGACAGCCGATACGAGGGGCAGGGGCCAAACGTGCGGAGCAAAACCCGGGCTTCTTGGCAGATGCCGGGACACCGTGGTCTATTCTGGAAGTCTGCAATTACTCATCCCCTCGGCCCAGAACCGTCATGCAATACGGATTGTGTAATCAATCGGGTCGAGAATCGTGCGGCAAAACATGTAGTATCCCCAGATCCAATCCATCAGATGTAGAACAGTAATAAAAAGAAAAATAAAAAAAAAAGACATATAGCAACCGCCCGTCTATCTACCCGCCGGCCCTCGCCGCTGCTTTTGGGATGCCTCATCAATAATCCGTCGCATCTTCACACATTACCACAATAGTCCGCACATCACCCTTCACCCTCGGGCCAACATCTCGTGTATCAGAATGCATCTTGTTAATACATGGTACGGACACCACGGCCCGCAGCCGGGGAAAAGTAAGGAAGGAGGGTTCAATCAGAATTAGAAAGAAAAATGGTAGAGGGCCATCGATGTCTGAATTCAACAGGAAAGAAAAGAGGGAAGGGATATCCTAACGCCGCCAGTCTATCAAATCATATGGGTCAAGGACAGTTGCATGCGTCTGGTCGGATCAGCTGGCCCCCAGACCCCCATCGCCGTCAATGAGACGCAGTCGCTCTTTGGTCGTTTTGGCGCGCTTCGATGTTCCCTTGCCAGACCCACGACCCCGTCCACGCTTGGGCACCGGGGTCGATGAGGGCGTGGCCACGTTTTCCGCCGTCGACACTGGGGTTGCTGCGCCGGATGGCTTGGCACTGACATCGTCGAAGTTGCCCTCGCCTGCACAAACGTGAATTAGCATCGGGAATAGGCCAGCAGGTAAGTGCGCCACTCAAAAACATACCTTCGTGATACATATCATCCAGCGTAATGTCCCTCTTCCTCTTTTGGGCGGCCTTCTTCCCGCCCTTGCCGGCACCAAACACTTCCCCACGGTCCAAAGCCTCCTTCTCCTTCTGCTCAATGAGTTCGGCCTGCTCATCATCGGCCAGCCACATGGCAATGTCTTTCGTGCGGCTTTCCCGATTACGCGTGTTGAAATCGACTCCACCGGCGGCGCCACCTGTGATGACGACACGTTGGACCTCTTCCTTCTGCAAGGCACGCTTGCGGATACGTTCTTCGATGGTGCCCCGGGTAATGAGACGATATACCGTAACCTGCCGCGTCTGACCGAGACGATGCGCTCGGTCCATGGCTTGGGAATCGATAGTAGGGTTCCAGTCCGAATCGTAGAAAATAACAGTATCGGCCGCAGTCAAGTTGATACCCAGACCACCAGCACGCGTGGACAGGAGGAAGACAAAGATCTCGGGACGCTGCTGGAAATCAGCCACGGTATCGCGGCGATCCTCCAGCTTGGTGCTTCCATCCAAGCGGCAGTACTTGTAGTTACGGTAAGTCAGGTACTCCTCCATCAGGTCGATCATGCGTGTCATCTGGAAATACAACAGCACACGATGACCGCCCGCCTTGAGCTCTCGCAATAGCTCATCCAGCTTGGCTAATTTACCGGAATCCGTGACAAACCGACGCATGGACGGCACTTCGATGTGCGTGTAACGTCCCTTGTTCGATATCGGCTTCGGCAGCATGGGCGTAAGAGAGTATGGAGTTGGATCCACCTTCTTCTCAATGATCTGCTCGTCCACTTGTCTCGAAGGTGTGCTGAGAAGCGCGTGCCGGACCGAGACATTGAAGAGGGTATCCTTTGTCTCGAACCAGGGTACCTGGCTCGAAGACACAACAGTGATCGGGGGCGCCGATGCCGCAGGGCTGGCACAAGGCTCGATAATGTTGAGACCGTCACGTTCGAACGTAGACTGCGAGACGGTCATCAAATCCCGCATATAGCCTTCAGCGACAATCTCATTGACGGCTTGACGATCATTGCGATCGACGATGTTGAATAGTGTGTGTGGGAGGACAGGCGCTGTCGAATGTTCCTCGTTATCGTAGACGACGTTGAGCCGGGACAGCTTATTGACTTGTCCCCGGCGGCGGACCGCTCGCTCAAAGACGCCAAGATGCGACTGCTCGTATGCTTCACCGACCGACGTGTCCACAAAGCGCAGGAATGAGAACGCCCCGTCGTCCTGGATGCTCTGCTTGATGTTCTCCGGAGTAAAGATATTCATCAAGTGGTTCAGGTACTGTCCACGGAACCCAGCATACGCATTATCAGGACCGGCCACATCAATACGACCGCCCGAACCACAAAGAAGGCGGGGCATAGGGTATTCAATCAGATTGCGGGTTGAGTATCCGACATCAACGTTATGGCCTTCTCGAACAAAGGAGGCCGTCTCGGCGAAGTATGCGGTGGAGAAGGGCGATTTCGTTTCCGCGCGCTCGAACAAGTCTGGATGGTTACAGACTTTCCGGAATTGCATGACCAAATTCATCAGAGTCGTACTATCGGCCTCGTCCCCGACAGCAGCCTTCTCGATAAGATCCATGATGCTGACACGGTTCCGTAGGTTGGCATAGTAGGCCCGCTGACGATAGGTGAGGTCACAGAAGACATCCTTCTCGACCTTATCTCCGAGCTCCTGCTGCACATGCTTCTTGACACGACGCAGCATGAAAGGCTTCAGGATCATGTGAAGACGCTTCAGTTGGTCTTCGTTGAGCTTCGTGTTGCTTTGAGCATGCGACTCAATATCTTTTGAGAACCATTCGCTAAATTCGTCGTGGGAATCGAACAAGGTCGGCATGATGAAGTGAAGAAGAGCCCACAGTTCCTGCATGTTATTCTGGATGGGTGTACCGGTAAGAAGAAGGCGATTGCGGCAGCTAAACCCAAGCAAATTCTTCCAACGCGAACTCTGCGAAGACTTGATGGCCTGGGCCTCATCCAGAATCATGTACTGCCATTTGACCTTCTGGAAGTACTGGGCATCAAGGACGACGAGCTGATACGACGTTACCAGCACGTGGAATTCAGACTCCTTAGTGTAGGTGATATGTTTGCGATCCCAGAACTTGCGGAGAATCTTACGGTCCTTAGCGGAACCCCAGTAAGGCAGAACCTTGATGTCCGGCACGAACTTGGTAATTTCCTGCTGCCAGTTGTGTAGGGTGGAGGCAGGCGCAATGACCAGGAACGGGCCCCAGATGTTGTGTACCTCGGCGAGATAAGCCATGACTGAGATGGACTGGATGGTCTTTCCTAGACCCATCTCGTCGGCCAGAATACCGTTGATGCCTTGCTCGTACAAGTTGACCAGCCAATTCAACCCCTTGAGTTGGTATTCCTTGAGTTTTGCAGTAAGCATGTTAGGCTGGGAGATCTCGATGTCACCTAAACTCGTAGGGTTCTGGAAGTTCAGTTCGCCCTCGTCTAAGGCCGCCATCTGGTTCTGCTCGGAGTTGAAAGCGCGTGCGCGATCCTGCGCCTGCTGGACGGCATTCTGGGCGTTAGCCATGGCCGCCTGCCGCAAGGCCGTCTCATCTTCCGCGTCAAAGTCAAGGTCCTCAAAGTTGGTGACTTTCGTGCCCGCATCAGCAACACTGGGGGGGGGGTCGATGGTATGATCCTGGCCCTTGCCGGGTTTGACGGTCTCGTCTGTCTCGTCCACGGCCGTGTCCCCAGCGGCATCTCCCTCTGCGCCCTTGATCTTCCGACCGATGAAGTGGGAGTACAATTCGGTCTGCGAAATGAGGAAATTAAGCTTGCGTCTTTGACGGTTGGCCTCACGTTCCGCTTCGGCCTTCTTAGCAGACTCGATCTCTTGCTTCTCGGCGAGACGACGCAGATCCCGCTCCTCTCGTTCGTTGCGCTTCCAGAAGGACATCATCTCACGCATGGTGCGCTTGGCACGGGCCTGAGTATCCTTCATACTCTTGTTGGTGCGTTCCTGCCACTTCCGGGACTGCTTACTAGCCAGCTGAGCTGTCTTGCGCAAATTCTCCTGACGCGTGCTGAGGGACAAAGCCTTGATGCGATAGACCTTGGGAATATCCTTGCGCGCAATGTCGCGCCAGATTTGCTCATAGATCTGATTGTAGCCTTTGGTCTCGTACGCGGACAGGGGCGTAGGCGTAGTCTCTTTGGAGCGACTGCCTTTGACCTCCTTCTTGAGAGATTCCTTCCGGGGGTCTTCCTTGGGTGCGATAGGCAGAGGCTCATCATTTTCCATAGCTGCATAAGCAGCCTCCGCCGCATCCTTTTCGGCCTGCTTTTGCTCTTTAGACTTCTTTGGTCGTGTGACGGGGCCGCCGCGACCAGACTTCCGTCGCGATGGGGAGCTCCGACCGATGTGGAAAGAGCTGGTAGTACCGCCTTCGAGATTGGGAGCCAACGGCGTGACTTCGCTGATCTCCTCGGGAGCAGTGACTCCCTCGAGTGCTCTTTTGGTAGTCTTGATCTTTCGTTGTGCCCGTTCCGCTTCACGGAGGAACTTGGCTTTCTCCGCGGAATCCTGAGCCTCGTTTGCCTTGATCTCTGCCTCCAGCTTCTTTTGCATCTCCATGCGCACTGTGTTCTCACGCCGCCGCTTCCGCTGCATGTCTTTCTTGCGCTCCTTTTCATCTTGGATCTCTTTTGCCTGGACTTCGGCAATGACGGAGGATTCGTTCGCGTATCTGAAACGGTCCATGCCAGCAGTGGCTTGTTTGTCGAGAGACTTGGCAAGCTTGACCAGGTAGTCGTTTCGGCGACGCTAGAGATCGTGTCAGTAAATGAAAGCTTTTGCGTTGGATGGCATTGTAGGGATTACCTTGCGTCTCAAGATTTCGGCCTGTTCAGTGGTAAACGCGCGTTTCTTACCCTTGGCGATATACTCTTCCCTAAACCTCTCATACCCCGGTGCTTCCACGTCGCTCTTGTCCGCCTCGGCCATATCAGCCAAAGCTCTGCTGAGGGCTTCTGCCTCATATTCAGTCATCGTGTGTCGAGGTACAGGGCCACGACTTTGAACGGGTGTCTTTGCCGAATCAGCGACGCCGTTGGCCACATTGGGGGTCCGTGATTCAGTCGTCCTATGCTCCAGCTCCACGTTGCGACGGCGCTTCTCCGTGCCGGGTCTCTTTTCCAACCTCGGCAGAGAGGCGGTGGGAACTGGTGCCCGGTCTTTGCCTTTCGATTGAGAAGTAGAAGTTGTGGGTGGAGGACTGCGACTGGCCGTGACTGCTGAGGCCGGCGCTAAAGGCGTTGGCGTGGCTTCGGCGGAGGACTGCCTTTTGGGAGGGGCACGCTCTTCAGTCGGTCCGGAAAGGATACTGGCAAACGACATGGGATCTGCCGCCCTGGTGGGCTTCTAGAAGGAAGGAAGAAAAGCAACGTTAGTGAATGTGAGTTACAAGTAACAAAGGGATAACATACAGTGTCCTTTGGAGGGGAGCTTGCCCGAGGTTCTCGCGCCAGAGAGGATGGGTATCCCATGACACCGTGACTTCCCATCGGGAATTGGGATTCTGATTCTTTTTTGGGCGACGCTTGTGGAAGGCTGTCGGGCCGACCAGCCGGGTGGGCGTGGGACGGAGTGGAGTGGCCGTAGGGAGATGCGCCGTTGCCTGATAAGACGGAGCCAGGGTAGGGCCGAGGAAGAGCAAACTGTGGAGTTCCAGCCGAGGAATGTGCCTGGTATTGCGACGGTGGCTCTGAGGGATGAGAAGAAGGAGGCGCACCGCCGTTCAATGGCGGGAGTGTGCCCGGCAACGGGGAAGGCGCATGAGGGAAGTGAGGGCTCCTGGACATGCTGGACTGAGGGGGGAAAGCAGGAGGCGTCTGAGGAGGATGCTGCTGGTATTGTTCATTATTGGCATAATAAGGACGGCTCTTGTTCGGAGGAGAGTAAACGGGATAGCGAGACTGCTGGGTAGGAGACTGAGGATTGTAAGGCGGAGCCCCCGTCATGGTGGCCGCGTGTGCCGGTAACGCGGCGGCGAGCGTTCGAGGGTGATGCCAGCAATAGGAACCGCGAGGGTGATGGGGAGAGGGAGAGAAAACGTGTTCGGGCGAACAAGAACCGTTACGAGGAACGAGAGCTGGCCATGCGCGAAGGGGGCTGAGAGGTTTTATCTCACGAAGATCTCGATGGGGCGATCACGCGTCGGGTTGGTTGCCGCCGGTCCAGCTATCTGCGGAAGGAATTAATTCTGAGAGGCCTGGATGGGGAGAAGTGGAGAAGGAAGGCTGGAGGTTATTGGGAGGGAGAATGGAGATGAGATGGGAGGCCGTCGATGATGGCGAGGGAGGATGGAGAGAAGAGATGGACGGATGGCGTGGAAAAGGGAGGATCGCCTCACCGGATTGACTGGAATCTTGGGAGGGCTCGAAGTGCTTGTGGTGAGCGAGCCAACAAACCCTCCACGGGTTAACCGTTCCGGACAGGATGCGACAAGAAACACAGGCCCAGCCAAGCCGTGAATGGGCTACCCGATCGGGGAATGGTCCTGGGCCGGCTGAGAACACGGAAACAACCGCAATGCCAGCACCGGAGGACCACGGATGAGTGAAGGCGATGGTAGAAGGTGAAGGGATACTAGTGATGGGGGTCGGTAAGGAAAATGAATGAGTGGGAGGTGATAGCAGATGTACCTACACTAGTAGTAGGTAGGTATCTGAGGTAGATAGATCTGGTGGGTGGATGGTCGTGCTCCCCGGGGAGGGGGGTAAGTGTGGGTGTGGGTGTGGGAGTGATGATCGTTCAAATGGTAGGGATGAGTAGAGAGAAGGGTGTTGGAGAGATGATGGTGGTGGTGCTGGTGATGATGATGATGGCGATGGTTCCAGTATTTTTGATTTTTGCACAGCTTCCCCCCCTTGGGCCAACTTTCCCTCTTTGCCCATCTGTTCCTTCCTACTTGCGTCTTGTTCTTCTGCTCCCCCATCCGATCCCGCACCTGCCCGTATGCGTATTCCCGTTACTTACCACTAGCCGTCTCCCCGAGCCACCACACCTGAAGTTCCCCCAGCTGCTCGATGGCCTAGATACATACTCACTCCCAACCACCTCCGGGCCTGATTGTCCGATATTTGTGTTAATCTATAGAAAGCAGACAATCCGATCACTCAGCTGGATCCTATTCTTTTCTGTGCAGGGGGTTTTCCCGGAGATTGTAACACTCATCTCCATCATTGTCACCTGGTCTCTATCCATCTGGACCATGCCCCTGCTCCGTTCCATGACAGAACCGTGTAGTTCGGTACCGGTATTAACCATCTCCAGACATCATCGCCCTTCGATCGGGACGGTGACGGGATTTCATGGAGCCCACGGCCAATTTACTCAGAGTACTCTTTCTCAACACACTCACGACATTCTATCAGACTCCTGGCCTGGCGGGGCGGTAATTGCGGGTGCTGATATTGTACCCCTCCTGGGGGAATGGCGCTATCTGAAGCGGTTGCAGCTGCATACAGTGCCCGGAGTACCTAGACAGGGTGCTGCTACGGAGGCCTACCAGCGACTTTCGACGTCAAGGATCCATTGTCTCGGGCGTCTCGGGGGTCTGGTACAAGAATACATCATCAATTACTAACCAAAGAGTGAACCGAGCTTTGCTCCCTAAGCGGCTGGGACAAAGTACCAAAGTCTCTGGGCCTCTTAATTGGTAATCAAGTAGGTATTGATATTGACGAACTGGCCAAAGGAACATAGAGCGTGGCAATAATATTAGCCCGCGGCGACGAAGAGCAAGCCTAGTCATTCCTTGAAGCTACCGCCACAAAGTCAAATGCCACGCCTTGACATCCAATGGCAGTCTTTTTATAGTATGTGTTCTCGTGTTGGACTGCGGCTGATAGTCAGAGATCATCACAAGGATTGCCTTGACGGAGAAGAGCTGGAATGCTCCCTAAATTGGTCTTGTTAGATTACCAATGCTACAGTGAACAACCCGGCCTACTTTACGAAGATCTTCACTATATGCATATCATGTCAGGAAACAGGAAGTAGCACAGGATGCATACAGCGCTATGGTTGCTGAGTACAGTCTTGCAAATGCTCGCCCATCTTCAATGCCTCAGACGGCTAGTTTTTCTCTTTCAATAAGCCAAATACTATCCTCACTTTGCTACCGAGCTTTCTAGTATAGCTCTTTCTGTTGCATGTCTACACGGGGATACAGGGCCTGCATGTACTTATAGAGGGGGCATGAAAGGTCATCATTGCACCAACCACTTTGTCTGCAGCCAGGTAATCACATCGATCCCAAGCTTGCTGAATCCTAACAGCCTTAACAACAGCTGGAAGTGCACACAGAGACTGATCCGGTCGAGGGATGGTTGTAGAAGATGCTATAGACGTAGAGTGTGCCTGTTCAAGCTACAAGTGCAGCATAGCTACGGCTAGGTTAGATAATGGCCATTGAGTCTTAAGAGAGATATTTGCAGACGGTATCTCTGACCTTGATAATCAGCCCTATGCACCACATTCGAGGGTGGTCAGGTGATTGCCTCGGAGGTACTCGATCAGGCCATCCTCGCCACGGCCTTCTCTCACCTTCTCAACCTTTATCTAACCGTCGCCTAGAAGCTCTCGCTGCTCAGTGCTCCGAAAAGAACCTACTCCTTATCATGATCATGATATTAGAGCCTTATCATGCCTCGCAATCGCATGCCAGAGTTGCCACTGAGACATTGGTGTGGGATGGGCTGAGCTTAGCGGGTCCTGCGCAGTCTAACAGCAGCAATGGAGCTCGTCCTGCTGGAAGACTGACAAGTGATGACGGACAGCAGAGCACGAGGCTCAATTCATCGTATCTCACTGGAAGGTGACCCCGATGCCGATGCCCGATGAGACGACCAGGGGAGGCGAAACCCTGAGGCCTGAGGCAGCGGTAGGAATGATCGGGCCTCAGATCACCCGTTCCTCCAGGCGTGTCAACCCACCCCGAAACAGGCGATCGGCCAACAAGATTTCCCTCGCTACGACTTGCCTTCAGTGCCTTCATGTTCTGATCGGACCGAGTGATGTGTTCACACTTCGCAGGAGACCCGAAAGGGAAGCTGTTCGTCCGCATCATCCCCGCTTCGCCTTGAACCTTCCGTCGGAACAACCCCTCTTCTCCAAGACTCCAACACGAGCCAGAAGCTACAATTCGGTGCTGTCTCGACCCTAATGCAATACCAGGGGTTGATAACTGCGAGTCTTTATAGCCAGGACCCATTATACGCATCTGGGGTTTCAGGATGTCTTTCCCCCCACGCTTTTCCGCGAATGGGGGACTGCGGAGAGAGCTCAACTGCAATGACGTCTGTCCCGCCTGGCGCCACCGTCCTCAGTGGGAAGTCTCCTCGATGGCACTTTCGCAGCCATGGAACGGAAATTGACCACCGAGCTCCCAGGAAGCCCTACGCGGGATTATCTAGATGTGGCTTTGTGGTACGTTCACTGAGTTGGCCGCGAGGTCTCTTCCCTCGAATCGGCCATTCCGTAAGCCCGGGGGTGGCCTGGCCTGGACCATGAAATGGATCCAGATGCGTTGCATTCATTGCCTCCTTTCACCTGATCCCTGTCACTGATATACTCCTGGGCGCGACGTCACTCCATTCACTTTCGGTGATGGGCGGACATCACCCCACCTGTCCGTCATACCCGGCTACCAGTCCCCGGGGGGGCAACACCACCAGGACGCGTCTGTATAAGATCCTAGAGATTTCCTTGCCTCTTGCCCTGGGAGATCTGGAATATCCGTCTCACATAACCTCATCCGCCTCCCTCAACTTCATATCAACCTTTTCCATCTTCAACTACCCTATCATCCGAACTCGAAACGCCCATCATGACTATCCCTGAAATGCAATGGGCCCAAGTGGTCGAGCAGAAGGGCGGACCGCCCGTCTACAAGCAAATCCCGGTGGGAAAGCCCGGCCCGGACGAGATCCTGGTCAAGATCCGTTACACCGGTGTTTGCCATACCGACCTGCACGCCATGAAGGGCGACTGGCCGCTCCCCGTGAAGCTTCCCCTCGTGGGCGGACACGAAGGAGCCGGTGTGGTCGTCGCCAAGGGTGACCTCGTCACTGGCTTTGAAATTGGTGACCATGCCGGTATCAAATGGCTGAATGGGTCCTGCCTGTCTTGTGAGTTCTGCAAGCAGGCCGACGAGCCTCTCTGCCCGCACGCCTCACTTTCCGGTTACACCGTCGATGGCACATTCCAGCAGTACGCTGTCGCCAAGGCTAGCCATGCGTCGAACCTTCCGAAGGAAGTCCCCCTTGATGCTGTCGCTCCTATCCTCTGTGCCGGTATCACCGTGTACAAGGGCTTGAAGGAGTCCGGCGTCCGTCCCGGCCAGACCGTCGCCATTGTCGGTGCTGGAGGTGGATTGGGATCGCTTGCTCTACAGTACGCCAAGGCCATGGGGCTTCGCACCATCTCCATCGACGGCGGAGATGAGAAGAAAGCTATGTGCGAGAAACTCGGATCGGAGGTAATTCGTTCGTCGTCCATCCCAGCACGTGGAGCTAACATTGCACTAAAATCAAGGCATACATCGATTTCAAGACATCCAACGACGTAGTCGCTGATGTCAAGGCAGCTACTCCTGAAGGCCTGGGCGCCCACGCCGTGATTCTTCTCGCTGTGGCCGAGAAACCGTTCCAGCAGGCGACCGAGTACGTTCGTTCCCGAGGCACCGTGGTCGCCATCGGCATGCCTGCAGGCGCGTATCTTCGATCTCCCGTCTTCAACACTGTTGTCCGCATGATCAACATCAAGGGAAGCTACGTCGGTAACCGTCAGGATGGCGTGGAAGCGGTGGACTTTTTTGCCCGTGGACTGATCAACGCACCATTCAAGACGGCTCCCTTGGAGGAGTTGCCGCGCATTTTCGAGCTGATGGGTTCGTCCCTTTTCCCGCATACCTAATCTTTTCTGTTTAGGCAGTATGCTAATGATGACAATAGAACAAGGCCAGATCGCCGGTCGATATGTCCTTGAAGTGCCTCAGTAAGCAAGCGTGCAACATACACCGAAAGCACTGGCGTTATGGAAGGACTTGACGAGTCTCTCGATCGGGTGGAAGATATCTCATCAACCAGACCTGGACGACGAGCCTCGTGAAGCTACTAGGATGATTTATGATTAATGTCTCGAGACATGTTAATTACTACTACACATGACAAAATCAATTAATCTACTTCTCAAAGCTTACACAAAACAGCCTACCAATACGTACGGAGTACTAGATGCATTCACCTCACCAACTGTCCACATTTGATCTGATAGTCTAGCCAACATTACAGTTTCTCATCCCCTCATTCTCAACCCTTACGGAGTTCTTCCCCATTAAACATACCCCATGGCGAAACACGCTAGAACAACATACATCATCATGCTCATTCCAAGACATACAAGAAGCCACTCCCTCCCTCCCTCCAGATAGATATCCTATCAGAGCATCACCATCATCACGCTCGCAAATCCATTCTATCCAAACAACAATCTCCCTTCGATTCTTTATGCACCATTCCAATCTCAACATCAACATTGAATACTTCCCCGTACAATCTATGCGTTCCTGAATAGCCAGCCCCCCCTCAGCCCGATCCCACCTCAAAGAACGTATCAGATCAAAGTGCCTATTCCCCAAGCCCAAGACTGGAGCAAATGAGACGGTTTTATCATGTTTGGGAAGGAAAACAAATGAAAAAAGAAAGGGAAGAGGGATACATAAATCACAAACACAGCCACACACACACACCCTTTCTAGAATCCAAGAGAGGGGTAGTGGATATGTAGGTGTACAACAGCGAGAGGTACAGAGAGAGATGGGCAGAGAGACAGGGATTGATAGAAAGATGAAGACAGGCGAGGGAGATACATTAGGAGGGATGGGGAGGTAGAGACACCTATGTATGGGGATTCAGACAGATGTACAGATGGAGAGGGGGGTCTTGGTAATACTGCCATACATAGGAGAAATAAACATAAGGAATACACATAGGGGATACACAAATGAGATACACGAATGAGATACACATGAGATACACATAGAGATACACAAATGAAATGAACATAAGAGATCAACAAAAGAAATCCGTCTACCTCCAACGTAAAATTCAAAGCCAAGTTGTAGAAAGAGCGGGCATTTATACCCCAAGAAGAGATTTATCCTACAAGGAAGGATACGAAAAGGAAAGGGAGTCTTCCGCAAAGGTAAGTATCTAGAATTGGAGAGGATAGATACTTAATGAATTGTTCCGATTGATAATACCTTTTTTGTAAAACCCCTTTATTGTAGGTAGATCAAACGGCTACTGTGGATGGCGTGCACTACTGTTATACAATCACTATAATCAAGAACCCAATACGATACTGTAGTATCACTTTTCGTCCTGTGCCCCCATCTCCGACAATGTAGGCGACTCGCTCACCGTCATCTGCGGGCCCTTGTAGACCTTCCGTGCATAAACCACATAATACAACATCGCTCCCAGCCACAGGCTCCCGTTGATCACGATCGTATAGTTCATATCCTGGGCTAGACACACACATCAATTAGTTGATTTCATTTTCAACGGATCACCCAAAGGTAGACAGCAAAGGAAACAAAGTATGAAGGAAACTTACGCGATGGATTTGGCCCCTCAGTCGGAAACATACTCAGGATAATAACGTATGCCAGATACACCACGGCCGTGATAGCAATGGGCTTGCTGAACCATCCCGTATAGAACTCACCCGGACGGAAGCGATCCTTTCCCCAGACCAGACGACTGAGGATGGGTACCATCCACGCGAGGTCGTTGCCGGCGACAGCGAGGGAGAAGAGGGCACTTGTGGCGGCTTCGTCAATGAGGGAGAGGAGACCGAGGACGACGGAGACGAGGACAACGAAGCAAACCATTCTGACGGGTTGGTAACGGACGCGCTTACTGACGTGGCGGAAGAAGGAGGAGAAGGGGAGTGCACCGTCGCGGGAGAAAGCCCAGCTCTGGCGGGAGGCGGCAACAACCTGTATGGTGTGAGTCCGCATAGAGAGAGAGAGAGCAGTTAGAAGGAGGGCCTTACCAGACTTAGTCCCATGAAAAATTGGACGACTGCCACGACGACCATAAATCCGAGGGCGCCGCTCTTTCCGAGAGCGTCATAGTAGATCTGGGAGTGGTTAGTAGGGATGTCTAGTGTGATTGCAGGATATGGAAGGGTTACCTGGGCCATTGGTTGTCCAAAACTCGAGTTCAGCACGGCATTCAGATCAGGATTAATCACAGCAGCAATGATGGCTAGGGAGACGAAGCCTAGCAGCCCGCAGAGTCCCGCAGACCATATGATCCCTAGTGGCACTGCGCGCGCTGCGTGGCTGGCTTCCTCGCTCATGTGGACACAAGAATCAAATGCGCCGATGGTCCAGATAGGTGACATCCATGACAGCATGAAGGTCCAGCCCTGGGGCCAGGTGATGAGGTTTTCGGAGTGCCCGAAAACGTAAGCCCCCGAGTTGATCTGCCCCCCGCGAACAGCCTTACCGATCGGTAGAGCAAGGACAGTGGCCAGGACGAGGCCGATGTTGCTGAAGATACAGGCTGACTGGATCTTGGGCATGATGGGCGCACAGAAAATAGCGATCAGCCCGTGGACAACCACGCAAGCAACGTAGGTGCCATACAGGACAGGCCGAGAGGCAGTCCAATTCCCATCACGCGCGATCGATATGACCGAAAGAAGCATGGTAGCAAATCCGTCTTGCCGAGAGACGTCAGCGATAGAAGGGACGGGAGGCTCATGGGGTTCGCATACAATCAATGGAGCAAACACCGCCAATCAGACCAAGACTATTGCTGTACCCGACGACGAAGCTCAGAGGGTTCTTCCACTTCTCTCCGCTGAAGTAGTGGGTCCAGAAGTACAGTCCACCGGCCGTAGGCATCGCGGAGGCGAGATCGGCCTAGGTTCAATGGGAGATGAGCGTCAGCATGATCCACAAAGTGTGTGTGTATGGGAAGGGCTTGCGCATCAAGCATACCATCGCCAAAGCAACAATGAAGATAAATACACTTGCCGCAAACCACCCTGCAGGAACAGTCAAACCAGGGCCTTTGTTGCACGAGACGACATCTAACAGCCTTACCCTGCCTCAAGTTAGCCCAGAACCTCACACAGAGCCAGCTACGTGGCCAACCATACCCAAACCATGCCCACGGGGCCCGCCGGGATCGAGTATGAAAGCGTCGACGCGATTGACGGGAGCAGACCCATAATACTAAAGGCGATCGCAAAGACCTGCACGGTGGAGTAATGGCGACGAAGCTCCTGTTTGTACCCCAGAGCAGCTTGTCCGATCAGCATCGAAATCGCCAAAGCAACAATGCACACAAAGCAGCATACCCAAAAGCTGCATGTCACCCTGCTCGACGGGAGGATCGTCGCTCGCTGTCTGAACAGTCTTCGACCCCAGATCCATGGCGGGCGACTTCTCCGCCATTGTTTCTGCCATTGTGAACGGAACTAAGCAAATGCCAGCTGCAGCAGAGGAACGCAGGGAGTTGCACAGGTCGGTGACAGCTCGGAGTGGGGATCTGCCAGCCGCTATATAACTGGGTCAGGCGTCCTGCCTCCTGCGCAAGTATCTATAACCCTCGCGTCCGAGGGAGCACGGCCGATGATCCTTCCTCAGATAAGCCCGACAGGTCGGTCGAGTGGCGTGGCATTGTCGCACCAGCTTCGGTCGTGCAATGAACGGGACCATTCCACCTGGGGTTGCAGCTTAGGCTGCTATCGTGTTCTTATCGCCGGGGCACGAGCATATCATCCGAGGAGCCAATCTGGAGTTCGAGACAAGCATATGGCCTGATAAGATGCCGCGCTGAACGGAAGACATCATTCGGAAACGGAATCGACGGAGGAAACTGGGGAGGATTCCATGCAATTGGGATGGAATGGAGAAATTGGCGGCCAGGCCAGCCGATAGATAAGTCACGCGCGGGCCAGAACGATTGGTCGGCGAGACGGGGGCCGGGCAGGGGTCTTATCTTGGGTTTACTGGGGGCTCTCCTGGCCTCCCTGCCGTCATCAGTTCACCTACTGCCGGGCACCATCAGAGCAAGGAGAGAAAATGTCTCGGTCATTCATATCTAAACGAACACGACAATCGTACACGATGACATGCGTCCAGGGTGTCCAGACCCTGCTATGCCAAAGAAACAATGCAAAAGCAGTCTGCGCCGGTATATAGCGGATATACAAGCGCCACGATAACAGAGGATCGTCGGCCAAGGCTCCCCCCCCCACTTATCGCAGGAAGGGCTAGCTACAACCACCGACAGACCCGAGGAATCGAACAGAAGGAAACCATCCCGGACGGAGCGGGAGGAACAAATGAACAGAAGATGGAATCATGGATTATGAGTACACGCAGAATATCATCTAAACAGCCCCAGGCCCCTTGTGGTTCGACTGGTCCAGCAGCAGTCGAGGCTTGATATAGTCCTCGTCCAACTGTCGGAACCACGCCGCGTGGTCCCCGGAAGGTCCCCCCGAGAAGAGGTCTCGGATGGCATCGCGGGCACTCATCCCGACCGTATCCCGTCGGTTGGGAGAGGTGCTGGCGGGAGGGGTCTCCTGCGACGGCCCCAGATACTGTTGCGGTTGGGACGGTGATCGTCGGAGTCGCGAGGTCGCCGGAGCCGGGGCGGACGGAGGGAGATCATCGTCGGACGGGACATCATCCACATCGAGGTCGAAGGAGTCCAGTTGATCAGCATCGGCCGCACGACCCTTCCCAGTCGTCCTCAGGCCAAACTCATCCTCACTAGCCGCCTCACTGTCGCTATGGCTTCGGGCGCCACCTCCCAGCAGCGTGGCCGCCGAAGAACGATCACGCGCCGTATCTCGTTGACTGTAGGCGTTGGAATAGAGTCGAGCATGCCCGCGAGTTCGGCCCGAGCCGGAGGGTGGAGGACTAGGACGACGGTTGTTGCCGCTCGAATAGCTGTTGTTCCGGTCAAGATCGCCCCGCGGCACACCGTCCAGCGGAATGGTCGAGTCCAACCGGCGAGGCGTGTATCCCAGGCCTGTATCAGAGCGTTTGTAGTAAGTTCCGCCGTTGGTGACCTCGATGTCAAATTCATCATCCGACTCGATCTCCTCGACAACGCCGGTCCGGATCCCCAGAATCTCCAGCATACGGGCCGTCGTACCGCCAAAGATGATGACTGTCAACACCACTACAACGAGAACGGTGGCTCGCAGGGCTGGAGCATTAACTCCTTTGAGGCCGGCGGCCAACGCCACACCGACAGCTCCACGCAGACCCGCCCAGAAGAGCATGGCCTGGTAGGCAAAGGGTAGCTCGTCGGCAACATCCATGCCACGGCGGCGTGCTCGGTATCGGATGAACCAGTTGATCGCCTTGGACAACGGGAACACCGCGAGGTATCGTGCAACACAGATACCGAAAACCGCAACGAGGATGAACAGGGGCTTGAACTGTAGATGTCTTTGAACAAGCAAGTCAAGACCAAGATAAATGAAAATGAAGTTCTCCGACAGCTGCGCCATTACCTGGAAGAGATACTTCGTGGTAAGTTGCGTCCGACGCGACATGTTGTAGTATGCATAGTGCTTGAGAGTGATTCCACAGAATAGGAGAGAGACAATGCCTATCGAGATTAGCTTGCTCGTCCTGGAAGGAACAAGCAAATTGGCTATCACTCACCAGAGAGGTAGACACCATTCGAGAAAAAGTAGCTGGCATAGGCGATGAGGACAATCAAGCAACTCTCAATCTTGGGCTGGCGGCGCACATGCGTGTACTTGAGTCCCAGAGCAGTCATGATGCCGACGATGATGCCCACCATCATACTACCAAAGAAAACAAGCAAGAACACCCCAATAGCCTCAAACAGATTCAAGAAGGTCAAGGAGCCCGCATCACTGTCGGCGTACTTCTGCGCGGTCTCGAATAACACAATGGCGATCGCATCGTTCAAGATCGACTCGCCAAAAATGACCGTATAGAGCTTCGGCTCGACTTTGTAGAGGTTGAAGATAGCCAAGATCGTCACTGGATCCGTCGCTGAAAGCGTGGCGCCCACCGCGATCGCCTCGACGAAGGTAATATTCAAGCCATCCAACGGAATCCTCGTCCAGACAAACAAAACCAGTCCCAGCACAATAGCAGAGATGAACGTTCCCGCAAATGCGAATGTGAGGATAGTACCGATATTCCGGAAAAAGTTCGCCTGGTGTAATTCGTAGCCCGACGCCAGAATAATCGGAGGCAGGAGAAGGTTGAAGAAAAACTGATAATCGAAGGTAACGCTATCTTGGATGGGAGATTCGGGACTCAACCGGATGATCAACCCGACAAACATGCCTAATGTGAGATCCATCTGTAAGCGCTCATCGGCCATCACGGAGTCCGAAACCAAGCAAACAAAAACGATCGACGTACCCGCAAAGATAGACAGAACCGTTTCATGGACCGCCTGGATCTTCTTCTGTTGAAGAATGTAACTCGTAAATAGTGCGAACATCAGCAGCATAATCAGGATGAAGAGCGCCCAGGAGCTGAAGAACTCCTTGTCGCCGGCCTCCGGAGCATCAGCTGTACATCGATACTGTCAGAACCAAGAATCTCGTCGGAGGAAAATGCGATGCGCATACCATCATCGGGGTCGGTATCAGAGTCCACAGCTCGTCCTGGTAAGCATGAGTCCGTTAGTTATCGTCGAGTTCTCCGACCGCGTCTGCGTCACAAGGGGCTGCCTTCTCTGAGGGGGCAGTCTCCAGGAACCCCCCTCACGATGGCAGCCGTCATAATATCCATAAGAGAGTAAATAATGGTCGCATAGGATAACAGAGACATACGGAGCAAGTGGTGCAACACGTCGCCCATCACTTGGCCAGCCATTGTTGCGATGTCCTCGCAACCACCACGCGAAGGACCGTTAACGCCGAGCAGCGAGTCTCTGGCACCAGGACCAGGCACACATAATCCGCCGATCACAAAAGCCTGGGCGGAGGGCAGAAAGACACGATGAGACCGCAAGCGAGTGACCAAAGAGAAGAGTGAAGCGAAGGCAGGCTGAGGAGTAAGGGACAAGTATTCGTCAACGCCCGCCGGAGTCCCGCCTGGCCAAGAGCCGACGCTGTTCGGCCCGCCGATCCTCCTGGCGTGTGACGTCGCCTTCTATTGATCATTATTGACGGCGACGGCTTTTTTTTGCTTTGCTTTGCTTTTTACCTCCCACAGCACACGCACCTTTTCATCTACGCGTGGTACAGAGTCCTCAATGCATACCCAATAGTATTCATGTCCTATGCTAACCACTACTCAAAACGCCCTCCTACTGTGAAACATTTACTTTCCGTGCTCCCTCGGTAAGCCTGCTGGTCAAAACGGCCGCAAGGACGGCCGCGCAACCACCGAATCTCATCACCCACCCGACGCTATCATCCCACGGCTCTCCCCGAGGCTTTTGGAACGCCTTGAAGATCGCACTGGAGAGCAGACTGGAAATGATCTGGGGCGCGGAGATAGCTACATTGTGAAGCCCCAGGATGATCCCCGCCTGGGCCAGATTCTCCTCCTCCTCGACTTCTCCCGCCTTTGCAGCGGGCGTGGCAGAGCCATTTTCCAAATCATGACCGTCGGGCAGGGGACCGGCCGTACCGTTGGGGGGCTGAGCATCAGATCCTGCGCCCTCAGTCTGATGTCGTCGGATCCGACGCTCGGTGTCAATGCGTGAGACCTCCGCAGAGATCAGGGCAAAGGGTGCCCAAAGCGTCAACGCCCAGGAGATCCCAACGATCCCGATCACCACCGTAGCGGCTTGATAAGAGTAGATGAAGAAGGTGCTGAACATGCAGACAGCAAACAGTACGTGCGACAAGAGCCACGCACGGCGTAGGGTGAACCCGGGAATCTGCAACTTCGACAACCACTCCTGACCCTCCCCAAACTTGCTCTCCCGAATCCCCGAGAAGTCCGCGGGCGGCTCCATCGCCGTGCCTGCCGAGGATGTAGAGATCCTCCGATTGAGGAAGGGCTCTTCCTCCGACTGGCTCTCAGTGGGCGTGGGGTCGGGAGGAACAACAGACTTGTAGGTAGGAACAACCAGTATTGGTAGCGTCAAGTTGGTCACGAACGAGACAATTGCGTAGACGAGCAGCGCAAAGGTCCCAATCCTGGTAGCCTCCTCCCACGCTTTGTTGATGTCATCGTCCGAGAGACCTGGGTGTCCTGCAAAGATGGGATTGACAAAGAGCTGCCCAATGTATGTTGTGGAATAGAAGAGAAATGGGAACCAACCCACCCACGCAGCAAGCTGGACCTCACAAACCTTTGCAATCTCTGGCGGTAGATGCCTGATCGACTTGAAAACTTGTCGGAAAAAGGTGATCACACCAGGATTTCCCGACGGGGGAAGTCCCTCGAGGCGAGGGTCGCGTTCCTTGATGTACAGGCAGCTAACCAACAATGTGACTGCAAGCGCAAAGGACGCCAATGCGCACAGCACTTTAAACTGCGTGTTTCCAAGAAATGGAAAGTATTTCGGCAGGTCCATGTATCCAAAAATGTACCCAAGAATGTTACCAACGCCGGTGAGCCGGCTGGCCCATGCATTTGCCGACTCTTGCTGGTGTGAAGGTGCATTGTCCACGATAAAACACCGGATGCCTGCCTGCACTACACACCCACAGTCATCTTAGGTTTGAACGGAGGAGGAGAAACACAGGGAAGCCCTACCAGTATTTACAGAAAAATCGAGGCAGTACATCAAGATGGTGGCGAGCACAATAACCACCGTCTGTGTTGCACTGGAGGCTGGATCAACGCCAAATAGCCCAAGAATGCCTCCAGTCATCTCTTTGACCCAAGCGAGGGCCAGAAGTGAAACAACTGTCGCCACACCGCCCACCACCATGAACGGTTTCCTCTTGCCCCAGGATATGCGACAGTTGTCACTGCAGATGCCAATATACGGCTGCACCAGGGTACCTGTCAAGGGGCCAGCGATCCAGACGAATGCAAGCAGAGCCTTGCTCATTCCCAGCGACAGGAGGTAGGGCTACGCTCAGAGACCAGGGTTAGCTTGTGATGCCCATAATGGATGTAGCAATGCTGGTAGCTTACCGATCCATTGGATAGCTCGGTGGACCACACAACCTGGAGGCTAGAATCATCTCGTCAGCCCTGGTGGGACCATACGACACAAGGGTCCCGTTCTAGATCGCCGTCGAACTAGCTACTTACCCGCCAATGCTTAATGTCAACAGAAACAGGTACCAGCTGCTCTTGGTCTCCGCGACAGGGTGGGTATTCTCAGCCCCGCTGGACCCGTTGGATTCTCCATTGCTTGACATCGGACGCCCTTGATTATTGTCAGATGCTCTTACCAAAGGGGACGTTTCGTCAGCGAACCGCTCATCTGTTTGTGTCATTGATCTAGTATGGCTGGCCACAGCGATCCCCTTGTTACAGCCTTGGACTTGAGGGAAGCTAGCGTGTGAGACTATCCGACTCTTTTGCGTTAGTCATTCATGGAAAAGCCCCGAGGATGCACACGGAACTATAGGATATGATTATTAGACGCAATAGACCCAAGAGTTCGGAAGGCCGTGGTACACAAGCTAGTCCAGTATACAATGCAACTGTCCTGCTGCTTCTTCCTACCAGAGGCAGAAGTAAATGATATAGGCAGAGTAAATGATATAGGACACAATAGTCTGAAACAGCCTGCTGTGACTTGGATGAGAACCCTGCTGTTGTGTTCGTCGGAGGCAACCGTAGGCAGGCGAGGATGGGTGTAGCTGAGGTAGTATACTGTCGAGCGTATGGCACAGATATCAACTCCTAGACATGCTGCACAACGAACAGACCCGAACAAGAGCCAGCCGTAAAGGAGAGGAGAAGAAGAATCCCAGGCGAACACGGTCGGGGTGACCAGACGACGATGCCATGTAAAGTCGGGGCGACGTCAGCAGGCCCGACACGTGATCGCCCCCGATCTGGACAGTGGACACGAGTTCGATCGATCCAGTGCGGAGGATGCGGAGGCCACCGAGTCGCCTGACCCCATCGCTTACTCCAACTGTACGAGGCTAGGCGCTGACCACCGCGTGGGTTTCATTACCGTTTGATTCATATCTATATGTATGTGCTCAACCTATTCACGCCCGTCGCAGACACTGTTCCCCTCTCTCGGAATATCTATACTGGAAGAAGCTTCAAATCCAACACCCCCCGGCTGTCCGCTAGAGGTGTGCCTGGGGAGTGGCAAAATATCCCACGAGAAAGATAGCCTTTCGAAGCTATGTGCCCCTTTTGTTCAACCCGCATCTTGTAAAAATCCAACCTCCCAAAAATCCCATAACAAAGAAAATGAAATAATACAAGGAATCCCATTATCAACATAGCACATGAAGCAAAGAAAAAAAAAATAGTAGAAAAAGAACCAGGAACCGGACCGTAAACCAAAAAGGAACAGGGTGAGATGTAACAGCGACGATTATGGTAAGAGGTCGCAGCACACCCACCACGGGCAACAAAACCATGTAACGCTTATTATGGACAACCAAACCCAAAGCGACCGCAAATAGAAGACAAAGGAAGAGTTCAATCCGAATCTGGAAACAGCCCCGTCGTCAGTCTGGCGACAGGCCGGAGAAGCAGGAGATTCAATCCTGCAGAAAACCAATGCTGTGTCAAACAAGCCTCGGCGACGTGGCATGATCGGACAGGAGCCACAAAGCCGAACAGCGCGCACTTGGTGATGCAGTAAGTCACAAACGGAGAAAGGACATAATGAAACGCCGACACACCCCTTGTCCCTCGTTGAACTTAAACGGGAACAGAGTGTAAATGGCCGATGGGCGAGAAGCAAGAACACCCGTGATTACTGAACAGGGGGTCAGGTGACAAGTCTTGGAAATCTTGATGAATCGATCATTCAGGAATCCACCAGAAGGGTCCCTCATAGTTGCTGCTGCAGAAGTTGGGGCGCAATCATGTGGGGAGCAACCATTGTAGGCATCGCCGATGGCAGGGTCATTGCGGAGGGCATCGATGTCATGCCAGAAACATTGACCACGGCTCCTGAGACAGACTCGGATGGTGAGGATCCCTCATCGGGTGAAACAAATCCGTTCTCCTCATTTTCCAGGTCGTCCTCATGTCCGGAGAGGGGCTGCTGCCCATCCTGTTGAGCCTCGTGAATCCGACGATGTCTGTCATCTAGTTCAGCATCCTGCGGTTGCAGAGAGAAGATACATTATGGACTTACTGTGCCAAGTTATCTGACCGAGAGAATGCCTTGTTGCAGTATGGACACGGGTAGGGTCTTTCTTGGGTGTGTGTTCTCACGTGCCTAGACATTCCGTTAGTCGGCGGCTACAGAACAAAGGCATTGACGCTGTCATGGATCCTTTCAGAGAGACCGGACCAATTGACGAGCGGCTAAAAATAGGTTTCTGCCACTTACCGTTTCAAGTGCTCTAATCTCTTGAAAAGCCGCCCGCACGAAGGAATGGGGCAAGAGTGCGACTTTTGCGGGTAGGGGCCGAGCTCCATCATGGTAGCGCTCCGAGCACGACGAAGGGGGCCAGGAACGAATCGTTCCGTCTTATTCGTCGCACTGTTTTGGACAGAGACATCCAACACCTCACCACTAGGAAGGGGCGCTAGTTCATCCGGTTGGTTTGCAAGTGCCAACGCACTGTGCTCCGGGTTTTCCTCTAGGCTCGGCAGCGGGGTGCTGTTGCGAGACATCTCGTGCAGCAGGTTCTTCTGAGGAAGAACTGCAGTGCGGTACCCATTAGCGGATCTGTATGATGGGTCATGGTGAGACTCATCTACTTCCACCACCGGGGCTACCGAGCTAGAAACGGAACGACGAAGGTCGCTGGGTTTATGAGCAGCATATGCGACAGCTTGATTCGGTGCGCTAGTCACCTGGGCGTGGGCAGCACCAACACTGGTGATACTCGGAGGTATAGAAGACCGGCGCCTACGTTGCTTGTACGTAGGGGACCCTTCGATCACCGAGTAAACATTTGAAGGGAAGGTTCTCGCAGGAGGCGGGTAGTGAGCGCTGGCGAGGTTTGACGGGGGTAGTTGCATCATCGGATTGAATGTAGTTGCGGAAGAGATGTCGGGGATAGCGGTGTAAAGACCGGTGTCTTCGTTGGCGATGTATGCCGGCTCGGCTCCAAGGTGAGCGCTGTGCTGAGGCGGCGTGACAGGCTCGAATGACAGACCCCGGTTGCTGTAGTCCTCATACTGAGACGAAACGAACGAGGGAGCGGGCGAGTATTCGACGAAGGTAGGCATGGAGGCGTGGCGCTGGTGGATACGAGCAATGGGCATCCCATTGCGGTCGTACTGGATGTGCCCATATTCTGCTTCGCGCTTAATAACGCTCTGGGCCAGGGTGGTGGGCATGTGGACCGGGTTGTACATCGCCGGATTGCCCGACTCGTCTGGGAGAAGGGGTAGCGCAGGGGGAGCCATCTGGGGAGCCATCTGGGGAGGAGGCATAGCGTCAACGGTCCGAACCACTGGGGATGCGGGTTGGCCATATGTCGTACTTGCGTGTGCAGCAAACGATGAGGAATTTGCTTGTTGTGCCTTCGTAAGTTGTTCATACAGCGATTGAGATGAATCAAACTCGAAAGACAGAGCAGGCTCGCTGACCGCAACAGTGGTAGCCTCCTGCCCCATTTTCTCCCGCTTCAGATCCCGCTCCAACGCATCGAGAAACAGCCGGTCGTGGGGCACGCTGTACCAGTAGAAGACTTTCTGCTTCTTCTGGGTTCGGATGCAGTTGTTCTTGTAGAGGAAGTCGAGAAACGGGCTTTTTGGTTCTTCTAGAGTGGCATCAGTTCCGGCCTTGAGGTTTCGCAAGTCCGAGAAGATACCCTCCTCGAACTTCTTCGAATTCTTCACGGGGCGCCCGAAGGCCTGGAACCTGAATGCGAGGCATCTCACGATGTCGGTGCCGGAGATGTGGAAGAGGTTGTTCCTGTCGTCAATCAGTCCATGCCTCCCCTTGACCAGCTGTCTGACATGTGATGGTCCCAACTAACCATAGAACGCAAGAGATATAGTCACCCGTAGGAAGCAAGAATCGCCGGATAAGTTGATCCGCATGCCAGTCCACCGGCGCCGACAGGAGGAAGTATTTGACTATACCAAGGACAGACCACCGGTCAGAGGAAGTTTGAAAGAGCAGAGCATTGCAGTGGTGGCGGAAGGGCAACTTACGGTTGTCAACTTGTTGGAGCGCGACTTGCGCGTCATGTGGCAGGCTCTGCTGGGCCTCGCTTGAAAGCATAAACGTCTCCGGCTTTTGGGGGGGTGCCATAGGGGCACCGTGTTGAGAATACATAGTGGAGATGTGATACAGTGGTCTGTCGGGGAATCAGCCAAATCTTAAAACTGAGGTTTCCTTGCCAACACAGGGCGAACAAAGGGCCATTGGAGCGGCGGTCCAACGGGGTTGCAGCACCGGTTGGGCAGAGCAAGGAGTACGCACAGTCACAACACCCGGTTAGGAAAGCGGACAAACAACCTCTGGGCAGGAATCAAGGGGACCGATTCGGAGGATTGCTATAAAAAGATAGAACCGTTTGGATGGGGGTGTTCAACGACGGATCGTGAAACACAAAGGGCGATCCAAACGCAGAACAGAGGTGCCAGCCTCTTGTATGAAGAGTACCGAGTTAGGCGCTGACGTTTGCCGACCCTCGTCAACAAAGGGCAAATGAAAGGCAGGGAGGGAGAAAGAGAGCAACAGAGAGATGCACTGGGCCAGCCCGATTACAGGTCTCTTGAGATAACTCGCACGGCGAAAATGGAAATGAAACGAAAGGAGGTGAAGAAGAAGAGGAAGAGGGGGAAGAAGAAGGAAAAAACAAGAGGCCAGTCGCGATGAAGAGGGGGAGAAGGGAGGGGGAAGAGGAAGAAGGAAGAGGTGGAGGATGAGGTAGGACTTGCTTTTTTACAGCAATGAAGAGGTACAGGTCAAGTATGGGCCAGGCAGTCGAGTCGGGAAGCGGTAATAATAATGTCAATCGATAAAATAATAATCTAACAATAAATAATAAAATCGGGAAAAAGAACAATAATAATAATTTTAAACGACCAGCCAGTGTCAAGGACGGGACTTGGGGACTTGGGACTTGGGAGAGGAATTCAGGGAGCGCCGCCGACCGAGACCCGCGGATCGAGTCGCCCACCTCAGGTGGAAAGCCGCCCTTCTGGAGTCCGTCTCTCCTGGGCGGCTTTACTCTCTTCGTTGGTTGGGCTCCGGGAAACGCGCACGGCGAAAAAGTAGGGCTTTCGACTGGAAAAAAAAAAAAAGCGGAGACACTGGCGCCAGGGACCGAGTTCAGGGAAAAAGAAGGAGGGATTGGAAAAGGACTGAAAGTCTGAGAGCCTGAGGGAGAGGGCCTCCCGGTACCAAACTTACGCTCTAGTACCCATACCGTACCGGTCGCTGCCCTTACCGAAGCCCCCCAACGAGTCCAGCGAGTCCAACGCCTTGAAGTGGGGTCGGCTGTACGAGATTCCCGGTATTTAAACGGTTAGATACCATACAGCAGAGTGGGGCTGCCGCCGAGTTCCAAAGATTCCAATCCTTCCCATCCGTTATTGTTGCCGGGCCCGTCTCCTGGTTGGGTTAGCCTGCCATCGAGTTGCTAAACTTATCAATAGAAACCTGCTGGAGAGTTGCAGTCGTCGTGCTCAGCGATGGGAACCGTGATTGAAGTGAAAGCTACACGTAGATGTGTGTTGGTGGTCCCTCGTCATTCTGCAGGTTATGCTCCTCCCAATTCCCAACTCAAGCCAATGGCATTGGCGGGTTTACCTCCCTCCTCCGACTTGGCCGCATTGTTTTAATATGACGAGCGCTTGCTGAAGATATCTTACATCATGGGCCGCGTGAATTACGGGCTTGCCATGTGTGGGGGAGGTGTGGCTACTGGCTAACCTTAGGAATGGCAAACACAACATGGAAAGTGGGGATCGTCCGGTAGCCTAGGCATCTTGACCTAACTGCTGGGAATTCGGAATTACAACCAGAATAGGACACCACTCATCCTGCAGCTTCTGGGGAGGAGACTTCACTCTTAACACAAGTAAGCTCTATCTCTTGGCATCCATCCTCTACCATCGGAGGCTTGGGAAAAAAGGGGAATCAGGAGAAAGTCCTGGGTAGATAGTCCTGGGCTCTTGTGAATTGTGTAGGGTCGGACATGCATAACCGTAGGGGCGCACGGGCGATTGTCCCCTCCGTCCGTCTTCAGTCGAGCAACGATTTTGGGGGCGTCATTCTTCTTGGGGGCCGTTTGGCCAGGTTTACGGAGTAGAATTCTGGCCTATCCAGGCATTTCCCACACCCACCACCGACCCTCCCGCTGCATCTCCCGGCGGCTATGATGTCCGGGCCCCATCAAATGAAAGCGAGGCGATGCGGGTTGCTTAACCGCCCAGGTGATGGCCAACCCTCGAGAGCTTGCCTGTGCCGGCCGTGCTGCCGCTGGTCGAGGATGAAAGCAACAAATGCGCATCACTGGGAGGCCGCCCTGGGGTGGAACCAAACCATGCCAAGCCTGCACACCCGATCAAACTGGCGCGGGAAACAATCATGAAGCATTCGCCCCTTGTTTCAGGTTCCTGGTGAGCGCTTACCCTCCGCCAATGGGCGTCATCGTTCATCCCTTCCAACCCACTATTCAGTGGCCCCAACTGAACAATCCACTTTCCAGTCATGGTGGTGGTGGTGGTGCTCCTCCCCTCCCTCCGAGATAGGTTCCTTGCCTGCCGACCCTGGAGCTCCTAGCTAAGGGCTGATATCACCTTCGTTGCTTGTCTGTAGTCAGTATGACAGAGTCCAACCTGGCCTCCTTATGTGGTTGGATGTTGGCGGCTATCATCATCCGATAGTGTTGCCCGGCATGGCAGTGTTGTATTACTAGCATGGCTCATCTGATTGTCCGACGAGCATACCTAGTAGTACCGCCGGCCTGTCTGACAGGTGAATTGTATGCAGGGTTGTATGCGGGTTTCCGAACAAGGAACTCTTCAGAGGCCCGACAGACAACGCTACTGCTTGGGGGTGGATGACACCAAAAATAAACCGACTGATCTTACTTACATGCTGGTTCGACTGTGGCGCAATGATGTCTATACCACCAGAGACTAGACTAGCCTGTAGGGAGGGCTACCGAAGGAGTTGGATGATATGCTTTGCCCCTTCAACTTGCATATGGCCCTTTTGTTAGGAAGATCACGGTATGGATGCTCTCTAGGCACCCACGACTCCGTACATACCCCTCCCAAGCACAGTAGGAGGCTTAGCTCCTGGTAGTACTATTTAGTAGCCTACAGCGTCCAACGCCACTGCCACCAAGGGACGCATGACCAGTGAGATTCGCCGCTCAAGGGCCTGGGTGACTCGAGAGAGGACTAGGCCGGTACTCCGTACTTTCTGCCATTTCGAGTCTCTAGACGTATACACCGTACAGATGATCAGTAGGTGATCCATCACCAGCACCCCGGGGAACCTGACAGCAAGCGCAACGCCCATTGGCCCACCAGCGACGGCCTGCAATAAAGATTAATATCGGGTACAAATTATCGCGATCGACCAGATCACATCCAGTCTCTTTTAACCAAAATGCAAACGATCTAAATTAAATCGCACTCAGTATGGGGGCGGGTTATCCGAGCTCAATTTTGAGACATCAAGGTTTGGTCCGTGTACATCAATATAATGTAAATCGATATTACGATCGTGCTGATGGAGTCAGTATCTGTATCTATGGTGTAATGATCAGAGGCGCAAGATCTGCCTCCGTTTCTCTCATCATCTGACTGGGTGAGTAATCGTTGGTATGTCAGCAATGATATAATGATCGCCCTGGCTGCATACCAGGCTTAATCAGAGGACTATGATAGGAGACGAATGCGGTAAGTTAGTCGAGTCCCATATTCCGCGCACTTTGAGCAGAACTATTTTGCTTGACGCAATTACCATGACAAATTCATGGGATTTGTTTGCTTAGGGGGAATGAAGAAAGAAGCGGTGATGAATAATGCCCTAGTCAAACCCAAACCACCCCCGAGACCATGCCATCATACGGTCAGGACGTTGAGCATCAGGGGTGGGTGATCTGCGTAAACCCAAAAGATTGATGCGAAAAACGGCGAAGCTTAATCGCCAAGCCCTATGGAACCCAGTTCCTCTGGTCTATGGTAGGATGTGCTTCCCGAAAGTCAGTCCGGAGGACGCCGTAGTGGCATTATTTGCCCCTATATTCCGGATTTCGTACTTTATCCCGTCTTCAGAGGTTAAGGACGCTAGTAGGTCGACTGGTATAGAGGCATGGGTGCAGCGGTGCATGAACGGTCTCGCGATCATTGGCCCGATCGTTGGGATCATTATGTAAGTGTTCTACTCCACAGTTTCGGCCGAAGCTGAATAGGGACGCAGCGCTACATCCATCGTCGCGGTGCACTGTGCAGACTGCAACGACTGCGTAGGTTGGAAAAGGGGGGCATCGTAAGTGTGCGATTCAAGAGTGATCAGGGGATTACCAAGAAGTCACAAAAATAGACGGGCTGATATCTGAGCACTGTCATCGATCAGGGTCGGTGGGATAGGACCCCTTGCTAACTCTGATAAATTCTCCGAAGACCCAGCTCACTGCCGGAGGCTGGTTGCTGCATTGGGGGCAAGCCCGATAGTCCGAGGGGCACCGACAACCTTTCATTATTCACGACCGTGAGATATCGGAAGCCAGAATCTTTAGTTTCAATGCCGCGTCGGAGGCTCGGGGCAAACTACGTAAGACTGTCAGTACTCAGGCCTCGGAGATGGTGCGTGGAAGGTGAGAATGACGGAGAAGGAATGGGGATAAGCTCATCGCGATGGAGTCAAGGATGGCTCGATTCGGGTGGAAGAGGTCAAAAAGGTCGAAAGGGTCGGCAAGATGGCGAGACTGAGTTAGCCAGGCAAATAGTGTACTTAGCACTTACTAGTGGGTGGTGACTAGTGAGCGACTCCAGTCTCCAGGTCTCCGTCTCCCCTGACGGTTGAAATCCTTCCAGACCCTAAATGCCCCCAACTGGGGCCACCAGACCGGATTAGGCAATTGTGCCTGAATTCCACGGAATTCTCGATGGCCCGACTGGGGCCATAAATTACGGGCCACCGTTACCGGTTGTTGACCTTAGTCCCCCGGCAGTATTACCATAATGCCCATTCTTATTACCGACTCGGCTTCTTCTTTTGAATTCTTATTATTATTATACTTTGTATTATGATAATAAGAATTATACTCTGGCAGGAAATGAGGCACCCAGGCACGGGAATGCTTGGCCCGCTCTGTGCAACGGGACTTGGGTTTGATCGTCCGCCCTGAAACCATCTAGAAAAGTCCAGTACTGTTCCAGGCTTCTGGCATCCGTCACTGTGCCATGTTCCCCCCGGGCAAGTACGACCCGCGACAGCCTCTCTCTGCGCCGGAGTCGGCCTGCGCTGGTACGCGGAATTCCAGATAGTGGACACTCCCTAGGCAGCTCAGGACGATCAAACATAGGACGGGCCACCGCTAGGTCCATTCCGGAATCTACCTTCCATTCTGACGATAGCCCGTGTATCACATCCAGCTAGGAAGCTAAACTGGAGTAGTGTTCAAGATGAAACCTGCCGGTGTGACTCGAGAACGTGCGGGGGAGGTTGAGGCGCATCCATCGGCTTACTGTCATGTCTCTAGTGGGATGCGCCGGGAATGCGCCGTCGCCAGACTGATCCGGTCAGCCTGCTGTATCAACTATCTACGGAATACTTGGATGCTCCCCAGTCCTGGCTGGCTTGGTCTGCATCGTCTGCCTTCCCAATAGTCGACCTTCGAAAGGAGTCGGACTATCCTAGAAACTGACAGAAATCCGTCGACCATGCGAATAAACATCCCGAGTCCCAAGAGAACACCATTGATCCCTAGAGGGCCTCAGGGCAATTCACCGAATGAAAAGGCCGGGTATATCGGAATAATGGGGCTGATCAGCGGCCTTATTCCCTCGCCGTTTAAACCTCGGGGCATTAGATTTAGAATTCGCGGTCCATGGACCACCTTTGGGTCTGGCTTTCTGCCCAGCCTATCGATCGATCACGCGGGCTACACTGATCGCTCCAATTCTCCATACTTGTCAACTCCTCGATATTAAAAACCTCAAATGGCTTTCCGACCTATCTCACGGTCTACGATGATGCTATCACACAAGGGAGCGCAATGGCACAATGCCAAGCGGACAGTCCAGCACTAGCAGCGGGGATTACGCATTCTTGCCCACGTTCCTGCATGAAGGAACATATAGCGGCACTTCCAATGGCTAGATATTGACGGAACAGCCCGCATCAGACTATCCGGGCAAAAAAACGCTATGGGCACATATTCGGCTTCATGCGGAATTCGGCAGAGTTCCGTTATTGGGGGGGGGGGGGAAAGGATTAGGAGCCCATGACAAGAAGTCAGTGGGATTCCAGACCTCCCCCTGAATTGCATTGACTAGAGCCTGCACGGGCACTACGAGTCGTGACTCGGGATTTCTGACTCGTACTAAGCGACGTTTCCAGGCGACCGGGGAGCGAAAGTGCCCAAGTACACTGCTGGGAAGGGTTACGTGCAGAATCTGAAACGACGACGATGTTTCCCTGTCCCGCCTCACAGCTTGTGGTTCGTGCAATGGCACGAGCTTGCAGAGCTGGAGTGGGGGATGACTAACGCAGCCATCCATCACATCACTAATATGAAGTAATGACGCTGGGGGGGGTTTTCCCTCTCGGCTTCTCCATTCTTCCCTTCACGGTAGCGGTACCTGGACTAGAGGGTTGGAACCATGGGACTGCCTCAACGCTAGCCTATTAATATCGGGAGATGCATGCAGGTACCCCGGTACACTGGGCACAGGAACTGCTCGGAGGTGGGACGTTTCTCCGCTAGTAGCAGATCAGTGTGCCTGTAGCCGCAGGTCTGGCAAACTCAATCATATCACGTCGCTCGTCCTAGTTCTTATTAGGTTGCCCTAAGCCGAGGCTGGCTGGGCAAAAAAAGGAGACCGAGTGTGATGGATCAGAAAATGGGCTGGAGTTGCTCGACTCAACAATTAGTGACTACTATACTAGTCCGGAGAGAACTGACGTGTACTGATAGGAGTTCCCCAGGAAACAAAGCTAACGAGGACTAAAAGTCTTGTTTACAGTCGGTTCTTTCGGCCCCTTCTGCTCCGTATACGAGATGGAGACATGCTATTTTTGCTCGATCAAGGCTCTATCTAGGAGGATTCGTGCTTCAGCTGTTTATAGAACGCACTGGCGGCTAAAGTGGCCAACCTCTGGGGTATTCCCACTAAACTTCCATGCCGGTTGACCTTCTCAAACGTCCTAAAGCCACAAGCTGTCTCAGATTTGGGGGTCTCGTCCTCAAACCTTAGCTCGACTCGGGGTTTTCACCGTATCCGGAACAGCGTCCTGGGCCTCGCACCTAGTTTGGAGCTATTGGAACGTGCGTCGCAGACTGGACTTGGGGATTAAGGTTTGAAACAGACAAATCACGAGCTTCACTGTGGAATCATCGCTGCAGCATGGACGTCGGGGCCATCTCGTCACACACGATACGAGAGGGGTGTCATTCTGCCATCTCTTCCGTTGACGCACATCGAGGACCCAGTCCCAACCTATCACAGCATCTCCGGACATAGTCACCTCACAGACAGGGGTTGGGGCGACTTGGTGAAACAGCAGGAGGAAGGCGAAGGATTGGCAGAAAGCTCCTCGTGGGAAGAAATACCACCACAACCCCTCTTATGGATAATCATTACTGAGACTATGAGACGCTCGACAGCCGACATGTCGAATCAGCGTGCCGCGCTCCGGGCGCGCACGGGACGTAAAGGGATCTGACTGGAAGTGGTGTCAGACTTGGCCATCGCCATCCAAGACCTTCGGGCTCGTTCTAACGACGCCCTTTGGACTTTCCCTTGGTCGACCGGCGTGGTCCCTGGATGGCGGCCACGTCGCGTTTGCTCAGGTTCAGGGAGCCACCCGCAAATTTTCCAATAGAGGAACCCCCAATCCCACGTTCTCGTCGCTTGTTGTTATTGGTGTTCGACTTGGGCGCGGGTTTCTCGAGGATGATACCATTCTCTCTGGCTTCGCGTCGACGTCTGTCCTCCTTCATGTCCGCCTTAGCTTTAATGCCTCTCCTGTGCGACGATGGCATGCTCTGCTTATACAGGGACGACTTGGCGCCGATCTCTTGCATTCTCAGATCAAGAGCCTTGATTCGGTTTTTGCCGGTTGGTGCAAGATCGGATGCTGACTCCAACAGATGCGACTCCTTGAGCAGCCGTTGCAAGGCCAGGTCATTCTTGAGGTTATCGGCGTCGGTGGCATCCTCCTCGTCATCACCTTTCTCCTTTTTAGCCTTCTTGGCGGGTTTTGGTTCTTCGGAAGAGGGTGGTTTTGAGGTCTTGTAGCAGTGAATTAGTAGGGAGACACGACTGCGTATACATATTCCGTAGACGTACCATGAACGCTTTGCGCGCTCTCTTATCCATCAGGTCTTGACTCTTGGCGTCGTGATGCTCAACTACCTCGACCTGGACCTCGTCTTCCTCTCCGGAAAGACCACTCCAATCAGAGCCAGACTCGGATCCTTCAAAGTCCTCTTCCTCGCTCTCTTCCTCGGATTCATCGTCACGAGCTACCTGGCCCCCAGGTACCTCCAGCGGTTGAAACTGTGCTTCGAAGAATTTGCGAAAGATGTCATTGGCAGACGCATCGGGCGCGGGTTGCGGGGTCTCCTCGTCTTTCAACTTGGTAGCCCTAGAGACGACAGCCGCGTCTCTCTTCCTTTTTCCGACCATCTCAATTGCCCTGTGCTGCTCTGGATTCAGCGCTGAGCCGTCACTGTCCTGGAAAAAATAATGCGACTTTGCCGTCGACAGGCTTACTTAAGCCGCTATCTCCGATACGGTCACGTGCGATAAGATAGGATGACCCCTCGTCGGATTTCCACAAACCGGGGGAGGGAATCCCCTCGCCAGTCAGTTGCAGACACGAATTGAGTGGACAAGATGACCAAGTTCCGTCCTTGTATTGATCTTCACTCCGGCCAGGTCAAGCAGATTGTTGGCGGGACGCTGAGCAATGTTGCCTCGGACCTGAAGACGAACTATGTGTCCAAGCTCCCCGCCAGCCACTATGCAGAATTGTACAAGACGCATGATTTGCGGGGAGGCCATGTGGTGATGCTGGGGCCGGGCAATGATGAGGCAGCCAAGGAGGCCCTGAGGACATGGCCTGCTGGTTTGCAGGTTGCGGGAGGGATTACGGACAAGAATGCCCAGTATTGGATTGACCAAGGTGCTGAGAAGGTGAGCTTATCGAGTGCGAGTTGAACTATGGGTGTCTTGAGCTCACAGAGCCGAGCTTTGACTATGATTTGTTGTGGTCTATCAATCTACCTGATGCGAAATGCTCATCAATTTACTCCCAGTATTGTTCGTGAGTCACGATCTTGTTCACTAATCATTTCCATTGCAGGTCATCATCACATCGTTCCTCTTCCCCGAGGGCAAGTTCTCTCTCGAGCGACTAGAATCTGTTCTTGCTGCCCTTGGCGGCGACAGGTCCAAGCTGGTCTTGGATCTGAGCTGCCGGAAGAAGGACGATACATGGTTTGTGGCCATGAATCGGTGGCAGACGATCACCGAGATGGAGATCAACCAGGGTAAGTCTTCCTAATATCCAACTTCTACACGTTTCTCTCTTCTGTGGATAGACTTTTTTCCCTCCGCTTTCGTTTCTCAATCAATGCCTCAAGCAGCACTAACCCAAGCAGAATCGATCTCGCTGCTGGAGCCCTACTGTTCCGAGTTCCTGATCCACGCTGCAGACGTCGAGGGTCTGCAGCAGGGTGTAGATGAGGAGCTTGTCTCTAAACTGGCCCAGTGGTGCACTATCCCCATCACATATGCTGGAGGTGCCCGGAATCTTCAGGACCTGGAGAAGGTGCACAGCAGCAGCCAAGGAAAGGTGGATCTGACGATTGGAAGTGCACTGGATATCTTCGGTGGATCTGGAGTGACATTTGACGAGTGTATTGAGTGGAACAAGTCCCATTGAATGATGTATTAGGTTAGTCAATTCTACTAGACATGAGACAGATGATGTATATATATTGTGGCTAGTTGCGGATATGAATACTACCTCAACACAATCAAACTAAAGACCGTTCTCAAGCAAGAAGCGAAATAACTGAGAGAAACAATGAATTCCACATTCCCAACTTCAACAAGGAGACAACATTGAGATACTTACCCTCTAATAGTTACTTATAAACTATGATGCGGCCAACGAGGCTCAGTCTCGACGCACCACCGCTCCCCAAAACAGCCTAGCGCCGCGCCTGCGATCCTCGACATCATCAACTCACTGGACCTGACACTGCAACCCTTTGGATCTGTCCCCGGCCTTCCTCATCTCTCGACCCCAGCTCAGCCCGGACCGACAGTCCCTTCCATCTCCTGCTGTACTCTCCGTCGGCGACCGCTCGACCGACCGACCCCCATCCACCCCTCCCGGATCGAATTGCGCCTCCTCCCCCCCCGACCCGCTCACCCATCACCACCCCATCCCATACCCCAAAATGAAGCCCGTCGTATCCGTCCTCAACGCCTGGTCCTGGTACATATACCCAGCGAATCCCCATACCCACGAACCAGCACTAACACCAATGTGTCAAACAGCGTGGTCATCTCCCTCTTCGCCATCGTCATTCTCTCCGTTCTGGGCTCGCTATACAAGGTTCGTTGCACAACCTCCACCACCTACACACCTACCCACCTACCCACCTACACCCCGAATCCAGAAAAACTAACCAATGACAATGGGATTCGATAGAGAGAACACCCCTCCTTCACCGGCTCCGAAGGCGAACCCGAGAATGGCGCCGCCGTCGCGGCATCGATCTTCGCGGCCGTGTTGGTTTATTGTGTACGTTTTACCTATACCTATACCTATACCTTTATCCCTGGCTTGTGGTGTGCAGGTTGGGGTGGAGATGCGGGATAATCGAATGGTGGGGGTAAATGTTGAGGATGACGAGGCTAACTGATACTGTGTACTCGGAAACAGGCATTCTTCGTCTTTTGTGCATTCCAGGCTTATTTGCATGTGAGGAGTCGGAGGAGCGGGGCTATATCGTTGAGCTAGAGTATTTCCATACCTTTTGGGTGTGGGATTGGAGCCGGCTTGATTGGATTGGATTGGATTGGATTGGATTGAAAGATTGATTGATTGATATGATATCTGGAAGACATGTGAGCTGCTACGAGAGAGAGATGGTGTGATTGTTGCTGTGATGTGAGGGAGGATAATTTTCCTATCTATTCTTGATGAGACGGACTGAGATGTGATGAGATGAGGTGATACTGTCTGCGTGTGCTGTGCTACGTAGGATCAATCACTCTTAGGATCACTCACTCTCTTGCTGTGTGCTGGGAATGGAGGAATGGGGGCTAGATGACTATTACTAGCTTCGGTTGGATTTGGATTGATCTCTTGTCGTCAAGTCAAATGTGTTAGAGTGTACGGTTGATTTGCGGGTTGTATATAGTGTTGTTCAATAGAACGTTTGGCCGCAGGTATGCGTAGTCCTCAACAATGTAGGTCGGTGGCTAGTGTCAGCTGATATACCTGTGCGATCAGGTAACAGCTCATGTGAATGTATTCATCAATGATCCTAGCAATCGGCTTGGCCGTGTATGTACAATGCAATTTCTAATCCGCCCTTGGTATATACCGATTCGCTACTGCCCCGAATATGCCGAAGAAATAGACAGCCTCCTGTCTGGATGGAACCCCTGCAACGCCGCATGCAGATATGAAAAGAACTTTTTAATATCCAGGATAACTTGTAAATCCGTGCGCATCATTCATAAGACATTCGCTAAAACTCCTCGTCCTCGATCGGGTCCAGCATCTTGGACATGTACGGCCCGTCCAGGGTGTAGCCGAGACGCGCGTAGTAGCTGCGTACACCAACACCGGAGATAACGCTGATCTTCTGGCTGCCGTGCTCCTCGCGAGCAATGCGCTCGGCCTCTTCCATGAGCAAGGTTCCGAATCCGCGATGCTGGAACTTGCGCGGGTCACGCCCGTGCAGAGGAACCGCAGATCCGTACACATGCAGCTCACGCACAATACTGGTCTGCTGACCCGTGAACTCGGGCCGGAAGGTGTGGGTCGGGCTGCACTTGCGCAGTCGCAGCAGGCCGATCAGGATATCCTGCTTCGGGTCCTCGTAGGCAAGGAACGTTTCCCAGCCACCGTTGGCCGTGTAGTCACGGCGAATCAGCTCGACCTGCGAAGGGCGAATCTTGTTCTTGACTTCGTTGATACCCACTTCACGGGTGCGCACATCGCGGCAAGTGGTTCCAAAGTCCTTCATGCGCGCCAAGGCGAGCTCGCGCAGGTTGCCGTTCTCCACACCCGAGGTCACCAGGGGCATGGGGATATCACGCTGCACACGATAGATACGGGTCCACGGGGGGACCAGCGCAAGGATACGGGCGACCAAGTCGATCAGCGCGTTCGGAGTGTAGTTCTTGTAGCGACCCGTCCGCCAGAGCTCGTAGAGACCAGTTCCACGGATAACCAGCGTGGGGTAGATCTTCAGACCATCCGTCCGGAAAGCCGGGTTCTCGAAGTACTCCTGGAACTGGAACAGATCACGCTCCATGCCCACGTTGGGCAGATCAGGCATCATGTGACTGACTACCTTGAATCCAGCATCCTTCGCAAGCTTGAACGTCTCGGCAACGGCCGCAACAGTGTGGCCACGGTTCGTGTCTCGGGCGACATCCTCGTACAGACTCTGGACACCGATCTCCAGTCGCGTGCATCCGTAGCGGAGCATGCTGCTCAAGTGTTGATCAAGACAGTAGTCGGGTCTCGTTTCGATCGTGATACCGACACACTTCACATTGCTCATCTCACCAGCCTGAACCGCTTCATCGACATTGTCCGTCTGATACCCACTCAGCGCGTTGTGCAGCTGGGCCACAAACGATTCACGGTAGTCCTCCGGAAGGGACATGAACGTTCCACCCATGATAATGTATTCCACCTTGTCCACACTGTGACCGAGAGACTTGATCTGGTCCACTCGACCGCGGGCCTGCTCAAACGGGTCGTAACGGGCGCGGATCGCACGCATCGACGTGGGTTCATATCCGGTATAGGACTGCGTAGAGTACTCGAAATCGGAGTCCGGGCCACCAGGGCAGTAGACGCAAATGTTTCCGGTGTATGCGATATGGGGACAACGGTGGGGTTTGCTCATGACCGCGACGACGGCGATACCAGAGGATGTTCCTGGCGGAGGTTAGAAAGTCGGGCTCAAGGCGGGCAAGGCGCAGACATACTGATCGGCTTTGCAATCAACTTGGGCAGAATGTATTTCTTGTAGTGTTCAGGGACGGCCGCAATGATGGCCGTCAACGGGGGCTGGGTGGCCAAGGCATGCTTTTTGGCGACTTGACCCCGCAGTTTGTTCAGGTTGATATCTCTCTTGGGCTTCTTCGGATCGCGCTGGGCCTCGTACTCCTGGATCAGAGCATTGGCAATATCGGAACAAGCTCTCATGAACCGTTCGTTCTCCGGAGGGAGTTTGGCATTCTTCTTCGATTTGGGGGGTGGCGGCATAGTCATGGTGACGGTCGCCATCTTGGGAGAGCGCACACCTCGCGGACGGCGCGCAGGGAGAGATCAATTAGCTAAACAGTCAGTTAATTCTTCAATCCAGTCCGACTCGAGTCGAGGCTCGACGGAAATGCAGCAGGAGATGAATGAAGTGGGGAGAAGGGAGACACGGCGGCGGGACACAGCAGCGACAGCAACAGCAGCAGCAACCTTTTTTTCCTCGGGCGGCAAGCGACCGCCCGTGACAACTCGGATCCGCTTAAAGCTTTGTCCCGAAATTCCCCAAAGCGAATCTGTCCGGCGCGTTTGAACGGCTATTCTTCTCTCTCTTCCCTATCTTCCAACCACTTCAGCCTCTTTGCACCTTTGTAGTGCCTTTCTCCCCTCTCCCCTCTTTCCCTTGATCTTCCCCCCCAGGGTTTCTTCCCCTCCCATCCATCATGCAGGCCTTCCGCCGTAACACCGCTTCTGCCCTTCGCAATGCTGCTGCCACGCAGCGCCGGGGATACGCTGCCTCGGCCAGCCCGGCTTACGCTGAGACCATCAAGAACCTTCGCATCAACGCGGACACCAAGGTCATCTTCCAGGGTTTCACTGGCAAGCAGGGAACGTACGTTTTTCCCCGGTCTGAGAGGGTCTATCATGCATGAAACGCTGACGTTGCTATTTTTCGTCCGGCCGCAGTTTCCACGCCGAGCAAGCTATCGCCTATGGTATAATCTCTTCCTACGTTCGCACCAATCAGATGGGTGTCTCTGGCGGTTTCACATGGGAAACTCACAACTGCTAGGCACCAAGGTCGTCGGTGGAACCAACCCGAAGAAGGCCGGCACCATGCACCTGGACCGTCCCGTCTTTGCGAATGTGCGCGATGCCGTGAAGGAGACTGGAGCTACTGCCACCGCCCTCTTCGTCCCGTATGTAGCCGGTGCCTAATCAAGGATAGAGGGATCGCTGCTAATGCTTGATTGTAGCCCCCCCTTGGCCGCTAAGGGTATCGAGGAGGCCATCGAGGCCGAAATTCCCCTGGCTGTCTGGTACGCGTGTCTTCAATCTGTGGAACAGCAGCATGTGCTAACGTTGGAATAGTATCACCGAGGGTATCCCTCAGCACGGTATGTGGATGGATCCCCGCTTAGCGCCGGTGATCGCTGTGTGACTGACCACCACTTGACCAGACATGGTTCGTATCACGGACATCCTGAAGACGCAGAACAAGACCCGTCTGGTGGGTCCCAACTGCCCTGGTATCATCGCTCCTGTAAGTCGCATCCACTAGACGATCCTTTGGCAGGGGTCCGATATTAATGGGCGGACTTTTGCTGCACTAGGGCCAATGCAAGATTGGTATCATGCCTGGCTTCATCCACAAGCGTGGCCGCATCGGCATTGTTTCTCGGTCCGGTACCCTGACCTACGAGGCCGTCAACCAGACCACCCAGGCTGGCCTTGGACAGTCCCTGGTCGTCGGTATCGGTGGTGACCCCTTCTCCGGCACCAACTTCATTGACTGCCTGAAGATCTTCCTCGAGGACGAGGAGACCGACGGTATCATCATGATCGGCGAGATCGGCGGTAGCGCTGAGGAGGATGCTGCCGAGTTCCTCAAGGCCAACAACAAGTACAACAAGCCCGCCGTCGGTTTCATCGCCGGTATTAGCGCTCCCCCGGGCCGCCGGATGGGTCACGCCGGCGCCATCGTCAGCGGTGGCAAGGGTGGTGCTGACTCGAAGATCGCTGCTCTGGAGGCGGCTGGTGTTGTTGTCGAGAGAAGCCCCGCCTCCCTGGGCAAGGCGCTGCTCAACGAATTTGTCAAGCGGGACCTGGTCTAGATGGAAATGATAACAGTCTGCACGCAGGCGGAGACATGACCTGAACCCTGCCGACTTGTGGGCGGGGAACTTTTCCCCCTCATCTCTCTATCCCTAGACGACTCCCTTTCTGTGTCTGAGCCGTGGCGGCCACTGTATTTTTCTTATCTCGGTGTCTTTTTCCTTTTTCTCGTCGATATATCTCCTTTGTTTAGAGATGCAAGGAAGTAATTATGTAAATGTGTTTACTCTGGGTTGGCGTAGATGGGATAGTGTATACCGTAGCATGACGGAATTGGAGTAGTACAGGTAGTACTATGTAGTACTATGTATGTAGGGAGTGCTATAACCCTCCTATAGTACGGAGTAGTATAGTATCAACAGGGTTCAACCCATGATTCATGCAAAAGAAACGGTTGCCTGAACCGCCTACCTGCCTTGTGTCTACCGCCTAAGGTACCCAGCCTCAAACCTTACCTAGTACGGAGTACGGGATACATGAGAATCGGACATACCCGGAACCCCCCCCCCCCCTGCCAGGGTGCCCGAGCACTCAGCAGAGAAAGCCATGGCTTCGGGAGGCTGGTCTTGGCAAGTAGCTGTACCCGGGCCGGTCCCTCCTTGTCATCCCGAGCAAGCAATCAATCTCAGCTGTTCCGTCACGGGTTATGTGATGTTTGATACATCCCGTCCTTTAGTGGTGAGTCTATGTTCGAGATACTGGGGTCGAAGGTATAATATAATAAATGTATCTACTCCGTCCGTATATATATACCCTGTTGATAGGTTGTAGGTATCCCGTAGTTTAGCTCATTAATCTACACCGAATATCAAAAATACATCAATGAGATTATAGTGGTGATAGTGGTCATAATAGTAGTAGTAGTATACGAGAATTGCGTCATGAGCGAGTGAATTGATAGATATCCTGCATGAAGACGTTGTTCAGCCGTGCCGTGCGTCTCCATCTATGTACGTACATAGTAGTGGGATTATTATATCGAGACCGGCCCAAGCGGTAAGCAACTAATCAAATCATGAAGTAGGCCAAGACGTCCAAGACAAGGGGCGTTTAGGTTGGGATTGGGGATTCGGACGGGTATTGGTTGGTGGGTGCCGTCGGCTTCCCGAGTCGTGACGGTGGATGGCTTGGACTCGGGATTGAGTGATTGATGGATGGATGGGCTGGGCTGGGCTGGGCTGGGACTTGGGGTTGGTTTGTTGTGTTGGGAGTTTGCTTGGAAAGTTGATGTGTAGATGGGTGGGTAGATACATCGTCCTACGGAGTATTTTGAATCCAAATACTATGTAGCTGTAGATGAGTAGATGGATCGTGACAATGTAGGCAAGTAGGCGAGTATACCGCCCAAAACCGGTTGTTGCTACTCCGTACTGCTGATGGAGTAAGATCCCGAGGAGGATGCCAGGGTTATTTCTTTCAACGTTGGCAGACCATCAAGCAGGGATTATGTTCCGTGCGCATGTGTGTGTGCCACTCGGCTAGCGAAAACGAAGTGAAGAAAGAAAGAGACAGAGAAAAAAGTAAATAGATTAATTGTCCCTCTTCTCGGATGCAGCCAAAACGTATCTGCATGGTCGTGTTGTTTAGTGTACAGGGGTTGGAGGGTAGGTATAGTATCTGGTGTCTAGTACGGAGTATACGGAGTAGGGAGGGGGGATACCCGGGTGTGGGTGGAGGTGTTGAGATTCATGTGTCTAACTGGTTGATGTTAGTATATTATGTAGTTGATAGGTAGTGCATCGGGAGAATGGATGGCAGATCCCATGTGAAGAGTGAAGACTGATAAGAACCACCTCCTGCAGTGTTACCCTGTGGTTATTAAAATAGATGAAGTGCAGATGGTGTGGTTGGAACTAGAGTATAGCGTGCTGCAGACCGTGGTGCGAGTCGAGACGGTTAGATGGGGTTAGCGCTGAGTGGGCTCGAGGTGACGAAGATGTCAAGATGTCATGACAGCCTGACACCATCAATGACGAGAGATTGATAGCGAAGGAAGAGATAGAAAATCCCTCGGAGACAACAGGACTTGGGACTCGGTCGCGGGCTTGGCTGCAGTACCGAGTCTAGAACAACAAGGCATTCCATCACACTATTGTCTTGTCAGAGTCTAGATGAATCATGGATGGGGGGAAAGTGTAGGTAAGCGTGCATGCCGGCGGTTCGGACTCGCAATGTGACTGGCGAGGGAGGTTCGTCACAGACGAAGGAGGAGGGGCGATGGATTTGGTTTGTTTTCGCTGCTGCAGGTCCTGGCTGCCACACGGGTTGGAGATGCAACTGCACAACGACGGATTGTACATCCTGTGGAGGACCGGGAGACATCGGGTCTTTCGGGTGACAAGCTTGATAGTGGATTAATTTCTTTTTGTTTGGGGATGCTATTTTTTTTTGTCTAGACCAAGTCCGATGGGGCAGTCAGACGATAGTGACAGTCATACTAGTAAGACATAGTACTAGTAGGGAGAGTGGATTGGAGTATACTTTATATAGACGGTGTCTACATACTCCGAACTTAGTACCAAGACTACTAGTAGCATCACCCCGACTTCAACCTTCACCGTCTCAACAATTCAATACAACCACCCAGCAGCCAACACAAGACAACACAATTGAACACAAATCTCAAACATCAGCTCCCCAAGACCTGCCAAGAGGGACGAGAACCACCGATTGACCGCCCGTCTGAGTGGCGCGCCGGCGTAGATCATCGCCTCCACCCAAGGAACTTTAACCAGTCGGAACCGTGAGTCGGCTACGGGTTTATCAGGGCTCTCAAGGCAGGTCTCAGGAATGTATCGACTATCGACCAGTCGACCCGAGATTCGCGCTCAGCCACCCGCAAGACACTAGACACTAGACAGACTGACGACTTCAGAATGCCAGTCATAGTCATCGATCCTCGTCGAGAATGTTACTATGTATAATGGGAGTTATTATGATGTCCGCCGACTAGGATGCCGGGTGCTTCAGTTCGCGCCGATCGTGGCAAAGGGCCGTTTGGCTGGTTCCGGACCCCTGATTTGCAGAGTTGCTTCAGTCGCGGTTCCGGCGCTAGTGCAGGACGCAATCCAGCATTTTAAAAAGTAACCTTTCTTATCAAGCTGTGTGGCTTGGCGGCCTGATTCTTTTCTGGGTGTTTCTTTTTTGTGATCCTTGGCGGGCAGTTGAGCCGAGTTTGCTGTTGGTCGTGGCTTTTTCTTTTCTTTTTGGTTCTTTTGTTTCTCCTGCTCGTTAAAAGTGGACAATATATCGAGTACACTGTCAATAGAGATGCCGTCGATGGTAATCAAGGACCGCAGCCTAAGCCAGCAACTAGTAGCATCGTGCTCCATCCGCGATCTACGTCGTCAACCACACTATTGCGATCAATCAGTCCCTACACTATCCGTTTTGGTGCTTTACATGCATTGGTGCCTCACTCCGCTCACGGTCTTCGTCATCACTTGCTCTGCTCCTGCACTCGTTGTGCCAATGGTCCCTCCATCCACTGCTTCACCTGCCTTGTTTCTGCTTGCGCAACCGCTCCCCCTTATTGCATTCCTAGGACGACTACTTAGGACTTGTCTCATATTTAAGCTTAGCTGCGGTTACGTAGGCCATCCGCACTGGCCCTACCACCCTAATCAGGGGCCCATGATCGGTGGAGTTGACCTGGCGCCCTTCCGTGGTAGTTCTTCCGAGTTTTCCCCAGGGTGCCTTGGTATAGCTTCACTCCACCCCCCAATGCCACCTGGTGTAGCCACGCTGTGGACCGGCCCCGCGAGGCTGGCCAGCTTGTCGGGACCCATCCCAAGAAATCCGCTGTCTGGGCACTGGGCACGACTTTTTTGGTCGTCGCCTCCCAAGCCATCCTCCTCCGTTCCCCCCCCTTCTTAGTGCGGATGGGCCCGATGTAGATCCCCGAGATCCATAACAATCCACAAGCAAGAAGCTCTTTGCCAATCAGGCTGATCTCAGATTGCTCATACTGGCGCGGCAGCTTGCTCCCTGATTTCTACACTGCACATCCCGAGGAGGGAGGGGAAGGGGGCAGGGATCCCGGCATCCTGAGTCGTCAATTGATGACTTGCCTTCCCGTCTCGCGTTGCATCGGCCTCCGTGTTGATCACGCTCGAGCGGCAGCCATCTCCGTCGAACACATGTGCGAGATGCTGGCCTGGACATTCGACCGTCTATCTATCATGTAGCCCAACGCTCGGCAGCCGCGATGGCGCCGCTGAATCGTCAACCCAGCGCTCTTATCACCGGATCCGCTTCCATCTAGACCCTTGCGCATGACAGCCGGGCCCCGTTCCTGAACCATCTCATTCGCTGGGCAGCTGTATGGAAAAAGGGACTAAATCCGCCAGCTCCCAAGGTTCAGGCGCTAAATGCAGACCAGGATGGCCTGGAAAGCATGCTGCTTCTGGAATTTCATCACCGCGCCGGGCCCACGTCATGTATGCAGATCTTAGGAGCTCCGCCCTTTCGCCTTTTTTCCTCGTCGGCTGCCCGACGGCTTAGACTCTCTCTCGGGTGTGACCTAGACTACTGGTTGCCAAGTAAGGCCGGCTGAAGAGATACTCCTAAATCGTGTCGCCGCTCATACCCTTGGCGATAACACCAGCGCTTGCCACCCACAAATGTCCGCTTTGGGAAGGTCGATGGATAGCCCCCGTCCGGCCAGGATGCTCCGCAGTGGAGCCGTCTTCCATCTGCTCTTTAATCGGATTTCCGACGATGTTTGGGCCCAGTGCCAGATCAGATAGAAATCTCCCCGAACAGAACATAAAGGCATTGACCTCGCCCATCCGGTCCTGGCAAACTCAACTTTGGCATTCCTGCCCCAGGTGGTTCATAGGTTAGCAACTTGCTTCGAGGCTGGACCCCGAGACAGACCCGCAACCATGTCTTCAAACACCTCTTCAAACATGTCTTCAAGAACAGACCTCGAAAAGGTTCCTGAACCACAGGTCATTCCTAGAGACCAGGACTCCGAACGAGACTCCATCACCCCAGAGCCTTCGACGCTCGAGGCTCAACCATCCGAGAAGCCACCCCATCACATTTTCACCCGTGGTCGCAAGCTGCAGATGGTCGGCATCGTCTCCCTAGCTGCTATCTTCTCTCCGCTATCCTCCAACATCTATTTCCCTGCACTCGACGATGTATCAAAGGTGCGTCAACCGGTCCCCTAGCGCAAGCGTAGACCCCGGAGTGTTGACGGTAGCCCGGATAGTCTCTCCACATCAGCATGTCTCTCGCGACTCTCACCATTACCGTGTACATGATCGTTCAAGGCCTCGCACCCAGCTTCTGGGGTTCCCTGTCAGACGCCACGGGCAGACGGCCAGTCTTTATCGGAACCTTCATCGTTTACCTTATAGCAAACATCGCCCTCGGCGTGTCTAAGAACTATGGTGAGCTCATGGCCTTCCGAGCCTTGCAGGCTGCTGGTAGCGCCGCCACCATTTCCATCGGTAAGACTGACCCCATGCCTTCCGGGACATAGCATCGAGCTAACCAACAACTGCCTAGGCGCTGGGGTTATCGGTGATATCACAAACTCAGAAGAGAGAGGTAGCTTGGTGGGTATCTTCGGCGGAGGTAAGAACAGCCCCTCTGGTTGCTTTTGCCAACATGGTCAAGCTGACAAAATGAAGTTCGCATGCTCGGACAGGGAATAGGCCCAGTCTTCGGTGGCATTTTCACTCAATACTTTGGATACCGATCCATCTTTTGGTTTCTCACGGCCTTTGGGGCCGTGAGTCTCCTGTCGATTATAGTGCTTCTCCCGGAGACGCTGAGGCCGATTGCCGGAAATGGCACCGTGAAACTCACGGGGATGCATAAGCCTTTCATTTACTCGATCACCGGCCAGAAGGGTGTTATCGAGGGTGCGCAACCGGAAGCGAGGAAGGGCAAGGCGACTTGGCGCGCCATTTTCGCCCCTCTGACATTCCTCGTCGAAAAGGACGTCTTCATCACACTGTTCTTCGGAAGTGTCGTATATACCGTGTGGAGCATGGTGACGTCCAGCACCACCGACCTCTTCAGTGAAGTGTATGGCTTGTCGTCTCTGCAAATTGGATTGACATTCCTGGGCAATGGTAAGCATGATAGCCCCACTCGCACACGCTTTGACTGGAGTAAATGCTCATGCACAGCATAGGATTTGGATGCATGTCAGGATCGTACTTAGTTGGCTATCTCATGGATTATAATCACCGCTTGACTGAGCGCGAATACTGTGAGCGGCACGGATATCCGGCCGGCACGCGTGTCAATCTGAAATCGCACCCCGACTTCCCCATTGAGGTTGCCCGGATGCGCAACACGTGGTGGGTGATTGCAATCTTTATTGTGGCAACGGCTCTATATGGTGTGTCTCTGCGTACACATCTAGCGGTTCCCATCATCCTACAGTACTTCATTGCTTTCTGTTCGACGGGACTTTTCACCATCAACAGCGCGCTGGTCATTGACCTTTACCCGGGGGCTAGCGCCAGTGCGACAGCAGTGAACAACTTGATGCGGTGCCTGCTTGGGGCTGGCGGAGTGGCTGTCGTGCAGCTCATCATTGATGCGTTGACAGCGGAGTATACCTTCATCTTGCTTGCCGGGATTACCCTTGCGATGACTCCGTTATTGTACATCGAAGATCGATGGGGACCTTCCTGGCGACATGCCCGAGAAAGGCGCCTCAAGGCCAAAGCAAACGGCAACTAGAGGGCGCAGCGATATCAAAAGTTGAGATGAGACGGTTGAAGTGGATGTTCTTGTTTCTTTCTTCAAGCCTTCTGCATTCTATACCCCCGATTGTTTTTGATAGCGACCATGGAGGATACCTCTGTTTTGGGAGCGATAGCGATTAGATTTCTGAGAGAATAGACTATGTTCTTCCCCCTTTGGCATTTTTGGGAGATGTTCTGATGGAATTCGTGATAGAATCCATGGATGAGAGAGTGTGGATCCACAGTCTGCCGGTCGGTGGAAGTGGCACAAAAGTAAGTAGCATAGAACTAGTTAGTTAGTGGTGGTCACGGGCCCGAGCTTAGATAATCCGACCGATGACGAGCAGGTGATCGGTAAACGGGGATACAGCTCCGAGGGGGTCAGAAATTAGTGCGACAGGGTCAGACCGGTGCCGGAAAAACAGCTCGGACAGTTATAGTACGGAGTAGAGACCTCAACATATAGAATCACCTCCTCCAATCGACCGCCCAGCACACACAAGGAACAAAATAGGACTAGCGACCTCTCTAGCGAAAGCACAGAGATTGAGAGAGCGATTTTCGTACATACTTGCAGTGTGTTTGTTTTGCTCCTGCGAGGAATGTGAGTTAGGTAAGCCACACGTGACCAGCGGCCCAAACAAGCGCCCGGTCGTTGCTTGAGGAACCGATTTCTCTGTTTATCCTCCTTCGACCTTCATCACTTCGACCTTCTAGACGCGGCCGCTATGAGCCTTCCATAGCCAGTCTATTGCAGCCCGACGACCCCTCTTGATGCCTTGACGACAACACTGCTTCTCCTAGCTCCCTTGGTCCCCGTTCCTGCTGTTCTTTTTGCGGTGTGGACCTCGTGCGGTCGTGGGTGGTTCCGTGAAGGATCAAAACACACGCTATTGCCCGTGGTTACCAGCACCTCTCGCCCAGCAACAAGGACACCCAGACACGGTGCTGCGTAGCAGATCCGAAACGAGAAAGAGATGCCTCCTGAGATGGGTAAGAAGCTGCCTTCCCACCTGCAGGCGACCTGTCTGCTTTCATCCCATCTTCTCCGCACCTGATGATGACCTTGCTGTCCGTACGTTGGATTTGCCCGCTGACTTGCAGGATCCGCAGCCCGAGCGGCCTCCCAAGCTTCAAGTGCTGCTTCCCAGGCCACGCAGATAGTAGCACCTCACAGTCGCCCTGGGACAGCGGATCTCATGAGGTCACGCTCCGAAACCGTAGTATCCAGAAACAGTCGCCGTCCCAGGTCCAGAGGCTCGACTGCTAGCATCCACTCCACCACGACCCAGCAGACCCAGGACCAGCAGCTCACCGATGGCTTCTCCCAGTTCATGCCCACCCAAGCAACCTCCGGTCACAATGTATTCGGCGCTAACCCGGAGGAAATCATCATGCGATTCGGCCAACAGTTGTCGCACCCCGTGAACGGAGCGTCCCTCGATCCCACCCTGCAGGAAGCTCACCACCCTGTCATGCCCAGAGCAGAAGAATTCCCCAGCCATGCCATGCATGGTCACCATCTATCACACCACTCCCTCCCCGCCGGCATCCCGAGCCACGGATTGCCTAATGTGCCGATGCCTCAATTCCAGCCCATGTATGACAGTGGGATCGAGAACCACGTGCCTGAGCATGTACTAGAGGACAACGAGATCTCCGAGGCTGGCGCGAAGAAGAAGAAAGGGTCCAGCTCATCGCTAGCCAATGACAATGAACTGCGCAAACTGCTACGGCAATACGAAGGGTATTCGCTGAAGCAGATGGCAGCCGAAGTCTTGAAACACGAAGGGGCTGGAGGCAAGGCTGAAAAGGTCAAGCAGGTCTTTGCCATGATTTGGTAAGCCTTCTGTCTGCTCCGGCGGTCCCATGCATGGGAGTTGTTGCTTACCATCGTTCAGGTTGAAGGAGAACTGCCGGAAGAGCAGCGGCTCCGTGCGACGCGATCGTGTATATTGCTGCTATGCAGAAAAGTGTGGGACAGAACGTGTGTCGGTGCTGAACCCGGCTTCGTTTGGAAAGCTTGTGCGAATCATCTTTCCCAATGTGCAGACCAGACGACTTGGTGTTCGGGGGGAATCAAAGTATCATTATGTCGATCTGACAGTGATCGAGGAGAAGCAGCAGAGGCCACCGCCACTCAATCCACAGTTACCATCCAACGTGAACAGCGCGGCGAGTGTAGCTGAAAGTAAACCCGGCGAGACGCTGCAGAAAAGGTACGTCAAGCGATTGACTCGTGAATGACTTCAGTACTCATGCAGCCCAGTGTTAGTGTTGCGCCACAGCCTCCCGCAGATACCGCTGTATTCCCGTCCCCTACAACATCCTTCACCCCAAGATTCACTGCAAATGTCCCTACTTCAGGATGCGGCTGCCACTCTCCATCTCATCCCCATGCCGACACATCGATCACGCTTGAAAATGTTGCAAGTAAATCAGGAAAGATTATCCACCAGATGCTTCAGCTACCGTCTTCTGATTCGCCTGCGATTGACAACGAGTCCCTGCAACTTCCTGATATTAGCGATTACCTACCGGCCAATACGGATGCGAAAATCGCGGCAGCTCTTGCAGCTCTTTACCGTTCCCACTGCATCTCGGTCATTGACAGTTTCCGATACTGCAAGGAAAGAAACATGCTTCGATACTTCTCTGCCTTCCACGGAACGTTGACTGTACCCGTTCAGAAGCTCCTGACCCACCCCAACCTTGCTCCATGGATCAAGGAATGTGACTGGATTATGTACCAGAAGATGATTGCTTTCGTGGCACCTCTTACTACGCAGGTCGTTCCCAAGCTCGTGCTGGATGCTTTCAGCTCGATCTCGCAGCGGCTGACAGCCCATATTGCCGATACTTTCAAAGCCCAGCCACTCCATGTTTCCTTAGCAAGGTTAATCCCGGCTCATATCTTCTGTAACCTGCTAAAGCATATGCTGGATGTGAACCAATCTGCCAACGCGGCTGCTGCCTGGTTGTGCCACCCCGACAACAGGAACCAGATGTGGTTCGACTTCAAAACCTTGGTGGATCCCAAGGAGATGATCTCGAAGGCCAACATCCCAAGCTGCGCAGAACGGGCAACAGAGCAGATATTGAAGCACGATGTTCGCGCACTTCTCACCCCTGTCGCAGATATGAATCCCTCTGCTGCCCTCCCATTTTATACCCGACCTGATACCGACGAAGACCTCCAAACACCGAGAAACCCCGTGGAGCCGGCTACAGGTGATGACTACAACTTTCCGGACAAGTGGATCTCATTCATACTCAATCTGCCATCCGTCTTCCCTCACCACAGTACGCAGTGTGTCATTGAAAAGGTTGATGCTCTGTGGGACTGCATCCTGCGGCGGCTGACCCTAGGAGGGGCGCAAAGCTTTAGTGCCTGGTGGATGACCAAGGTTTTCTTCCATGAAATGATGCTATGGCAGGCCGAGAAAGGGGGTTTCATGCGTTACACCCCAAGCACCTTGCACTACGCCGGCTTGCGCTCAAACCAGCAAGGGACCACCAACTTGCTCATGAAATCGTCTAATTGCCCAGTGCCCGACAAAAATGAGCCACAGCACACCGCTCATTCGAGAACAAGTTCGGCTGCTAGTCCGACTTCAGCAGAAAACATCACACAAACTCAAACGCCATTGAATCGCTCGCAGATGGAGGCCGACTCGAACCCGAACACCATGGAACCCGAGAAGCCTAGCGGCGTCCCGGAGAACATGGCTGGTTTCCAGGCTCCAAATAACGACGACAGTGCCATTGACCTTGACGATGATTCGATGTTGATGAATGTGGGTAAATATGGTGATATGATGGTCTCTGACCCAGCAGACGCTGAAGGAGATGTTGTCGTCATATGATTTACCTCGACATATCCGGTTGAATTTCGTTCTTGGAAAAAAAAAACCCCCCGTTTTCTTTGCTTATGGGCGGAGTTGGATTCTCTTTTCAGGAGTACCATTTTGGCTTGATCACTATTTACGTCTTTTTCAGAGGAAAGCTCGGCGTTCGACGATCTTTGCACGAGAGACGAGAAATGACAGCATCGATTCGAGATACGTCGACCTGCAGCAATGTTGTCGGTGCAGGTTGGCGATCGTACACATCTAATAGCGGGTTGATCCCGCTTGTCGTTCTTATTTTGTTTGACTTCACTACTGTGGATGCAAGAGACCGAGTCCGTCTTTGTACATATGTTTCGGTCTGCCGATGATTCCCAGGTCATTGCCGTGGTGGAACTATCGGTTCCCGGCTTCTTTTCCATACGCTCGTTTTAATGTCTCCCATCGTTTGCGCTTTTCTGGCTTCGCTCTTGTGAGGTCCAGTTAATTACTGATATCAAATGTCGACGAACACCCATGACTCACACCTACCTCCGGGTCCACCTATTATGGCGGGCTGCGCCTGGGCCATGAATTCAAGTGAAATCTCATGTCTCCAGATGAATGCTGAATTTATGGAGAGGACATCCCAAAAACTGTGAGCTCTCTGCCCAAGCAGGGTCTTTCACTCATACTTAATCATGACTCTCACCCTCGTCACTCCTTTCCCTCAATGCTCTGTCCATCAACTAGGGCTGTGCAATTTCCTTTCCTTTCATTTTATGTGAACATTCATGCGGAGAAAAAGGCGCAATGCTTCTCTGGGTTTTGTTAGGTGACTTTGTTACTGTATCCTACTTGGATTGGTGTCCACCGATTTCTTTTTCTGATTATCTTCTTCATGAGTTACTTTTGACGATTGATGTATTCAAGTGATAAATAGCCTTTCTCTTCTTTTCGATCGAATTAACCTTTTTTATTATTTAGCTATCTGATTTTCTAGGGTGCGTGCTTGGGGCTTGGTAGATGGGAGGGTAATTAACCAAGTCCTTGAGATCAATGAATCGTAAGGAAGGAAAAATGTGTACATTCTGGTTGGTAAGAGTTTCATTGAGCAAGATACTAGTTGATATCTTTCTGTAAAAGAGACAAGGTAAGGGAATCAGTTGTTGATCAACAGTAATTAGTACACCTCTAGAACGTTGATATCGGGCAATAAGCAACACTATCCTTGGAGAAGAAGTTCCATGTGAGTGAGGCAGGGAAGTGATGAGAGTAAGGGTCATAAGAGAAGTAAAAACAAAGTCATGTTCCTATTACCCTAAACAGGGGTTCGAACGTTCGTCACGTGTGTTTGTGTGTATGTGTGTGTTGTCTAGTCCTGCTGCAAGCAAGCAAGCATATCTACAGGAGCAAACTTGAATGTTGAAAAGACCTGCCTGGTTTACCGGAAACTCAGGGCAGGGAAGAATCTCGTTCCAGCGTAGCCGTAAGCAATGATGCTTTGGATGTCTATGTTTGTCCCGCTGCGAGGACTCCATAGCTTGACGAGGATGTATCGGCCTGAGCTGTAGGAGGGGGTCAGGAGTCGTATCTTCAAGAGAGTGATGGGGCAGCACATACGGAGGAGGGTCAAACTTGATGCTGACCATGGCTTTATTTCGCTCAATGGAAAAGCGAGCATGTGGTTTCATGACCGCGGACTCCGAACTGAGCGCTGGTTCACTACGCAGGCTTGGCCCTGGCATAGCCGAGGTCGCCCGTCGTCTTGCTTGTCCCTCTTGCTCTGCGATGTATTGGCGACGCATGGCTCGAACACGCCGTGCTAGTTCTTGGCGACGCCGCGCGAATGTGCTCAGCCCGGAAGCATCGTCGTCGCTTAAACTCATGTCACTGTCTGAGCATACAATATTATCATCGTCCATTCGCCCCACCGGCAAGCTATCAGTATCAGTAAGAGAAAGAAGATCGTCATCATCATTCTGGTCATCATGGTCAAGCCGTCCACCCGACTGCTCACCATACTCCGTGGTGATTCGGAATTCGGACGTCAGATCAGGTTCATTGACAGCACCACCGGGCTCATCAGTAGTATCTGATTCCGAGTCAGAAATGTGATCGGCGATAGACCCGCGGTCTAGACTCTGCAGCGGAGGCCGATATGCGTTGAGATATTCCTGAGATGGCTGCAATCCCCTGGGCCGATTCCGCGCGAACGACCGAGTTGTTTCGTATTGCACCTCGAAAGCAGCGGTACGAGCTAGGAGTTCGTCAGATGACATTGAAACGAAAACCATGCCTTCCCGAATCCTTTGAAAATAGATTAGTGATATATTCCAAACGGGGGATCAACTTGGTCGAAACATACGGGGCATCATAGCCAATTTTTGGCGCTTTTATGACGATCTTCTTTAGGCAGAATGGGGACTCCCCGTGGTGCTTCAGAACGAGATTGCACCGGTCCGATTTCGTACAGTATACGGAAGTGTCGTTGCGAAGGACGTTTTCCGGCCATGAGCTTTCGCCATTGGGCTCATACGTCCCCCCATCACAGCTAGCTAACTCCATCCTGAGTGCCCCGGGTACCACTTGGCCATATTGACCGTAGCGAAAACCATGTAGTCCTTCCCTGTTATCATCCGACTCAAGTTTTCGACGTTTAGTTCTTGCACGGTCCAGCGGATGCTCTGCCTCGAACTGTTGAGGCGGGACAGTTGGGGAATCCAGACGAGGCACGGGCGTATCAAGGAGAGAGGCCAGGTTGGAATCTCTACTCCGTCTTCCACGACTAGACCGGTCGCTACCCCGTCCCGACCGAGGCCTTGGGGTTCTGCTACCTGAGCGTGAGGGGTCGGATGTGTTCTCTTCTGGATTCGTCATGGTGACATTCGAGGGCTGTAGCCGTGGTGCTCCTGGACGCATCGGCGCCGAGCTGGGCCCGTTGGGACGGTCTCTGAGCACCCGTTCACGGAGCTGCTGCATATGATGGTCCAAGTCTGCCGTCGCCTGCTCAAAGCTAGAGCGGCCCCAGACCCGAGACGAGCGGTAGTCGTCCATTTCCTGATTCAAGGTTTCCACTGCACGGGCGAAGGCAAAGTCACTGCGGTTACGTTCCGAGTTTAACAGCTCCCGGAGATGCTGCAAACGACTCACGGGAGGCTGCTGTTGTCGGTCATTGGTTCGAGCGCCGCGAGAGGGACGGCGGGAGGCAGGAGGGTAGTCGTAATTTCCCGACTACAGTGGGATATGCCAGTCAATACCTGCGAGAAACGGGGTGGCTGATGGGATCCTGTGCCATTCCCGGGCCTTATTGGTGGTGAAGAGAAGGCTATAATCACAAACGTACCATCCTGTGTGAGGGCGTTGATCATCAGTGGGAGGGAGACGCAGCGGCGGGAGCGGAGAAAGCAGAGCAACTATACCGATATGAGGCAATGTTGGATCACCGGCGAACAAGGTGCCACCGACGCGGCAGGCAGACAGACAGGAGGGCAGGAAAGATACAAGGACGGCGCCCAGGTAGCCGGTGAGAGTATTACGGCAGCAGAGAGCCCGGAGGAGGATGGATGATGGATGGGGGCGGTAGAGGGATGACGATGGGAGGGGGGTGTGGATGCTGGGGTGGATTTCAGGTGAATTGGCCGGCCGCCGATAAGTGATTCGATTCGCTTTATCGGCCGCGGCCCGGCACGTGATGGGGGAGCTCCGCGCTCTCGTCGGCTTCTCTCTTCGCTTGCTCTGCTCTCTCCGCTTCACCCTCGTCTCTTGCTCGAATCTGGGCTCGTTGACCTCTCTACAGGCCTTGTTGCTGACAGTCATCTGCATGCCGCTTACACGTCACCTGGCAGATTCACTCCCATTCCGCTTTTCTCGATCCGACGCCTTGCGTCCCATACTTCCTTCCCCTCACTCCATTGACATAGAAAGCCTACCGATTCCTGATGCTCCGGGGAATTCTGCAATTCCTTGACACTGCCACCTTCTGAAGTGCCCAACAATTACCGGTACCACTCACTGCTCTTCACAAGTGAAGTCCACTGAATCCGCGCCCTCCACCGCGAGCTCCGCAAGTCGCATACCACGAGAATCGCAATGGAGTCGCAGGCAGATCCAGCCCAGTCAATCAGCGCGGGTAAGGGAACCAAATTCATACCAAACAATCGGCTGCTATTGGATCGGAAATTTTGTCTGACGTTTTCGTGGAACTTGACAGATGAGATCGCTTTGTACGATCGTCAAATCCGCCTCTGGGGAGTCAAGGCACAAGAAAAGTGAGCTACTCCGATTATTCAATTACCACACCTCATCAAGCTGATCGTTATGCTCTCCCTAGACTACGATCCGCTAATATACTTCTTATCACGTTCAAAGCGCTGGCAAACGAGGTTGCGAAGAATCTAGTGTTGGCAGGCATTGGTTCCTTGACGATCATTGATCATGAGCTTGTCACAGAGGAGGACTTGGGAGCGCAATTCTTCATCAATCAGGAACACCTGGGCCAGAATGTGCGCTGTCCCCCTCCCAGCAAAGCATATGACATCAACTAAACGCATCCCAGCGGGCACAAGCGGCAGCACCCTCTGTTCGCGCCATGAACCCTCGGGTCCAGCTTCACATTGACACCGAAGACGTCCATCTAAAACAGCCGGACTTCTTTGCTCAATTCGACATTACCATCGCAACAGAGCTCGACTTCGCTACATACACAACGATCAATGCGGCGTGTCGCATTGCCAACCGCCCCTTCTATGCTGCCGGATTGCACGGGTTCTATGGATTCGTCTTCGCCGATCTGATCTCGCACGATTTCGTCATCGAGCGTTCCAAGTCAAACGTCCCGTCCCCCACGCAGGAAACCCCCACTCGCAGCATCCTACATATCACCACCAAGAAGGACAACGAGAAAGTTATCGAAATGGTGACCAAGCGGGAGGTATATTCCCCACTAATCCTCGCCAACACCTCACCCCTCCCCGAGGACTTCACCCGGATCGCACGGAAACGCAAACAAGTGACACCTCTCCTCACCTGCCTCCGTGCCCTATGGGAGTACCAAAAGTCATCCGGCGGTGCCCTACCAACCTTCTCCCACCAAGACCTGGAAGTCTTCACGAAACACGCCCGTGACTGTCACCAGGAACTAAAACTCGACATCACCACCCTGGACGCAGGGTTCCTGCGCACCTTCCTCCAGAACCTGGGCAGTGAGCTCAGCCCCGTGGCCGCATTCGTAGGCGGCAGCCTCGCCCAGGACGTAATCAACGTGTTAAGCGCAAGAGAGCAACCCCTCCAGAACATGCTCCTCTTCGATGGCGAAAGATCTGCCGCTCCCATCTACCCCTTACATCCATTCTTCCCTCCCGAAGTCGAGAACGTCCTCCCGACCGTGCTTCCAGTCTCCAATCCGATCTCATTGGACGGCGAGCCAGCCATGGCACCCTCCCTGCCCGCCCAGTAAGCGACAGCCTGGGTAGTATTCCCATGATGGCATTGGCGCTCTTTCTTTGCATATGGGTCTCCCTCCAATTGGTGGGGTGGGATCCGCTCACGACGTGTACGATAGATCTGATAAAACGATTTCCGGGGAAATATTTACACCCATTTGGAGCATTTTACTTTACTTATACTTTGTCTCTCTAATGGTCCTACATCGTGGTACAATGATTCATAATAAGTAACATTGATGTTGATCCTCTGAGATTATCATATCTGAAAACCATAGTTATTCCGTACCCTAACTCCCCTCTCGAAACATAAACAAGGATGACAAATATCACACCACAATTGAACAGGGAGCGAGAGCATATAGAAATAGATAAAATCAATTTATACCAAACGAAGCTATGCACATGTACAGATGCAACCCAAATTCCATCACACCAAGAATCAAAAACACCCGAAACCCGAGAAAATACGGACTAAAGATGTATAGAGCAGAAGATACATGTAGGTATGATTGAGAAAAGAAAGAGCGTTTTGAGTAATGATGAAATCCTTAGACAAGGTTTAACGGGTTGTTGTTTCCTTAGCAACTAAAGGGGAGTCTTCTTCGTCTTCGACTTTTCGAGGGCCCATCGGGTGTCTGTCGTCGAGGGGTTTGGCGTCGTCTTCCTCGTCGGAGATGAGGCCTTGGAGCTCGAATTCCTCGGCGTCGTGGACGTGTTGGTTCTCCGAGGCGGAACGGGCATGGCCGTTCGCGAGACGGCCGTTGGTGGTCGGTCGGTAGTGGGAGGAACCCTCGCCGGCATCTGCGCTGCTGGAGGAGCGAGAGTGGGAGGGGGCTTGTGCGGATTCGGGCCATGCGTGGACGGCGTAGATGTGCAGGAGTACGTTGACAACTGAGATTGGGGTTAGTGCGATTCACTGATTAGAAGAAGACGGGGCTTACACAGGAAGAGGATAAAGGCGATGCTGTAGAGGATCAGGACATATGACACGTGGGTGATTCCGGCGTCATTCAGGAGTTGCATCTGCTCCTCCGTAGCTCCCATGAAGAGGAAACCCGAGGCATACAGAAGCTGGATCATGTTAGCTCGTGGCCAAACCTTTGATTACATTGATACTGGGGACTCACGAAAGGTGGGAGATATTGGAAGCTGTTGGGATCAGTACCGTCCACACTAAGGGTGCCCTTATCCCGCAGCACGAAGGAGATCTCGATGATTCTCGTGATACCGGCGGCCATCAAGGTGTAGCCGAAGATGGAGTGGATCATCGTGCTAATCATCAGGGTCTGCGGGTGGGCAGACATGGCATAGCCAGTGAGAAGAATCACCAAGGCTGGGATCAAGTTCCGCTTGGGCCGGCCGTTGCGCCGCCGGCTCATCCAGATACCCAGCAGACCAGCGCACCACCAGACAATCCCCATAGTGGTGTGCTGCAAGTCGTTGTGGACCCAGGGACCTCCCCAGCGGTGTTCTGTAAAGGTGTTGACGCATCCCCACGCAGCGATGATCAGCGAGTCAAAGAACTCCTGGCTGCGGCCGGTGCGGCGCAGCCAGTACTGGCCAACGAGGAGCAGGATTGTCAACAAGATACCGTAGGCAATGAAAGCGCTGCCCATGATGAAATGAGCCAGACACTGTCCCAAGTGATCATCCCGACAGAATCCCATGGCGGTGATTCCTCCGAAGAGCATTTGGACCCAGCTCGCCACTGGCATTGCCTTCCCGACCACTCCGTGCGCAATCACGAGCACCCGGCGAATACGGCCATGGATTCCCTTAGAGAGGTGCAGCTTGAGATAGACACCGAGAACGATCTGCACCACCATCATGAGCATGAGCGTGTTTGCGAACGACGCGTGGACGTTCTTCGCGAACTGACGGCCTTTGTGAGCATGGCCGAGGAAGTATGCGACGACTGCGATAATGGTTCCGACGATCTGGAGAGGGACATGCCACCGCGAGCGCACAATCTGTGGTAGTGAAGACAAAGTGTTAGACACGGGGCTTGCTCAGTCAAGCAATGGATATTGCCTCCGACCGAGATGGGCCGGAGATACTAATAATAGTCAAGGGCCTGCTTACTCCGAGAACCATGCCCAAGGGGAAGATGACGCCAAAGGCAAATCCCATCAGAATCATGTGCACCCATAATGTCGAGTCCTAGAGGTCCGGTCAGTGTCTGGTGAGACCACCGCGAGGATGGACAGCCCGGTGCGACCACATACAATCGGATCGTCGGAGACGGCGGCACCCTCGGGGACGCTCTCGTGGCCGCCATGGGCCAGCGCGGGGGAGGCCAGCAGCAAGGCTGCCAGCAACCCTTGGAGGCCGAGTCGGCTCGTAATCGCCATGATCGTCTTCACCTTTCACGCGCGCGGGGGTGGAAAAGGAGTGAAGGGGGAGCAGAGCGAATGGAGGGAGTCAGACGATGCCACGATGAGGTGGAGGTGGAAGTTGGAATTCTTATTAAGGGAGAGAGGCAGAATAAGGCCGGGGCAGCCACGAAATCGGCCGGATCGGATTGGTCGGCGGGTTGGCAATTTGTAGTATGGCAACGTCAACGTCCCTCCGCAACTGCAACCTTCAACCAGAGGGGAAGTATAGATAGATGCAAGGATAGAAATTGAATAATTAACTTGTCCTTCACAGCTCGCAGAGCCCCATCGCGAAAGATTTTTTTATCTGTTGACACGGTGGATTCGATCTCTTCGAAACTGCCGATCAGACGGCATACTACGGAGTAGAAGCGTACGTATGGACCTCCATAGTCCAGAGGAGTCGCTCTCCACCAGGCACCCGCGGATCCGGAATTTGCCCAGCAACCACTGGCAGGTCAGGTCTGGACTGACATCCAACAGGCAGATCTCCCTGCACTGCATGCCATCATGCCACCCTCCAAGCCGCCCCAGCAAGCCACCACCACCAGTAATACCAGTAATGACAACGACCCAGCACCTGCATCTCTCTCCCCTGATCCACAAGTCCAAAAGGACAAGAAGCTGGTATCTACAACCTACTCTTCATACATTCTCACAACCCCAACCAAACACCAAAAATAGTACCACGCAGCATCTAACAAAATAAATCCCAGTCTACTCTCCGCACATCCATCGCCAGCCTGCAATCCCAGATCACGGAGATTGAGTGCCAGATCGCACAGACCAGGACCAAATTGAAGTATGAACAATAGATCCAGCCTGTACCTCTGCACCCGTTGATGGGGGTTCTTATTGATGGAATGCTCGCTCTAGGGATGACCCATCGACGACCCTCCAGCGACACATCCGGCTTCTCCACGAGTATAACGAAGTCAAGGACATCGCGCAAGGCTTGATGGGCTTGATTGCAGATACGCGCGGTGTCCGGCAAGTTGACGTGCAGCGAGAGTATGGCGTAGAGGATCGGGACTAATTCGGTTGGGATGTCGGTGGGTTTGTGTTCTAGATGGATTTTCAAAGGAGGTGTTTGATTGATCGTGGTGTCTACGGGTTGGCGTTTCCGGGTTCTACAAGATACCCCTGGAGTTTCCTGCGAAAGTATGGAGTGATGACATGTTCTTTTCGTGCTTTTCCCAGACCTCTCAATACATATAATTTTAACAGCAGAAGCAGAAGCCACCAAACTCTGGGGACAGTCGGTTCATATCCCATGAACTTTTTGTATACCCAAGTACACCACACAGGAGAGTTTCGTCAACAACCAAGTACAATCAAGAGACTCTCCAATCTAAACCACAATGCAAGCCAACTCCGCATCAGCCAATGCAGCTGAGCTATGAGCAGGAAACAGAAGAAGAGGACCAAGGCCACCCCGGGCACACTTTTGGTGCGGGTGAAGGGATCATAACACATTACAGGATAAGTAGAGGCGAGAGTAAATGCAAGTCGAAAGGGGTATAAACGAAGCACACAGCAACAACAGTAACGATCTAGACAGCATGCAATACGAGATCAATGGCCACCGTCCAGGCTCTGCAGGTTGACCAACTCGAAGTAACGGCCCTTCGCCCGGATCAACTCCTGGTGGGTTCCGCTTTCAACAATCTTGCCCTGGTCGAACACATAGATGATGTCGGCCTTCTGGATGGTACTCAGGCGGTGCGCCACGGCGATCGTGGTGCGTCCCTTGGCCGCGGCATCCAGCGCAGCTTGCACAACCTTTTCGGATTCCGAGTCAAGAGCCGAGGTGGCTTCATCCAGCAGAAGAACGCGGGGGTCCCGGATCAAAGCACGGGCAATTGCGACTCGTTGCTTCTGGCCGCCAGAGAGCATGCCTCCTTTGCTACCAACCACAGTGTTGAAACCCTCCCTAAAGACATTCGCATTAGTGTCACAGTCGCTGGAAGGCAAACAAATGGGGTGGACTTACGGAAGAGACATGATAAAGTCATAGATGTTAGCATCCTTGCAGGCTTTCACCAGCTGCTCCTCGGTCGCATCCTCACCGTGGACTCCCAACAAGATGTTCTCCCGGATGGTACCTTGGTACAAGGTAGGTTCCTGGCTGACCAGCGACAAGAAACTGCGGTACGAATTCACATTGATCTGGGTGATGTCTTTTCCATCAATCAGAACCTTTCCAGCGATGGCGTCATAGAAGCGCTCCAGGAGCGCAATGGTGGTACTCTTGCCGCATCCACTGGGCCCGACGAGGGCAACATATTGTCCGGGTTTGACGGTTAGGTTCAATCCTCGCAGGACAGGCTGCTCGGCCCGGGTGGGATACCGGAAATGCACGTCCCTGAACTCGATCTCGCCTTCCACGGAGGCGAGCTTCTCACCCTCCTCGGACCACGTGTCGATATCTGGCTTTCTGTCAAAAAGTCTTCGGAACTCAGCGGCAGCGTTCTTCGCTTTTCCCATGTCAGGCGAGAAAGAGAAGACGGTACCAGCGGACTGGGCACCAAAGAGAATCTCCGAGAAGCAGACGAAGAAGCGGAAAACGGAGTATTCGTGGTGACCCAGGAGCGTGCCTCCGTACCAGAAGCCAAGCGCAACACAGAAGAAAACAAGGGCTTGCGAGCATGCATAAAGGATAGAAGACTTCAACACAGACAACAGGCTCTTCCGTCCCTGGTCCTCCAACTGAGAATGATAGATCGCCCAGACATCCTGCTCACGCGTGAGTGAAGCCACGGTGCGGATGGCAGAGGTGGCTTCGCAAGCATAACTCGCAGACGATTCATAGGCAGTCTTGGAACGCTGTTGGAATCTCGCCAGCATGTAGAAACGGTAGAAACCACACCCCAGAAGGATGGGAACGACCGAGATGCAGACCAGAGCCAGCTTCCACCCAATGGAAAGGGAAATGATCATGGCTGCGCCGAGAGTGGTACTCGTCATCAGGATGGTTCCCAGGGTCGCACCACTGACTCCAGAAAGATGCTTGGTCTCAGTCGACAGGAACGATGTCAGCGCGCCAGTGCTATTCTCCTCTCGGTCGAAGAAGGTGATGTCCTGCCGGAGAATGGACCTGAAAGCCATGCCTCGAGCCCGGCGGATCAGCCGCTCTGAACAGACAGCAAATGCAGCACCATTGATTGAAAGGTTGATGAACTGGGCGATTCCAACCACGAAGAACATCAGGGCCCAGAAAGCCCCGTCATGCCGAATCTTAGCGCTCTCGCTAGTAGGCAATGAAAGTGTACTGATAGCTTTGGCGTACAGCACAGCCTGTGTTGGTTGACCACCACCAGAAAGAACCGCGAAGAACAGCCCAATAAGCATATAAGGAAGCTCGGGGCGATTGAATGAGGCGATGAATTTGACCAAGGTCCAGAGGGAGTACTTCCGAGCGACCTCGGGCTCCCGCTTAGAAAGAATGGCGCTGGAGATTGATTTGTGCGTTCCACTGCGGTTCAGTCCAGGCCCGGCGAGTGACTTCTCATCCTCATCCTCATCGTCGAGAGAGCCGGAGCCACTGCTTGCAGACTTGATGCGCGCAATTTCTTGTTTAGAGTAGTCTTCCTCCTCAACATCCTCATCGGCAACCAAGGCTTCTGCGTCCTTCTCCTCATTGATCCGCTGCGCCTCCACCAGACTGTGGTAAGTGCCCTTACGACTGACAAGCTCGTTGTGGTTTCCCTGCTCCACGATCTTACCATTGACCATGACGACGATGTTGTGTGCTGTCTTGATTGTCGAGAGGCGATGAGCAATCACGATAGTGGTTCGACCCTCAGCGGCTCTGTCCAGTGCTGCCTGTACGACGCCCTCGGACTTGGTATCCAATGCAGATGTAGCTTCATCGAGGAGAAGGATTTTGGGGTCGCTCACGATGGCACGCGCAATGGCAATACGCTGTTTCTGTCCTCCGGAGAGCAAGAAGCCGCGCTGGCCAACGTTCGTCTCATAGCCTTCAGGGAGTGCCGTGATGAAATCATGCGCATTAGCCATCCTAGCCGCATTCTCGATCAGGTCCCGAATCTTCTCCTCGGGGTCATGCTCGAATTTCGTGCCGATGAGACCGTATCTGATATTCTGATAAATCGTGGTGCCGAAAAGGACGGGTTCCTGGCTGACGAGAGAAATCTGCTGACGCAACCAACGGAGGTTAAGAGTCGAAATATCGTGGCCATCCAACAACACGGAACCCCCAACCGGGAAGTAGAAGCGTTCCACCAAGCCGACAACGGTACTCTTTCCAGAGCCAGAAGGACCAACCAAGGCCGTTGTTTTTCCGGCAGGCATGCTCAAAGAAACACCATCCATGACAGTCACCTCCGGGCGGGAAGGGTAGATGTGCTTGATATCACGAAACTCAATGTTGCCCTCAAAGTGGTCAAGCTTCTGGCCTTCTTCGGAATAGGGATCCAGGGGAGAGGGGCGGTCAATGGTACCATAGATTTTGACAGCTGCGGCGACGGCGTTCGTGAACGCCTGAGCGTTGGGGCTGACATTACCCAAACTGAATGAGCCGATCAGGATAGCCATCAGCACCGTCAGGACCTGGCCGACGTTAACTTCTCCATCGGTGAGGAAGCGAGAGCCCATCCAGAAACCAAGGCCGTAGTTGGAAAACATGATACCGAACATGCCGCCAATCATAAAACCAAGGGTCACTTGAGTTTTGACACCCCATTTCTCAGCCTCGGCGAGATGAGTCTCATATTGCTTGGCGAGCTTGTCCTGAGTGCCGAATGCAGTCGCATTGCGGATGGAGCTGATGACTTCCTCTGCTACCGTACCACCAGCACCAGCGCTCTGCAAAGCCATCTTGCTGTTCTTGACGATGAAACGAGATCCGCCTCCCATAAGCAGAACCAGTGCCACAATAGTCGAAGTACAGATCAGGGCCAATTTCCAGTATTTGACGTAAGCGACGATGAAGGCGGTAACAAACGTCGCAAGAGCCGTCAAGGTCAGCCCAACCTTTTCCGAGATGCCGTCTTGGATGAGGTTGGTGTCGGCAGTGATGCGGGTAGTGACTTCACCGGCACCCAGCTTGTCGAAGTATCCCATGTTCTGTCTGAGGATGGACTCGAGATAGTGTTCGCGAATCTTTTGGGTAACGTGCTCACCGGTGTAGATGAAGCCAACGGTGGATATATATACGGTAACGAACTCGGCGATTCCGAGGTAGACGAAGTAGAGAACATTCTTGGTCAACTGGTGGTAGAAATCGTGGTACGAAATCTCATACAAGGCGATACCTCGGAAGGCCGATGCCAAGGAACCGAAGAGGATCTAGGCACACGTTAGTCCAACGAGGTCCATCGGGTTCGAATGGTGTTATGGATAGCACTCACAGTGAACAAGGGCAGGGCAGCGCCTGCGATGATGGCGCAAATACCGCTCACCACCATGATCGCGATATCTGCCCGGGAGGCATAACGGAACAGACCAAAGAACGAGACGTTCACATCGTCTGCATCCAGCTGTTTCTTCAGGATCTGCTTCTCATGTTCAGGAAGATGAGCATACAGTGCGTCGGAATCATCTGCTCGGGCTAACTGCCCGCCAGGTGATGGTTGCGACGCTTGGCTCTTTTCTGCGGCTGGCACCATGGTCGTACTGGTGACGGATGACTGGCCGCTTGACTTGCGCTGCTCCGCCGCCGATGGGCTATCGCGCTCCATCGCGGACATTTCAACATCGTCGGCGGATCTCTCCGCCGAGATGCGCTCGTTCTCTGAGCGGGACATTTCGTTCGCAATGTCGAACCGCTCGTCTCGCTCTATAATTCAGAGTCGAAAGAAGGGACGGATGTTTGAGGGGAGAGGCAGAGAGCGCTCTACTCCATGAGGCAGGCCGCTTGAAAGAAGGACTGAAGAAGCTTCTTCAAGCGAGAGGTGACCTGTCCCAAAAAAGGACGCGAGGGAGGGATGCACGCGCAGGGAAGGGGTGGGGAGATGCGTGGTAGGGCGAGATGGATGGCTGGTTGTCCTGCTGTGAGATATTCCTCCACACGCGCGCGGCAGATAGGGATGGAATGATCAACTACTTATGTGGAGGAGGAGGGTGGCTGACGCCGATAGATAAAGCCAGAAAACCTGGGAAAAGATGAATGGCATTTAAAATTAAAAAGGGGAAGAGGCTCTCTACTAATATAATCCCCCATCCGAATCATGACCAGTCGGTACTCCGTATCTGCGTCAGCGACAGACCCCATCGGTGCCCCCATCTTGCTTGTTGAAAGAAGTTTCCTTTTAGTTTCCGTCTTTTAGTTTGCTGGTCGGAGCCCCGACTTCCCGAGGGCGGTTTTATGCATGAACCGCGTTGGTCATCGGGCCTCCACCCGCGGTTATCCCCATGATTTATGACCGGAACTAAGCATCAGAATCATAATAATAGATACACAATAGGCCGGAGTCGATGCGGTCTAGCTAGATCCGGCAAGAAGTAACGACTAGGTGTCCGGCTCACGGACTACTTCAGTTGGAAACTGGGATCAACTATCATGGATGCCTGCAGCACAGAGCACCCCTGTTTGGACTGTATCTACGTATTATTTCTTCAAACGAACGAAGGCTCTGCAGTCTGCACTCTGCAGAGATTGCAGGAGGAAGCTTATCAGAAGTACTCTGTCGCACCGCAGATCAACGATAGACGGTAGATAGTCGGTAAGACAGCGGTCGGATATCCGTGAACCCGTGGAGAGAAGAATATTAGTACGGATACTCGAATATACGACACCAACAATAAGGATTAAGACAAACACTCGGGTGCTTGTTGTAGTAGTCTCCTCCAAAGGTTGGCACGCACCATTGGTGGATTCAGGGGGCGAATGATAGCTACAAAGGAAGGAATAGTAATCATGGAATCAGTCGCAGAACTTATTTGTGAGTCATGAACTATGATGATAGTCATATTGGACGCCCCGAATCGGTTCTAGACTTCTAGAACCACCGCGGACGGCGTATTACATTCTACAGCGTACAGCGAACTCCGTATAAGGCCAGATAGGAGTTGGAGAGTCGGACCTCGCTTTGCACCAATCGCTTACGAATACGACACCAGCTGTCGATGCCTAGAGGGCTTAGTGTTGATACTAATCGGCGGGGTCCGGCGCTACCATGGAGAAAAAGAGTCGAGATGTTTTACCGAAGACCCGCTTGGGTTTTTGGGTACCGAAGGGAAAGCCAGAGTGATCATGATTTCTTTGCTTCTCTCAGGGCATGAGGCATCCAGATTCATCCCAGTAACCACCTTCATGACCTTGGGAGAATTGCCATCCATGCTGCGATGGATGGTCCAGTGAAATTCGAGGCTGGAGAGGGTCGGCTCTCTATCTAGATCGTACACAGTGGTACGGAGTACACAGTAAACTTTAAACCGGCTTTCGCTAAACGTCAGGAATTCAGGGGCGGGTTTCTTCTCCCCATAACTCCAGGGCCGTCATTCTAAGGTATTCCAAGGCCTCCAACGAATATGTAACTTACGTCAAGACATGCCGCTCCTACTCTAAGTATGTAATTAAACTCTTGAGTATCTAACTGCCCCATACTTACTATCCAAACACATGATACTCCGAATAGGGTGGTTTCAAGTCCGACCGCACAGAGTCAGTCCATGTGGTCAAAGGATTCCAGGTCTTCTAATCTCATCTTAGTATCCCCATATTAAGGGCCCAGTGGTCCGTATCTCTCTAGTGCTATGCAGAGGTCGGAGTCGGGCACTCCGAGGGCCGTCTCCCGATCGCAATCGATGCCTGATCTGGAGCGCAGACGCCATCATCTTAGTACCTTCTCGATCGGTCTATCTGCGATCTCGTTGGATGCGTTGCAGCGTAACCACGGACAGAGCCCACTACTAATGCTAACGATGCGCTCTTGCGCGTCAACTTTGACTCATATTTGACACATAGTTTCGTGTTCGGGTTCGGGATCCAACTAGAACTATTGATTACCTGTTTGGGTCCCCGACCTTATTGTCTCGATATCAATCCTGCAGCTATTTTCAGGGATCACCTGTTTAGGTCCCCGACAAGGTTGTCGTTAAACCAATCCTGCGGCTGTATTCAGATGTCCGCTTGGACCTATCAGCATGGAATCAACTCTACGGTGTGGCTTTGGTATCGACTGCAGGTGCGGTCCCGCCACGTCTGCTGATCCCTTTGACACTTGTTCAACTCCGCCTCGTCTAAGATCAAACGAGCGGATGAAACCGCTCACTATCTTATCAATAGCCCGGGCGGACTCGTTTCCCCGGGAGACTATGGAGTACTGTGTATGTATCTACAACAAGGACTCGTAGTACGGAGTACCTGAGCCATTTACATCTGGCTTCCCCAATAATTGCACGGTCTAGCTAGGGCTCTATTGGTCCCTGGAGTCACTGAAGCTGGTGAGCTCCGCCATATCTAGGTGATAGATCCTCCACAAAGAGTCGGGACGAACGCGATGTGATAGATACCGCGTGCGCTAACTCGGGAGATAGACGTTCCGAACGAATATCACGGGTCGCATATGGAGTCCATAAGCCTGATCAGCGGAAGAATGGGGTACCGAGACCGATTCTGATGGGCTCTTCCAGAACATAAGACTTGTCCGTGATGGATCGGAAAAGGTAGGGCGGCTATGCTCAGTCCCATAGAGTTCGGTGGCTTGAACCAACCGGAAATTATTGATCTGACATCTAGAGATTCCTCCATGTCTTATGTTTCGTTCAATTGCGTGCTGCTGCTGGCCCATAGACCAGGTCTTTGATATTTCGACACCTATGACTTCACGGGTTTACTATGGTGTTTCCCTGCTGGAACACCAGGACTGCTGCAGGTCAAAACAAACGACCTATGAGGGGCTTGGGATTAGAGCTTTGAGCAGGGCCCCATGATCCAATGAATGTATTAAATGCATCAACATGGGAAATTAAATCACTGTGTCGTCACCTGCAAAACGACAACCGGTTTGAGGACGTATACATGCATGTATTTGCTGTCCAACGAACAAGGACTGATATCACTGCGCGATGTGCAAAGCCGGCCGGTGTTATTGAACAGTCGATGTATACTTGAGTGTACAAGTCCGCCAAGTATGAAGGTATGGTGTCAACCATTCGACGTTTCTTCATGTACTCCGTCTTGGGGGCTCGTATCTACCTAGACGATGATGGCATAAATTGTTAAAGTCCGCCAGGGCCGCTTGGCGGTCGGGGCATGTGATTTCCCGTTTGGGAGCCAATCTCTCATGACCTGAGTATACGAACACCGATATGCCTAACTATGGCCATTGCAAGAATTGTCCTTCTCAATTCATAGCAAAACCTAAACATTGCAGATCGGGAAAATAAGCAACACAACTATGTTGGAGTAAACCAACCCCTCTAGCTCCGCCTACACGCGGGTATGGGGTAATCACTGCCTTAGGCACGTATCACATGACCCAGCGGAAGCGAAACGCTAAGCCCTGCCCGCACAAAAAAACCACCACTACTGAACGGCGCCTTGACAGACGGTCGACAACCTCATCATCGCCAGTCCATACACTCGCCGTCGCGACAAGCCTTCAAGATGCCGGTTAGCAGCCCCCCTGATACTCGAACGACTCTGGATACCACGTCCATTTTGGAAATGAAAAATATATGGGATAAAAGACGGGGGTTGGGATGATGACAACCAGGCTAACGCGCACTTTCTTCAATCTAGAGCCACAAGAGTTTCCGCACCAAGCAGAAGCTTGCCAAAGCTCAGAGACAGAACCGTCCTATCCCCCAGTGGATTCGTCTCAGGACCGGTAACACCATCAGGTAAATAGCACCGTCACCGTTCCATCCACAAATACCCCGCGAGTCCTCGATCAGCCTGGGCGAAGGATACGAGCAACGAGAGGAAGCAAGAGAAACCCAAGGGGGATCCGAGGAAAGAACGGCATCTCTACTTGGACAGGAGATGCGCCCGGGACACCAGGATCGTACTTCGCCGGCTGGATATCAGAGGACTACACCAAACCACATATATCCCCAAGAACACCCCAAACTAACGTCTCATTTCTTCCCTCAGATACAACGCCAAGCGTAGGCACTGGCGCAAGACCCGTCTCGGTATCTAAGCACGTCTTATCAGCACCACCCGACGACTTTTTCGATTCCGCCCGAGATGGCCTACACCTATTCCCGGGAATGTTTCGTTCAGTTGTGATACCGCCAACTCTTGTGTGCCGCTACTATTCGCGATGATGAAAAAAACCCTGCATCATTTTAGATTTTCCTCAAATCAACCCGCTTCTCATTTTCTCTCTTAAAATCCTCTTGCCCGCTTTTTGCTCTCTCTCGGAAACTCGTCCCACCTCGGTTTCCTTTTCAACGCCCACATTTTAACTTGCTGTCTTTTTTGTTTCGGTACCAGCAGCATCAGCAACATGACAAGATGATTTTCTTTTTTGAAAATCTTATCTCTCGTCTCAAATGATCGTTCGGTTTGAGATGGGGCCGGATGTGTGCGTGTGTGTGTGTTTGTGTTCCGGACAAGGGGGTAGTAGTTGGTGTGGTCGAGGTGGGCCAAGCGGTGATTTGATGGGGGGAGCTGTCTCTGGTGATGCAGCAGTGCTTCTGAAAATTGTGTACACGAGCTGAAAAGACAAAAATCGAAAATTTATGATGGGTAATGAGCAGTTGAACGAACATCTTCCTTGCGAACTGATGATGGTGATGATACTGTATGTGATTCGTCGAGCGTTGCTTGTACTGTTGTCGTATATGTCCTGTGCGAAGAAGCCTGAGGGATGCTCAAGGAACCTCCCGTCAATCGTGGGTAACGTTCGTCCCGGTATCGAATTGCACCAGTAGTCCGCCTGCTGTATGGCGCAGCTAGATCGTGGTTCAGTCGACCCCACGTAGGTTTCGTTCTTGCCCTACTCGGGCGAAATAAGTGACTAGCCTACAAGATCCTACAAATATTATGCAGTAAGTGCAGGAGACGCCAGTATGCAAGGCAATTTAAGTAGCAAACAGGAGACGAACACCCGGTTTTGAGATTTTTCTATCGACATAATGATGTTCACGAGGTGACATCCATTGGATTAATAAGAGCGAAAAGAAACAGCAGTTGCCTAACCCTGTAATGAGCTACATCTACCCCTGGTCATAGCGCACAAGGGCACGGAACCAAGGGGGAAAGAGAGACACTGAAAAAGAAAACCCGCTGACATGAGGGAAATATATCATAACGCCGTGAACTGCAAGCAACTTGGGACCAGATGAAGCCCAGGCCAAAGGCTCGGGATATATGCCCATCTTCCGCGGCTTGCTTTTCAGAAGAAAGCGCCCGGGAGAGTGAGCACAATGAGGATTTAGCGGCTATAGTAAAGTGCAACGTTAGCAGATGACCAGGGCCTATACAGCAGTGACAGGCTCTGAATAGAAACTTACTCCTCAGCCCACTCGTTCTCACGACGGATCTGGTCTTCTTCTTCGGGGGTGAAATCGTTTTGGATGTTGAAAGTCTTGCGAATCTCCTCGGGAGACTTGCCCTTGATCATGTTCGCCACGGTCTTGCATCCGACATCCAAAAGACCCTTGATATCGAGGTAGTTCGCAGCCTGCACGATTGAGATGGTTAGCTTGTGGACTTGTGTAGACATAAGATCCCAAAACATACCAGAATGATCTCAAACAGCATCTCCTGGTCGACCTGCGTGAACTTCTGATCCCACTCATCAATGTCAGTGGTCTTGCGGCGGGAGTCTTCATCCTCGGTGGAAGCGGGGGGGTCGTTCTTGTGGTGTCTGCACCATTCAATGACCTTCCTCAGGACCGGTTCGTTGACCTGTTTTCGGAACGGTTAGCGATCATTGCCAGGACACACCAGGGCAATGTAGCGGATGACTCACATTCGGGATGGGGATGTCCTCGGTGGCTTCACCAAGATCCTCCAACATGTTCTTGATAAGAAGAGAGCGCTCGGCGACATCGCGCTCTGTGTTTTCCAATGCGTTAGTACGTAGGCTTTGTGGCAGCATAGACACAGACTCGATGTCTTCACAGGGATTTCAAGATGCATGCGTGTACTTACCAACCTCGATGTGCACGTTGTCGGCACTGACGAATGTAAGAAGATTCCCAGAGGCAGCCATTTTTGAAACACAAAGCAATCTCTAGGAGATCTGGGCTCTTCTGTTAGAGATCTCGGCTGTAGACACGGGGGTGGTCGCTGGGATGCGGTCCAGCAACGTTTATGAGGGGTAGGCAGGCGGGGGAGACGCTTGCTTACAAGTGAAAGGTGGTAAGAGGGTCGAAGAGCGATGTGAGGTGAGAGATAACAAGTTATTGGAGGAGAGACCAAGATAGTTTAAATAGCCTGGGTGGCTGTGAAGTGATGAGTTGGAATAGGAAAGATACCAAGATCGATTCCGGGGTGAAAGGGGAGTGGTGGGTGGAAGATTCCGAGACTGATGAAAGAAGGTGGATGAATGGTCGAGCTCTGAGGCTGACGAGGGTCCGCCAATCTCCGCCATCATTCGCCATTCGTCATTCGTCGCTCATGCCCCACCCGGGCGGTTGTGGCCTGGCGGATTGCTGGGTGCTGCCTGGTGGATGCCTGGCTGGCCAGCGGGTTTCCTTCCTGCCTTCCTTCTTTTTGCTCAAGGTTCTTTCTGCTTCCTTCTGTCTTTGTCCACTCCATCTTCAGAAAGGGGCAATGGCTTTGATGCGGAAGGAGGCAAGGCGATTGGGGGTGGTAGCCCGGTTGACTTCATCTTTTTCTTTACTAGTCCATCGGATGATTTCATCCTTTCGTTCAATTCATTTCATCATTGATGATGAGCTTCTTATTCTGTATAGTACTTTGCGTTAGACTCCCACGTAGTCCATATGCCCAGCAAAGTGACCATTATTTTGCGTACCTATCGAACCGCTAGAGATCCCGATTCAGTGTGGGTGTCTTACCGAGCCTATCAGTCAACATTCATTTTCTGTTAGGCATCTGGCTATCGAAGTGACGACGGAGGCACTGAACTACACGCCATCCATATGTGTACTAAGTACGGAGTACTTGTTTCCTTCCTTCCGCCGGGGACCGCCTACCGGGCCCAACCTGTTGCATAAGCCATAAACAACATTCAACATTCCCCAACAGTTGCACAAACTCTGGGGTGCACGGGTGTCATACTGCGAAATGCGAATGCCTGGTCTGGAGCGGAGGTCGAGGGCCGATGGCTCCGTTCCTGAGGATCGATGGAGGTCCGACCCACCAGGATTGACTGCGCTGGACGGAGTAATTTCACCCAAACCCAATAGTGCCTGGCAGCAAGCAGTTTAGTAGTGATATCACCCCACGACGCGACTCACCGTCCACGGAGCCCAGCGATCCCGACTCGACCTGCTCGGGGATAAATATTTATCTCCTGGAATCCGACTGCATCTTTTCCCTTTTCTGCTTTTGCTTCTACTTCTACTTCTACTCCTTTCTATTTTGGATAGCCCGCCCTCCATGTCCCAACAAGTCGTTCCTTAAATTCCTCCTTCCGTGTCAGCGACATAATCCATACATAATCTCGGATGCAGCAGGCAACCGGCATGTGCAGTATTTTACTACATCGGACTGGTCCCTTGTTGCCTTGAGATTGCTTCCCCGTGCTTCCACCTTATCCAAGTCATGTGGAGACGAACGTACCTGCTGCTACTGGTGATCCGGGTGTACTTCGCACTGTCGCCAAGTTATTTACATCCAGACGAGAACTTCCAAGGCCCCGAGGTCTTTGCTGGTGAGTGAATCCAGTCCATTTCGCAGGCCTATCCTCCGTCTGCCCTTCAAGAGGATTTATTTGTGAGCGGTGCGACCGCTCACGGACGACGATGGCGCACTTCCGACGCTTTCCGCGCATGGAAGAAGCCTTGTCCTCTCCGCCCACGAACCACAGCCTTGCCTTGCGATAGAATGCGCACAACTCACCAGTCACTCTATAGGTCGTATTTTCTCTTATCCTTCCCGATTACCGTGGGAATTCACTTCCGAGAACCCGATTCGTAGTGTCTTTCCACTATGGCCGACGTACGATGTACCGATGAACCTGCTGAAGGGGTTCTATACAGAAAGCGGGACGCTAAATCCTCCTCCACACTTGGTTTATTATGTGCTGAGAGGGAGCATGTTTCTGTTGAGCTTCGTGCTTGAGGATTGGGCCGTCTATGAGCTGGTTCCCCTGCCGCGCCATCGCCGCGCAACGGTGGTCCTAGTTGCATCCTCGTACGTCACCTGGACATATCAGACTCACACCTTCTCCAACTCCCTCGAGACCCTGTTGGTGGCCTGGGGCTTGGTATTGATTCAACGCATAGTTGAGAACAAGGTTGGCTTGATGATGTGGAACCCAGAGAAGGAAAGGCCTTGGCTAATCGCGGTTTATAGCGACGCTCTTCCCTCTTCGCATGCGCCGTACTATCGCTAATCGCCGTCGTGGGCGTTTTCAACCGGATCACGTTTCCTGCCTTCCTCCTGATTCCAGGGCTTCAATTACTGCCTCATTTCTGGCGCAAGTAAGTCGTGCGCGGGGTTTTTCTTCATCCGCCACCCAAGACTAATATTGCTCTGAAGGCCATATTCCTTTCTCTCTTTCGCTGGATTCGGTTTATGCTTCTTCTGCATCGCTGTCCTTGTCGATACAGCGTTTTACAGTCCCTCTGCATCGCTCTGGGATGTCCTTCATGCACCTGTAATCACGCCCCTCAACAACCTGCTTTACAACACCGATGAGGCCAATCTAGCGCTCCATGGACTCCACCCTCGTTATCACCACTTTCTAGTCAATCTGCCACAACTTCTGGGGCCTGCATACGTGGCGATAATAGTTTCCGTATGGAAATCGGCCGCGATACCATCTTGGCTAAAGAACAGGCGCGCCGTCTCCGCCGTATCAGCAACTGCTATGCTTTCCATCTTCCCACACCAGGAACCCCGGTTCCTGATTCCATGCGTCCCTTTACTCCTCAGCTGTCTTCGAGTGCGCAAATCACACCTTTTCTTGGCTACCTGGGTGGTTTTCAATGCCGCTCTGGGTTTCCTGATGGGGGTCTACCATCAGGGTGGTGTAGTGCCTACTCAGCTTGCGATACCCTCTATAGTCTCAACGAGCGTCTTAGAGACGGACGCCACTTTCTCTGGAGATAATTCCCGGATGTCTGCCACCGTACTCTGGTGGAAGACTTATTCCCCTCCCTTATGGTTGCTGGGAGAAAATACCACCACGCCGCTGGACATCGAGACGCGGGACTTAATGGGTATTTCCGGACCTGAAATGGCCAGCGAGCTTGAGAGAGTGGTGCCCCAATGTCCACGCGATTACGACAGCTCGAATGCGTCCAAACACTCAATATTCGTGGTCGCACCCAAATCTGCTACTTTCCTCGACCGGTATACGACACCATCGTCCGACGAATCGGACCTTGTACTGCACGAGCTTTGGACCTGGCGCAACCACATCAATTTGGATGACCTAGACTTCGGCACAGACGGCATCCTCCCAACCCTGAAGCGAGTAATTGGTAGGCGCGGGCTGTCTGTCTGGGCAGCACGAAGAACCGGTTGTGTTTGACAAGTTCCTCTCCGACATCAGATGACATCGAAGCTCACTCGGTCAGCCGGAAACTCATAACCTTCTTGCTCCTCCCCCAAACATACGCTTATATCTTTTATTGGCCTCTTCTTCTATTTCCTCTTGGCATTTTATTTCACACCAGCCTTGCTTCACCTCTTTTCCTCTTTTCCGCTTTTGACTTAGGCCCACCTCCTTCCATTCGTCATCGCATACTACCTACTACTACCTATACTATATTCCGCCATCTACCAACCCACCTTGAACAGATCCATCTCATCTTGTTTTCAGCAATGACCTTCAGATACCATCTATTCGGTACAGGCCTGCCCGCGTGCCCGCGTGCATGCATATACCGTATCACACGCTTTCATGGCAATAGAATATACCCCACCCCAAAATCAATGTCATCTTTCTTCATTCCTTTTGTTGTCTTTGGATTCTTCTGTAGATATATTCTCATCTAACTATTTTCTTACGATCCCATTCCAGCCTATTCTTGGTAGTACTCATTCAATTTGTTATCCCATGTCGTAGAATGTCGACCCTGGTGCTGAAATTAACTAGTGCTTGGGTATTTACTCCGTGGAGCGTTGGAAAGAAAATACCGGAATAGAAAATATTATATATCCATCATATATATCCGGCCCGGTGCCGGGAAGAAAAATCGTGACGGATGGAATTCTACGGGGCCGGTAGCATGACCCTTTCTGGTATGTGGGTGTGCTCGGTCATAGGATCAATCTCGTCTCTCGGAACTGACTGCTGATCGGTCATGGGTTCGGCCCCCACCCAGCTTGTACAGCCCATTACACGATTAGAAGGTGCTTCGTGATAACTCTTGGGGAAGGCTACGTAGGATAGTAAGGATGATCACAGGATTCAAGGAGCATTAAGGGGAAATACCTTGTCTTGTTCTCATTAACTAGATACATGACTAGAACGTCACAGATGAGAGGGTAGGGAAAAGAAAAATAGTGCAGCGGGATAAAGAGCTATTGTCCGTCAAAGCACTGGCTTACGAGAACTCATCCAGTGTTAAGGCATGAAGACAGATTCGAGTCGAGGACGTGAAAAAAGACATGCGCCAGTCTGACTTGATGGGTGAGAGCCAGGGGCACGGGTGGGGCCCATTGTCTGTCTGATCTACGCAGTCGATTCGGGGGAAGTCTTGAGAGGGAGTGATGAAGAGAAAGGGGATACATTGCGACGTTAATTATGAGGGGAAAATATGATCCAAAGCACTGAGCAGTCACTCAAGCCCGAAGGCATACAGGGCAGTGGTTGAATCATAGATCTTCAGGATCGTCGGGGTTCTCAAACAGATAGTTGGCTGCGAGCTCCTCATTCTTGTCGCAGGCGAAATAGGCCTGGATGACCAGATCCCGGGAGAAACCGAGCCGGCAAAGCTAGAAGTACCATGTCAGCTACATTCTCACGTGAAAGAACCGGAACATATAATACGTACGCGTTCAATTGCGTCTCTTTCCTCTTCTGTCACATGGATCTGATGCGTCCCCGGAGGGAGCGCGCCATCATCCTCTTCACTCAAGAGTTGAAGGAACTGTTCCTCATTTTGACCAATAAGCTGCGCAATTTGGGGGTTGCCGGCGGCAACTTGTTGGAGGATGGGCTCGAGCATCTGTGGTTGTTGTTGGACCAGCTGACGGAGCTGCTGGAAGTGAGGGTTATTCCGAAGGAAGTCGAGACTCGGAAGTCCCTCGCCAGATGCACCCCCGGCCCGAGCGCCTCGAGCTCCACCCTCCTGCCCACCGGCCTGAGCGGCAGCTTCGAACAAATTGACCGGTTCGTCATCAGCGGTGGAGGGTGTGCCTTCGGGAGCCGCGGACTGGGGTGCGCTAGCGGCGGCGGCAGCGGCGGCTTGCTGCTGCTGCTGCTCCTGTTGGATGTTCTCTGGAATACCCTGCGGAAAGTCAGCGCAAGATCGGGCAGGTGGGGACCGTCAAGTAGAGTGTCGCGGACTCACATTCAGCAGATACTCGATAGCACGGTCGGGGTTAAAGAAAGCAGCCCTCATTGCACGGTTGACATCACTCCGGGCGAAGCCCATTGCCTCCATCTGAGCCACGACTGCTTCGCTCTGGGAGCCACTCAGTAATGCGGAGGGATCGTTGAACGCGGAACCGGGTGCCTGAGTAGCCCCAGTGGCGGCCGGGGAGGGGGTCGAAGGGACTGCCGGTGCAGTAGAGGCCGCAGACGGGGCCGGGGCGGGAGGCGCAGCAGGGGTTGAGGTGACTCCTCTCGAGGGGGTGGAAGGCGCTTGTGACGAGGTTCCGGAGGAAGAAGCCTTGGGCTACGGAGCGAAATTAGTTTTCTGCCCAAGAGGTGTATATGCGCCCGGAGACCTGGTATACCTTTGACACCATGCAGACTATGAAGCCCTTTTCCTCGATGTTGTACGTCTCGATCGTCTTGTCATCTTGAAGGATCTTTCCTATTGTGGCAAGGACGGTCAGCGCTGCAACCACCACCAAATTATCTTGGCAGAGGCCATCCAACCAGCCTGGGGCGACGACTGCAGGCAAGAAGAGCTTGTTTACTGACCAGAATAGATGAGTTTCAGCTGAGGAACCTCCCATCCTTTCTCCTTGGAAATTTTCTCCTTCACTTGCCCGACCTGACGGATAATTCCATTTAGCCCCGCACTGACGCTGGTAAGGTCTCAACGCTCGGGAAAAGGATCAGCCTTACCGTCTCTGAGGGTTCTGCATCGATTACAAACTTCTGTTGCTTCAGGTCCTGAAGGAGAAAATACATGTCAGACGAACAGACGGGAAAAAAGAGTGGGGTAGAGAATCACGCATACCTTGAACGTGAGCTTCATCTTGCGCCACCGATGGATGAGAGACGGGTCGGTGGGGGTTTCTTCAAGGGTGCACGCTGATGTAGGAGGGGGGAATATCGATGTGGGCGAGAAGCTCGGGGGGATGGAAATTGATGAGAAGAGGGGGCGAGAAAGGAAAGAATCAGAAGTCTGCGAAAGAAGCGGGAGAGCAGCGAATGATGATGATGGCAATCATGACGCCGAAGGAGGGAGAAGGAGCTGGCGGGAGGCGGTCACGGTCCCTCCAGCCACCCGGGCCGCTCTTTAGCCACACCCCCTCGCTAGTCAAGGAACTCAGCCACTGCTCGATCCCTCTTTCCTTCCTCTCTAACATCCAGGTTCATACGCCCGTATCTGGTGGGTGGTATAATTGGAAATGAATTAATCGTCCGAAGGCGTGAGATCGTCGGATATCTAGTCTCAGGGGGAGTATTCCGTAGCCTCCCCAGAGATAGTTCTTACTAAAGGGACGTGAAGTGGATCATTTCATGAAATATATCCTCGGGAGTCCCCTCGCTATGGACTGGATCCCAAACACCACTGCTACTAGTACCACAGTCGAGGTTCAGTTCCTTTCGGGCCATACTTAGTACGCGTGACGGGCAAAGGAAATTTCCTTGCAAGTACTTAGTAACAGGAAACCAGTCACCCAGCACCCCACAGACTCGACTGCTCCATTCTCATGTTGTACAACGCCCCTCTGAACGCCCGGCCAAGCTATGGGTGAGTTGGCATGCCTTTTTCTGCTTCGCTTTTCTTTCCTAGGGGAAAATAACCGTCCTGTAACTGGTACTCCATACAGAGCAGAGTACCCAGTACTTTGGGTGCCGTGTCTCCCGTGGCAAGGGGGGATAGCCCTAGAGACCTGTCTTATAGATGTATCACACCGTGGATGCGGTGGAGAGAACCGACGGAACCATCAGGATGCCGCAAACCGCTGCCACCATGGAAATATGACCCTCCCTTCCTAACGCGCGTCGGGAAGACACTGACAGGAGCCATTCGGATCAACATTTCTTGGGAACTACGGAATACTGTATCTCTCTCTCTCTCTTTTGTTTGTCCCCCCTCCGAACCGTTGTGCCTACTCGGGAGCCCCGATGCAACTCGGCTCTCTCCCCGCTGTTCCTCAGGCCGGCCCCTCCCGGCAGTGGAGTGATTGGAGTGATAGATCACAGCTCTGGTCTGCAGCATTAGTATGGTCCCCCAAATCCCATCCAGGAATCGAAACAGACGATCTTCCAATTAAGGCTTCCCGGAATGCTGGAGATCCTCCCGGCCGCTTCGCACAGGAAGCCACTTACCCTTGACAAATTGTCTTCTAGACCTGTTCCATGTGACGAGGATACCTCTAGGTGTGCCATGCAGCATTGACCACCGTTTTCTTCACCCCCCTACAATGGTGAGCTGGAGGTTCAAACTCCAATTACTTCATACCGGGGTTGATCAAAGAGATCAGGCACGTAGACTGAGAGGCTGCATGGGTGATGGGGAGCCGAAAATCAGGTTTTACTGACTGTTAAGGGCATGCCATCCCTGGCCGTTTGAAGTCATCGCAATATACCATGAGCTCTCCATTGACGTACTTACGAGTCCACCAGGCTGACAGACAGCGTCTTGGAACCCTGGTTTCGTTTCCTCTCGGGTTTTTTTCCCCCCTCTCTTTTTCATTTTTCTTTTTTGGTCCCCTACCGACAGTACTCCTCTCTTCTGGGTCGAGGCAATCGAGAGGGGCAAAGTCTCCCAATAGCTGAGCAGACTAGGGCATCGAGGAGTCGTCGAGAAAGGCATCTCGATCACCGCGCCTACCGATCCGCACTAGGATTGGTATGATTCCCATCGGTTCCTCTGGCAGCCCCAAGTCTGCTAGTAGGATCGAGACCCTTGGGCGTAGATTTCTCGGCTTCAGCTCGATTCGCCATTGCCATTCGACCACGGCTCGAAGTAGTCAACCCCCCCCCCCCCCCCCTGTCATGTTGATCCTGGCAATTGCATACGCGCTTTTTCTTCGAACAATCCATGCATCCTTATTCAATTATCCTCGGGGAACCATTTCCCCCCGTCCTTCCCTCTTTAGCTTAATTAATTGACTCTCGTTCATTCCGGGTTGCTGGGTATTTACTCCGGCTCGACCCTCGTCCACCACCATCCCTCGTTTATCATTGCTAGCTCGTCACGCCCACGATTTCGTCCGTCCGATCTTTCCATCGAGACCTCCTCACACCATCATTCCCTGCTCGTACGTCGCCTCTGCTGTCTCCAGGGGTTCTCCCGAGTCCAGAACGTTTTCGGCGTCACTATCTGTTCCCATCACTACGGCCGTCTGGGCTTGCTAACGACACGCTGAATCGCCCCGGCCGAACACTGCTGCCAGACCCGGCACTTTTCGAATCTCACATTCAATTTTTGCAAGGATTTTGACTTCCCTGGCATAGTTTGACTGTTAATCATTGGCTTCGCCAGTACCGACTGCTTCATCCTTCCTTCGTATAGTCCTACCCCCCTATTTCATGTCTCTAAGCATGTCCAGGGCCTCCCCGGCCCGGATCCTGGGTGGTATCACTTTATTATCCACGTTCATCGCTACGGTCCTCGATGGCATGTGCTATACTATCTCCAGATCCCTCTCATCGCATGTTTCCTCGGTTGAGTCAGCCATTGTCAGCCTGGGTGCCGTGAGCTGTGTGGCACTTGCATCTTTGATGCTCCTCTGGGTCAAGGATATCCAGGGCGAGGCGCAGACGCAGCCCAAGAGCCATCGGACAATTACATACGGCTTCATCGCCGCGTATCTCTCAATAGCCACGGGCGTGACTGCGGGAGGGATAGCCTGGAGCGCAGCTCAATCCATGGCAGCAAAGACGTCAATGGCTCCAAAGCATCAGTCCTTGCTAATCGCTCGCTGTATCATATGGGCGATATCAGTCCTCAGTCAAGGAATATTGGGAGGCCATTTCCTCACCAGCTTGACGAAGCGGGAGTCTACCACCAAATGGTCTCCACCAGCGTCGCAGGAACTCGAGGTGCTTTCTGAGAAAGCCAGTGTGAAAGACGAGAGCACCGTGACATCAACCTCCATTGCCAGCGAGTCTCAACGACCGTCTGCTGAGCTGAAGACGAACGTTGACACGGTGCCTCCAATTCAACCATCTGTTTCGAACGCAGAGTCCCAGACCTCAAACCGCTACTCTGGTCGCACTCTGTTCCAGCATGACTCCAAGCAGAGCTCATTTGACCTACAGCGATCATATGTGCCCTATGGGGATTCAACCGTAGCTGCGGACACGCTAGAGGAGCATCCGGATGACCAGTCTGGCTCTACCCTGGGGGCCAAACTCCGCAGTGAGCCGCCAAAGATTCGACGAAGCTACTCCGATACGAAAAGGTCCCTGGACGGCTTGGTTCGTCAGCCCTCCTCAACACGGTCATCACCGACTACTTCTTCCACACAACTGGTGACTCCCGCCAGACCGGCGCCTCCAAAACTAAGACTTCCCGACGAGAGCTTTATTCACCCACTATTCCGCTCCGACAGCGCGTCACCGCCCCCGACTCCGATGCCAGGTACCACAGTGATTGCCTCACCAGCAGCCGGCCAGACGATTTCCGTAAAGGCCTTGAACCGGGTGAGATCCACGCGCTCGTTACGGTCTCAGGCGCCGCGAAGCCGATCACCGCTGTTCGACCAGCCCCTCAACAGTATTGAGCGCAACACCGAGTCTCCCGAACCCAATGGTCGAGGGTCACCGATGCCCAGCTTTATCATGGCAGCCGATGTCCGGAGCAGTATATCCCGATACGAGAAGAAGTATGACCTGAATGAATCTCCGGATGAGAGCTAGCCAGGCAGGGGCGGGCGCCACCGGATTTCAGGTTTGGTTTCAATGTCTTTCTTTTGTTTTTTTCCTATGTTGATAGATATCCTGGACATAGCGTTTGACGTAGTTAGCAAGAACTTTCTTCTGATAAGTATAGACCACATAATGCATCATGGTTGTTTCGCATGGGCCGAGTAATGGGGGGCCCGGAGAAAGGGTGGACGAGATTACCGGCCGTCTCTCTCTCCCTCTCCCCCCCCCGGCACCGCAACCAGAAGCCATGGTGAATCTTGGAGATTGAACGAAGGCACATCAGTTCTCCACCGAGCAACTGCTCAAGCGATAAAACATGCCACATGCCCACGTAGTTTGCCAATGGCTGCGTAACTCCCACCGATTTTGATACTGCCAGCGCCGCGGCCAGAATTGACGGTGAACTCCATTTGGGGGGGATGATGTGTGCCTAGACATGCAGATGATGGCCACCTGTCAAGGTCAGACTCGGACGAGGTGCAGATGGCTTTTCTTTCCCCCGGGCAGATGCTGCCTGGCCGTAAAATTACTTTAAATAGTAAGCGGATATCACAGTTCCCGGAACGGCGGTCTCAGGCGTCAGTGATAGCTTTCTTTGTTCCGACAGAGACACATGAAGCATTGTAATCAACTTGGGATTCTGCGATGGGAGCAGGATTGAAGAATCCTCACCGACACGCGTCATGGAGAGTTTCTAGGGGGATTGAGTACTACCTCCAATACCTCGAGTACGAGGAAGCCCGTGTACTATCTATTATCACTCCACTTTGGGGAAACCACCTACGTGGTACATCAAGAGTAGTATAGCGGACTTCCTTTTCTGCCCCTTTAATCGGGTGAAGCTCCTTGAAGGGGATGATAGTAATCCTCATTTCCATCTCGTGAGTGGTGGTCCGGAGTCCGAACACGCTTTCCTAGTGGTGGTTTTAGTGCTGGAACTACTCGGGTTAGTGGTAAGGTTTGGCTGCGATGGAATTCGATTTCCCTCCCCACTAGATAGATACAGGTTACGACGTTCTTCCGACCCATTCCCTGCCTCCCCTTGTCCATTCACCTCTTCCTATTATTTGCTCCCACTGACAGTGTCAAACGGTCTGTCTACTAGTTAGTACTACTACTAGTACTTGTATCGACTGGGAACGTGGGCCGGTGTGGTCGGTCCCTGGCTCCTGCTTCTGCGCCACCCCAAGCGGCCGGGACAGCCAAACGGCCCAGTCAAATTCCTCGCTGTTGGCCTTAGCTGATCTTCCCAGCCCATTTCATCCTCCATCAGCTTCGTTCTCCATAATCTTATTGTTGTGGTTCTTTCCTTTTTTCCCTTCTTCCTGTTTAATGATTCTTTCTCTCCTTCCCCCCTTCTCGTCTTCTTCTTCTTCTTCTTCTTCTCCCCCGGCATTGCGTGCCCATCGAGGTGTGGTCATCCTCTGGTGCCCCTTGTGCCTAGTGGGTTTCTAATTGTTTCGCTCCCCTTTCTTTTCTTTGCGTTTTCCTTCGGGTGCTCTACAACAACACCGGACTTTCTCTTCCCGCGCAGGAAGGTTCAAGCCTTGGGGGAACAACCACCCCGTGGGCTCCTGCATGCCTGGTAGATAGGTGCACACGCGAGGCTTCGATCCGTCAGGTCGAGACCGGCATTGGGGTCCCTGGTCGAGTCGTAGGGTTGCGAGAATTGGCAGCATCGGATACGACGTGCACTTGCTGGGCGTTCTTCTACATCCGGCGAGTCGACTCTCAGTGCTCCGTCCTGCTCGCCCGGCGGCCAGCCAACCAACAGCGGCGGCTTTTCTTGCTTCGCTCACTTGATCCACTTGGCCGAACCTCTTTTTACTTCATTCTTTCTCCAATCCACCCTCGCGTCCCGCCTGGGAATCGGAATCTACTTCGAATCTACGACTGACAGACGGACGGACTACCTTCTAGCTGTGAGTTATCCCACGTTCGGGGAGAGTTCAGGTAGGTTCGCATTGCCTTTTCCCTTCACCACTGGCTTGGCCGGCTGCCCCGTTTTACTTTTCTGTGCTTCCCTTCCCGCAACCACGCGAATTCCCCCAGCTTTTGCTTTGGCATCGATCCTCCGGCACGTTTTCATCGTCGCATACCTCATCTCGGCAACTTGCCTCGCTCTGCCCAGCCCAGCACTTGACTTTTTTTCCCGTTTCCTTCTCCCTGTACCTTCGGATCTATTCGCCCCCAGCATATCATTTCTTTCCCCCCCTCAACCTTGTTTGGACCAATGTTCCATGGGTCTAGTCCCTTTTACTCTTTTGCTCTCCATTTACCATACCTGCCTATTTGGCTGAACATGGCATCTCTTCGGTGTTAATGCGCGTGGATGCCTGGTCTTCATTCATGTGTATTCCCTCTTCCCGGTGTTCACATTAACACCCATCGTCGTCCCCATCTTCCCTCTTGTCCCTCTGAAGCTCCTCTGTCATCCCCTGCTGCTGTTGATTCCTCTAACCGCAAGACCTTGAGTTTTCATCTTACCTGCTGCTTCCGGTTCCTTCGATCCTTCTTGATCTTAAACCTCACAATCCCCACCTGTCTCAAGCAACTGCGCATCCCATAGTTGCAGCCGATCAACCCAAGTTGCTCACCTCACCTTTCTCATTCCAACCTCTTGTATTCCGTTTCCTCGGCTTGTCGATTTCACCTCCCAGCGCTCTGACTAAATTTCCATCTCTACAGTGGACAGCAATGGCGGGGGTAAAACGTAAACACGAAGCTACCCAAGCGTCAGCTACAGCGCCTTCTGGCCACAGTCACGCTGGCGTGGGGGCTTCTCAGAGCGCTACGAGTAAGTTTCCACTGTTTTGCTACCGCAACAGCTTCTTATGGGTCCTTAGACGCCAACGTGGATGACACTTCCAATATTCGTGTGACTCGGAGTTTACGCTCGAGTCGAGATGCACGTGCCTCTCAAAATGATGTGAGAGCCCACAGCACTACTACTGCCACCGGTGGGAACAGCAACATCAACTCAAGGCATAACACCAGTCGCCCGTCGCGCATCATCACGCTCAGTACTCGGGCCGCCCGGGCGAATACTGCTCAGGAAAATGCAGCTCGCGAGAACGCTGTCCGTGAAAATGTAGCCCGTGAAAACACCACTCGTGAAACTCGTAATACCCGGACACGGTCAAGCGCCCAGTTGTCCACAACGCAGACTGATGCTCCTGCTCCACTACCAACGGTTCCAGAGACCCCTCGGCACAAGCGCATTAAGCGGGGCCCGGCGGTTGAAGAAACCCCTCGGACCACGAGGCAGTCAGCGAGACTCAGGGCACATGCGCATCCGACATCTATCGAAGAAGGCTCTAATGATATGGCCGTTATACCGAAGATGCCAGAGCCGAGTCCTTCCGTCACTGCTGCCCCGAGCAGCCGAACGAGAAACCGAAGCCGACAATTTGCCGACAATCTCATTGACACTACTGACAACGCTACTTCTGCTGCACCTGTTGTCAAGTCGCCTTCTCCCGATCGGGCAACTCCTGTACCGAGCGAGGATCTAAAACCTGTGGAGGAAGAGCCACTCCAGAGCCCAGAACCGGAGTCTTCACAACCAACAAAAGAAGAGTCACCCAAGGGCACGGTTGTTGACGAGGACAAGAATGGAATAAGCGGACCGGCAGTCGCCGAGACTGCTGACCCTCTGCCCTTTACGACTACCCCAAGTCCAGATGCATATCAGAATCGAAAGTCACCTGAACCGGGAGATACGGGTCCAGCTGAGATTGAGAGCGTCTCCGAGTCCCCTAGTAGGAAGCCTAAGCTGGAAGAGGGCGAGCTGGACCGCGCATTAGAACAACAACTTCAGAATGGAACCGGTGGCAAACCGGATTCTCACTCCCCCGCGGAGGCTGTGGCTGAACCCAGACTTGACGACGAATCCCGCCAGGTGACCGAAGAGGTCGAAGGATCAACACCAGAAGTCGCCACCGAATCGACGGTTAGTAAAGCAGTCCGCGGCGGTCGGACGCGGGGCCGCGGCCGTGGTGGACGCAGTCGCGGCTCAGCACGCTTTACGACGAACAAACGAGGACGTGGTGCGGCTCGCAGTAGTCGTGGTGGTCGCACAGGTCGACAGCTAGATCGTTCGAGCGATGTGGAGCCGGACCGCTCTCCTTCCCCGAGTGCAGCTACTCAAAAGCTACGGGACAGGCAACGAGAGTTGGACAAGGCATTTAAGAAGGTAGCTGCTGCTCAGCGACTGGCTCTGGCAGTGCTAGCCACGCAGTCTGAGAAGCGACTGGCTCGTGATAAGAATGCACATAAGAACGTCCCCGAGTTCGAAGAAATCAACATGCAATTAAAGGAGAGACTGCGCGGAAGAAAGGAGGTTTTGCGTCGAGAATATGAACTCAAGGTGGAGCAAGAGAATCGGATATTCGAGGCTAACAAGCAAGCAATCGAGGAACGGTATCGGGTAAGCCAGGGATGCATCTTTGTTTCTCCTGAAAGTTTACTGACGCTTGAACGACAGGCCCAAGGCCGCAATATCCGGGAAGAGCACTTACTAGCCAGTCAGGGGGCGTACATGACATTTGTCGAGGGCCGCCGTGCTGCAGAAGATGATGAACACACCGAAGTAGGCCTCTCTCCCTTCGCAGTTGGAGCAAACCCGGTACTAATGCTACTCTACAGACCGATGATTCCGAAACTGAACCAGACCGTGGGCGAGTGGTACCGCCCGCCAGAGAAGTCTTCCGAGGGTTCAACTCCAACTTTGTTAGGAATCCTGCTGGGGCGGCTGCCTACGATCGTGCTTACTTTGGCTGGGATGACTTCGTTCAGCGGGCCAAGGTGGGCGACGACATCGATCCACAGATGAAGGAAATCCGCGACGCTGGGCCCTTTGCGGGGATGACCGCCGAACAAATTCTGGACATGCTGGTGAAAGCGACTGGGGTCGTCGAAGTCCCTCGGAACAGTGTCCCGGCGGAGAGAAACCCTCCTATGCTGCCTGATCTGCGGCCCCGAGCATTGTCTACTCTGGCCGATGTTGCAGCGGCAGAGCCTCCACGGCCTCCCCTCTCCCAAGCTGCCCCCCGTCTCTCGACACACCGAACAATCCTACCTCAGCCTCAGCCTGCTCAGCCGCCATTGCCGCATGGACCTCCCGAACCACGACCATTCGTGCTGCCTCCGCCAACCCCTCAAAGACAACAGCCCCGGCGACTTCTGCCTGCGGGACAACAGATCCCACCGATCAATGAACAGCTCGGCTTGCCCGATCCCTTTGCAGCGATGGGAGGGCCGCCTCACCTTCCGCCGCCAGCGGGATCCAACTTCCACCGACCCCCTCTGCCAGGGTATTTGACGGGACATCACCCTCCTAGTATCTATTATCCACCGCCTCCGCCGCCCCCGCCGGGGCCCCGTCCTCCCTTCTAAGGGACTGGGGCGGGCGGGCGGATTCCCCTTGTCTTTTCTCGTCAGGTTCCTCACCCGGAGTTTTGCAGTAGACCATATCGTTGGGATGTGTAAGGATTTCTTTCGATTACAGAGCGACTGGTTATGTATTTAGTTACGGAGGATTCCCCTTAGGCGTTTACTGCACAGGTTCGCTTCATATACATGATTGCTCTTTTCTTATTGTTGTTCCTTTTCCTAGGGGCCAGAGAAGCTTCTCCGGGGATGGCAGTGATTGAGCCCGCCTTCCGACGACAACCGGGGGAGGGTGACAGGATGAAGTACTATGTAACCCGCCGGGGCACTCGGGAGTGCAGCCACGATGGTGGCATGTTAGAGAAAGGAAGATGGGCTGGAGGCACCGCCCCAGCAAGGGCGAGGGTGATTTGATCCACCGCTCCACCAGGGGATGAATCATAATGGCTCATGGGAGCAGCGCGATGACTCCTCTTGCCTTGGCCTCGCCGCCTCGCCGCCCGCTCGCCCCGATTGGGCCTAGCCCCGTGGGCGGGGCTCGCGCTCGAAGCTTTTTATTTCCTCGGGCTTTTCCTCCATCACTGCCAGTGCGATCTCAGGTTTATTGGCACCGTCTCTGTCACTACTCGGGTTCGTCTGTCCGTGTCAATTGCGAGTCGCATCTCTCTGCTCTTGCGCTTCGTGCCCCTCTCGCCGTTCCCCCCGCGACGATCCTCTTCCCGGCAGGTTCTGCCTCGACATCACCCCGCCTTTTTACCACCACCACCACCACCACCACCACCCTCACCCTCACCCTCACCTCGATCCTTCTCACGCAGTGATCTTGTCTCTTCCACAAGACACCTCCACAGCCTCTTTGCTTTCCAACCCAACCCGTCGCCATTCTCACCACCAGTAACCCGACTCCGACAGAAGGAATCATGGCCGTCCGCGCACAGTTCGAGAACTCCAACGAGTAAGACGAACCCGCAGGATTTCTGCTCGCCTGCCTGGCCGTACGGCCAGGCCTCGTCGCTGTTCGGACCCAAAACTAATGCAGATTTGCTCTCTAGAGTGGGTGTCTTTGCCCGCCTCACCAATTCATACGCCATCGTTGCCATCGGTGCCTCCGAGAACTTCTACAGGTGCATATTTTCCCGTCCATGCTGGAACGACGAACAGTCCGATTAACATGTGCGCAGTGTCTTCGAGGCCGAACTGCAAGATGTCATCCCTATCTGCCACGCCACTATTGCTGGAACCCGCATTGTCGGTCGTCTCACAGCTGGGTATGTCTCTGTCTATTCATCCATCCAGATCACTCAAACCCTAACCATCTGCGCCGGACCCCAGTAACCGCAAAGGCCTCCTCGTCCCCACCACCACGACAGACCAAGAACTTCAGCATCTCCGGAATACGCTGCCTGACTCGGTCAAGATCCAACGTATAGAGGAGCGACTGTCCGCCCTGGGCAATGTGATTTGCTGCAATGACCACGTCGCGCTGATCCACCCGGATCTCGAGCGGGAAACTGAAGAGATGTACGTCCTGATGCTTACACATTCCATTCTGTCCCGCAGCTATCTCCGCCCACCCAGACTGACATGAAACCCCAACAGCATCGCCGATGTCCTCGGCGTCGAAGTCTTCCGTCAAACCGTCGCCGACAACGTTCTGACGGGTTCCTACATGGCCCTCTCCAACCAAGGTGGTATCGTCCACCCCAAGACCTCCATCCGCGACCAGGACGAACTCTCTTCCCTCCTCCAGGTGCCCCTCGTTGCTGGCAGTGTGAACCGCGGTAGCCCCGTTGTCGGAGCCGGTATGGTTGTGAACGACTGGCTCGCTGTCACGGGTCTGGATACCACGGCCACAGAGTTGAGTGTCATGGAGAGTGTGTTCCGCCTGGGTGAGATGGGTCCCCGTGGTGTTGGTGTCGGTGGTACCAACAAGGAGAGTATTGTGGAGAGTTTCTACTAGAGAGTTTCTCTTCCCCATATCCCTCTCTTTCCCTCTGACCTTTTCTCCACCTTTTCTTTTTCTTTTTCTTTTGTGCTTTCTCTCGAACATACATGAATATCCTTATTGTGCTATGAATGAATGGAATGGTTAGACTTGGGTGTGAAGATCGATTTGGAGTTCGATTCTATTCGTATTGTGCCATGAGTGAATGAGTGTACCCCAGCTGGTTTAGACGCCTGTCTATCCAGTATCTTCAGACAGGTATGTATGATACGGTACATACGTAGTAGGAATCCGTACGACACACAAAACCAGCTAGATGCATCCCGTGTTACATGTGCCTGCGCATATAGTTACTAGATAGATTGATTGATTCGTCGATCGCTAACCCTTCTCCACCAGTCAGATATCAAAGTCAAACATAAGTCCAAACACCAAAGCTCACAGCGAAAAGCTCAATCATCCCGTCTCATTCTCAAGATGGTAAGAAGTGAAGAAGAAGAAGAAAAGAAAGAAAGAAAGAAAGAAAGAAAGAAAGATAAAGGGATTATAAACTAGTTATACAATACAACCCTTGATCGAATAATGACACATACATACACATACACACGCGTATACTCCGTACGCAGACACGACAAATTCATCCCGGTCATGTACGTACGTATGTATGTATGCATGCATGCAGGAAAGTATGCAAGTGTCGGAAGCAATGAATCGCTATCATCTCGCTTTTTTGTTCTCTCAAACCTAATAGATATCCTTGTTGTTGAATTTTTGGCCTTCCCTCGCCTCTAATACTGGGTGGTATGCAATCATAATAGCTATCGCGGGTACGATGGGGGGGGTATTCATGTTAAAAAATGATAATAAGGCAAAGTGAAAGGGGAAAGAAAAGGAAGAAGATGAAAAAGAGACACAGGAACAAGAACATGATAAATGGCCAAATCGAATCAAATCACATCACATCACATCGAACCAGATGTCTCCGGAATGAATCCCCAAAGCCAGAGAGAAAAGAAGAAGAATGAAAAGAAAAAAATAAAGGAGTGAAGCAGGTAGCAGCCAATGGTCATGTCATGCGAACTCCTAAACACCAGTTTCGATGCTGGATTTCCCTGGGGTGGAGTGGATGGTGAAAATTATCTGGCTAGCTTGATTGCTAGCTGGCCGAGACCCCCCGTGCTATACTTGTCCCTCGATGCCAATGTGTGAGGGCTTTAACTCGTTGACCCCTTCTCCGCCATTGAAACCGTTCTCTTCGGAATCGAACTTCTGCCCGGGAAATGGAGGAGGTGGAGGAGGGGGTGGCGGAGAGTCGAAGGGTGGTTTGTCGGCCGGGGTAAGCTCGTCTGTATCACTTTTCATGTTGCTGTCGTCGCCACTTTGGGCCTGTTCATTCCCGGGGCTCATAGGAGGCGGTGGTGGTGGCGGCGGCGGCGTGGAGGATCGTTGTCTCTTGGACGAAGACGGCGTGGTGTACTCGGTGGTGCTTCCATCGCCGGCGCTGGGGTCATCTTCTCGCTTGCGTTTGAGGTTGCCCTGTAGTTCGTCCGTTGTGGTCGCGGGGGTCTCTTCATCCTGCGCTGGAGCCCTGTCATCCTCATCGTCAGACATCTTCACGTCTAACGCTTCGTCCTCGACATCCGGCTTCGAGTCCGCCCCCTTCGACTGCCGCTCTGTCTTTCGCTGTTCGTATGCGCGGTGCTTGGCAACAGCCTTGTCAAAGAATTCTTTGCAGAACTTCTTCACCTTCTTCTGCTGTTTATCGTCGATCTTCGTAGGGTCCCCGACGCGGTTATTCTTGAAATCCGAGTTAACCAATTTCTTGGCCACCTGTTGACAGCAATACATTAGCCTGGCGATTTTTGATTGTCGGCTTCGGGGAAAGAATCATCTCACGTCTTTGGCATATCGCTTCAGGTCATCTTTCGGGAGCTTATGCTTGAACTTGTCCACCACGTACTTGACATGGGGATAGAGCTGCGTCCGGTCAATTACTTCCACCCAGTTGTATGGTATCCAAAGTTACCAGCAGTGACTCACGGTGTTTTCGTAGATCTTCTTCCGCTTTTCCTCGCTATAGCTCCTCCACTTTTCTTGGTCATCCTTCCTGTCCGGCGTTGGCCTGGAAGCCTGCGGCGTGACTGGGGTCCCACTCTTCTCCTTTGGCGTGTTTTCCTTTGCATTCATGATACCGTCGATGATATCCTGCAGGGCCTTGTCTCTCGACTCTTTCGGGGGCGGGGGCGGCTGAGGAGCGGGCTTGGTTGGTCGAGTCCAAGTCGTATCGCCACGAGCCGAATAGTAATATGTCCTCCCGTTCGATTCGGCTGCGAACCAGCCTGGCGGTAGGGGGTTGAACTGTCGACGGAAGGGCCGGGGACCGTGATGGTGGGTGTTCCTCTGGCCATGTCCGCCTCGTGTCTGGGCAGCCGGGCCACGAGGCGCTTCGATTGACCGCGACCTTGACCGTGAACGGGACTTTGACCGCCGTCGCTCATCCCGAGTAATTTCTCGCCGCTCGAACTGATTGACAGCCGGCGTCGTGGCATTGGGATCCCGTTTCATGCGGGGAATGCGATATCCTACCTCGAGGGTTGACCAGCCTTGCAGCAACATGGCTGCTTTCTTCTCCACACGCTCATCACTACAGCTAGTGAGAGGTTGGATGGTAGACTCAATCTTGGAGTCGATGATTTTGTTCCGTGTGAGACGAGGGAATTTGTCCAGGATGTCCAAAATCTGCAATACCACGTTGAAATCGTCCTTCCACATGCCCAGCTGGGAGTTCAGGATCTGATACCCGTGCATCTTCACCACCCGATTGCGGACTCGTTCATCATCACAGCGCTGAATCCGCCCCAGGAGCTTGACCGCAATCCACTTCTCCTTGCACTGCATGAGCGCCGCCATGACCTTGGTCACGCCGTTCTCCTCCAAAGTCTTTGGCTGTACACTATCGACATACTCCTCATCGTCCTCACCCATCTTCTTTTTGCGTGGCCGCTTAGCAACGGCCGTGTCCCAGCCGTCTGCATCATCAATGCCCAAAGCTTCGATTGTCGCATTCGACAGCTTCGTGGCCCGCTCAGTCTGGGTTCTGCCTCCAATGAAGCCCGTACAATTCGGCTCGCCGCAGTAACACGGTTGAGGGTCTGCGCCGTAACGGTCAACGTTATAGTTGAAGACCAGTTCCTCGCCCGCTTGGATGTGCCGTTCGGCGAAAATCCCCATGCGGAGCTTCTCGCCAACGACCCACTTGTCGACATAACAGTTAGGATTGCACGAATGGTTGCAAAACCGGCCCAGATTACCCTTTTTGGTCGCATCGACAAATTCACCCTTGCTGAGGGACATGAAATAAAAATGCTTAATCCCTTCTTCGTCATACTGTCTCATGCGGCGTCGAAACTGGCCCTCGTTGATGACTTCACCCACATATTCGAAGATGAACTGGTGCGGTCGCAGGTCGGCCTCCGCCCGGAGACCGAACCCTTTCTTTTCCGTTTTGATCACGGCCACCGGAGCATACTCCCTTCGCTGGAACCGTTGATTCTGGCATTCTGGCCCACATCCACAATCGCCCATGCATTCAATCTTGGTGGCGCGGTTGATGCAGTCCGAGTCTTCACCGCATGCCAAATTCTTGGAGACCGACGGTTCTAGGTTGGGTTAATTAGGTCCTAGTAAGCCAGGTCGGCGGGAAAGCACACAAAAGCAAAAATAAACCTAGAAAGAAACGGGATGAAATGAAGAGAGGGGAAACGGAAAGGAGATCAAATGAAAAGAAAAGGAAGCCCAGAGGGAAAGCGTAGCAAAAAGCGGCCGTCCCGACCACTTCACGTTGGGTTCGCCGCCACGCGTAGGAGCCGAAAGGAGAAACCAGCGAGGGGGAAAACCGAGTAGACAAACAGCGCCTGAGGAGAATTACGATGACTTACCCCATTCCTCTGCGCAATCGCACTCCATCGCATGTTCGGTATATCCCATGAACTTATTGGCGTACGTGCATGTGTCCATCAGGTCGAACGTCGCTTCCGCCTCAGCTGTGCTATCCGGCAGATGAGAGAACAGCTGCGGCGGCCTCGCAATGACCTTCTGAGAGGAGCTTCGCGTCAATTTGGGAGGCTGTCCGGGCTCGAGTTTGACGATAATGTCCCCCCCAACTTTTTCCTCCGGTTTGTCCACATGGCTGCCCTCCCTCCCTGTCGGATTCTGCTCATTTTCCTCGCTCTCTTCCTTCTTCACCGGGGATCGAGAAGAAGAGCGTGACTGTTCCTTCGGGGTAGGGACCGGGGAGGCGTTGGAGGCCGTGTTCATCGGTTCGTCCTTGACCATGATTTCCCCACCGTTAACGGCTGAGTTTTCGGGCGCTGCGTCGGACACCAGCTTCATCGCGGTCACCGCATCTGCGACTGATTCTGATTGACGGTCCGCGTAGTCATGAGGGGACATGACGACACGGACGGGGCGCGCAACTATGGGGTGCCCGTTGGGATATGCGCTGTGGCTAGCTAGATCGGAGCCAGCGTGAGAGGTTGTTGTGCAGGTTTCAAGGTCGGGTGAAGGGGGAAAAAAAAATAAGAGAAGTGCGAAAGAAAAGAAGGGGGCGGGAGGCGAAGAGAAAAAGAAAGAGAGCAAAGGAGGGAAAGTGAAGCGATGAGGAAAGACTGGCAGAATAATTCGATGAGGAACGACCGCAGAAAGGCGCAAGTCCAAGCAAAGCATCGCCCACGTTTTCCGCGGGTGCCAAGAACACCTCGAGGGCCAAAGAGTCCCAGGCCCCAATCCCCAATGGGACCCTAATACCGTCTAAGAGATGCTCAATTCCATTCTGATCATTCAATCAATGTATTCTAAGCCAAGGCGGTCTATCATATTCACTCGACTAAAGGGTCTTGTCGCTCATTCAATATGCAACAACCATTCGGACTCCCCCGCCCATTACTTCGGTTCCAGCCCATGACAATAATCCCTCCCTGCTCACCATGTGCCTCATTCCAGAGTGCAAAGTTAACCAAGCATTGGACTGTACATATTTGCCACCAGTCGATGCTGTGGCAGAAGTATATAGTCCTCCACTTATGTTATCACCCCAGCGAGAGGGTCTGTACCTGATCATACCCAGTATCGCCAGAGCATGACCTCCAATGCTTGACTTGGGTTCACTAGCAGCCATTTGGTATATGTCATCCTTGCCACCTGGTTTCCTAAGCAAGAGCTGCGTTTTTCCCATTCGCGTGAGTACCGCAGGATATATGAATTCTTTGAGCACTCGTTCTCATGGCGTCACGGTGCCGGGACGGGCAGAGCTGGGTTGTCAGTGCTGTACTTCGTATATAGCCCATAAACAGATCATGTGTTCCGCAAAGCCTTTGTAAATTTCTGAGCGTCAGTAAGAGAACTTTGGAAGGGTGCCGGTTTGGGGGTAAAACGGGATTAATATGGAGGTATGGGACCAGGACATTGCATTCGAGGCCGACATTAAGCCACGAACGGAATACCGGTGTACGAGAACAAATACAACGGGAAAAGGCAGGTCATTAAGAACAGAAAGGGGGCAGAGGTCAAAGCACCGGGGGAACTTGGGACATGACACTGGTGGCTCTGAGTGAGAAAGAAAACATACTATCGCCTGTCCAACACTCCAGCTATCCTTTCTTGACCCATTTTCCGAGGACGGGGCACCGGGTAGTTATGAAGCAGGAAGAGCGCATGAAGGCTAAGACAACCGGCACCTGCAGACGGGGAGACGGGGTGACTGTCCTCCAACCAACTTGTGGTTCGCTTATGCGGGAGTCAAAACCATAGGCCACGAGAAGCCCAAATCACCAGAGCTAGGGCTAGGGTCCTCCTGGCCATGCAGCTCACTATCCCAATCTTGCTCTCCAATGGCTGGGAGCGCGGCCGGAAGATCAATTTGCACCAAAGATACCCTACCACGGCCGGCAGGCTCACATGCAGTGGAGCACGCAGTACGGAGTACGGATAGAGATCTGCAAGAGAAGCATTGAGATGCACCACAATGACTGTCCGGACGACATGTCAGATTCAGGACCATTCTACCATGCTTCCAGACTGGCGTGCTTCGGGGCGGTTAGCGATTGGACGAGGGCGTCGCACTTCGGACAATGCATGATGTATATGCACTCCGTATGTAACCTAGAAGGATCGATGGGTGGCCAGTTAGCCGGATGAATGGAGTGGGATAGGATCGCTCTCATTTTAACTTCAGGTCACTAGGTCGGCGGAACCTCCAGCCGGAGCAGGGACGGACCTGGCACGGAGGAGCATTTTCAAGTGACTGGATCCTTGGACTAATCTCGATAATATGAGATGCCAACCGTCCCACGCTGGACGGGACGCTCCAATCCTTCTCGGCGTCCGTGCTTTGTGACTTTCTGTGAGACCTCGGATCCATGGAATCTGGCCGCCCCCCAGCTCCAGCATCTCCCCAGGGAAAGGAGAGACTGCCCGTGAGACAGAGATGGGCCCTCCAGCAAAGTGAATCTTCGTTGATCGTATTATAAGCCGCGGACCGTCGGAGTCAACCCATGCATGAACCGGTGTTGCCTCGAAGGATGGCTGGGATTGCCACGTACTACTAGTAGTATTGTATGTATGGTATTGATTGGGATGAATTGGGGCCATTACATCCACAGAGAGATCCTCCGAGGTACTGCCTAAGTACCTCTTCAAGTACCTCTCGGAGCCGCCCATCCCATTCCCACGCACTTGGGTTGTACCTCCGGAATACTCCGTAGGTACAGTGTGCGTTAGATCTCCATAGCCGAGGATTATATTACTCGGCCCATGCATGCGCTCATCATTACCACTGCTAGGGCCCCAACACTCGGCCATAAGAAACGAACGAGGAATTAGATGGAACCCTCCCAGAGGATATTTAATATAGGTAACGGGGGGGAGGGTTGTAGGAAGGCGAGTCGGAATTGGCGAGGGAGTGGACCTTCGAAGATGGCCTCATGAATAAGCATACGAAGCGACTAACTAACCAAACTACTAATGCAGATTGTATGTGGGTTGTCAGAAAGAACATCTGTGCGCACCAAAGAGGCAGACAGGCAGACAGGCAGAGAACATGGATCTTCCACCCACATCATCCCTGATGCATCTCTTCAGTTGCCTTCTTATAGAAATACTCCGGTAAAGCTTCATCAGGAAAAAATCCCGCCATGCTTCTTGAACATTCTCGCCAAGCTCTCTTTGGTCTAGACGGACACCAGAAGATGGCAGGGAGAATTTTCACCCGAGATCGTTGCGGTTATTATTATTATGAGAGAAATTCTACGACGTCCGGTTGCCCATCCCTGGCGCAAGGTGAAGATACCTTGGCCGGAAGTTAATTAACCTACTAAGGCGCCTAGTGCTTGAAACACCAGCACCATCATGGTCAAACTGGCTAAGAAGGCGCGAGCCAGCAGAGCAAATCCCCCGATGGCCTTACGGTGTTATATGGCGGATGAGGATGTAAAGTTCCACCCTCGGAGGCCAATGGACTACTAGAGATTCTGTGAACGTCAGTCTGCAATTCGACTTGAGACATGATGAGGCCATTGGCCATTACCACTTTTAGCAGTTTACGCACCGCAAGTTTCACGCAGCGCTTGCCGCAGTCTGGATTTCCCAGTTACAAGCGCTGCGGGTACCTGAGGGGTGGGGCTGCCACAATGTTCCCGCCTGCCAGGAAGGTCGCCGGTACCTCCGTGGCGGGTACCGAATTACTGGTTTTGCATAGTACCAAGCCAGACAGCGCCCGTAGGTAAGCTGACTCTTCCAACTACGGTCACGGTCAGCGGTGACTCGGTAAGGTTACAGACTGCGCCACAGGCCCCTCTGCCACTCCCAATGCCCATCCTCGCTCCGGAACTCCCTTTGTTCGATCCTCCCCCTTTTTTCCCACAACATGCTTCGTTTCTTGGTCGATTGACAACCCCCCATGCAGGCGGTTGATCAATGGATACGACCACCACGGTTCTGGCCATCAAAGGCCGCAATCCGGGTCCATCAGGGAAGGTCGAAGGGGCCCATCGGCCTCAGTGACAACAAGTCCATGCAGGACTATAGCGCACTACCATCTGACGGTTGATTCAAGTTGGCGGGGCAATGCTGCTCCTGCATGGTTCTCGTGCATGGGCCATTGTCTGTCTCGATCAGATGTTACGATGCAGAGTGCAGACCACTTGCTTCTTGGACTGCTACTAATTATACTTGTTGGCCACCCGACAATCGACCCGTCAAATGAAAATCAGCGGCAACATTGGCTAGATCGTCACCACAACGCCCCGACGAGGTACTGTGTAGTACTAGCCGTCAAGCAAGTCCACAAGCGTGGTGGTATTAACCCGGCCTGCCTTGTGGATGAAGGATCCTGCCGTCCAGCCAGTCTGCTCCATGTCTTTTCTGACGGATTCCATCCGACCAGTGTTGGGGACAGAAATGGAGAGGAAACTAAAATAAAACTTTAAACGGGAAAATAGAGAAGAGCAAGAACCAGGAAACTCATTTCGGCATAACAATCCCTTCATCCCCACGCCGGTAACTGCTCATCTTTATTTCTCATTGACGGGGCTCATCCTCTTTCTCTATACTGCTAAGCTTCTAGGGGCCTCGCACCACTTCATGTCTAATAGACATCCATCTTCCTATACTCATCTCGTTCATGCTGGATAGAATGGGTAACTCAAGTGGACAGGGAGGATCCAGTCTGACGGCTTAGTGCTGGCCTGGCCGTTCCGGAACATCCTTGCAGCCTTCGTTCCATCCATCGTCTTCTGCACTAACGGGTTCCATACTTTTTTTTTTTCACCCAGCCTCCAGGATTTTGCTCTCGTCCGCGCCTATTGTGGAGGCTAATAGGCTAACACCCCGCCTCTGCGGTTATCAACTGCCTCCGCTGTTATCAATTTTCTGCCAGTCATCGCCGGATGCATTCCTGCTATCGTGAATAGGGCCAATGCACGCCGCTGCATTGTCCTGTAACTGTATGCATTACAGTACACAGGCTCACAGAAACGAGCTGCTGTCGGGATGGATCGACCGCACTACCTGCTTCCGGGACCCAGCCCCGAACCTCGTTCCCTCAGGAGCCTTCAGTTCTGGGCAACATGTCGATTCTAGTCCATTGACTGACCCAACGTCTTGGGGCGCTGGTACCCACCCATCATTAATCACCTGTCGTCCAATATATACAGCCAGAACACACTGCTTCCCGCCAGAGGGTCCTTTTTGCCCCGGAGGAACGCCTTTAGACCCAAAGGCGGCAAGTCTTGCCTTTCAGGACATGGCTAGACGATCCTCTTTTTTTTTTTATTTTACTTTTCTAATTTTTTTTACCTTTCCCCTGTCCTATTCTTATTTTAATTTTTTTAAATTTTCTACTATTCCTCCTTTAGCGCACAGGGCTTCAACTTTGGTCTGAATCCGTAGCCAGGGCGTACAGCAGTAGCCGCAGGCTGTTGTTGCATTGCTTCTTCACGCCGAGTTCAATTTGGTCTTGTGCCCCCCCCCCCCTGCTCTGTAACCCGTTCGGGTTCCTATCGATTCTCAGCTTTCATGCATTGCATCCTTAGCCTTTCTCTGCCCTTTGGCACCCCTCCTGGTCCTTTTCGAACTTGCTCGGAAATTCCAGAGCTAATGCGCCCCTCCTCTAGTGAGGGTGCCGATTGAGGACCCCCCCCTCCCCTTCCCCCCTCTGCTGCGAATGGCATCGACACTTGAAGTCGGTTTGAAACCATCGCTCTTGAAACACTATCCTATTCTCGGTAGGTTCCGGTCTAATCCAACTCAGGCTGGTTTGGCGGGATCCGCCATCCTTTATCCGAGTCACTTAAGTTCTGACCCATTGTGGCTCTTTCGTCTTGCCCTCGAAAGTCGCAAGGCAGAGGGGAAACCTAAAGAAAAGAGAGTCCCTGCAGCTTCCCTCTTGCCAACCGGACGCATGCCTGTGGCATCTGCACCAGCTCTTTCCTGCGCAGTCCCGAATTAAAAAGTCCGTTTGGTTAGAAAAAGTTCCTGGGAGGATACAGTGTTACCTCACTACTGGCTGAACGTCTCTCGTTTCCCCCTTTCCCTCTTCTTACGTTCGTTCTCATCTCTCGGTGTGGTACCAGTATGCACCGTTGAAACTGTTCGTTCCAGAAATCCATTTGATCTCAAGCAACGACAACGGACAACTGCCCTGACGTTGCTCTGCTAGGGCCACGATCCACTCTAGTCCCATCGTTTATTTTTATCTCCATTCCATTTTTCTATTTTTTTTTTAATTCCCTGTTTTCTCCCCTCTTTCCCATCCCTCTTTTTGGACCTTTCCCAAGCCTTTGTTCCACGCGGTGACCTGAAGCACAGAAACACCTGTGTATTCATCCAAGGTGTTTCTACTGGGTTGTTTCATTTCTATAGCCTCTCCTTACGCTGTTTATTCTTATTTTATTTTCTTTTCTTCCTTGAGGGCTTCCATGTGTTCCACTCCACCAGTGAATATTATCTCGACCTTCAATGTCTGCTATCCAACCCATGTGCAACGACTTTTCTTCCTTCCCTTCGTTTGCTGATCTTTGTTCTGATTCTCATTCTCGGTCTCTATTCCCGGTGCCCCTGGATCACCTTTGCATCTCTACCTGAGAGCCCACGTGTTGATACACCGGTGTAGACGCATCATTCCGTTTGGGAGGCTCAGTGGCAGTTTTGTCCTTCTTGCTGTTTCTCTTCTTGTTTTTGATTCCATCTTTACTTTTATTCCCCCGGATCCCCTGCCCATTTCTGTGTGGCCCGGTCCCGTTCTGGTTGGCGTTTTGTTTTGCTCGTTATACTATTCTACATCCGTAGTCGCGTGACGCGTCGCTTTTTATAGCTTGATTCAGTCTGTATTCTGGCGTCGTTGTTCTTTCGGTTTGTTTGTTGGGTTGTCTGTGAAGCCGGGGAGCCGCCTATTTATACCTCCATGGTCCGTTGGCTATGTCGAATCTACCAGAAAGGCCATGGACTGAGGAGGAGAAGGTAGGGCCGCTTATTCTCGCCTCTCATCCTTCTGCCGGACGGGGCACGAGAACTCATCTGCTGTTGGAATTCGATGTGCTGTTAGCTGACGGGGATGTGGCCGACTCTAGTACACTCTACTCACGGAAATCCTGAAGAAGGCTCGAGTTCCTTCGCACTATCTTGTGAGAATGATAAGGGACTTCAATATTTCCCCAAGCTGGGCGGATATACCCCTTCCTCAAGGTACTGATCCGCCAGCACTTCCCGCTTGTTTTCTGCACTAGTCAGCCTGAGCTGATGCGGCTATGTTCTGTTCGTATTGGTTGCATAATAGGGCGGCCTTTATTCGATTGCAGGGTTGACTTGGCATTGCTGATCTGATTCTGTCCAGGTCGTTCTCTCAACTCCTGCCAGATGGCGTTCTTTAACATGTGTCAACATGTCCAACTCTCAGTCACTCAAGGCCTTGGCTCGATTCCTCCGCCACCCCATGAGCCCCCCATACCGGCGTCGGTGCCAGAAAGTAGCGGCGCTCTGCGCAAAAGGCCTCTGTTTCCCTCGGACAAGGTAATTCGTGCCCCACGCGCGATCCAACCACGTCCTGCGACCAGCACCGCCTCTTACAGTAGTGAGAGTGGTGCCTCGGCCCTTTTATCCCCAAGCTCGGAGAGCGTTAATGCTAGAGGCGAGCCGGCACGGAAGCGAGGACGACCTAACAAGGCTGAATCGGAACGGCGCAAGGCAGCTGCTGAGGCCCGGGGAGAAACATATCCGCCCCCGCGACGGTCTGGCTCTAACAAGGTGAAAGTTTCGTCTACACCCACTAGCCCCTCCGGGGTTGGGACAGGGGGACCGTCTTTTCCTCCTCAAGCCACCAGCAGTCGACCGCCAAACTTATCGCGACATGAGATGCACTACCCACTTCCGCAGGCAAGACCAGTGGCACTGATGGGACCGACTAGCGACGAGCGACCGAGGGACATCCCAAATCAAGACATGAGCCCTACAATGAGAGAGCTACCACGCCCACCCGAGATAAGGCAGACGCTGCCTTCGCCCCAGGCCTTACAACTGGGCCATAGAGAAACAGCACTCACGCGAAGAGAACCCGGACCGCCCTTCGAACCTCTTCCACCAGAGAGAAGCCCATTTATGCAAAGCAACCGAAGGATCCTTATGCACCCTACCAGCAGATTCCCAGACGAACCGCCCACCTCAGCCCCGGATTTGCCTATGACCAGACCGCCTGAGAACAGACCAGAATGACGCCAAGAACAAAAAGTCCTCTCTGATTCTACAAGACTTCTCGGCATGGTGAACGAAGTATAATCTTGATCATGAACGATAGATAGCATTGGCCCGGAACTTCCTCCTGGGAGCAAATCGAAACGAGTGGTAACGAAAGCAAGGCAACGAGCACCGCATACACACGTTCTCATCTCCTCTCGCGTACCGGTTCTCCGCTCTTCCGCGGGGCGGCTTGATTGACAAATTGATTGCTCATACGTGGTGGATCGATATCCTTATGTCCGAGATGAAGCATCCGACAGACAGGTCCAATTTGCTCCCTCTTGGTCAGTTGCCTTGCCTTGCGCACAGAAAATACACTGAAGTCTGTGCGTAAGTCGGTCAAAATCATCATGAGGGCCTGATTGGTCCACTTTCATTCTTCAGCTTCTTGATTTTCTTTTCTCTATATGCATACATGCTCCTTAATGACGCACTGAGTTGATGATCTTTCCTACATATCGATTCTGCACATTATCGGGATTTCCGGCCCATTTCCCCCAAGTCTCGATCCATGCGAACATTATGAATATGACGTGGCCTATTGACTTTCCTTGTTTGGGATATAGCTTTCCTTGTCCTTCGTCATCTTCACTCCATTTGTCCCATTCTGCGCCACTGATCATATCTTCGCCAATCTCAGGCGCGGAGTTCTATTGTCAGCACCTAATTATTTGGATAATTACTAATTTTTTAGTGATCAGATCTTGACGATTCATATGTACAGCTTGAGCTTCTTTTTTATTTCTATTTTTGTTTTTTTTTCAGAGATCGCCGTGTCATTTGGAATAGGGAAACAAGGCAAAGAGGGCGAAAGAAGATCAAAGACAGCAAAAGGAAGAACGAGGAGGGCCAGAAAAGGCACCCTCTGTAGACACCAGATATGACCATGCCGTATTGTAGCATATGTTGTTGTAGGATTGGCTGTACAAACGAGACGATTCTATTCGCGGCACCCCAGTTACGACGCTTGGCTGTCACACAAAGTCCCCGCCTTGAGATGTATGGTTACATTATGAAACAAGGTTGCCAAGACTATGTGACATATGAGATGTATTGGCGGATTTTCATTTTCCTTCTGTTGACCTACCCCAGAAATCTGGTCCGGCAACCCTTTAGATCTCTTTTATTCATGGATCCTGACTACTTCTGACACGATCAAGCAAACTTCTTAACCTGATTGATGAAGCCGCTGAGTTCGACGTATCGGGAGCTGTGGTGCCGGTCGCCGCAGACAATGATGCAGTAGGTTCCGCAACAGATGCGGATGATAAAGAGGGGTGGGCTGGTTTTTGATTCTCTGCAGCCTTTAGCTTCTGCTGCTGCTCCAGTTGAAGCCGAATTGCGCTGACGGCAGAGCTCAGGCTTAAGCCGGTATTCTTTCTCCCCGCCCCCAAATCCAGATCAGGGGTATCCTGTCCTACTAGTTTCTTCACATCGTCTCTTCCTTCCACGCGACGAGTGAGATACATCTTAGGTATAGTACCTTGTCGTGGAAGAGTGCGTGTCCGGATGCGTTCGATTTCTTGTCGGTAGGCAGTCTCGTAGATGTCAAATTCAGCAGCGCCTGGTGACTCGCTCACAATTGGATAGGACAGTTCCACGTCCATCTCGGCCGGTTCGGCGGAGATCATAGTATCCGGTTCTTCGAAGATCGGGTCGGCATCCAGATCCCCTTTGGTTTCCTCAGAGGAGCCCGTATACGTTGAAGGCCCAATGTACAGAAATGGGAATTCCTCCTCTAGAGGGTCGCGTGCATGTCCACGAGTCCCCTCGACACTGCGTTTTGTAGTGACTGAGCTTGCTCGAGACAGTGCGACGAAAGGAGATGGGGACTGAGGTGTGGAGGTTGCTTGCAGGTCGTCAAGAGACCCCCCGATAACATTAGTGCTGCGGATCGACCCAGAATCCTTCCTCTCGGGTTCGAGCCTCGGCGTGTTCTTGCTGTTGCTGCCTGGAGAAGGATCGGATTTCCCGTGGAAACCGACAGACTCGCTGCTGTTATCTGTTAAGTGGTTAGAGACGATATCCTCGCGCCGTTGGTGATATCCCTGCACGACGTTATCCCTTTCCCAGGGCCTTCTATTATATGTGTTCAGGCTCTGACTCTTGTTATTGAGAATGGGCATATTGCCGGCCGATAAGCTTTCATCTGGCTCCATTTCCATAGGAGGCTCGACAAAGTGAGTCTCATATTCTTGACCGAGGATACTCTGCATAGGGGGATCCGCCTTTGCCGGGTCGATGAGCCTTTTGAAATGCTTGACAGCTTTGATCTATGGTCCTGATAAGCTTGCAGTTCTTCGGTCGACGAGTGTGAGTTAGGAAGATTGTTGACTTACCACGGCGAGGACGTGACCAATAGTCCTCGTAATGGCGGAGTTCATCTCTTCTTCCGTGGGGAGGCCGACGATTTCAGCGGTGTTTTCGCTTTCTGGTAATAGGGGATCAAGTCCATTCTTCGTCACCCACGGGTGTTCCTGTATGGCATCCATAAACAAATGAACGGCGTAAGGGCAGCATCCACCTAAACTTACTCGTAACTCCTCCATTTGTATCCGTTTTGACGGGTCCTTCTCCAGAATTCGTGACATCAAATCCCTGAAGTTTTCGTCGCTCTCCCCTTCGCAAATCACAGGGTCATTCTTGATAGCTTCATAAAGCTCGAAGATACTTTGCATCTCGAAGGGTAGTTTGCCGTATCGAAGGCAGTATAATGTGACACCCATAGACCATATGTCTGCGGCCTTGCCCGAGACATCTCCGTGTCTCACTACGCATAGTTCCGGCGGGAGAAAGGCAGGAGAGCCGGCCGATTTTGCAGTGAACATATTCGAATCTTTCTCGAACATTTCAGATACTCCGAAGTCGACGACTTTCAAGACATCATCGCTCGTCAGAAGACAGTTATCTGGCTTGATGTCTCGATGTACGATTCCCTGCGCATGCAGATACTCAATGCCCAGTATCAAATCTCGAAACCAACAGCGACACTGGTCGTCGTCATAGGGGTCAGCTCTTTCCTCGAGCCCAACCTTCATGATCACGCCCTTCTTACACATCTCCATGACCATGTATAACGAGTCCTCCTTGGGATCATCCAATACCTCTATCAAGGACACGAGGTTGTTATGGTTCAGCTTTTTCATGATGGCGATCTCTTCCTTGATTAGGTAGAGGGCGTTCTCTGTGTTCTCGTCCTCGCCTGGGGGGCGGCGATGCAGCGGGGAGTTAAACCCATCAGAAGGACGCTTGGGGCCTCGAGGCCGGCGCAGAAGATGCGACTGTGCACGTTTCCGTAAACGAGCCTTGGAAAACTCCTTGACAGCCTAGACAGGAGCAGACTCTGTCAGCAATGGCAAGGGCACATACTTGAAATGTAGCCAGGGACAAGATGGCATGGAGCAAGGCAAAATACATATTCGTTTCCAAACTGGTCAGTAGCCAAATGCACTGCTCCGAACGATCCTCTGCCAATCTCCTGCTTGATCACATATTGATTGATCCTATGCTCCGCAGTACCATCATCCTGGCTTGTATAATATTCAGATCGAGCATTGAGCGTTTCCTATCGAGTGTGTCAGCAGGAAACCATAAAGCGAGAAGGATGTAAATAAATGGAGAATAATTTGAGATCATGGAGCAAAGGAACCTACCTTGACTGGACGCCTGACTATTGGGTTTCGGCGGTGGTGTCTCTGGGGGCTTTCGTATGAAGGGGTGGAACTAAATTCCGGGTTGAATCAGTATCCAGAACACGAACCCGGGGGCGGCCCCAAGGGGGGCTGGATGGGGATTTTCGATCATCATGGTAAAAGGGAAGTCCAACTCACCCATAACGAAAGGGCGGCGGCCTCGGCGGCCGCTCCGTGAGAATCGGGCTGGCATCCTGCTGGGGAAGGTCGGCATTCCCTTGGGCCATTGGAGGATATGGGCGACGGAACAGCAGCGGAAAGGATTAGGGATCCCGAGGGTTTCACACAAAGACCGGACCTTGGCTGTCTTGGTCGGCAGCGATGAGGGGAGGAAAATGACGGTCGCCTGTGATGAAGTGTGGGGAAGATCGGGGATTACGAGGAAATGGAGATAAGCCGCCGTTGCGCCGAGGGTCCGGCACGAAAGGGTTCAGGGTGGTGCTGGTGCTGGTGTTGGTGCTGGAGCACTCGAAAAGGAGAGGAGGAGAGAAGAGGGAGAGAAGATCGTCCACGGTTTTCTCATCAAAGGTTGGGTGCGGAAACCAAGAAGGCAACCATGGAAGAGAGCAGCGAGAAGAGAGGGGGCCGCGTGGGAAGAAGATCGACGGCGAGAGGGGAAAGAAGTGGTCGAAGTGGTTCGAGTTGGATGCCCAGTTGAGGAAGGCGCGCAGAAGGGCTAATTACCGTTTGGTTTTAAGTAAGGCTGATGATGCTACTGCGTACTCCGTACTGGGTTGGGTGGTTTGACTGGCGGTGTTGTGTTCCCCTGCCCGTTTGGCGCCGTTTTCTTTTCGAGGCCCCACGGGCGACTAATACCAAGGGATGCTTTTTTACATAGTTGACCGATTTAATCTCCTAATAATAAGATTGTTGACGGCGAGGATATTTTTATCGATAACCGTGGATCGGCCCCGTGAGCTGCTCACCGCCCACGAGTGCGATCCCGAGTCTAATTCAACTGATCCCGATCGCTCCATCTTCAGCTCCTCCGCTTCTCCGCTCCTCTTCCCCCTTCTTCCGCTTCGTCCCCTTTCTTAGATCATCAGCCTCTTCCCCATTCCTCAGGAACACCCCCGGACTCCTCCGGCTTCCTGGTACTGCCCCAAATCGTCTTTATTATACCTTTCTTGGCGCAATGGTGGTGTATTCGTTCTACATCTTCGACCGGCATGGTACCTCTCCCGCATACTCCATCAATCTCAATTCGTGCGACTAACCGTTGCTCTCTCTCTCTGCTAGCCGAATGCATCTATAAACGGCGCTGGCTACCGCGCCCGGTCTCCACGGTGGGCAGCAAATCCTCACGGCCAACTTCCGAGGCGTCGGCTCCGGGCCTCCCCGCAACATTAGGTCAATCGGCGCGCACCACCGACGACGATGCCAAGCTCATCTTCGGGACGGTCTTCTCCCTGCGGAACATGGCTCGCAAGCTAGGAGGCGAGGACGATAAGTAAGGACCCTCTCCACATGCGGCTGCTAGGGATTCGAGTGGGGACTGTCGCTGACCATCGACCACGTTTAGCTTCGTCACGTACCGGACGAGCCAATACAAACTACACTACTACGAGACCCCGACCAATATCAAGTTTGTCATGCTTACGGATCTCAAAAGTCCAAGCATGCGGGTTGCCCTCCAACAGATTTACATCAACCTCTATGTCGAATACGGTATGCTGCTGATCTCACCTTTGGCACCATGTAGTACAGCATGTGCTGACTGTCTATGCCTCCAGTGGTCAAGAACCCGTTGTCCCCCGTGGAGCATCCAGGGGGCATTGGAGTAAATAATGAGCTCTTTGAAGAGTCTTTGGAACAGTTCGTGGTATGTGCTGTCGTCGTACAGTTGGACATCATCTCACATGGCAATAGACTCGCGTGCTGTCCTGAAGACAGAAATCTGCATGATCACTTCGCTCATGAACCTGGATCGAAATGAGATCGAAGCACATATAATGAAGCTTCTCACAGGGGCGTCAACGACGGCCCGTTCTCCATTCCGCTTCCCTACGGCTGCAGTGTGCTGCCGTGCAGTAGGTAGGTCGGGTGCGACGGGGATCATTCCCAGATCCTTTCGTCGATAGTCGAGAAATGCTGCACGATCATCCAGCAAGACCATGGATATCGGGGGCTACTTGAACAGCACATATTGCAAAGCCTCGGACCGACGAGGCACCCCGAGCCGCCTTGCGCAGACCGACGGACCAGTCGGGGACGGTCCATCACCGTCCGCAAGAATCAACGATTTATGAATTATGTCCTTAATTGAACCGTTACCTATCTGAAACCTCTTCATCAAATACTACTTAACATAATACATCCAATACACAATCAATTCACACCATCATGCTCGTACACTCCCTTCTCATCTCATTTCCACCCACAAATTTATCTCGACACGCCAGAGTATCCATACCGCACCTCATCGGGCAGGTCATCCTCTCCGGGACCCTCATTATACTTATTCCTAGTCTGCGGCTTAGCCCCACGCGTCCGACCCTGAATCACATTAGATTGATCCAGCGCCTCGTCCTCATCGCGCGCTACACAAACCAAGTTAGCCATCATCCCACATACCCATACCCAAACCCAAACCACTTTTATCCACCCTCACTACCCCCCCAACACACAACCACAAGCCCAATACAAGGAAGTGCACCAAAGAAGAAAGAAAACCTACCAAGCTGCTCATCCGAGTTCGAGTACGGCGGCTGCATCGGATCATCATAATAATCGTCGTCCTTGGCGACGGGGATCTGGCCCCTCAGGCTGGACTGCGTCTCATGCGCATAGGTGTTGTCCCGGTAGGTGCCTGAGACCGGGGACGGGTCGTTCTGCGCCTCGTAGGCGTCTTCGGCGGAGCGTTCGTAGCGGTTGGACATTTTGCTTTGTTGGTTGGGAGAATGAGTTGATTGGGTGGAGGTCTTGGTGTCTGTCTTGTGGAGGGCAGATATTCGATTGGATTGTTGGGTAAATGTTTATGTAGCGGGATGGGAGGTGGCTATTTAAGTGCCATTGGAGGGGGTTGATGCAATATTGATGTCAGGTTTGTCATGTGTAGTACTTCGTTCATACATAGTAATCTCTACTGGGTGCTAAGTACTGGGGTGGGTAGGCAGTGGGAAGTGGAGGGGAGATTAAGATTGGGTTTCGATTTAGGTTTGAAGATGTCATGATGTTGACTACTTTTGAATCGACCATGAAGGACATGACAGGTGGAAGGTGAGGTGATTGGGGTTGAGTGGGGTATGCCAGTGGAGAATCCTAGTTTCGAACACCATATCGCGATCTAGATGTACGGGGTTGTTCGAGTCTTGGTGGATGGGTGGGTGTGTACATGGTAAGGTAGGGCTGGAGCCTGATCCATGCTATGAAAAGCACGCAAACAGCGGATCGAGAGTCAGAAAATCAAGCTCCAGCTATCCGTACCAGCTGCATATTGGGTCGATATTGGACAGCCAGAAATTCATCCCCGGCGCCGATGACATCTGTTTGACTCACGTTGAAGTAATTCGCCACGGCCTGGATCTGAGGAGACTTTTGTTCACCGCCGCCCGCGCCATCCTCGCCGATCTATCGGTGTGATGGTCCCTGAACGCTGGTGAGCGATTTGAAGACACCAATGGGGTGGTGCCAGAGGGAGACGTGATGGACATGGTGGTGGTGATGGTGTTGTTGTTTGTTTCCCTCCGGTTGATGGGCTGCATAGAGTTCGGCGTGGCTGACGTTATCTTATTCTTACCTTACCTAATCGGTCGCCCAGGTGTGCTCAGCACGATCTGATTCTCGATCCTATTTTTACTGCGCGTTCGCGTGGTTCATCTGACTGTTCCTTGCGCGAGGAGTTTCGCAGAGGCCGGGTTCGATAAGGTTAGCCTGCGCCAGAACACGAGGATTTGCCTGCCAAGCACGCTCAGCTCGCAGTGACTCACGGGGGCGATCAACAACCGCTGCTGAGCGATGATGAAGATACGGTCAGAGCGATGGAGACCTGGTACTGCAGCACGGGCACCATAGCTGTTGATTTCTTTTGCAGGCGAGCTGGTCTCAGCCCGGTGGTGATAGGTCGGTGTGTTTCATAATGGGAATGCTTAAGCTCCCAAGGTTTGGGATGCTGGGCCACCGATGAGCAAAGTCGAGGTGATCTCCGAGATGTTCTGGCGGTTCAGTCTCCGCATGATCAAGATTTATGTCTCCGCCAGCCATCATCTGATAACTGAGGATGCCGTGTTGCCGATGCGAGTTGTTCTTGTAGTGCCAGATAGTTAGGCATGTGCATGGTTCTGGGAGAACCGCAGTGGTATCTAGCAGTCATAGCTGGTCCCACCCCGAGTTGAGTTTCACCCACGGCGGCTGGCACAGCAGGAATCTGGATGGTGTATACAGTACACAGTCGAGCCGAACGAAGATGGGGTTTGAAACAGCTTGATCTGGCTCGGGAAGGACACGCGGATGCGATGAAGCTTGAACCCGTCCCTTTGGCCGGTCATTCGCTTCTTCGGCTAGTTTACGTGGACTCGTGGAGAAAGGGAAGGGACTAACTACTGCTGCTGCCGCTGCTTGCTGCCGTGCCCGTCTCCGTCTCACCGTTCAGTGTTGGACGGAGCGCGCGGAGTCCGTGCCTGGTGAAGTCGTATCCCGCAGGTGAGGCCCAACCAGGAGGAGAAACGGGGAGTTACGAAGGACTCCATCGAGGTAACTGCTGGGTTTGCTGAACGGCGCCAATAACACGACCTCTGCTACTGTGTACCTCGTACAGGCTGATGGGGGATGATCCCCATGCGGTGGCTGTCTTGTGTCCCGCCGCTGGGGACTCGGCGACAATAAGATTAAGGACGATTCGCCATTAGCATTTATCATACCACATGGCAGTGTGTCTTCCCGCACCAGAATAATGGTTGATCCTCAATTCACCCCAAGAGGGTCCTGTAATTGTCATTACGATATCATCCTGTCGGGCAGTCTGATCATCCCATGCTGCGGGCTGGTGGTTGTCTGATCCAGATACTCGATAGTAGCGGTCAATCCAGTCTGACTGCTTCCTACTCCTTCCTCATCATGCCTACACACCATGCCATGCCCGCCTTTCGCCGGTGCCTAAGCCAGACCCCTGCCCACAGCCAGGGTTCCTACTCCGGACTTAATCTCCATCTTTGCAGGCTTCGCAGCCTGGGGTTCGGCCGGGTGTTTTTCGGCCCCGTCACGACGGTCACGTACGGCGTACGGCGTACATCCTTTGTACCGTCACACGGTGTATCTACATAGGTCATAGTAGTCCTCGAGGTCCACTCGTGGTAATACTTCGCCGCGTATCGGAAGGCGGTTGCTGGGCCTTCCGGTCCTCTCCTCCATTTGTGTTTTCTTTTTCATTATCATCACGATTGATTGATTGATTGATTGATTGATTGATTACCTTTTGAGGGAGCGTCTAGTTCGATGCTGATCTGCTGTTCATTGCCCCGATTGCTTTGTTGCGCCCGCAGATGTATGCAGCCGGAGCCAGGGTTGTTGGCTTGCCCCTCTTTCCCCCAATCCTCCCCGGTTATCAGCGATCGGCCCAAATCATAATCACTACTGCAGACTTAACGTACGGAAGACGAGCTGATAATCCCGTCGAGCTTGGACGGCCTGCAGTTGCTGCAATGACTGCAGTTGGGGGAGGTCTAGGTCCGGACCGATCGAGAGCTCTATCTTTCTCTCCGGTCGGTCTGCATGTAAGTAGGCAAGCAGATGGATGTACTGTGTGTATCGCGCGTACTCCGTATCGACAACTCAACTCAATGGATTAGGGAATGGAATCAAACACTTAGCTTTCCACCAAGCCTCGGCCAGGTTTAGTGGCCCCCGACTAGTAATGTAGACAAGACATGAAGGCCCCTCGGACCGACCCACCTGCTGGTGCATCCATCCATCGTGGGCTGAAATCATCCTAATTTCGACGGGACCGTTTTCTCCCTTTCTTCTTGTCGGATCGCAGACCCTGCCATTGGCTGGGAAAAATCCCTCGTGCAAATGGATCTCAACACGCCCGTCCATCATGCAGAAAAGGCATCGAGTCTCCGCCGCCCCGTCCGGTTCAGTCGCCTGCCCGTCCCCTCCCCCCGACGGTGCTTCCAGTTGTATTGATGTACTAGATACTCCTAGTTAGATAGTAGTTGGTTAGTCCTCCTTTCTCCGTTCTTCTGCCCCCAACATTTTTTTAGTTTGGCTCGTCGCGTGGGATCCTCGAAGCTCGCAATCTCGGTTTCAGTTCCAGTCGTTGCCCGGCATGGTACAAGTCTGACTGTCTGACACACACGGTTTGCCCTCTCAAAGCCCACGCTATCTTAGCTTTAGGTACGGAGTACGGACCAAGTACACAACACTTCCGAGGGAGCAGCCAGACACATGTTCCTGACGTCCTGTAGCACGATGGTTATCGGCGGATCTCCGCAAATCACCACCTGGGCTGTTAATTAGACATGAGCCAGGGTGGCTGTCAATCAATCAACGATCCCTACCTGCCCACTGCGCAACCCCTCCCTCCCTCCCTCCCCCAGTCAGCCACCTGTCTTCTTTGATGCTTTAGGCCCGTCAACCGAAAGAGTAACGAGTGGCCGACGTCTGGTGCAGTGGTTTACGGAGAACCCACGTCATTTTGCAACCCTCTACTAGTGCGTAGGTGGAGATCCCCTTTGCTCAATCGAAACGGCTGGGAGACATTTACTGTTACTGCTAGCCCGGCCGGATGGAGTAGGAGTCACTGTGTGGTCCAACTTCCAATTCCCGGGAGTGGTCGCCAGGTCTCTCGGGCTGCAGATGATGCCAATGATAGAGCTTCTCGGCGGAGCAATGACCGCCAGACGGCTTGAGAGTTACCTGCTTTGCAATCTATAGTTGCTTGTTTAAAGGGCTTGGGGGTACGGAGGCGCCGTCTACCTTGGCCTTGCTGTTGCTTCTGCTGCTGCTGCTGCTGCTGCTGCTGCTGCTCCTTCCATTTCGCAACCAGCTCCGAAAATTGAAATGAAGGTTGATAACTTTCGACATCCGTTCGCCCTGATTCTTGATACCTGCTGACCCCCCACACGGAACCCTCGAGCATCGACACCTAAACGGGATGTGTGCATGAAGGAAAGTTGCCTCCATCTCAGACTAACAAGTCTGGTGCGGTTCGATATATTCGCAGGGAGGAAGGAAGACGGTCCATGATCCGATCACAGGCCAGGACATCCAAGTAAGGGGCCTGCGAAACGATGAATGCCAGTAGCTTTTCTCCGTGTCTAGGCGAGTGCCTGTTGGCTAGAACCATCTCCATCCCGTGGTCCAGACAGTAGGTATCTAGTTTATCTGAGGTTCATGCAGTCCCGTCCATTATTGACGCGGAAGGGTTCCACGACAGATAGGATGTTGTAAGTATATCGGTGGCACCGAGGGATCCTGGCATCCTGCCCACATACCCGAGCAGCAGTGACTGTTTCTCGCCTAGTGCCATGTAGCTCCTAGTGATCCCCAGCCCCTCAGTGATGGTCCAAGAATCGACAGGATCGCATGGAATTGCTCCTGTCCTCCCGTAGGCAGACAAGATAGATGCTTGGCATCATTGTCGCAGAGACCGTGGGAAAGCACAATGCGACAATTGACTGGTGGGTGGGTACGGCACTCTAAGGGGGGTCGAGAGGGTTGGCCGCTAAACCATCTAGTATCGACTTTACGATTCTCTGGCGCAGTCTTACTTGAGCCATTACCCCTCATGCGGGTAGCATGACTTCGCTGCGTCGGATACTAGTAGTCATCTAGGATAGTCGTCTAAGTTCGAGGAAACCTACGGCACTGGAGATGAAGGTGGACTCTCTGCCACGCTGGGAGGAGCCGCCACAGGAAGCTACGACCTCCCTACTCTCCATCCATCATAGTCCTGCATCAGGCATCCGACTAGACTCGACCAGCATCGAACTAAACTCGCCTCGCCAACCAGTCGTGCAGCGAGTCCGTGAGCCACCCAAGCCATCGGCTCCCGTCAATGATGATGTGCGGGGACCGAGGGTTGGATTGAGGCTGTGCGGCATCTGCAGTCCTGGGATCCGAAAATTAAGGTCGCCAGGAGTCAGTGACTAATCGCATCCTCGATACGGTCGTGGAACAAACGTCATTTTGGGGAATGTGCGACACCAAGCGAGACCAAGCGTGGAGGATCCCGCCTGAGACTGGCTGGGAAGGCGGACGTCATCCGACTGATTTTCGTGTAGGAAATGAGGGGAAGCTGCTGTTTTCCTGGGAGAACGATCGATCCTCCATTCACGGCCATCAAAGATACTGGTTGCGCGTAATAACGGCCGGAATAACGAAGCGAGACGGAGCTGATGGCTACTAAGTACTTAGGAGCTGATGTATGTGAACGCGGAAGCAGACCCACGGACAGCTGATGGGAACTTCGCCCAGTCAGTCGTCGCAGAGGACATGACTCTGGTCGAGGACGGAGAACGGAGTACTACGAGTAGCTCTGTACCTTAGCCAGGTTAAGAAGGTTGTTGGAGGAGGAAACGCCCGCGCCACTCTGGTATTATATCTCTGGTCGTCAGCAAAACCGATTGCGGATTCTTTACCACCTTTACCACCAGTACTGCCCTCGTACCAGGTACCCTAGTCATGAGTGCTGCCACCGCAGGCTGCTTGCCAGAATCCCCCGAGCGCAGGCATGATATTATTAATTAAGCTGGAATATTCTGGATGAAGTCATAGACAAATCTATAGTGGCGAGTAGGGGCGCGGTGAAGCACAGCCGACTGTATCCGTAGAGGCAAGCAGGATGATACACAGCAAAGTTCCCTGTACATTCAGGGAACCTTCCTCCTCTCCGTACTCCGTACGGAGTACACAGGAGGCACATATTGTTCTGTTCTGTGGGAAGTGGACCAGTGTGGCTGCAACTGGTATGATACCATCCAGTTACCGTACCAGCAGGCCAACTCAGACCTGCGAACGGGAGGCGGTAGCGAGCGTATGAGGACCTGCCTACTGGCACTCAGCTTGATTTCATTATTCTTACTCGATGCTGACCCGAGACCTGGAACCTGAAAGATATCCCATCCCCCATTTACGAGAACCTGGATCGGAGACTTGGAAGGGGAGAATTGCGAAGAGGGGCGCTCTGTCCTTTCTTCCATATCCGGTAACAACGGGAAAGTCCCTCATCTTTGTAACCTCACCGAGTGTACACCAGAGGCTACACTGGTACTGGTTCCCACAATTTGAGGATTATTAATAAGACCACAATAATAATATTAACAGTCAGTCAATCATCATCTGGTTGCTTGCTTCTGGTAGCTGGGAGGAGAAAGCAAAAGCGAACTAGCCAGCCCACCCCCCCATCAGGGCTCCTCCATCGTCCTCATGCTTAGGTTAGTAACTTAGTAGTAGGAGGTTAGGTTACCTACCGGCACCAACCAACCTGCAACGCCCGCGGCGGACTACGGTACCAGTTAGGGTATTTCAACCTGGCCCCCCCGGTAGGCAGCCCTGAAGGAGCCCTCCTCCTCGTCTCGTTCTCCCGTCTAGTTCCTCCATACGCTGCCTCCTCCTCCCGGGGTAATTTTCATCACCACAGCTGTTCCTCCCTGACTTTAAGTGGAATTCGCAAGGCAACGAGCCAAGTCTTATTTCGAGGACCCTAGTCTGTACCGTTCCATCTGGGCATTCCGTGCCTTGTTGCGCCGTGCCCTTTTTTTTTTTTTTTTCTTGTCGTGTTCTTTTGTTTTTTTATTTATTCGCTTTTTTTTTTCTTCTCTGGCTGCATGATTTCTTTTTCGTCCTTGACTCAAAAACTCTTATTGTAATTTCCACATCCGAAGTCACTTCCGTCACCTCTACAAAGTCTAAACCGTCGCCTCAGGCCACCACCACCACCTCTGACGGGGGCCACCGCAACTTTTTTTCTCTCCTCTCTCTCCCCCGTCCTCCCAATTCTCCTCAGCAACTCTCAATCTCCTCCAAAAGCCATTGTCGCTGGCCTCTGCAGCTTCGCGCTGTAGGCTTTCCATCTCCCACCTTGTCACGGGGGCTTTCTTGTTCCTCTTAAACCTCCGTGCACCCACCATTTCTCACTACCGCACATGACTCCACAATCGGCTTCGCCAGTACCTTCCGCAGTCTCCTCCGCCGCAGCCTCACAGTTCTCCAACGATTCCCGCGATGGAGAGTCTCAGGTAACACGTGCTTTAGCGGGCATGAATCTGTCCGCCGTGAACGGGGATGTTCTCCCCGTTCCTCCGACCCCCGCAAAGATCGCTAGACCTACCATGGCCAATCGCATCTCCCGCATGTTCTCCAATACCGGGAAGTCCACCCTGAAAGAGCCGGAATCACATCGCGACTTCTCCGACAGCAGCTCAGAAAGTGTTAAAGCTCCCTCCAATGCCAGCATCAAACAAACGAAACCTACCTCGAAACCCTCCTCCAAGCCGTCCTCCAAGCCATCTTCCAGAGCTCCGTCCCGACAGGCGTCTACAAAAGAAGACAATGACAAGAAGCCGAAGTCTAGTAATGGCAAAGAGCAAAAGGAAGGGGCTCCTCCCGTCCACAGGCGTTTTGATTTGCCTGGTGATGGCACTCACAGCCATCACCTCAGGAGCGCAAGACGGCAAGAGAAACTGACCGACCTACTACGGGACATGCTAGGCGGCGGCAGGAAGAAGGAAGATCACGTCGAGGAGCAACAGTTGTCGCTCATGTCCACATGGATCGACCAGTTCAAGAACGAACGGGATAAGTTGGCCGCCGACAAGAAGGGCGGTCCGAATGCCACCGCTTCGCTGGTCGATAAATACGGCAAATGTCAGGAGATCGTCGGTCGCGGCGCCTTTGGTATTGTTCGCATATCCCACAAGGTGGACCCAAGAGACTCCAAGGTGGAGCAGCTGTACGCAGTCAAAGAGTTCCGCCGTCGCCCCCAAGAGACTACCAAGAAGTATCAGAAGCGCTTGACGTCTGAATTCTGCATTTCCTCTTCCCTTCGCCACCCCAACGTCATCCACACCCTCGACCTGCTGCAGGATGCTAAAGGTGATTACTGTGAAGTGATGGAGTACTGCGCAGGTGGCGATCTCTACACCCTGGTGTTGGCTGCCGGAAAACTCGAAGTGGCCGAGGCAGATTGCTTCTTCAAGCAGCTTATGCGTGGCGTTGAATATATGCACGAAATGGGCGTTGCCCACCGGGATCTCAAGCCCGAAAACTTATTGTTGACCACCCACGGAGCTCTGAAAATCACGGACTTTGGAAATGGCGAATGCTTCCGTATGGCATGGGAGAAAGAAGCCCACATGACCGCGGGCCTTTGTGGCTCAGCTCCTTACATCGCCCCGGAAGAATATATTGAGAAGGAATTTGACCCAAGAGCGGTTGATGTTTGGGCGACTGGTGTCATCTACATGGCCATGAGGACTGGGCGCCATCTCTGGCGAGTTGCCCGGAAGGATGAGGATGAATTTTACCAGCGTTATTTGGAGGGTCGTAAACATGAGGATGGTTACGCTCCCATTGAAACCTTGCATCGGGTAAGGACTGACCGACCCCATTGGATTCAAGGATGTACCAGCTGACAATACTCGCAGGCCCGCTGCCGTAACGTGATCTATTCCATTCTCGACCCCAACCCTTCTCGCCGCATCAATGCTTCACAGGTCTTGAAATCCGAATGGGTTCGCGAGATCAAGCTGTGCAAGGCTGGTGAGGAAGGATACTGATCCCAATGCGGTGTGCCGTTGTGCCGTCCAGGCTCAGGTGGCATATCCGGAAGGGAGACATGGTCTCGGCGGATTGATCGGACGTTTGTTCCGGGCTGTGTATCCCTTGTGAGGGGCTCCGTCTCTGTCGGCCTCTGGCGACTGCTTAAAACATAAACCCGGGTGGTTCATGTGTTTCTCCCGTTTAACTTGGGGGGTTCGGTCCTTCTTGACTGTTCTATAGAAGGAGGCACCATTGATTTCTACACTATTATACCGGCGCATGTGTTTTGTTCCATTTTCGTCTGCCTACTAGCTTATGGGCTTAGTTTGGTCGTCATGTTTTCATGCCAATGCAACGAAGAGTCATGACCTATGAGCCATCTTTCCATTCTCCAGCTTTCCTTTCGTTTTCAGTTTCATCATTTCCCTATTAACGTTCTATACCTCTTTCCGTTCAGGCATCCGGGGCTTTCATTGATATCATCGCAATTTCTATATACGTTTAATGGGACTCGTCAGGGGCTGCTGAATGATATTCATCGACAGGGACTTTATTTTCTTACCCAGGTTTTGTTGATCATACTGACCGTCTTCACCTGTCTTTAGTCCGGGTCTTGTTCTTTTCGATATCATGGTCGGTGTTGAAGCGTCATGGGTTTGGTGGGATGTAGCATCAGGGAGGCTGTATCAATATGGGAGGGGTGATTTTCTTTGGGATACCCTTTTGCAACATCTAATCCAACATGGCCCTCCTCGTCATGTTTTCCTATGTATCTTAACTTGAGTTGGGAAGCGATTGGCGGGCGACAGGCGGGGGGTCATGTGAGTTGGCCGTCGCCAGCCGCTGTGCAGCAAATCAATTGATTAGCTTGGCTTTCGCTTTGTCCGTCTCCAATTTCATTGTGTCCATTCACTCCCCGTTGTAACGTGTAATCGACCATGTCCGATGACTCGGACCCGAACTCTGCTGCTACTGCTAGGGTCCGAGTCTGCGTTAAGTATTTGATTCTTGTCTGGATGCTGCATCTCTGAATGGCCCGGAGCGGATTGTTCCAGGGGCTTAGGTAGATATCGGGTGATGACTTCATCCCAGCTGGCAGTGTCCGCTTGGACTTGGGAATACTGCTTCGTCCAGTCGCTTTCTGCTGGGTGGAGGGCCCCGGTCGGCCTGAACACCATGGCTGGCTGTCTTGCTACTGTCACGCTGCCCACCCCGGCCCTGAAAGAACGCGATATTGCCCGATCGTATTATCACGTCAGTAACCGTTCTTCTTCCGGGGGCTGTGCAAGGTATCCCAGCTTTTTATCATCCCCTTTATGCCGCTGAGACGGCGACACGCCGACGTCTACGATAGGGCGATTCTTCACGCAACAAGCACATCTCTTACACCGCACACCAGGATCATTCTGGTGTGGGGCCATCCAAGACCTGTCTGGACGCGTGAATCAAAAGTACAACTAGCACGGGGCCCAATGCACGAGCGACCTCCTACTATTGTCTTGGGACCAGATTTCTGTCGACGCCAAGATTCCTAGGCAGCCAAGGAAGACTGCATTCTCCCTCCCTCAGCGCGCGCCATGCGGAACCAATGGAGACGCGGATGGCTGAGAGAGGGGGTCTGGAAGACTCCAACTCATGTCCCGAGGTACGCTGGGATGGATGGATGGCTGTACTATGCATCAGATGCCTCAGGTAGGCAGACTGGCCAATGGAGCTGGCGATGACACCCAAACATTGCCTCCCGTACCGAGCTGCAAACGGAGGCGACGCCGGACGCGAGCCAGATCAAGCTTGCTTGGCGCATCATGCAGCCCCAAAAGGAACCCGAATCCTCGTTCAATAGGAAGCGATCCTCGGGGGAAGGCTAGCTTGCTGAAACCCTGGGCTGGTGGAGATCGGACAGCTCAGCAGCTGGTGTTGGTGGTGGTGGTGGTCGGTCTCACCGTTGAAGAAGTTCCGGTGTTGTACCCTATTGTGTGCTGTGAAGAGGACAGCCTGTTCGTAAACTCATTTGTTTTTCCTGAATTTCTTTTCTAACCGTCTTCTACCCAACTTCGAACCCCCCTTGGTTCGAGGCACTGCCCGATCCTACCCTGGAATGCCAGCGTCGGCAGTCTGGCCAGCCCTACGGAGGATGCAGCTGGAATCGCCCAGATGGATCCCGCCGTGCAACGCGGACAGGCAGCACCATTTTTACCTAATCAAGCCAATTATGGGCAAGACAGGGCCTCCAACGCACACGACCCTGACGGGTAACCCGATTGGCAACCGACAGTCGGTGTCAGCCATGCAAGGCTGGATCTACTAGCCCGATGGAGTAGGATTTGGGTTGGGATTCGTCAACGAGATGGCCGAGCCCCGAACTAAGGTCGGCGCCTATGTCCAGGAGGTTTAAGCAAATTGTCTCCTTCGCAAGTCGAATATGGTGTGATACACAATCGCTGCATGTCTTGGTTTAAGGGCAAGCAAGTCCGATGAAGTTGCAGTCAATTCAACAGGAGTCATTGGAGACTTGAGTCTTCCATGTGTGCCGAAGCGCTTATCGATCCTTCTTCGAGTCGTGAAATGATCGGCCTCGGTACCTGATTGGTAACCGCCTGCAGGCTAATGAATTACACTGGATAGAGATGCGGGCAGATGCGGAGAAGCGCGGTTCTCATCGCATGGTCAAGCAATATCTACATCATCCCCGACATCAGAATCGTGGAGCGCAGATGGTTGCAGCTCATGGTTCGGATGGGATTCAGAAAGCCCGAGGAATGTTTGTGTGACCATAATCATATCATTTGGGGTAACATGTACGGAGTACCCCATACCCCTTACGCCGATGACCTTAGTTATACTTCTAGATTTCCCTGCCGATTCCGCCATGTCCAAGATTGCACTAGGTGCAGTATGCGGCATGGACTGGTCGATATGGCAGCGCAACAACATGCGCGTTACCAACCAAATGCGCCTGGGTAGTACCTAGAACCTTGTAGGGCTATCAATCCCATCATGACGTCTCCGGCGACTCAGGCACAGGTCGATCCTCGCACTCCTTGACATCATGAAGAGGGTTTGATGGCAGGCTGCCAGATTCTCGCGACAGGGGAACAACATGACGTCAGACCCGACCGGAACTCGGTACGCAAAAGTAGCGCCGTTACTTCCGAGTAATTTACAACCTAGCGCCGTATTGTTCCACCGTAGGGCTGTACGTACAGTAAAACCGAACCTGACACCGCCACGGGGGGGAAACGATGAGCACAGCCACTGCAATCGAACGTCTCCGAACATCATCCGTCCCGCATCGGGCATCTGGATTCTGAGGCCTTTTGCATTCATTCGGGCTGTGCCTTTCGTCTCACCTCACCCACGATCATCTCCCGCTTCTCCTCCTGAGGACTGTCCTCTCATACTGCTCTAACCGAACCTTCTCTTCCGACAACCCCCCCCTATTCTACCGAAATACTACTCGACCACTAGTTGCCATCATGTCCTGGGCAGGTGCGCAGAATACCCGTTCCATCTGGTGAAGCGTGCTTCTGAGAACATCCTTCTGACATGTCACTCTGCGGTCTACAGGATTCAAGAAAAATGTCAACCGCGCTACGACGCAGGTGATGATGAAGACGGGTATGTTTAAGCCCTTCCCCCCTCGGCGATCGCCCTCCCCGCTTGCTTCGGAGATGAGCATCACCGACATATACACCTTACCCCGTCATTGGGTGGGACCGATACAAACCCGGATACTGACCCATGGTGCTGGGCTGAATAGGTCATGTGGAGCGCACAAACGATCGCGACTATGAGATTGAAGAGCGGTATGGTGTCCTTTGATGGATTGAGGGTGGGCCTGGAACAAGGTCGCTAACGGCCATGGGTATAGTCGGTACCGGACGATGGAAGCGGCCGCCAATCGGTTACAGAAGGAAGCGAAGGGATACTTGGACTCGCTACGAGGTGGGTGATTCTTCCAGCGCTGGGTTTGGTTGGTTGGGGTGCTGATGCTGGGACGATGACGGATAGCCATGACCGCTTCGCAGATGCGTATTGCTGAGACCATCGATGCTTTCTATGGCGATGCGGGAACCAACGACGGTGTGAGTCGGAGCTACAAGCAAGCCGTGGAGGACCTGGATGCCGAAACGATCAAGGCCCTGGATGGACCGTACCGGTAGGTTCGGATCTTGCGATGGTGGGGCCCCGATGTCGACTAATGTGTGACTCCCTAGGTCGACCGTGCTGGAGCCGATTTCCCGATTCTGTGCCTACTTCCCCGATATCAACGAGTGCATTAAGAAGCGCAACCACAAGCTCCTGGATTATGATTCGATGCGCGCCAAGGTGAAGAAGTTGGTCGAGAAGCCCGACAAGGACGCCACGAAGCTTCCCCGGATGGAGCGCGAGACGGAGATTGCCAAGCAAGCCTACGAACAGTTGAATGAGCAGCTCTTCAACGAACTCCCCCAGCTCATCGACCTGCGTGTGCCGTACCTGGACCCCAGTTTCGAGGCGCTGGTGAAGATTCAACTGCGGTTCTGTGCCGAGGCTTACTCGCGCATGGCGCAAGTGCAGCAGTACCTGGATGCGGAGACGAGGGATCAGTACGCCCGGGGCGACCTGGACAACCGGGTGGAAGAGGTGTTGCAGGAGATTCGGGATTTGAGCATAGCCGGAACTGTGTAATGGGGTCATATTGCTTTGGGTGGGTTCATTCATTTCTTGCTTGTGTGTTTTATTTATTACCCTGCGAGCCTGTCGTGTTCTCTGATAGCCGCTTTAATTATTCTTGCTTGTGCATCAAAACCGCTTGGGGTGACTCATTGTTAAATTACAATTGTTGGGCATTCCATCTATGATCCTTAGAACCGCGTCGACCATCTATCTATCTCTATGAGGAATCAAAATCTAGTAGTAACAGGGGTATCACAAAGCCACCTCAAATCCAATCATTCCTCCTTGCCCTCCCAATACAGCTCATCAGCCAACACCTCCAACACCGGCACCGCCGCCGCCCTGACAGCCGCCAACTCGGCCGGACTCATCTCCTTGAGAACATAATCCGCCACATCCCCACGATTCCTCGTCTCGGGCCTCCCAATCCCCACCCCGATGCGCAACACCGACAAGTCACCCACCGCGGCCCCCTTCTTCGGCGGATACAGTCCCTTCCCTCTCAAACTCTCAAACGCACTGATCAATCCCCGATGACCCCTCAAACTAGCCTTCTCCGGCCCGCCCCTCTTCACGCGGACCTTCCCCAACGGCGCCTCCAACTCATCATGCAGAATGACCAAGGTCGGCGAGAACTGTCTTAGAGACACCGGATCCACGCCCCGGACCTGCCACTCGGGAATCGCAGTGGAATGTTGATGCTCGGGTGCTGTCGCAATGGCGCGGACATGTCCGCGCTGAACGAGATTCTTGAAAGTATCGGATTGGGTCGCGGACAGCCAGGTCTGGAATTGACGGAGGAGTTTGGGCCCCGATTCGTTCATGTATGATGGGCTGTGCCAGGTTTTGTAGAAGAGGGGGCCATTGGAGGACTGGGCCAGGGAGGAGATGAGGGGTGCCCGGGCGGGGAGCAGCGGCGTCAGCGCTTCCAGCAGGATGTGGCCGGCGCTGTGGCGCGTTTGGCGATAGGGTCGGGGGTTGCCGATCGAGGCGATGAAGAGGAAGCGGCGCGGGGTTTTGAGGGTGAGTGTTGTTGGGGAGGGGGGGGTGGCGGGGGACATTGAGAGAGAAGGGGGGAGGGGAGGGGGGGGTGTTGTTTTGGGGGGAATTGAGACTTCGTGATGATGGTTTGGGTTTGATGGAACTGGATGTGGTGGTGGTTGGGTTTGACTTTCGGGTGGTGGTTTGGGGTCGGCCCCGTTCCGTGGTTCGGGCTTCTCCATCTTCTCGATGGAGAGTAGAGTACGGAGTATATGGTTACTCTTGTTCTGGTGATCGTTCTGGAACTTCTGGACTTCTGCTGGAGGAGTTCCTGCTCGTCTGTTGATATCATCCTTTCGACTTTTGACCATATCGTCACTACTTCCACAATCTTCCCCTCAGCCTCCTTCAGTCGATCATGGACTCTTTGACTCACATTCTGACTCAGAATACGGAGTAGTTAGCGAATTACCTAACTATCGCATGGCAATCTCCCAGCAACGGATCTGATCCTTGTAATGCTACCTAACTACGGAGTAGCATGACCCGACTAGCCAACGACCTGGCCCTGTCAACATGATTGAGAAGGACAAGGCTCAAGTCAACCAGCCGCCACCCTTCACCAACCCATTAGGCTCTCAGTGCTTACTATGGCGTACAACAGACGAGCATAGTGTGTACCAACAGCCTGACCCAGTACCAGGGAACCGCGGCGGACCTGTCAGCCTGCAACGGGGCGGGCTCCCCGAAGAGGGAAATGAAAGGACCATCTGCTGCATGGCGTCTCGTGTGCCTCGCTAGTTGCACTGCAGTTGGATTCCCAGGAAATGGGCGGTCCCGGTCGATCGAACCGGCCCTTCAGGCTGGCCTGCATCGATGGGTCTAGAGGCTGCCCTCAGCCTCTCAGCACGCTTGTTGCAGCAACTAGCCTTCGGCCTCCGTGGGCTATCGGGGCCTCGCGCTGATCAACTGCCCTCCTAATCCATCCTCCGGTCCTGGAACGCTTTCCTTCTACTTTTCTCCGGCTTCCTTCCCCTCTCCTCCCCCGGCAGGGGGCGCGAGGCTTTTTTCTCACTAGGCCAATGTGCGTCCCGACTATCCGGCTCAGCCGTTCGACTCATCCTCGCCCTCCTTTGGCACTCGCAAACCGTTGAGAATTCTCCGTGTTTGTGCCTCGGGGCTTAACCCGCCGCGTCACTCACGGCATATTCCGCCCTCTTTCTTTGCTTTTTCCTTGCCCTCTTGGGCCGAACCAGGACGATGAACTACTCACCTCACACGTGTCACTGAAGTTCGATCTCAGGACCCGTGGCTCATGTTCGACGGACTCGCATGACTTTTTGCCCATGGTTACAACTCCAGCAGGCAAACGAGAACCATTGCAGGAAGTGCTGCCCTAAGCTGATCGGGCGGGTGTTTGGCCTTCTCCTCCAGGAGAAGACCCTCTATAAACCCCGAACTTGATGCGCCGTTCCCTTCACCGACCCTCCAAGTCCGTCATGTCATGGCGGCAAAAGACCTCCAGCCGTTGGGCCAAGACCAGCCTCTGGTCGAGGTGGACGAGAATGAGCATGCGCAAAAGCAACCATGGACGATGCATCCGCAGCCCCATTCTGACCCGGACCCAGACTCCGCCGACGAGGACTTCATGTAAGGCCGCATCTGCTTCCCCAAGACTTCGGCCCTGTTCGGCGGGACCTACGGAGTACTAACCGCAACGACAGCAATGCCCACGAGGCACAACACATAGACTTCGTCGAGGAGAACGATCGCCGATACTGTAACGAAACCTATTACATGCCCAACGACGAAGCCGAACAAACCCGTCTGAACATCGTCCACCAGATCTACCTCATCCTGCTGGACGGCCATTTGACCGCTGCCCCCATCGCCACTGATGCACCGCGCATCCTCGACATTGGCACCGGCCCAGGGGACTGGGCCATCGAGATGAGCACCGCCTACCCCCACAGCACCATCATCGCCTCGGACATCGGCGTCTTCGACAACGGCCTTGGCCACGTCGACCTCCCCAACGTGTACTTCCACCTCGACGACGCCCGCAACGACTGGGCCTATCACACCCCCTTCGATCTCATCCATCTCCGCGGCCTCGCCGGTGCCTTCCCAGATTGGCCCTTCATCTACCAGCAGGCCTTCCACCACCTCGCCCCCGGAGGATATCTCGAGGTCGCCGATACCGACTTCGCCGCAGAGCCCGCCACCTCCCTGCCGGCCAATTCCTACCTTCGTCTCTTCTCCTCGGCTCTACGCTCCGCTGCCGAATCCGCCGGCTGTCTGCGCGACCTGACCCATCTCCAACCCGCTCTCCTCAGCGCCCACGGCTTCGTCGATATCCACGTCCACGAGTACACCTTCCCCATCGGTCTGTGGCCGGACAATCCCCATGACCGCACCCTCGGCAAAATGGGCCTCATTGCCCTCCTCGAGGGCCTCGAAGCAATCAGTCTGCGTCCGTTGACGGCTACCTACGGCTGGGTTGCCGAGGAGGTGCGGGATTTATGTGACCAGGTGCGTGCGGAGATTCTCGCCGGTGGATATCGAGTTCGGGCGAGCGTGCGAATCATCACGGGTCGGAAGCCGTTGGATGCGTAGTACCTCCTTACTGACCTACTGGGTTTTTGTTATTCATGACCACAATGAACCGACATTCAATAATACCATTGAACATAGAAACAGTGTTGGGGTGAACCTGATTTGATTTCTAAGGTAGGACTGCTCTCCGGGACTATCATGACATAACATGTTAGAAACCGGTATGCCAACAGAGGTACTATATCTCTCGGCCACAGGACTAAGACCGACAGTCAATGTCCTGGCATGATGGGGACATGACCCACCCACAATGGAGGCTAGATCAGATCAGATTCTCATGTATCTAATTCTATAGACAGCCCGCCAGTCGTGACTACCAGACGTGGTATCTCCATACATACATACATACCCTAATGGCTTAAATCAAGATAAGAAAAAAACAGACAGGCCCTTTTTGATCCTAACGCCGTCCGAACCCAATGCAGTCGAGCAACGACAAAAGGCTAGAAACATGAACAGAAATAGAGATAGCGAGACAATGATTTTGGGGGGGGGGGGTAGAAGGGTAAAGAAGAAAAGAAAAGGACAACATTAGAGCTGGAACTTCGTCCTCGTCTTCTCCATCCCACCCTTCCATTCCCATTCCTGTCCACTGGCCCGTTGAATACCTTTATCGACACGACGCAGTTTGAGGGTGAACCGGGGGCCGAGCTCCTGCATACCGGCGCGGATGCCCTCGGCGCCCTTCATCTCCTTGCCGTCCGCGCCGACGACGGCCTTCTCCGTCTCACGCTTCTCGCGGAACACGTAGCGATGGCGACGGAAGAAGAGGTAATCGCGGCTGTTGAGGACGGTGACCACCTGGCGACCCTCGATATCCGGCTGCGGGGGGAACAGGGTCCGGAACAGATGCGCGGTCAAGAGACCCAGAGGGGTGCGGAAGTTGTTCAGGATCAGCTCCGGCCAATGCTCCGTGGCGTTACCGTGGCCCGGAATACGCTTGCCCTCGACCCAGTTGGTCATGGAGAAGTGGAACATGGGGCCGGTGGGCAGATGCACGATGTCCAGCCCGGTGGGCTTCTTCTGGTCCTCGCGCAGGATGACCACGGCCGTGAAGTTGCGATTCGAGGCGAACTTGGAGATCTCGCGAATCGAGAATTGGTGCGCGAAACGGTGGCGCGAGCGACGCACGTAGACGGAGTTGGGGAACAGGTCTGTCAGGAGCTCGGCTTCGTGGTGCAGAGACGAGTTGAGCGAGGTGGTGATCAGGATCTTCGGGGAGACGGGCTTCTCGGTGTTGAATAGGGATGGGAATTTCGCGGCTAGGGCGTCCGGGACAGCACTGAGGTTCGTGCTCTTGGTGGATTGCGATGGACTGGTGGCGCGCTCGGTGGCAGACGGGAGGGCGGATTTGTGGCGTCCGCGACTGTCGTCCGTAGATTTCTTGGTGTTGTTGTCATCGTCGTCCTCGTCCTCGTCCTGCTCGTCCTCCTCGTCGCTGCTGGCGAGCATGCTGTCCACGTCGTCGTCTTCCTCCTCCGACTCTTCTTCTCCCTCCGAGGATTGCTCGTTCTCGTCCAAGGGCCGGTTCAACTCGTCTTCCTCCTCTTGCTTGCGCCGCTTGATGCGCTCAACATCCACACTCAGTCCCAGGCCATCCTCCACGTCGCTGTCGGCATCATCCCAGACACGCTTGCGGTCGATAGTCAGCGGGATGTTGCGCTTCAGCCGCTCCGCCTTCAGCTTGGGGTTTTTAGCTTCCTCCTTCTTGAATGCATGTCGCTCGGCGTGACGAGCGGCATCCTTGGCGCGCTTCCGCTTGATGTGAAGCATCTTGCGCTGGATCTTGTTGCGGGGCTTGACCTCCAGGCCGGCCGTCGGCGGCGGCCGGGACATCGACTTTCTGGAGACCATGGTGGCGGGTGGATGGCGGGGGAAAGGTTGAAGATGGAAGATGAACTTTTGGAGAGAATGATGCCGATTACCCAAACGGGGCAGCCAAAAAAATCTGGCGGATCAACTATTCTGCCGGCGGTGAGCCAGGGCTGGACTGCTTACCTCAGCGGGACTCGTGATGGTGGCTTTGGGCTGTTTGGTCTGCTTCTTGCAGCCCCCCCAATTAATCGCCCGCAGGGAATTGCCAGTCGAAAAAACGGTCGGCCAATCTCTTGGACCCTTCCAGCCCATTCCTTCCCCGCAATTGCATCGGCCACTCACCCCGGGTGGGTTGGTGAGAGGGCATCGCGCGCGCGCGCCAACGAGGGCGGATGAGTCACTGGCAAGCCCCGTGGCTGCGGCGCTTCTGTCGCGGCCCCTCGTTGTCTTTTCGTCCCCGCCGACAACTTCTTCCTTTTCGCGTGCCCCCCACTTGCGCAAGAAGCGACCCCAATTTCCACCCTCGTGCCTTCTCGTCCTCCCCCTCCGCTGCTGCCCGGTACCAGCTGCAATCCTCCCAGCAGAAAAAGAAATCCTCCAAAATGGCCTCCGTCACCACCAAGACCGGCCAGGTCGTTGACCGGTCCGTCTTGGACTCCATGCTGCGCCGCCGTCTCTTCTACACCCCCTCCTTCGAGATCTACGGTGGTGTCTCCGGTCTCTACGACTATGGCCCGCCCGGTTGCGCCGTCCTGAACAACATCGTCGATCTGTGGCGCAAGCATTTCGTCCTGGAGGAGGACATGCTGGAGGTCGACTGCTCCATGCTGACCCCGCACGAGATCCTGAAGACCAGTGGCCACGTCGACAAGTTCGCCGACTGGATGTGCAAGGACCCCAAGACCGGCGAGATCTTCCGCGCCGACCACCTGGTGGAGGAGGTACTGGAGAGCCGTCTCAAGGGTGACAAGGAGGCCCGTGGCCAGAAGGTCGAGGTGGACGAGGAGAAGGAGGCCAAGAAGAAGAAGAAGGTCAAGCAGACCAAGGTCGTCAAGCTGGATGATGCCGTCGTCAAGGAGTACGAGGAGATTCTGGCCCAGATCGACAACTTCGACGGTCCCGCCCTCGAGCAGATCATCGCCAAGTACGACATCCGCAACCCTACCACCGATGGCAACCTCCTGCCCCCCGTGGCCTTCAACCTGATGTTCCAGACCTCTATCGGACCCAGCAGCAACATGCCCGGCTACCTGCGCCCGGAGACCGCCCAGGGTCAGTTCCTCAACTTTCAGAAGCTGCTGGAGTTCAACCAGCAGTCCATGCCCTTCGCCTCCGCCTCCATCGGCAAGTCGTTCCGTAACGAGATCTCCCCCCGTGCCGGTCTGCTGCGTGTGCGTGAGTTCTTGATGGCCGAGATTGAGCACTTTGTCGACCCCGAGGGTGGCAAGAAGCACGCTCGGTTCGAGGAGGTCAAGGGCGTCGAGATGACCCTGCTCAACCGCGACATCCAGCTGTCCGGTAGCACCAAGACGGAGCAGATGACCATCGGCAAGGCGGTGGAGACCGGCCTGGTGGACAACGAGACCTTGGGTTACTTCCTGGCTCGTATCCAGCTGTTCCTGCTCAAGCTGGGTGTGGACCCCAAGAAGCTGCGCTTCCGTCAGCACATGGCCAACGAGATGGCCCACTACGCCGCCGACTGCTGGGATGCGGAGTTGCAGACCAGCTACGGCTGGATCGAGTGCGTGGGCTGCGCCGACCGCAGTGCCTACGATTTGACCGTGCACAAGAACAAGACCGGCGCCCCGCTGGTCGTCCGTGAGACCCGGGCCGAGCCCCTCCGGGTGGAGGAGTGGCAGATCGACCTGGACAAGAAGAAGTTCGGTCCCCGCTTCAAGAAGGATGGCAAGAGCGTCACGGCCGCCATCGATGCGCTGTCCCAGGAGCTCCGCGAGAAGCTCGCGCTCGACCTGGAGCAGACCGGCAAGATCGAGGTCGAGGTGGAGGGTGTCCCCACTGGCAAGGTTGAGCTCGACAAGGAGCTGATCAAGATCGAGAAGCGCACCCGCGTGGAGAATGTGCGCGAGTACACGCCCAATGTCATCGAGCCGTCCTTCGGTATCGGCCGTATCCTGTACAGCATGATTGAGCAGGTCTACTGGTCCCGTGAAGGCGATGAGGCCCGTGGCGTATGTCGATCTCTTATTCCCCCTCTACTGCACCAGATGCTAATATAATGTCTAGGTTCTATCTTTCCCCCCTGCGATTGCCCCCACCAAGGTGCTGATCGTTCCCCTGTCGACGCACTCGTCCTTCGCGCCCCTGGTGCAGCGCATGACGACCAAGCTGCGCCGGATGGGAGTGTCGAACCGGGTGGACGACTCGTCGGCCAGTATCGGCAAGCGGTACGCGCGCAACGATGAGCTGGGTACGCCCTTCGGTGTGACGGTGGACTTCCAGTCCGTCAAGGACAACACCTTCACGCTGCGCGACCGCGACACGACCAAGCAGGTGCGTGCCAGCGAGGACGAGATCGCGCAGGCGATCAAGTCCCTGGTGGAGGGCGAGGAGACCTGGGAGGATGTGCGCAAGCGCCTGCCGGAATTCACCGGTCAGGAGGTGGAGTAAGCGGCGAATGGGATTATAAAACGGTGCATGTTAGAGACCGCCGGATGTGCGGCCATAGAGGGTCACGCAATATACGGTGATATCGTTCTAGATGCTTCTGTAGGGCGTAGTGGTACATACTCGTAAGTAGAGCCGCATCCCGGCCGATCGCCAAGAGATGCTCCGCGGCCGCCCGTCTCTCCGTCTCTCCGTCATGCTGGCTTCTTCTGCCTCTCTTCTCTCCTCTCTTCGGTGCATCACCCCGTCCGTTTCGCCGCCACGTCTGCCATTCGTCTCCCTCCTCCGATCGACCCGTGCTCAGTCAGTCTGGGCCCCGCCAGCATGGCTCCCACGATCCCCTCGGCCAAACTGACCCTCTCGTGCCCGCTCTTTGCCGCCGACTTCGACCCGCGCAACCACGGCTTTCTGCTGGTGGCTGGTGGTGGAGGCGAGGGCCGCAGTGGTGTCGGTAACAAAATCGCAAGTCTGCCCCGTGGCTCGTGCTCATGCTCATGCTCGTGCTCGTGCTCCCACCGCTACAAGACTCCTAGTGCTGGCTCCCTCCAGCTAACCCCCCAGCGCCCTGCAGGTCCTCCTCGATACCTCCAAACGCCAGGAGATCTCCGAAGTCGTCGATATCGAATTGTCGCGCGATGAGGACTCGGTCACCTCCCTCGCTGCCGCCCAGGCCACCGACGACGCGATAGTCGCCCTGGCCGGCATCAACAGCTCCGTCGCGGAGCAGAAGCGCGACAACAACCAGCATCTGCGATCCTTCCGCATCGATTATCCTCCCCGGAAATCCAGCTCCTCCAAAGGCAAGAAGAAGAAGAAGGCCGCCGCGTCCACAGCCCCTGGGAAGACCACGCCGCTCTCCCGGGCGTCGCTCTTCCGCACCATCAAAGGCACCAAGGCCTCGTCCGACACCTACCAGCGCACCCTGCGCCTCTCCTCATGGAAACCCGACTCGAAATCCCCACGAGTCGCGGTCATTGCAACCGGCCTGGCCCCGGCCGGTGAGATCGTCTTCTTCAGCGCCACCTCCACCCCCAGTGCATCCGACGTCATCGGACGAATCCGTCTCAACAGCGACGAGGAGGCCGAGGACGTCGACATCACCGATCTGGTCGGCGAGGGCCAGTTCCGCGTCGCCTACACCAACGGCATTGACGTCTGCATCTGCCAGATATCGGCCGACACCCGCTCCAACGCCTCGCCCGACGTGCAATGCGTCTACACCACGCCCTGGCCCGAGAAGGGACCCCGGACGAGACCCAAATTCCGGGCCCTGCGCTTCCTCTCTCCCACTACATTGCTCCTCCTCCAAAACGCCCCCGACCGCAAGGGCTGTGAGCTGGTCCTCCTGGATCTCCGCCCGGCCATTTCCGACAAAAACAGCACCCCCGCAGGCAAGGCAACCATCGTGCGCCGCAAGAAGCTCCGCAAAACCATCAAGATCGGGCTCGGCCTGGACATCTGCAACCTGGGCCCCAGCTCCGACCCGGACAACCAGCAGCAGCAGGCTGTGGTCGCGATCTCCGGCAGCGACCAGTCCCTCGAGCTCCTGACGCTCGACTTCAACCCGACGACCCATCGCTACGGCGCGCTCCAGCATTTCGCCTCCCTCCGCGACGTCCACCCCTTCTCCATGACCAAACTCTGCTTCTCTCCCTTCCACCCTCCCTCCCATCCCGTCACCCCCGAAACCCCTCCGCAATACATCAAACTGGCCTCGGTCAGCATGGGCAACACGGTCGTCGTGCACACCCTCCCCCTCTCCCCCTGTCCCCCCTCCAGCCGCTATCCGCGCTACGTCCTCTCCATGCCCGGCGAGTCCGAGATCTGGACCAACCTCACCAGCGGCGTCGCGGCCCTCCTCTCCATCCTCATCGTCTGCTTCGTCCTGCAGGCCTTCACCGAAATCCGCGGCGTCATGCCCCCCTACCTCGGCGCCACGGACTGGTTATCCCCCAGCATCCGCGACGCCGTCGCCCGCCCATACTATGTCCCGCCTCCTCTTGCGTCCCCATCCCCAGAAACCACCCTAGACACTCCACCTCAAGTCCGCACCCTCCACGACCTCGTCACCTCCTCCCAACAACCCCTCCTGATCCACTGCAACCCAGAAACCAACACCCTCCTCATCGACTCCGCAGACCCCATTGTCGCGGCGGAGTCCTCCGATTCCAGCACCCAGCATCAACATCACCGCTGGGAAGACCTCTCCTCGGCGACCCGTCACCGCTGGATCCATCAGCTCACACACGCAGGCTACGAGCCATCTGCGGACGACACCGAGTCGATCCTAGATGGCGTGTTATTCGGGGCCGAGTGTCCGGAATTGCCCATTGAGGAGGTTGTTTGATTCCTCGCTCGTATGTTCTGATTGCTTGTTGCTTAATGATTGTCTCCCTGTTAAGGAGCGGGGGATGGATGTAAGTGGGAGGTTTCGAGGTTGATGATTAATGGATGATGGACGGTTAGATGAAGTCGGGTATCATACTGTTTGCTTATTGTGGGCAATGCTTGGATGTGGTGGTGGTTGAGATCATGGATTGCGGAACGCGGGGCAGTCTTCTTGTCATGTTCGATTCGATTACTATACTATACCTACGATTGTACGCTATTATTGACCGTGTCACATTCAACTGTACTATTATCATGGACCCTGGGCCTGGTGGTGCTTATTATTATCACAGAAGAAGAAAGTATTCTCTTGGGTAGGTCCCCCTCGCTCCAAGTGCCCTCTTCTAGCTCCCTCCATGGAGCTGCATTAGCAGACGATCATGTAGTTCTTTTTTTCGGACATAGCTGCTCGCTATGCCCCCAGTATTCCATCATGGACTCGTCAATCAAAACAGACATAGGCAGGTACATGAGGGCAACAAAATTTTTAATGCACGTCCGTATGCCGGAGCGTCCCAACTCATCGGTCTTCAGCTCTTGATCGTCTTTTGGGGTTTTGCCCGATTGATCTCTTTTCGTCTTTCTTTCTTCTCTCTTTCCTTGATTTTTCTTTTCTTCTCTTCTTTCTTCTTTTCCCAGTACAGCCGAAGACACCAGCCGACACATCATCAGGTGCGGTTTCGCTTCGCCGGCCCGGTCCAGATCATCGGTAGGAGCAGAACCGCACAGCGGAAAGGGGCCGGTAACAAGATTATTCACGAATGTAAGGAGAAGAGGAACGAACCACAAAGGGGGAATAGACACCAAGATGAACGCCAAATTATCCATGCCGAGTCCGCAGACGACAAAGCTGTGCAGTGAGGATATCACAAGAAGAAATTGAGTGGCAATGCAGGTCGTTAGGGAGCAGCAAAATCAACCGGAGGCGCGTAAATGTGACCCATATGTGCGTGAAAACAAGATCTGGTGTAAATCATAAGAGGAACAAGACGACCCGGGGCGAGTCGGTGGCTATCATCCCTCCACGGTCAATCACTGGCTGTTCTTCTTCCAACGGAGCAACTCCGCCAGGCTCGCAAGGCTGCAGCCCAGCTTGAGGAAATCATGGGCCAACAGCTCATCAGCGGTGGCACGGCTGCGCACATCAACACAGAGACAGACACTGAGGAAAGATTTGAGTTCCTTGCTAAGCTTCTCCGGCTTCTTCAGGCGAGGAGTGCCATTGGTGGCGATGAGGTACAGCGCTTTGAGCGGTTCCTCGTTCAGATACGGGGGCTCCGATTCAATCATCTCAATGGCCATGATACCCAGTGACCAGCAGTCCACCTTGGGGCCATACTCCTTCTGCTTCACCACCTCGGGCGCCATCCAGTAGGGAGTACCGACCATGGTGGCTCGCTTGCTCTTCGATTCGGTAAGCTTGGCGCAGAATCCGAAATCAGCTAAGAGGTTGTTAGGATCTCTTTTCCTCATTCCAACCAGCGTATAGTCAAAGCTACTCACTAATCTTAACATGACCCGCCCGGTCAAGAAGGACGTTGTCACTCTTGATATCACGGTGGATGATGTTCTGGCTGTGCAGGTGAGCCAATCCTTTACAGGTCTGGAAACAAATTCGTGTTAGCATCATGACCCGGGGCTTCGCTCGCATGACGTTCTGCATGCACATACCTCTGCACAAATCGTAGCAATCTGGTCTTCCTGGATCAACGGGTTGTTGTCAATGACATCCGTAAGCGCGCCACCTTCCATGAATTCCATGACGACCCATAGCTCGTTGCTCTGCTCCTGCAGGAACGAGTCAAGGAAGTTGACAATGTTGGCGTGCTGGCTATCCTTCATAACGATGATCTCATTGACAATGAGCTCCTTCCGTGGCTGGCTACGCAAGTCCATCTGTTTAATCGCCACCTGGGTTCGAGGGCCATACTGGCGGTAGAGCTCCCGTGCGACACCAGAAGTGGCATGCTCCTTAACGCGTGCCACGTACACGGATCCGGAGGCACCCTGTCCAATCTTGCGCTGCTTGCTGTAGGACTCATTCGGGTTGTCCTTGGAAACTACCGACCTCAGTCGATCCATAACCTCGTTCTCGCTCATGGCCGACATGCGTACTTCCCTCTGGCGTGGCTCCGCCTTCTTACTGAGAGCAGCCTCGGCCTGGCGGACCCCATCAGGGACGTTGGTCTTGCTGGTCGCCTGTTTGTTTGCAATGTTCAGGGGCTTCACAGGCTGAACCGGAGCAGGTAGCTTGCTGGGGGGCGGACCCTGAGCCGGCTGCGCCTTAGCGCCATTGTTCTGGACCCGCGCGGGGGATTGAGCTTGGGTCGGGTGTCTGGAGCTCGGGGAGGATTGTTCAGGCCTTGCGGAGCCGTTGGCAGTCGGAGGCGACGGCGCAGGGCGTTGGGCAGTCAGCTGGCGCGAAGGGTCCTGGCGAGAGGAGCCAGGTGCCTGCGGAGCTGGACGGCTTGGCTTATAACGGTCATCAGACGACGACGGGCCGTAGCCACCAAGTTCCTGCTTAGCCAGAGGAACGCGGGTCTTGGGCAAGGAGGCATTGTACGCTTCCTGTTCGAGCCGGTTCTGCTCCTCTTCCCGCTGGCGAGCGCGACGAGACTCTTCCTCCACCCGGCGACGCTCCTTATCCGCAAGTTCGTTCATACGCTCCAACTGATGCTGCTGCTCCAAGGCACGGTCGGAGTCCGACTTAGCCTGCACAGGAGACGAGGCAGCGGAGTGGCTCGAGTATGACTGGCCACCGCTGTCCAGACGCTGCGCGGGAGCTGGCGGCGGGGGTCTCGGAGGCGCAATTGAACTTCCCACGGACCCGCTGTTGAAGGGCTTTGCTTGCTGGTTCGGCGGGGAGGACAGTCCGGCATAATACTGAGGGTTCTGTTCACGCATCTTGATGTCGGAATAGAATTCCAGAACCTCGATGACTGCCTGGGGGTTCTTCTTGTAGTCTTCCTTGGTGATTGCGGACGCGGTTAGGAGCTTCTCCCACTCCGGCGGCAAGCCCACGAAGGCGCCTGTGCGCGGATCGAATCCGACATGGACACGATGGCTAAAGTTTGTTGGGTTGCTCACCCCTCCCATGCCGGGGCAGCGTTCGTAGATCTTATCGATCCAGTCGTAGATCTCATCATCGCTCTTAACTTCACAAGTGATGCTCTTGGTGGGCACATCACGGGTGATCACGGCGGCTTTGGAGGTCGCATCCTTGGGATTGGCGAGACGGATGATTTCAAAGGCCATGCGGGTATCCTCCGATCGAGAGACGCCCGTGACCGCCGTCAGGGGGATGGACAACACGATCTTCCCAGTCTCATTCTTGAGGAAATCGAGGCGGAATTCGCGCAGGATCAGGTATCGTTGGTTCCAGGTCGCCAGAAACTTGTCTTCCTTGCAGCGAACATACCCCTCCTTGATCACGGTGACACCTCCCCCGGCCGACTGCTCGGTCTTGGTGCGCGTGAGCGTAGGGGTGCTCGTATTGGGGAACAGAGACAGATTGGCCGGACCGGGGGTACTGGGAGAATTCAGGTTCATCTGGCTGAAGGAGGTGGCCACGTTGGAAGGGTTGGAAGGCAGGTTGAGCGTTGGGCGATCGGCTGGGGGGCGAGGGGCAGGCCCCGGATTCATAAACTGATCTGGGGAGTACATTGTAGTACTGCGGCCGCGTCAGCAGCGCCCGGAAGAACCACAGGCAAGAACCTGTAAAGGATCGAGGTTGAATGCGAAAGGGGTGGGTGTGAAGAACAGAAGCAAAAAGGAAAAAGACCGGCTCACTTTTCGTAGGAGGCCATTTAGCTGGGCCGGGGTGGAAACCGAGACGCGGAACGCCCGAGGAGGGGAAGGGGGGGAGAGGGGGGTTCCTCAGGGGGGGAGGAAGCAGTCAATCAAGTTCACGGAGCAACGTGAAAGGGCGGCCCCGACAACACACCCAGGCTACTGCAAATCACTGCAGGGTGGTCAGCAAGCGAACTGTGGCATGCGCAAGGCTGGGTCTGTCATTTTGCGACCCGTGGACGGGGAAGAGCCTCCTGTCCAAGGGATCGATCTATAATCCACCCGCCAACCGACGGGTAGATCGAGATAGGATAAGGAATATGAACATACCTTAGCGGTATAGATAGGCTTTTCCTCAAGCAATCAGCAAGAGGGAAGCCTCGCGCCCGCGAGGAAGCTCCGAGCGTGAAAGGCACGTCTCGAAGGTGGCTACCTCGTCGTCCAGGCGCGGTGAGACCAGCGGTACCAAATGGGGGCGGAAGTGCGAAGTACGCAATGCAGCAAGATGCAGACAACGGGATGAGGGGAGACACACGAGGCGTGCCGGAAATAACGAGCTGGATGGAAAAGAAGAAGGCGGCGGTGCCACAAACAAATGAAGGTCACCGGCCAAGGGAACAGAGGGGTGGATGAGGAAGAAAGGGCGGGCGTGAAAGGAAGAGAGTGAGAGTGTGAGGGAAGAGAAGGAGCTCCAAGAGAAGGCGGCAAAAAGGGAAGGCCGGTCGTTAACAAAAGGCACTCGAGGTTTCACCTCCCGCGGCTCCCAAGGGGCGCGTGGCTCGCTATCGGGGATACACAAGCCCTGAGGGTTGGTTCTCAAAGGTGAGGCAGTTCACCCAGAAACCCCCAAGAATAATAATGGTGTAGAGAAGGAAGAGGAGGAAGAGGAGGAGGAAGAAGATGAAGATACTACGGAGTACGGTGACCCAAGATACTACTGACCACTACTGACTGGCCCCCCCTGGAATCAGTATGGCACTCACGCCTGTCTACCATAGGATCACCAAACAACGAGCGATGGGTCCTTGACTTTCATCATAATGGATTGTCGTGGGATGTCTTGGAGGTTTCATATACAAAGCTAAATTCTACGCAGTCAAGCCTCCCGATCCCACCGATGCACGACCATCACTTCCCAAAGACCACCCAGGACCACACAGCCCTCACTTGAGACCGTGGAAGGGAACCCCTGGGGTTGTTGTCGACCAGTGCGAATCCAATTGGGTGGATGCGATATCACATCAAACCCGCCAGGGTTTGGTCAGTGTGGATGAAATGGCCCCCGGGCAGTGCATATTAGACAGCATTACTGGGGCTAAGGGAGTAGCAGTAGTTGATACTCCATGCTATGTACTGCGTGTAAGTGATAACAGCCACAGGTTTGGAAACCCCTTCCTTGTTTCTACTGCCTATAGTACACCGTTGATACTATCTATGTAGATAGATTAAGGGGACCCAATATACGTACGCCAGAAAACTCTCCACTCCGATCCAGATGCCGGACTTCGGATTGATTAATGGGCAGGAGACCATTACATCACCCGCGGATGGGCCCGATGGCCATAGAATGATACCGATGGGTCTCTCGCTCGCCCTCTGAGGCTATTCAGGGCTGGGTCTCCTTGCGGCGCCAGACCGTCGTCCCACAGGCAGGTCAGTAAACAAAGAATCCCAATACCTGTATGGGCCGCATTGCAGCCAGTCAACAGCGGATGCACACCCGGACTGAATCCCGGTCAATAAGGGAATCGTTTTCCCCAAGGATCGCAGTGAGCGGCCCACGGGTCGCTGGGCCAGAGGGCCGAAAGAAGGGAGAGGCCCACCGCCGGCCCTGATTCCCGCCCCTTTTTCAGGGTAACCAACAGTGAGTGCCCAGATGGCGATACACAGTAGATACTCCGATAAATGTATCTTCATATGAATCGATCAGAAGTCTGGGCAGATCACGTTTCCGTGCATGCCATCATAAAACTTCTGGGATATGGGTACAGATTGAGTCAAATAATATGTTAGGTCGTCACCCCCAAGGCTAGCCAGCCATCCTCCGTATCTACTTATCTTATCACCGCTCCTCTCCAAATGGATGGTTGAACTTCAGCAATCCATTCAACCCTCCCACCCATCCATCGTGCGCCTCTCCGCCCGTGATCCTTCGCATTACACATGGCACACCCCCTTGCCATTCATTTTTGCCATGACGCATCTCCTCGTCCCATACTCGCGCCTCCATCCCCGCCGTCAACCCTTGCCCCAGGTTCACCCCGTCTATGCTAACCTCCAGCTCGCGGCTCCTGTTTTTCTCGCTCAGTCGTAATGTGATTGGGGTACTGGACGGCAGTACCAAGGGCCGGAAGCTCAGGCTTCGTGCACAGATCGGGGTCAGCAGAACCGCTGGAACGAGCGGGTGCACAATGCTGCCACCACTGCTCAGACTGTATGCCGTGCTACCCGTCGGTGTTGAAATGATGATTCCGTCGGCCACGGCCTCCGTCAGGAACCGGCCCCCAACATAGACGTCCAGCACAGCCAGATGTGGTTCCTTGCCTCGATGCAGAAGCACCTCGTTCATCACATACGCCCCCTGTTTGTCCAGGCTGTTTGGCATGCCGGCCGATTTGGATTCTCGTTGTACCGGCTGACCATCTGCAGTGAACAGTCCGACCTTGAGCCGATTGCGCATCAAGATCCGAGCCCCGCGCGTCAAGCCCATCGACTTTCCTCGCACCGACGACCATCCAGTAGGGCCCGCTCCGAGTTCCAGCGACTCCTCGTCAGAGGTTGGTTGGGGGTCACCCAGCACCGTCGCGCGATCCCCAACTCCTGCACCAGACATGTATACCTCGCGAAGTGCGCGCTTGTATTCGGCAAACTTCCATTCGCTTAGGAACCCGAGGGTTCCCATGCTGAACGACAATACCGGGGGCACATTGTAGCACGTGGCAAACAAGGACGAAGCATGCAAAATCGTCCCATCTCCCCCTAGCGTAACGGTGAGATCTACCTTGTCATGCAGGGCCGGCCGTAGTTGGTCTAGAGAGGCGGAGTAAACCGGTGATTGAAGTGATGAATGTACCTCCTCTGCGACACTGGGTTCTAGAATGATCGAGGTCGATGGATAGGTAGACGTCGCGTGACTAGATTGTTGGCGAGTGGTTAGCGCACAGTGCTTCTCGGTCACTCAGTATCAGGTCCCCGTACTTGGCAAATTCAATTAGGGATGTGGTGACAGCAGGCGCATAGTCCTTCTTTACGACGAAAATATTTCGCGGGGGAGCTGGCCATTGGAGGGAAAGAAGATCGCCCACTTGGGATTCTGCTCGGGGCACACGAACCGGTCAGCACACCACCGGAAGGCTTCAGGGGGTTTCTGCAGACCGCACTGCATTGACGCACACCTTGATATTTAGGTATCAGACGCTGTGGGAGCAGCCCGACATCTCTAATCTCGTAGCGTTGTGAGGAAGAGGAGAAGCTCCGTGTCCAAGGTATCCGACTCGGGCTCCCGAGTCGGGTGAGCTGCAGTCGCATGGTCGGGAAATGCATTTAGTGTAGGATGTGACTCCGAAGGGTCATGTACGCTGTTTCTAGAACACATTCGTTAGCTTACTTGAGGTGTGGAGCCCCATCCGGACGAAAGCGCTCACTCTATCAAGCCTAGGTCTCATTCATTGTCCCAAACCAGCATGTGCGAATTCAGCTTTGGCCTGACATGCAGGATTAGTTCAGCGGGGAACACAGCTGCATCTATGTGTTTAGAGTGCTAGTGATGTCCGTCGTATTCAATCTAAGCAAATGACCTGCAGGAAAGGACAACCAAAGTAGTCAATCTAGTTAATACAATCTATGTTGATAAATTATGCGTCACAAGCAGAAACCCCAGGATCTTCGCTGACCGCCTTGGAGTGACGTAGTGGTCCAATGGTGACTGGAGCCTCCGATCATGCGCCCCAGGCTCCCAGCTCCGTCCGGCTCAAGCTTCCCTCTCCCTCTTCCCCTCCATGCGCTGGCCAGGAACCTAAGCTTCTCCTCCTAGCGCTCCGAGCATGGCTTGAAACTGTATATTGTTGCCTTACCTCTCTGTTAATATTATTAACCGACTGCCTCTTCCCTTCAGTACGACCACCAGGCCTTCCCCGGCCGCTTCGCTTCCTCCCACCGGGTTTTCGGGAGACACCGCTCTTCTTGGTACAGTTGCTGCATCTGGTCGGGACTGCTCGCGTGATCATGGCTCAGGAAAGCTAATCTGTACCCGATCCAGTACCATTAACTCTAGAACTTTATCCCCCGTTAATAAGTCGGCTCGCAGTCCCATCGTTTTATTCCTCGTCGCCGACAATAGAGCTAGATCATCATGGATACTTCCGAGCTTCGACAACGGAAGTATGATTCCCAACTCAATCACACCACCGCTTCAAAGGAACAGCTCCCAAATCACGATGCGGAGCCTCGTTTGAAACATGGCATCGCAATGCAACTTCTCCGCTCCCTACTCCTGGCAACATGGTTTAACTGTTGCTGCGTTGCCATCTTAGCGACCCAGGTCATCGGCTCTCCGCTATACGTGATTAACAAAGACTGGTACTACTCGTACATGGCATACACGAAGCAGTCCTTCGGCCTGGTCATCACGGCTCTCACTCAGTGGGGTTGCCCGACCTTTGTACGAGTCAGTGGGGACAAGAGCGTACGGGGCCAGATCCACATCGCAGAGGATGGACGCCTGAAGACACAATTCCCGGAGCGGCTAGTGTTAATCGCCAACCATCAGGTGTATACAGATTGGATCTATCTGTGGTGGGTGGCATATACGAATGCGATGCACGGCCGCATCTTTATCATCCTGAAGGAATCTCTCAAGTATATTCCTATTATCGGCCAAGGAATGACCTTTTACGGCTTTATCTTCATGGCTCGCAAATGGCTGTCCGACAAACCACGTCTGCAACATCGCTTGGAGAAGCTGAAGACCCAACACACGGGTTCTCAGTCCGGGTCACCGCAATATGACCCCATGTGGCTATTGATCTTCCCCGAGGGGACGAACCTCTCTATCAACACCAGGCGACGGAGCGCAGAGTATGCAAAGAAACAGGGACTGTCTACATTGAAACATGAGATTATTCCCCGTTCCACCGGTCTGTTTTTCTGTTTACAGCAGCTGCGAGGGACTGTGGAATGGGTCTATGACTGCACCGTAGCTTACGAGGGACCTCCGTAAGTATTGAATGCGCCCCATGCAATAGACGCTGAGCATATGACTGACTACTATGACTTCACCCAACAGAAAGGGCAGCCTTCCTGACAAATACTTTACTCTTCGGTCTACTTATCTGCAAGGGCGGCCGCCGACCTCTGTCAACATGCACTGGAGACGGTTTGCAGTGTCCGAGATTCCTTTGGATGATCAGCAAGAGTTTGACGCGTGGCTCCGAGAACTCTGGACTGAGAAAGACCAACTGCTTGAGGAGTATTATGAGACGGGGAGATTCCCGTCCGAACTGGCCGGCTCCATCGATGTCGGCCATGGACCCGAGGAGCGGAGAACTGCCGCGGCTGCAGGGTATGCTGAGACGCATGTGCGGTTGGGGCACTGGGCCGAGGTTGGACGGATCTTCATGGTGCTGGTGAGCGCTGTGTTCCTCTGCAAACTGCCTAAGCTGTTGGGGTTCTGATGCGGAGATTCATCTCTTGGGCGTTGGGTTGACTTTGCCGTTATGTGCTATGACCGACACTCTTACTGAACGTTACATGACACGAGAAGATGCGTTTCGAGTACTATTGTTATGATTATTGTTACTGGCGTGATAGGGTTGGCCAGGATAGATACCTCTCCTCTTCGTTTTTGGTGTTTCGATCGTCTTTGTTCCTGAAAGTACTATAACTATATAGCTTTCCGGAGGGTGAATGGTCCAAACGCCCTGGACCAGTAATAGAAGAGACATACACTCAGATTTTGCATACTGTTTCCTGTCTATTCCGCATATGAGTGAATAACTTCGAGGAGGTCACTACTAGTACCATCTAGGCTGTCCAACTTGCTATGGACCTGGTGTTGAATACTAGCCACAGGCGGTGGCGGTGTAACACTCGGCCCGGCCAGCCTCGCGCCGCTCCTCCAACGGAGCAGCGCTTCCCCATCCCGACGAGAGCATCCAACTGAGCCTGCTGCGACCGCAGACTTTGTTGTGTCTCCGGCTACTGCAATCCTCGGAGCGTTCTTCTTGCTCGTATCTCTGGCAAGAAGTCACTCTTCCACCTCTCCCCGCTCACTCCTCACCCACCTGATTGCATCCCGAACATGAGTTGAGCTGAACCACTTCCCAAGCTCCTTTCACCTCCGATCAGTCGCATCTTCCCCCTCCGTCCCCATCTCCATTACATTGCTCAAAGCACTACCCGCGCAAGCCATGGCGTCTCTCCAGAATGGTCACGCCAATGGCACGAATGGCGATTCTCTTTCGGCCGCCAACCCAGTGCCCAATCTTCGTTTTTCTGACATTCCCTCCGCCATCGACATTCCCGCGTCCACCCTCGACAGTGAAGTCGAGGTTAGCCTGGAGATTCTCCCGGATGATCCTACCGAACTCTGTACGCTACTCGAGAACGAGAAAGCGGCCAAGAATTTCTGGGTCACAATTGCACTGGCGTATGCCAAGCAGAAACAACTGGATCATGCCATCGACATCCTAAACAAAGGCCTCGCCTCGGTCGCCCATGGAGCCACCAAGGAGAAACTCGGCCTGCTGGGATGGGTCTGCTGGCTGTTGATGCTTAAGAGCAGACAGGCCCCCCGCGTCGCATCCGAGGGAGAATTGTACACCGAGGCCAAGACGAAGGACCACTATCTCCAACTCGCGACTTCGACCCTGAACGAGGCTTCGCGACTGAACCCGGCCTTTCCCCCTCTGTTCCTTGCGCGAGGTGTCCTGTCGCTGCTGCGCGCTTCGCTGCACCCACCACGCCCTGTACGTCCCGGCACGGTTGATACATCCGAGAGGGTGGAGTCGCTGCGGCAGGCCCTCAAGTGTTTCGATGAGTCGTCCAAGGCTTTCGGTGGTCGGAATGTGATGGCTATTCTTGGCCGCGCGAGGACGCAATACCTGCTTGGACGATATGGCGAGGCCCTAGAAGGCTACCAGAAAGTATTGATGAAGATGCCCGGCTTGACAGACCCCGACCCGCGCATCGGTATCGGCAGTTGCCTGTGGCAGCTGGGCTTCAAGGAACAGGCAAAGGCTGCTTGGGAGCGGTCTTTGGCATTGGTGAGTGGGATGCATATTTGATTTGCGTCGAATCCGTGTTTACTGACTGCTTGACCTTTTTTTGCGCAATAGAACCCCGACTCGAAGGTTGCCAACATCCTCCTTGCAGTATACTATCTCTACGACAGTTCACGACACGCCACGACGGACCCCGCCTTCGGTTCGTTGTACAAGGTGGCAATGACCCAGTACACACAGAAGGCATTTAAACTGGACAAGGAATACCCTATGACATGTTCTTTGTTCGGCAGCTACTTCCTCCTCAGGAAGTCCTACGCCACGGTCGAGACACTGGCCCGCAAGGCCATCGAACACACCGATGTGATGCAGATTGCTAGCGATGGCTGGTATCTGCTTGGCCGAAAATCCCATTACGAAGGCGACCTGACACGTGCTGCAGAGTACTACAACCGCTCCGACCAGGCTCGTGGCGGTGGTGAGAAAGGATACCTCCCCGCCAAGTTTGGCACAGTGCAGATGCAAGTGTCCAGTAAAGATTATGACGGAGCCAAATTCCGGCTCGAGAAGATCATCCAGCAGACAAAGAACGCCGAATGCATGGTGCTTCTCGGCGCGCTCCATGCGGAGGAGGTCTTCGCGGCCCAGGCGAGTGGCAGTAAGGAAGATAAGTCGGCCGAAACGAAGAAGGCCATCAACCTTTTGGAGTCTGTTCGCGCTCTTTGGAAGGATGAGAGCAAAAAGATCTCCCCCGACGAGTCGGTTTTGGTGTACCTAGCACGGCTGTACGAGCAGACGGCGCCTGAGAAGAGCATGCAGTGCCTCACTCAGCTGGAAGAGATGCAGCTGGCAGAAGTCGCTGAGGAGGAGCGCCCTGAAGGCCTCGAGGATGAAGAGCAAGTCAAGGAGGCTCTCCGCGTCCACCTTCCCCCGCAGCTTCTCAACAACATGGGGTGCTTCCTGTACCAGGCCGAGAAGATCGACCGAGCCCGGGCCATGTTCCAGACGGCGCTAGATGCCTGCGTTCGATCGCAGGAGAAAGAGAGCGAGCTGGACACCGATGCGCTGGTTACCACCATCAGCTTCAACCTGGGCCGGACGTACGAGGCAGCCGACATGCCAGAGGAGGCCAAGAAGGTGTACCAAGGTCTTTTGGAACGCCATTCCGACTACACGGAAGCCAACGCGCGGTTGACGTACATTGCCCTTCGCCAGAGCCCTACCGATGAAGGTCCTAAGAAGATGGCCAAGCTCTACGAGGCTGACTCGACCAACCTCGAAGTCCGCGCCCTGTTTGGCTGGTATCTGAGCAAGTCGAAGAAACGTGCGGCCAATCTGGCAGAGGATCACGAGCAGCGACACTATAAACATACCCTGCAATATTACGACAAGCATGATCGGTACTCGCTAACCGGCATGGGTAACATCCACCTGGCGACGGCGCGCGACATGCGGCGCGATACCGATCAGGACAAAGAGAAGCGTCGCAAGATGTACGAGCGGGCCGTGGAATTCTTTGACAAGGCGCTTCAGCTGGACCCCCGCAACGCCTACGCGGCGCAAGGCATCGCCATCGCGCTGGTGGATGACAAGAAAGACCACGCCTCAGCGGTACACATCTTCTCCAAGGTCCGGGATACGTTACGAGATGCAAGTGTCTACCTGAACCTGGGTCATGTCTACGCGGAGCTGCGGCAATACACCCGCTCGATCGAGCACTACGAGGCTGCACTGTCGAAAGACCGTGCTCGCGATGCGCAGATCCTGGCCTGTTTGGGTCGAGTCTGGCTGGCCAAGGGCAAGCAGGAGATGAACCTGCAGGCGATGAAGACCGCCCTGGACTACGCGCAGCGCGCCCACGCGGTTGCCCCCGGCCAAACCCATCTCGAGTTCAACGTTGCCTTCGTGCAGAACCAGATCGCCTCGCTCACGTACGGTCTCCAGGAAACGCAAAAGACCGTGCAGGACGTGCAGGAAGCGGCAGAGGGTCTTCACCAAGCCGTGGAGACGTTTAACCGGGTTGCCCAAGCGAAGAACCCGCCCTACCCGGCTAGCGCGTTGGAGCAGCGCGCAAACATGGGCCGAACGATCATCAAGCAACTCGAGCGTGCCCTACAAAGCCAAAAGGACTACGAGGAGAAGAACGCCGCCAAGCTACAGCAGGCCCGGGAGGCCCGTGAAGCGGAGATGCGACGACGAGAGGAAGAGGTCCGCAAGGCACAAGAAGCCGAACGGGAGCGGAAGCAGCGCGTGGCTGAAGAGCGTCAGCGGATGATTGAAGAAGCGCAGCGGCTAGCGGAGCAGCGGGCAGAAGAGGAACGCGCGCGCGAGGACGCGGAAATGACGACGGAGTCGGAGACGGGCACCAAGGTCAAACGCAAGAAGAAGACGTCGTCGAAGCGCAAGAAGAAGCGCAACGAGGATGACTTCATCAACGACGGTGGCGACTCCCCCGGGCGGGACAGGAGCACGGAGCCGGACAGCGACGGCGAGACGGCCCCAAAGAAGCGGCGACGCCTGGAGCGTCGGTCGGGCGGCAAGGCACAGAGCAAGTACAAGAGCAGCGAAATGGTGGTGGATTCGGATGAAGACGACGCCGGGGACAGATCCGATGGCGAGGACCATGAGATGCGCGATACTGGGGCGGACGATGACGAGGAAGAGGAGGTGGTGCACCGGCGTCGGGCGAAGGTGACCCGGCGGGTGGCTGATGACGACGAGGACGAGGACGAGGACGAGGCCGTGGCTGGAGGGGGCGCAGGATCAGGCGACGGGGCGACGGGGGCCGGGGGCGAGAATGAGCCCGTGGATGGGGGCGACGAGGATGAGGATGATGGGCTGTTCAATGATGATGGTGAAGATGCGGAGATGAAGGACGACGAGGAATGAATGATTTGATTCCCTCCTCTCCTTCTCTCCCAGCTGTTGGATGCGTTGGTTTTTCCCCTTGAACCCAACTGTAGTTTTACGGGATTGTGACTTTTTTTTTCTCTTTCTTCTCTTCCACTGTGTATTTGAAAAAGATGGCGTTGGGAATGGATGTCATTTACTCAGTCAGAATTGAGCACTTCGGGGGCCAGGCATTGGCTATAGGAGCAATTGATACTATTGTTGCACCGATGGCTGCGGTCATTCTCCATGGGACGTACCCAGTATCACCATAGCAGTACATCGTATGGAGTATGCCATAGCACATAATAGTATATACCATGGCAGGCCAGCCATTCCTCTATCCCTCCATCCGCGTGGCTGGAACATACATCGTAGTATAGTACTCTGTATAGTATCACTAGAAGGTCTGAGGGTGGTCTATCTATAGTTAGATATACACCTCGGTAACCTCGTCCCCATACCAGACATACATACAGACAAGCATACATACCATACATCGTACCGAACCCCCAAGCAAAACCAACCCTAAGCCAAAGAAGGCAGGGAAACCTGTCCCCGATTTAGTGTCCTAGTCGACCTGACCGAACGCGACCCAGCCTTGAGCCTACAGCAAACTAAGCAGCACTAAAATCTTCCCCCCCCCCCCACCCCACTCATAATAACAATGACGGTCTGGCTACACAGCATCTAGTGGCTACTGGCTAGAGTCTAGGTAGGTGTTGGTCTAGACACTAGGGATCGTCAGGAGTTCGAACGATGGAGAAGTTGGGGGCGTCGAGGGAGGAGAGAGGGAGGGAGGGAGGGAGGGAGGGGGGAAGATGGTGCAACACGCTAGGGGAGGGCTGGGAATGGGATGATGAAGATGAAAGACTCGCCGCGCCCCTCAAACCCACCCCCCTCTCTCTCGCGCGCGCTCGATAAAGGGGAGGAGGGAGGTTTAAGGTTGGATCTGAGACAGTGGTGTGGCATGGGTTTGGGGGTGCTGGTTGTTGCCTTGTTGGGGGGCGGGTTTTGTGGCAGAGGTGTTTGAGATTGGGGGATCGTGAGGGAAAAGGGGGCTGTTGTTGGTGGTGGTGGTGTTGGATCATGGTGAGGGGTATCTTTGACTGTCAGTCAGTCTCGGTCTCGCTCGCTCGCTCTTATCTCTTGGATATATTATCTGATGGGGTTCACACACAGACATACATATGCAATTATGGATACTTGATTGTGGGTAGGTTGGGAGGTACCTCGGTGTTCACTGTCGTCTTACCTCGTCGTACTGGGTACGGTATGTATCGAGGTATTGACAGTACCGGATGGACGTATGTAACATATACGTAAGGAGAGACATCGGGTGGATCAGCTGACGAGCCTCCGCTGCGGCATATTGACGGAGAACTACTGTACTTCCCAGTTGCTACGATGCACTGCTGGAGGCGGAGTCCGACAGATTCTCATGCGGTGTTCGGCTCACAACAGCTGCCTCAAGGTCACATAAGTTGGAGATGTCTCTTGCCGGGTGGGAAAACCCAACCACGAGCAGTATGCACATCCAGACCGCCGGTCCGAAGGCCCAAAAAGCAAAAGCGAGGAGAACGTGACGGCTGCACGAGAGATGCAGGTACATGTGCGAGGCACATAAGCAAGTATTGGCGGTGTAGCGGTTTTCTCCATGACTTGATCTGAGATCTGGATGACTCAATCGAGTAATTCATCAATCCTTCCCCCTCCCCCTCTTTCCCCTAGTAGATAGTTCCTGGCTCCTGCAATGGTTCCTCGGCCCCATATAGTCGTTAGTTCTACTAGTACTCTGGGCCTCGGGAAGTGGCATTCTGTTGTTCGCCTCCGTCTGGGGGAGGAGTGAGTGGCAGTCAATATGACGTTTGGAATTGACTTTGACGGACTCTGTAGGTATCCATCCATCGGTGGCCGGTTGTGGACTGCCGAAGCAAGCACATGTGGAAAGTGGAATTGCCCCCTCGGATCCGAGGCAAGAAGACCCCATCTGGAGCACCTCCCCCCAAACAACGCGTCCGACAGCTGTTGCTCGCATCTCCGCGAGTTCCCCGGGGACAATAGAAATTAGATACATACTGGGTCGGGGCTCGCGTGGTAATTTTTCCCCCTCGGTACACTGTACACTGTACGGACGCGGATTGTCAATGCCTCACTGGGTCCATCGGGTTCGGGCATCCTGGTCACTGCATGAATCTACGATGGGACCGGCCAGGATGGTCGCGTGTCGATTTAATATGATGAGTCGATTTCACCACGTTGAGTGGATATCCACCACCGCTTGGGCGGATTCTGTGCGCCGTCCACAGCGTCCACGGCGTCCACCGTCCCTCCGTCGGAGCCTCGGACGAGAGGCAGTAATCCCCTCCATCCCCCTGCAGTATTGAGTTAGAGTTGTACCTGTCATGTTGAGAGGGTTGTTCCCGGGCGGATGCGGCCATTTATTGCAATTACCAGAACCGTGGTTCGATCCTCCCCCTCTTCCAAGTTCCAACCCGTGTGGTTTACTGGTTGCTGGCTGACGGCCAGGTTCCATTGGAGTCGGTATCTAGGGCCCTTTCGCGACCAAATGTCCCGACACACAGGATCCGCCTGGCGTTCGCAAGGTTCAGCCAGGCCGAGAAGCTCCCGTCGGGCGTCCAGTCAACGAGCCTACTGTGGTCGGTGGAGAGAACGTTGGACTGGGTCCGACGCCCTGTTAAGCGAATGAAGATCCGGTGGTGCCTGAATTGACGTCTCGTATTGTCGGGACAAGGGAGATGGTCTCTCGGATATTCGAGGCTGTTCGGATGAGATGCTGTTTGTGTTCATACTAGAGCACTGGAGGCTGTCTGTAGCTGCACGCATGCATGTAGGTACGTATGCATGTCCACAGTCAACCCGTCAATCAGCTGCTCGCCAGCTAACTATGGAGTTTATCCCGAACAAACGCGCGAATAAATCGACTCCCTCCTGGAGGAACCGCAGCCGAGGAACTGTGCCATCGGTTGTATTCAGCATTACACCCACCAGCTGAACATTCATTGCCCATTGCCCATTGCCCATTGCCCATTGCACATCGCCCGTCGTCTATCAGCCCTTCCGCGTCCTCGAACCCACCGCCGATACTTGCCCAACGGAAGTGCCCGTGGGATCATCGCTTCACGCCGAGGGCTGAGAGTCGGGGCTCGACGGTCAGATTGGGATTCTGGCCCTTGGGATGATAGTGATAATCTGTAGTGCGTGGACTCCGCCGGACCTTGCGGCACTTATTCGTCGGAAAGTAAGCAGGCATATCATATCATCATTTCATAAGCAGCCATGGGTCGTAAGGTTGACAACAGCTTTGTGTTCGAGGAGACGATTTCCGGCCGCTAATCATCATGCTTGCTTTTTCGAGTTTATTATTCTCGCATTGTTTTCTTCCTTTCCCCATCCACCGAAGCCCCTAGAAGGATGGCTGGCCTGCTGGAGCCCCTCTGCGTTGTTTTTACTTTCCATGGCTACTGAGCCCGAAGCCCCATCGATCAGCATCTGCTCCAGCCCTCTGAATCCCGAGACATCCTCCCAGTCACCAAAAAGGAATCTAATCGAACTTCACGCCTTCCCACTTGCCCCTCTTTGCCTCTACCTTCCTTTGTACGGATTGGGTTGTTTAGGGGCAATTGACTAAGGAGGGATCGAGAATTCGGGGCCTCAAGGATCATTACTATTATCTCATGTCTGTGCGAAAGGGGAGGGGGAGGTCTCTCTTTCTTTATTTTTATTAATGTGACTTTTATTGCTTTTCTTATTCCATTCAGGATTTAATTATTTTGTCCTCTCCTGATTGCATTGTCCCCACGAAGGATCATGGGCTGTCTATCTTTGGACAAAACCGTCTCGGGGCACGATGGATTGGTCGAGCGATCCCGTAGATATCGTTCCCGTTGCCTCTTTAGGGGGGAGAAGGGGAGGAAACCGATCCCTTTTTACCTTTTTTTTCCCTGCTTCCCTCCGATCATGATATCAAAGACTCAAACCCATGTTTCTTTTTTTAAACTGCTATATCCACTTGGAGGGGATGATGTTCTGCGATGGAACACGACAGATGCAGTCAAGACTACTCTGTACTATTTCGGGTGCCCTCCTCCCAACCTCTCCGTGTCCTTTCTCCTTCCTTCCCGGGGGGGGGGGGAATGGGGGACCACTACGGAGGCCTCACTACGACATCCCATCGTAGTACTACAAGGTACTAGAAGGACTAGATCCTTTTAGGGACCAGGATCTAGGATGATGCTAAGCAGGGACTCCGTCGTCGCTTTTTTGGAACGAGGTCTAGGTTGGTCACTAACAGACGCTACTTTCCGGAGGAATTCCTGACAACGGTAATGGTCAATGTCAATGCTAATGCTACTGCTACTGCTCCTACTCATGCGGCGGCCAGTCTGACCGTCAGAATAAAAAAGAAAAGAAAGGAAGAGAAGGTTTCAACGGCGAACGTGGGCGGGACTACCAAACGTTGGTTTGACTTTTTTTGGTTTTTTTTTTTTTTTTTTTTTTTGCGCGAGTTTTGTTAGTAACTAAGTTTACGTACCTGGTAGGTAATGCACCGTACCGAGTCAGGGCAGTAAACTTCAGTATGTAAGTATCCTTGCCGTCCCGTGTACCGTATGGCCCTGGGCTGGGATTGGCATCAGTGTCTGTACTCCGTAGGTATTTGATGATCGTCTTTTCTCGCTCCTTTCTCTCCACCATCAATTTCTCCAGCTCGCTCGCTCTTCACTCTCTCTCTCTAAACCTTTTCTTCTTTTTTATTATTCTTATTACTACTTGCTTCAATCCCAATTTCCCACCTGGGCCCCCGTCGCCTCGGTTTGAGATCTAGTAGTAGTTCTTCCCTTAGTCGTGATCGTGATCGTGATCGTGATCGTTCTGGCGATTCCCAGAGTTTCCCTCGTTTTTCCCCAGAATTTAATCAATCCCGACCCATCCATTCCCTTCATTCATTGGTACTGCGGCTACTAGTAAAGTAGTAAAAGCACTACTCCCCGTTTATTACTCTTACTATATTACTTGCGGCAACTACTCCGTCTGGACTTACTTTTACGGCTCTTGACTCCATCCTTTCCCACAACTGCTCTCCGTATCTTCACGCTCTCTCTCTCTCTCCACCTTTCTCTCTTCTCCCCTCTTGTTGCAATTGATCCATCCTTTCGCTCTCCTTGTGTCCCTCTGATCGCCGCCTTCCTTCTTCATCTCATCTGTTGTGGCCAATTTTTTGGGTGCGTCTCTCGCAACCGTTTCAACCGTCAACCTAAAACACTCGACAAACTTTCCGGTGCTCGACACGGGGCATGCGCTCTCAACCTCGACCTTGAAAGCAACTCCGTCTGCCTCATCTCGTCGGCTCTCCGACTCATTTGGATCCCCCGGCCTCTTGCGCGCCAGATCTCCTCCCTACCATGGTCAAGGATAGGACCATCCCATCACGATTGGAGGCTTAACGGTCGCTCACTTGCTTCGCCTACTAATTTGGCCCCCGAATCTGTCATCGCCGACGGGACTCCTGATATATAGTCCTTCCTCCTCCCTCCCTTCTTCCTCCCCACTGCACGCTCCTCACCCACTGGCATCCACCCACACCATGTCCCAGCAGGATCTGGACCGTTCTTATGCCAGAGCGCCGAATAACGACTCCCCCGAACAACATTCAATCCACACACGCTCCCGGTCGACTGCTCATGCGCACAGCCCTAAGCGGCTGTCCGTCTTCAGTGGTCGCTCTCGCAGCAACACCACCAACTCTACCACTTCCTCCCGCCGTTCCCCTGCTTCTTCCATGACCTCTGTGGAGGCAGCATCGCTGCCCTCATATGACGATCGCACAGGCTCTGCGGCTGGCGTCCGCCATGATCGGTCCGAGAGCGTGACCAAGTCGCTTCTCTCGCGGGGAAGCCGCATCCTTCGTCGTCAGGGATCTAAGTTCCACATTGTCTCCACGCTGGACGAGGAGGACGAAGTGGAGCGTGAGAAACCTCGCTTCGAAGTCTCGGAGATCTTCAGCCGCAACAGCAAGTCACGCCAGAGTGATGCGCGTAAGTCTCCCCTGCCATATGCGAACTGCGCTGTAAGCACCATTCAGCTTGTACCCAATGCTCATACAACGGACTTTTCACAGACGACCAACTGAAGAGCCTTATCTCGGATCCTTTTGACTTCCACCATCTGACTCATACGAGTCCGTCTCAGTTCCAGTCATTGGAAAGGGCCCGGGAAACCGACCTAGTCACGGAGTTCTCTGCTATCCGTGCCTCTCAAAGACCCGTCACCAACCTGAAAGGCATTCGGGCTGAGGATCTGCATTTCCGTGATTTTTCATCAGAGGATCTCAGCCAGTGCGGGACAGCCATCGGCTGTGACGAAGTCGTGTCGCCTCCGCCAACAAGCCCACCAGCATCACCAAGCGGTTCCTCCTCCGTGAGTCCAAAGCAGCTTCGAGCACGAAGAGAATCGCGTGTCGTTGAGAACTTTTCACGGCCCGTCCCAAGGTATCCTAAACCGGGATCGACGACCCCGCCGCCGCCGAGGGCCTCGTCTCCGAGATTGGCATCCTCTCCCGAGCTGCCCGAGCCAGCTCCTCGCGCCATTGACGAGATCCTGGGTCTGTCGACCCAGCCAACCTATCCCGAGCATGTGTACTCACATGCCGATGATGTAGAACCTGGCGCATCTTGGTCTCAGAGCCATATGGAAGACATGTTCCATCCTCCCTCAGGTAATGTCTTTACAGCCACCGTCAGCAATGAAGCGCTGAATGCTCGCACCTCATCAATGTCCCTGCCGACTCTATCGTCGGACTTGGAAGATGTGCCGGAAGAAGAGGAGCCCGCCGTTTGGCATGATGACGAAATCTCCCCTCGTGCGCCTGCTCGGGCGATCTCCTCACCTTTAGCTGAGGCGCGATCCCCTTCCATCACTTCCACGACGGGGGCTAGGTCTGAGCTGTCCATTTCTGTGGCTGAAGACTTGTCAAGGAAATTTGCTGAGGCACTCGGGTCCCCTACCCTTCCACAGCATCGTCTGGCCACGATTGCACCGCCGCAAGCACCCACAGTTCAAGAGCCAGTTCGAAGACGCTCCTCTCTCAACCTGAAAGCCATCCAGGAGACCATCTATGAGTCATGGGATGCGGACATTGACTACTGCTATGAGCATGCTGCCGAGTCGAACTGCAACTTTGACTGGACTCGCAATTCGCTCGACGAACCGCGGCAGGAGGAAGCGGAGGTTACCGTGACTGGACCGCATGGGAGCAATGCGTTGCTTGGGTCAATGCATCTGAACGCCTCGGACTTGACCGCCGCGGACCTGGACCCTGTAACCAACTCGCACGTAGTTGTGACGTCCACTCTGGACGATGATCCTGGCCTAGCCGCCACGCAGAGGGACAGCGATTACTTCCAGCCGGTGAGGTTCGCTCCCACCTTGGGCAAACACATCAACCCTGATTCGCTGTACGAAGAATACTTGACGGCGGATGCAGAATCAGACCGACACTTTGCCTTCTACTCGCAGCCGGGTGTGATCCAGCCTTTGGACCACTCGGTGTCTCCCCGCAGCAGCTTTTCGCCCATCAGCAAATGTAACTCACAGGAAAGTTTGATCTTGTCCCGTGCCGCGTCTGTCGTCCGCAAGCACCGGTCCTCCGTTTCGACTGCCAGCGTCCCCGACCTGGTACACAGTCTAGCAAGCAGCCGCGAGTTCCAGCCATCTGAGCAGAGGCTCTCCGGCGAACTCTCCGGTGTGGGACGCCCCGAATCCTCCCACCATCGGCAGACCAAGAGTCTGGCACGCGAGCTCGAAGCTCAACTTCTGTTCCGAGCTGATGGCGACGGAAGTCCCGAGCCTGCCGGGTATGCGTCGACTGGGGCCCCCTCCATCCACGATCGGGCCAGGTCCACGACTGAAATGGAGGCGGGTCCGTTGATCGCCAGGGCTATCAAGAATGACGCTGCCTCTCGGGCCGCGCCTCGGCGGAAAGGCAGAGCGTCTTACTCCCTCTTCCCTACCACTGCAGCCAATTGAGCTGCTATCAACCCGAAGACAACTTGCATCTCTCAAAGGAACTCTTACAGAGCCCTTGTTCTCCGCATCCTGCTTCCTTCCATTCCTCATCCGTTCACTTATAGAACTCTTTCAACGACTTGATGATTCTTTCCTATCGCGGTGGCCTTGTTTGTTTTTGCGTTTCGATTTTTACTGCAATGAATGTCATCTCCTTGAGCAGTCCTTCGGTCGAGTCTTGTGGGCTATGCGCTTATGTTTTCTTTGTCATCTGTTCTTTCCTCAGGTTTCTCCACACGCATTTTCTGGTGCATTTCTCAGCGACTTTTCATTTTTTCCTCTGGAAGAAAAAATATGGGTGTTTTTCTGGCATGGGGGATTTGGAAAGGGCAGTGAATGGGGTTTCAGTCGGACAACATTCGTTCGGATTTTCATTTTGTTGGTCTCGGTCTCGGCTTGGGCTGCTGTTGTTGCAGTGGCTCGGTTTTGTTCAGCATCCATTGTTGATTTGGGTCTGTCTCAGTATATAGATAGCGCAGGAAGGGATAACCGGGTCTGTCTTGGAGGGTTGTTTGATACAAGGGTTACACATGGGCAAACAGTAAAGAGGAAAAGTGATGATTACAATGTTGAAAATACCCGTCACTATAGCATGAGCAGCGCTGTTCATTGACCAGAGTCTGGTGTGCCAGCAGTAATCCCGGCAGAAGGTGCAGTGCAATCAAAGTACTCCCGATGTAATCCGTCACCGCTGAGCCGGGCGGTCCTGATTCTGCTGGCAGAATCTCCCGTGACGGGGGGTGGGAGGGCGCGCTTTCCTTTCCCTGACGTCGGGGATCGTTCTTTCCTTGCGGCGAGTATGTCTCCCTCGCCGATCCTCTTCATCCACCATCTTTCGTTCTCTTGATTATAGCGTTGTTCCTTGTCTTCGTGACGTTTACTAGCCATGTCCGCCCCGTCGCAGGCTTTGACCAAGCGTCAAAGCGATACCAGCCTCATGCCCCCGCCACCGCCGCCGAAGCGCCTCAAACGGCCGGCCACCGTGCTTGACGAGGATGTTTATACCAACGCCCTATCTGAGATCATTGCACGGGATTACTTCCCGGGTCTTTTGGAGGCTCAGGTGAAGCAGGAGTACTTGGATGCGCTGGATTCCAGAGACAAAGAATGGATTGCAAATTCGAAGAAGAAATTGACCGACCTCATGAGGACGCCCGGACGAGCCCGATCACGTCCTGGCTCAGCCAGTATGACACCGCAACATACCGGTTCTGGGCGGCCAGGAGATACACCGATGGGCTGGGGAGGGGACACGCCTATGTCAGTCATGTCTGCAGCCTCGTCAACAACCCCGAGCGACAACCATGTCTTGGCCCCAGATGTGTCCCGCCTTGGACTACTGGAGTTTCAGGCCAAATACACTAGTGAAGATAACGAGTCTTTCAATAAAGTGCTCGATAAACAGAACGAAAAGCATCGCGAGAGGTATAAGTGGCTCTGGAGCGGAAATAAGATCCCAACCGCGAGACAGATTGCGCATCGGCGGCGAGAGGTCAAGCGAATCGAGGCCCAGGGTGGTAATCCAGACCAACATAAACAGGTAGCCATCAAGACAGACTTGGACGCCCGGCCCGCAAACCCCGACACCTGGAAGACCCGCCCGGAGAACTCGCTCATGTTCGCTCCTTCGTCCATCGAGGATTCGTATGAAACTATCCAACAAAAAGCGGAAGCAACGTCGCGGGCAGGGCCCAAGCGGGTAGTCTTTCAGAACACACGGCTGCCGGATGAGAGCCTTCATCAAGCGGCATCTGATGCAAGTGCACCTCCACCCTCGCCTTCGATATCGGCCATCAAAGATGCCATTGCCGGACGTCCACGTCCTACCGAGTCCGAGCCAGGGTACACGGGGGGCGAGACCCCCCGAGTCAATGGATACGCCTTCGTGGATGAAGATGAGCTGGAGTACCCCATTACCTCATCAAAAGACGACGACCATGCAATTACCATGGATGATCTCCGCCTGCTTGGTGGCAGTGATGCGACCCCGAATCCTTTTGAGATCAAGGAGAACCGAAGGCGAGAAGACATCCATCATCGCATGGTAGATCGTGTGGCGCGGTCAAGGCGTGCAGAGAAGTCTGCCCGTGACGCCAAAACCCCCGTGACGCCACGGTTTGCCAGTAGTCCACGGCTGGACTTTGGGTTACGCACACCAGGTGCGGCTACGCCGGGAGGGAGAACAAACAAGGCGTTAACGCCCGCGGCGCAGAAGCTGCTTCATCAGATGGGAAACACTCCTCGTCTGGGGTCGACCGCAAAGTCATCACTGAGAAACATATGGACACCTACTCCGAAAAGGGGCAAATAAACGCGGTTTCAATTCTGTACCATCTTTTCTCGTGCGCTCCAATTTAGCGTTAACATCACATCTTCAATACCAGGCATGGGAAATGGCGTTGCGGGTGGAATCTATGCGATCATGAGGGAATGTTGGATGGATCTGGCGTCACTGTGTTTTCAATTCATGTTTTCTATACACTTATTGTTTATACAGCTCTGCACATCACCCATTTCATGACAGTGGGCTGATTTGCTAGCTTCTGGCCATCCATGGGTATGAGGCAAGTTTAAGCTGCCTATTATCGTTCACCACGCTTAATGTGAAGAGAAAGAGTTGCTGTCAACTAAACAATATCACAAATCACGAGCGCATGCCATTCTGGCCTGAGTCTATATGTAAAAGAATCTGACAGACCCCTGGCGTCCAGAGATATTGCACCTATAAATGACATAACACAAATAGGCACGAGGTTATATACCGTATCGTCAGGGTAACAAGTTCAGAGCAAGCGGGTATCTATTGGCCTTGCCGTATAGGAGTGTGAACTTTTCGTGCCATCCAGGCCTCCCTGGTCGGGCGTCACAACTAAACACTATAGAGCAGGCGATCTATCTGTCATTGCAGACAGCCAAAAGTAAACATAACCTGGATCGGATTGGCCTAGCCGAGGACCCAGAATAACGTCCAGATCCCTATCACCATGTAAAGGGAGATCCAGACGCTTTCGTGCACACTGGAAACGGCATTCAGGTAGTATGCGGCCCCGAGGTAACTGCATGTGATGTCACCGTTGGGGTCTCGTACGCCGTATGAGACGTTGGCCCATTGGCCTATTGGACAGCTGAAGCCGAGAATAGATGGACAGTTCCTGACCAAGCTGTGGCAGACATCTAGGCAGGGGAGTACCTCCTTATATGGCCCTGGGCGGATATCCTTGTCTATTAGAGGGTTGCGGGATCGGTTAGTTGCAGGTTTGTCCAAGAGGGATGAATTGGTGATAGAGGTGCCGTTGAGGAAAGCTTGGCCCGCGTTTCGAATCTGGAGGAAGGTGGCGTCGCTGGAGAAATCCGCGCATCGGGGAATGGTCACGGCACAAAGCCACTGCTTGTATGCGTCGGCGCAGGAATCGCAGGTCACGGCGAGCGAGAACATGTTCTCGCTTGAGGTATTACATTGGACCTGTTGCATGGAGTAATTGAAGTTCTGATACAAAGAAGCTGCATTGTCGTCGTAAATTTTTCGGAGTTCTGTCATGTTCACGGATGGATTGGATGGCACAGCGTAGGCGACTTCGGAGCAAAATGGCAGGTCATAGACGACGGCGCAATTGTCATCTATTTTTGCATTAGGTTTGCGACAGCATGGGGTTCAAGCCAGATTTCCTTACCTGTTTTGGTTGTGAAGTTCATGCGCGGCCAGACTTTGCCGCCACCTCCTATGATCCCATTCCCCGCGCTGGTGGAATTGCCATTCCGCGCCATGATCCCGTAGTAAGTAGAGGTCCGGTTGAGGCCGGTGATATAGAACTGCTCCGTCGGTCTGACCACTGAGCCCCGAGTAGTCATGCTTGTCTCAACGTTGCTTTTCCCGATTTGCGCAAGCTGATCGAGGGCGCAATATGACCGTTCCAGACCCGATATGGAGGTGCTATTGAGGTTATTCGCGAACATTGTGTATGGAGGCGTCCTATCCATCCAGTGGCTGTAATTCTGCGGTGTGAGATCGGTAGTGGTGAGGTTTTTCGTCGTCAGAAGCGCTGCATTAGTGTCTGAATCGACTAGGAATAGAAACTGATCCGTGTCGTCAACGCTGTGGAAATAAGCATCGGTCGAGGCTGCAAGCTGGTAGGTGAAAGACCCGGAGTATTCAGTGCTATTGGGGGCTGTCACTCCGATGTAGACATCCCTATCCACCGACAGGACCATGCCCATGTAGCCTTCCTCCGCCGATTGTGCTGTCTGGTTCGAAGCGGGTTTGTCGGGCCCCGGTTTCTGTACCGACTCGGATGCATAGACAGTCAGCTGTGGTACGGCAGCTGTGGTGGTGGAATCTGTTCTGTTGAGGCTGGGCTTCGAGCAGGCCGTTAGGGATAGGTAGACGGTTGTCGAACGTTTCGAAAGGTCACGACTCTCATTCTCAGAGGTGCTGTTGGTCCCATCACTATTCACCGGGAAATACCACCACTCGGTCGCGCCCATCTTGATCGTACTCTGTTGATACTGATTATTGCCTAAGGACGATACGCCAGCCGGAGCCCGACGAACCAAGTCGAGTCCGCGCGACTTCCCTTCCTCGTCTACAGCATCTTCGAACTCCAGACCGTTATAGGCCGCAAGTGGGAAGGAGAATTGCGGACTAGCATCACCGAAAATAAAGCGGCCATGGTTTTTCGAGGCCAGGGACGTCGAGTCCGAATCGTCATCAGCAGCAGCAACCGAGCCAACGCAAATGGCCAAGCCGATCGCGCAGTAAAGTACCGCGCGGACAGCCGCACGCAGGCGGCACTGTAGGTGTGGTGGTACGAGTGAAACAAACATTCAGGCTGGTTGATGGAGGGGTCGACTTCGGAGTAAAGGTCATCGATTGATATCAAGCAGCGATCTGCTGCTGGCACGTATCAACTAACTTCCTCTCACGGCGGAGGCCAGCCGAATCGTGAGGGGGGAAGTATGTCCAAGGAGACGGAGAGGGATCAGGGCTACCCCATGAACATCAACCGCATTCGCCCTGTGGGACACAAATCCGATCAGCCCGGGGCTGGCAATTGCAGTCGGTTCGCTGCTGAAACCAGGGGAGATGGGTCGGGGTTCATTCTGGCTGGAGCAGAAGGTCTGGGCTCGCAGTGGTGTTTTTTTTGGTCGGGTGCCTGGAGTCGCGCCGAAGCAACTTCGCCCTTGGCGCCGCCACGGTCCAGCCACGCTCCACCCACCACCATCATCATCATCATCCACGTCAGCCGTTAGGAACGCTACAACGATCCAGGGTACTCTGGATAGGCATGATACATTCTTTCATTTCGTGCAAGACTCCAATCAGATGATTATTATTCAAGGCGTATATATATAGTATGGATCATCTACACCCCTCTCCCCCACGTCCCAACTCTATACAAGCTTGTAGCAACGGGCCACCACCCCACTGAGGATGACAATGGCCGCGATGACCCCGAGAATCCCAAAAAACCAGCCAAGCCCTTCAGTATTCTGCCCGGGCACATTAACGTTCATCCCAAACAGACCGCAGATCAGGTTCATGGGGACCAGCATGGTGGCAATGAGCGTCACCTTGCTCAGCACCTTGTTGACATGGTTGCCCAGCATCAGATTTGTCACGTTCAGTTGCGCAAGATAGTTGGTGTGCGAGCGACTGAGCATCTTCTCGAAATGGGCCAAGTTGGACATCATAGTCACAACGTGATCCTGGATGTCGCCCAGGTAGAGGCCAATGTCGCCGCGCGGCGTCACCGAGTACTGCTCGTTGCAGCGCTTCGAAAAGCCCCGGATGACGTCCGCTTTGCCTCCCAGGAGGCGCATCAAGCTCATGACTTTCTTGCGCAGTCCACCGATGCGCGGCAAAAAGGACTCGAAATCATCCATACGCGCGATGAACACAAGATCCTCGATGGCTTCGGACTCAACCTCAATCTCCCGAATGACAGGGCCAAAACTATCCACAATGTCGTCACTGTATGAAAGACGTTAGAAACTCTCGTCCCCAACAATGGCGCTGGACTCCCATCAGACTTACATCATGGCATAACAGATCCAATCACTGCTCAGCGATACATAATCACGAAGCTTTCCAATTCTCCTCCGTACATTAGCAGCATGAGGGTTCTCGGTGAAAGAGAACGATAGAACCCCGTCCCGGAATACAACCATATAGAAATTCACGGGCTCCATGAATTCCTCGCTGGTCTTGTCCATCTGGTAGAAGGTCCGGAAACACACAAAGTAATACTGCTTGAACAGCTCCACTTTCTCGCGCGCTTCTTGGGTTAAGATATCCTCCGTTGTCAAAGGGTGGATAGAGAAAGCTCTGGACAGAGCGCCCACCTCATCTTCAGTAGGGTTCAGGACATCGAGCCACCAGACACCCCCATCCGGACCCAGCTGGAAAAGATCCCGGAAGGTGTCTCCTGGTAAGACCAGGTCGCCCAGCTCTGCAGCATGCACGGTGCTTTGTGACTCGGACGAGAAGAAGCCGAAACGGGTAGGCTCATTCTCGTTCTTCAGATTCGCCAGCAGTTCCTTTTCGTTCACAACATCGGTAAAAGCCTTCTCGTTCTTCTCCGAGGTCGAATCCAAGATATCATCCGAAGAACGTTCAATACTTGACGAACGTTTCTCCTCATCCTTGTCGGATTTTTGAGCACCCGGGCGAAGGTCGTAAAAGACTCGAGGCTTAGTACTCTGCGAGCTAAGGCTATGTCTGCGTCGGTCTGCTGTGGGCTTTGCCTTTTGATTGAGGGCAACAAACTCCTCCAACTCCTCATAGTCAATCACTGGAATCCTGCCGGGTTGCTCGAACGTCGGCAGGCAGCCATCGTCAGTTGGCTCCAACGTTATGTCCCCAGGCTGCGGTCTGATCACGCTCGCATTGCTAAATGTTGGGCGACGAGGATGTGTACCTCCAGATACCGTGCGCTGGAGAATAGCCTCTAGGTCTGGGGCTGCGTGACTTTCCAGGGTATTCGCACGCTCCCGACGGCGCGGGTCTGCGAATGCCTCAACTGAGTTGGGCGGAGACGTTGACCTGGCAGACACAGATGACTCGCGCGACAAGTTTGCGAGATCCTGATGCGTGCGGCTATATGCACGACCATGGCGAATGTTTCCGGTGGGGTCAAGAGAAAAGCGATGTCCGATAGCATTGAAATCCTTGTCTGATCGTTCATCATCGACTACCGCTGTTTCGAAGTCACGCGAAAGCGAACCGGCTTCCCGAAGTGCGTCTTCAATGTTAAGCAACTCTTGGCGTTGGGGCGTCTCTGGGTTGAGCCCCTGCGGGACGGTATTTTGCCGACTCAGCGGCACATCAGGGGTGGCTTCGAAGCGTGGCGGATCCAATTGGAATCGATGATCGTCAAGTTCAGGGACAGGGGTGCTGTACCTGGTCAAGCACATGTACTTCTCGGACTTCGGTGACTCGGACATGGTGGCTTAATTGATTCTTTTCTTTCACGCCGGTATGTATGACAGACTGATCAGATGGGATTGCTGGCAAGGAACCAGTGTTGTTGACTTATTCTTTTTTTCAATATTTTAGCTGCGTTGAAGAGCGCGACGTCGGAAGTCGTACTCAGGATGAGAAAGGTCCCAGGGCGCTTGCTCCTCCATCCATTAGCCAGACCCCTCGCAAGGGCCTGGCATTACCGATGCGCGTCCGTGTGCCAGCTTCGAGACTGCTGGGAGTAGTTCTATTAGGGGGGTCTGGTGTCGCCCCCGCAGAAGACCCTGAACTTGGGGCCCAGAAGAGGGTGGAGGAGAGAGGACTGGTTGTAGCGAAGCCCCGCCAACTTGACTGAGTGAAGGGACAGGAGCGCCGTCGCTCCGAAAGTGTGAGGGAAAGCGCGTTGACGGAGAGAACTCCTGCACAGAGTTCTCACGGTTCACCGCAAGATTCGACCAGCGACGTTGACGTCCGAATTGGTTTCGGCGAAATTGACACGGGCTGCTGGACAGCAAACCGAGAAGAAACCAATAGGGCCACAGTGAGCAGGTCGAGAACAGATCTCGGGACCGATCCAAACGAGGTGATATGCGAAAAGCGTGCTGAATGTGTTTAACCGTGACTGGTGAGAATTGTCGGCACTCTCAAAGGAAGAGGGTGGGAGGCGACTGGAAGGGAAAAAAGTCGCCAGTAGAATTGGGGTGTATGATGTAGTGTGCACTACACTCGGAAAAAAGACCCCGTGGTCCAAGACGATGCGTCAAACCACGAGGACGGGAAGGCCACCGACGGACAAAAGGGGGGCCGAGAAACCTCGGAAAAGAGAGAGACAGAACACACGATGTGATAGAGCAGGAGAGTCTGTTCAGAAGTCACCTAGGGAGGTGATGTGAGAGAGTTGTCTCAGCGGACAAGAGAGAGCCGAGAAGCCAGGCCGGCGAGTGGATGAGAAGACTTACCTTATATAAAATACGAGGGGCGGGCAGAAATTTCCGCATCAAGGGTGCGAAACGGGCTGAGGAGTCTGAAATTTTTAGTAGGGACGCCGCGTCGGCAAAAGCCCCGAGGCGGGTTTAGTCCAGTCACCGGCCAATCACACCGGTGGCTTTTAGTCTTTTCAGCTGCGGAAGTCCAACATCGAGGGCTTCCGAGTCCGTGGGTACAGTAGGTATCTTATTGCAACTTCCACTGCTGGGTGCCCATTGGGATGTGCGAGATCTGGCAGGCATGTTCACTGTCCCTACTGTAAGTAGCCGGAGGGTGGTGTGGGCTTGCTTTTGTACGGGCTGCAAGCCCCAAGGAAGCCGGGCACCTGTCACCTCCGTGAATGAATTATTTATATCCGGCCATCTGCACGTTCCAGATCCAATGGTTGCCGTGGACAGGCCATATCCATGTGATCTACCCACCACCTCCAATGTCTCATTCTTGCCTGGGTACTCCATACAATCCCCAAGGTTCCCAGCCCTTTTTCACTCTACGGTGAACCATCCCATCGTTCTAACAAAGATCTAGGCAGCAGTCTAAGCGCTCACATCACCAAATGAAATTGGTTATAGGGGTGCATGGGAGAGTCCCTGGGCTCCTATTGCGTAATTACCATGTAATATTACCCCGCCACATGGAGCTCTTTATGATACCCAATTAAGGCACGGATGATCATAAGGAGCATCCTGATCCGGACGGGCTTATCCCATATCAAGGTTCACCATCAAAACCGGGCAACAAGGATAAGAGGGAGTCCATGACTTAACTACTAGAACTACTACTAGGTACACAGTATGGTGTACCAGGCAAATCGCAGAGGCGGTTCTGTCTTGCTCGGAACCACATCATCCTTTGACCCCACAGGACATGGGAGCTATCATGTTGGTTTCAACCATTTCCATGCCCCCTTCCTAGTTTATTATTTGCTTGAACTGTCTGGGTACGTGTGCTTTCTCAGTCAAACACCACAAGATACTCCATACAAGTTATTCCTCTGTCCTGTTTGGAATAATGTACTTGTCGGATCACACCGTCGTATCGGGCGGGGGACCAGTGTTTGCGGCTAAAAAGGTCGATCTCTGCCTCGAGTTATCTATCAAGCTAGGTCGAGACTCGAGAAGTCGGTTGGCACGTTGTGACCTGAGTAGTCAAACTGTCAGAGAGGCCGAGAGATGACAGAGAAATACTCCGTATTAACCTCCCGGGTAACTATCAAGTAATGAGAACCTCGATAGGAGAATTTGAGAAATAATCTTCGAACTTGGCTTTGTGGCACCTGGATCTGGCAAGCCCTGTGGCCCCTCACTTTCCCGCTTTGCTTCCCCTCCCCGACGTCGGCCCTTTTTTTAAAAAATTTATTTTTTTCTGGTCCTTTTCCAGAGCGCCAAGAAAAGAAAGAGTCACAACCTTGTCGGCGCAAGGCATCATAATCTAACCCAATCGTAGTGACTCAAGCAACCACTACACCTGCGACTGGCAAGGTTTCTTCCCATACATACTTAAGAAGATATCAGGGCTCGATCGCGCATCAGTTTACCTTTCCTTTCTCGAATCCTGCGTCCTTGTTCCCCCACAATGGCTGCGACTTCCTTTGTCATCAGGACGCCCTGTTCTTCCGCCAATATCGGACCTGGCTTCGATGTGATCGGTCTGGCATTGTCACTGTACATGGAGCTCCATGTCACAGTTGATCCCTCAAAACCGTCGCAGCAACCACTCAACTGCCTCATTACTTATGACGACCAGAGCAACAGTTCCGAGAAGATCAGCTTGGACCCGGAGGTGAACCTGATCACCCGCGTAGCACTATACGTACTTAGATGCCATAACCAGAGGGCATTCCCTGCTGAGACCCGTGTGCACATCGTAAACCCGATCCCTCTGAGTCGGGGTCTCGGTTCGTCGGGCACTGCTGTTGTGGCTGGTGTAGTGCTCGGAAATGAGGTAGGTAAGCTTGGTCTCAGCAAGGAAAGGCTTTTGGATTACTGTTTGATGATCGGTAAGTCTCTCATCCATCTTTCTGATAGTGGAGCCAAGCATGCGCTATGCATTCGATCATGTCTGGCACCATCTCGTTCGCTAGCCATCGCTCACCGATTTTACAGAACGACACCCCGACAATGTCGCTGCCACTCTCTTCGGAGGCTTTGTTGGCACCTATCTTAACGAGCTCGCGCCTGAAGATGTAGCGCGCAAGGAGATCCCTCTCAGTGAAGTCCTTCCCGCTCCAGCTGGTGGCATTGACACCGGAAAGAGGCCCCCTGAGCCCCCTCTTGGAATCGGCCATTACAGAAAATTCCAGTGGGCCAAAGAAATCAAGGCGATTGCCATCATCCCCGACTTTGTGGTACCGACGGCCAATGCCCGAAATGTCTTGCCCGCGTCGTATTCGAGAGCGGACGTTGTAAGCTTGCCCGCGCTGTCACTATACTCCGAAAAGGTGCCTCAGCTAATGTTGCTATCAATATTAGGTCTTCAACCTCCAACGCGCTGCCTTGCTCCCTGCCGCTTTGGGCAGCTCTCCGCCGGATCCAGATACCATCTATCTGGCCATGCAAGATAAGGTCCACCAACCATACAGACAGACTCTTATCCCCGGCTTGACGGAAATCCTTCAATCAATGAACCCACGTACGCAGCCAGGTCTCCTCGGAATCTGCCTGTCAGGTGCGGGGCCGACCATCCTGGCCCTGGCAACAGATCGATTTGAGGAAATTGCAGAGCGCATCATCTCTCGTTTTGCTTCCAACAACATCGCCTGCCAGTGGAAGCTGCTCGAGCCCGCTCAAGAGGGCACCACTGTGCAATACTAGAGGTTCAATTCCGGTTGCAATAAGCTGAAGCTACCTCAAGGAGTACTGGAATGGGGAGGCGGGGATGGAGATGACCGCTATTCTCGATGAACATGGGTCCATAGACAAGAGCTTGGGAGACCCGGTGGATAGAACAAAAGTGACTCTAGTTACCTCTCATGTTTACATATCCCCGTCTTTTTCTCTCATCGGCCTCTAGAATGTCAATTCGGAAATCCAAATCAACAGATCATGTCTCAGCGAACTCTAAGGTGTTGAAGCACCGCCTTGTCTACACACCAATAGACTGAAGTGGGGCAGACATCTGGTAGAGGGAACGCCGTTGGTGAAGTATCAAGATGCGATATGGGCATCAGGCGACGTATTCAATGACTTTGATCCAAATGCTAGAAAAGAAGTGAAACTTTTCCCAGATACTAAAGTCGATATTTCATGTGTTTGTTCATGATGGTAGCAAGATACGTCATGTCGATACAGGCCCCAATACGCAGGGTAACAATACCAGTAATCATCCCGATAAGCCGAGGCGGTGGACATTTGCGACCACCTCAAGCTAACCTCATCGCCGGAACGCCCCTTCGAGCAGCGACCGTCCAGATCCTAGTCGAAACAACACCTCTGCACAAACAAAATTTCTTCACGATGGACAGTCTTTTGGCGCCGATCCAAGAAGCCCTGGAAGGACAAATCGTAAGTATCACTTCTCGTCTAAGCAGCCTTGTTGCTGTTTGATTACCATTACAGCCACCTATGCCGTTTACAGCTATCCGATAGTAACTTGATCACCGTTTCTTTGAATAGGACTTCCAGGGTCAGCGCATTGCAGAGCTCCTTTCTACCGTCCTTCTGATCATCTCGGGTGTAAGTGTATTGGGCTTCTACCGTGGCGGTATCTTCTGGTCCACTTGCTTACGATCATCGCTTCTATAGGCTCTGGCGTTCATTGTTGGATACATCTTCCAAGACATCCACCTAACCCTCTGGGTTGGACTGGCGGGCGCATTGGTTACTGGGTTGGCTGTCATCCCACCTTGGCCTATGTACAATAAGAATCCCGAAAAATGGCTGGTTCCTTTGACGGCGGGCGTGGGAGGTACAGGAGTCGTGATAGATGGAGTTAGAGTTGCGTGAGGCAGAGCTTTGGGCTTTGAAGGTGTTAATTTGATATCCTGGAATCGATCACAACTTGTCCGCTTGCACATACACAACCCAAACCTGTATGGATTTTTAAAAAGCCGATGCTGAGAACTGCGAAACGAACCACAAACGCCATAAAGAGCCCTCCCTTCGGGTTCTACCCTGCCGGGATACTGTAAGACATGGAGGTGACCCGCCCATAATCGAACCCTGCAATCTTGGACATGTTTTTTACCGGCCGTATTTCTGGAACTCCCAGTCTCTGTTGTCGAGGGGGCAAACTTGACGGGTCTTCAGCCACCGCGAAATGCAGTGGAAGTGGAACGCGTGCTAGAGGCAAAGGGACGCGCTTTAGTGTGGGATGCAGAGTGAATGACCAGAGAAGTAAACTCACGTTGCAGATACCCCAAGCAACTGTGCACTCTTCAGTTGTAGACGAGCCTTGGTTGGCTTGGCATTCGATACCTATTGGATTTATACATTAGGCCATGTATTGCATGAACGTAGGCGGGAGACGAGGCATACACAGATCCATGATATGGTTGCGGCAGATTGCACAGTTGTCGACGACAATATCCCACGCCCACAGAGCGACCGCATTCCACTAGAACAGCCATCCGGTTAGTTTCGGTGGAGCTCGACATGATAGCATATGCCCGTTGTTGGTATACCTTCTTGACCTCAAACTTCTTCTTGCCGTCACTGGCGCCTTCGGAAGCTTTCGATGAGCCCTTCACCTTGGAGGCTCCGGAGCTAGCTTCCTTCATTTCCACGTCCGCCATTCTGCTGACTTATCGCGCCTTTTTCCCTAGATGGCCCTTATCTGGCGAAGAAAATGGGTCACAACGCGGGATGATCACGGTACTGGGAAGGGTTCGGAGGAGGGGCAAGCAGTTAGATTGATTACGTAGGTTGGCCGGAGAGGTGGTACCTGGCCTAGGTATTATTAGGTACGGAATAGTTAGCTGATAGATACCCGGGCGGTGCGGTGGACGGCCACCGGGAAATCCTGGCGATGAACCGGGAGGGACCTGCTTACCCTATGGGGACCGGACCTAACTTTCACTGACGTTTGGAGTAGAAGCTATGTAAAGAACCTCTAATGAAGGTGAGATGCTCATAAAGAACCCAGAATACTGCCCTTGTTCAACTGGGTACCTTGTTGACGGACAGAGGGAGAGAGAGACTCAATCTTTGTTCGATTTGCAACCGCCTGCCCGACTCGGAGAAGTCCAGCAAGGCTGCAGTGGCGTAACCACAGCGAGTGAACAAACAAGGCGACAAGGCGATCGATCCCAGGCGGCTGAGTCATCGCCGCTGATCCCCGCTTGGGTGCCCCAGCCTTCTTCTTGGGTTTCGCCCGCCCTTCCCAAGGTCCAGTCAATCCGCTCTCACAGTCACTTTCACCACACACCACAACCCCCCCTCCTCCCCGACGAACCGCAATCGCACCCTACAATGCCCCTTCGCTTTTCTTTCTTTGCTGCCTTTATTCGCCTATCTAGACCTGAGCATGCCTAGGAGTCCTGGCTTACTGCTTTCTCTGCGCTTCCTTTGACTCTAATAATAGACGAATTTCCCTCCGAATCCACCCACCCAACTGACGTCTTCCGATCAAAGACCCAACTCGTCGGGCCACACTCAAGCGCCCACCACATAGCGACTGTCATCTTGTCTCCCTGATAATCTATCCGGCGTTGAATCATCGAGTACGGCTGCTGGGCAGTGCGTTGTACTACGGCGGACCTGTAGCTATCTTTCAACCCGCTCTTATTCTTATTGTTTTTGTTTTTGGCCTCGTCGCCAGTCACTTTCGGTTTCTCTTCAAAAGGCTGCCTATTTATTAAGCCTACCTCTCCACAATGTCGACACAATCTCCCACACCTCCAACCCCAAAGGGTCCCCGTAACAATCGGCGCAACCCAAAGAGGAACATGACCCCCTCTACTCAGAAAGTCGCTATATTGGCAACCCCTCCATCGTCGCCGCCGAGGAACCTGAGTCCGGGAGGAACCGCTACCGATTCCTCCATCAATGTCAACGCATCCAAGAAGAAACAGAGCCGGTCTGGCAAAAAGCCGCGCGAGGCGCCGAAAGCATCTCCGGCACCTAAAGCGCACCGCCATACCTCCTCTCAACCTAATAACGTCATCGCCACCCCTCAAGTCAAGGATAGTCCTCATTACGCAGGCCCAACCTTCCATGCGTCCCCAGCGCCGTCGGCATTACCTATGCCCAGCTTTTTTTCCAAATCTCTACCAGACTCGGATCTGGCGCCGGCTCTGGAATCTGATGGTGACAATCTCGATGCCGAGCCGGACCTCGAAAACACGCCCTCGAAACCCAAGTCACGCCCCCAAATCCAGGACGAGGAGCGCCAATCAACTCCTTTGGATTTTCTCTTCAAAGCTGCAGTCGAGGCCAGAAATTCACAGCAGCATCAAAGCCCCGAAGCAAGCTCTCGTATCCGGTCTCCGCAGACTGATTCCAAGACCCTTCATCACCGTAAACCCAATGGTGCTGCTGGTGGGCTCTTCCGGCTGGAGATGGAGAGCCCGGAATTCCAGAACTCTCAAATTGGGCCTTCTTTCGCGACTTCTTATAAGGACCGAATGAATGCGCTGCGATCGGCCAGTTCACCTTCCCCTCCTGTGTGTGAGCTCGACGAGCAGCAGAAAAGAGAAAAAACCGAAGCTTTGAAAACTCTGCTGCTCAACCCTCGTCCCCAAAGGCCCTCTTCCGCATCTATGGTGGCTTTGGACCAAAGCGATAGAGCAATGGGGCGACCGACTCCGAATCCTAATGTGCCTCACTTTGCAACCCCAGTGAGGACGACCTCAGGCCCGCCAGCCCCTCTCTCACATGGCATGTCATACGATCAGAAACAGACATTTGTTGGGAACGGCCGACACTACCCATCGTCGTATACACACTCGCATGCGCACCAGCAGTTCTATTCTCCGAATTCTCCACTGAGGAAAGAAGTTCTTACATCGAAAGTTGAAAACCTACCGGGCGTTTACGGGGAAGCGTTCTATCCTCCAACTGCTTATGAGCAACCCAAGTCTCCACCTAAATATGCGCAGTATCCTATGTATTATCCTCAGCACCATCAATCTCCGGTTTCACGAAGTGTGTCAATGAGCAACAATTCGCCTGCCTATGACACGAAAAAGATGGAAGATGATCTTCGAAGGATCTTGAAACTCGATGTTAACCCCGCGATGCCATCGAGCGGCATGCAAAGTTCCTTCGCCTAAGGTAACCTCTTTTGCGCTACAGTATTCTGTTCCTCTTTCCTTATTCTCCACGTTCGTTTCATGATATTAATGTATTACAAGGGTACGGTTTGGACGAGCAATGCTTGGGCGCGCCCTTATTGGACCCTGCGGACCATGCGAAACATGGTCCTCATCTTTATTGGCTTATTACAGTTCCCACATCACCTCCTAATCATTTTGCCCTCGGTGCCCTATGTTATGTTTTCCGGTGACGAACTGTTATCTTTGTCCTTTACAAAGGTTTTGTTCTGGTGTTCTCCGTGGTTCCGTGTTGGTGGCGGCTATTCTGGTGATCGAGGGGGAGTTAGTTTATTCCCTTTCTAGTTGTCTTCGTACCTCTATTTGCATTGAACCCGGAGTCCGGTTGCCTTTCGCGTCCTCTTTCGGGGCTATTGGTTTGGCGAAGTTCCCTGATGACTACGGATATCCGTGGTACCAATTGTTGATGCCTTTGCTTTCTGTGTTGTCCCGCTTGACGCTTGTCCATTTTCCGCCTTTCGTTTGTTCTTCCATCACTGCTTCTTTTCATCATTCTTTCAGTCCCAGGTTCCAACAAGGGCGTGGAACTATGGCAGCTCTACACTTTTTTGGTTTGGCCCTGATTACGTTAAGGCCCATCCGGGACTGATTGTTCTCGACGTGTGTCTTGAAGGGCTTGGCCGTTTCCATTCCTATGCGATATGTATCTCCGTACGTTCATTTCGAAGCCGTTTCACTCCTTCCGATGGAATTGCCTGTTAAGTTTGACGGGCTTCCATACAACGGCCATCCAATCCATCTATTCTTCGGCTGTCTACTTTCCTTCTCTGCAGTTACTGTGTCCGACGCTCTATATAGTCGAGGATATTTTGATCATTTCTAGCCACATGATATACGTCGAGCCGTAAGTCTCGACAGGTACTCGAGGGGTATCACTCGATTTGGGGGTTCACATCTAGTTGTACTCCGTACACGGAGGCATAATATGATACCAACCAGCACCTACCCTAGGTAGTAGGTACTAAGCACACGGGGGAATCCTGTAGGGAGTCCCGAACGGAGTCCAGAACTCGGATGGAAGCCGGGCGGCAAGCCCAGGCCCAACGGCGAATGGGGAGTACCCGAACGTGTCCACTTTGGGCGGGCCCCACCCTGTACTGCAAATTACGCGGCTCCGAAAGCCCTCAGGAGGTGAGCGCCATTAACCGTCCACTGCAAGTATTATGATTGTTCCGCCATCCCTCGGACGATGGAGAGCAGCAGCCCGTGATGGCGGTCAGGGGCCATGCTTTTGGCGCGTGGCTGGAGATTGGCGCCGTTCCGTGGTTATCGATTCCTTGGATGTCGATTCTTATCACCCTGAACCCTGAATCCACCAGCCATCCGGTCGGGCAATTCTCCTTTGGATACGAGGTAGATTAAATATCAGGCTACTATCTAGTATTTACTAGGGTAACAGGACTCCAGACTCGGATTAGATCTTGGGGGCGATCCACCGGTTAATTGCTCTAGTCTGTATCCAATTAACGGTCTTGGTCTATCAGGCGAATGGGACAAGAATAGCCCTCCATCGGATAATGCCTCGTACTAGTTTGGGGGGGTTCTTCCTAGGAGGGATTGGTGGCATTGACCCCGTGAGATGAAAGGGGTATCACATCGAGGTTGTTCTCAAATTGGCGGTTCACCCTCGAAGGTAGGGAAGTTGATGGTGTCTACTGGTGCAATGGAAGTATACAGCCACGGGGATCCGGCTTAGCGGATCGAGACAGAAAGCTTAAGTCATAGGATAGGAAGAAGGATGCCAGAGGATGGAAAAGAAGTACCGGAAATTACTATAGGTCAGAAGTATATACCGTATAGCGTGGTACGCATGTATGTAGTAAATTTCTGTACCTACATCACACATGTCAGACTCAGGTACCCTGTACATCTGGGACCACCGCAGGTACATACGTAGTACTACTGATTCCAATGTACCTGCGGTGAAGTATGATTCGCAGCTTGGGAAGGCCATGCTCATTGCTTGAACCTCCAGTTATAAGAGGATAAAGTGTCCACACTACACTTACACTAAAGAGATGCTGAAGGTGTTGGTGTCTAATTTCGATTAGTCACTAATTGATAGAGTGCTACTCCGTATGGAGGTACTAACTAGATGTACCTGGTTACACCGAAGTCGAGTCGGGTGTAGTATCGATCTTTAGCTATCATCGAAGTCATCTTGATCGTCTACTTTCCACCCGCCTTGCCTTCTTTCAACATGGATCCCGACCGTCTGCGGAGCGTCGGAAACTGATAGCTACTGCGGGCCTAATTTCATAGCCATTACACAGAGGAGTTTTCAGGAGGCTTGATATCACACCCTTCCGGCCGCAATGGGATTTGAGTTGCCACCTCGATGAAGGCTGGAGGCGGGTAAGGAATGTAAGTAAGTGGTGTCTGCAGGAACGGACATTTTACTATGTACTCCGTAGGTATTTGCGTATGTGACGCATGAAGGATCCCCCGATGATAAGCCCCTTGGCGAACGTCGGGACCTGGTAAGAAAGAAGCACAAGGGAGGGGGAGAAAGAGAGCAAGCTATCTTGAAGGGGAGCCAGACGAAGAATATATTATCTACTACATATGACTACAGGTATTGTCCGATGTGAACTTACGGATGGATGTACGGAGTCGTGGCGGGTGGTTAGCGTTGAATGTGTAACCGCCGGTAAAGTGGTATAGTGCTACGACTCCGTAATGTCCCACCGTCTGGGCGGCGGTAACAGGCCCAGTCCCTGGTTCCGGACGCCTTCCCAGGGGGGAACACAACGAATCGTGGATGCCGGCGTCGCCCAAAAAACCCACGCACGCTAGTGAAGAGAGGGCCCCCTCTTACGCCCCCCCCCTCCCCAAGGAGAAGACGAAGACGAAGAAGAAGGGATATCGAGGAGAAGGGACAGTAGACGGAGAATCAAGAAGAACGCCGAGAAGGCAAGTGGCTGCCCCGTTTACTCGTATCTCGCAGGATCGAAAGGGAGCTAGTTTCGCGCGAAACAACCAGCAGTCGAACGCAAAGAGAAGAAGAGCCAAAGAGAAGGAGAAGAGTAAAAGAGAAAGAGAAGAGACCAATCGATAGGCCGGATCTTCGTTACTCACTCCTGTCCGCTTTCTTCATTTCCTACTAAGTTCTTTCCTCGATCAATCCTCGGTTTTCATTTCTCATTCCCCAAATTATCGCATCCCTCCCTCCCTGGCGCCATTCCATCGTCTCCTGCTGCTGCTGCTGTTGTTGTTGCTCTCTGCCCGCTTTCAATTTCCACCCACCCCCCTTCCTCCCTTCCACTCTCGCCTTTCTCTCGCCTGTCTTCCTTCCAATCAATCCCCAGTCGTCTTTGTCTCTCCTTACTAGTGCTGCCTCCTCGCGGATCTGCTTCTAGAAGCTAGCCGCCCCGTTACCCACCAGCCCTCCCCAGCAAAACTTCCACTGCCTTTGCAATCTTTCCCGGTCTTGGTCCCCCATCTACCCGCGGTACTGAAGTCCGACGTGGATTTCCTCCCTCCTCCAAACCTTCTTCCAATGGTCCTCGTCCGCTTTACTTAAGGAAGAACAATCGGAGTCAATCAAATTCGCCTGCACGGATTGCCATAATGTCGAATGCGTGAGTACCTACCTACCTCTCGTTATGGAACACGGCCACGTCTCCGGGTTCAACTCAGCCGCCGACGCTTTCTAACGATCCACAGCATCGGTTCAGCATGGCGGTCCTTTTGGCATACAATGACTTCTTATGATCGCCATGCATCCCACGACTCGCCATATCGAACGGGCAGGCATGTGCCTCTTAGCCAAAGTCGACACGAGCCTCTCACGTCCATTGCAACAAGCGCCATCGAATCTCGGCCGGATCTGACCTCCCCCTATGACGATGACCAGCCAAAAGGCGCAAACGGCTGGTCCGGCTCTCCCACAGGGGCCGGCTCACCCAATCGCCCATACTCTCCTGGCATGCGATCCATGTCGTCTCAGAAGCGCCAATCCGCGGATCCCAATGCAGACGGTGTTCCGGAGATTCAGATGCAAAGTTTCCATGATGGCGCTCCGCCCCCTCCGCCCATCGCTCATTCATGGAGGAAAATTGAAAAGTGGTTGGAGAATAATTACACAGAACTTTGGGATAATCTATGCGAGGGTTGTACCCAAAATGACATCAACGAACTGGAGCATGAACTGGACTGCAGCCTACCCTTGGAACTGCGGGAGTCCTTGATGATTCATGACGGCCAGGAGCGTGGGGGTCTGCCCACCGGTGTCATCTTTGGCTGTATGCTCCTGGACTGTGAAGAGATTGTTCAAGAATGGAAGAACTGGAGGACGGTCAATGAGGAATTCTTGAGCTCAGCTATGATGAACCCTCCTCCCCCGAAGACCACTCCCAGTTCTTCATCCGCCGCGCCGCCTGCCCAGAACACGAATCCTATGTGGAGAAATGACCTGCTCGAGCGACAGGACTCGCAGCCCCCGAATGCAGTCCAGAAAGCCTATGCCCACCCTGCCTGGATCCCTCTGGCCCGCGATTGGGGCGGCAACCATGTGGCCATCGACTTGGCCCCAGGGCCTGCTGGAAAGTGGGGTCAGGTTATCATCTTTGGTCGGGACTACGATTGTAAATACGTTGTCGCACGGTCCTGGGCTGCCTTCCTTGCTACACTGGCGGATGACATCTGCAGCGGCAAGGTCTCCGTGGATGAAGAAACGAGTGAGATGAAGCTTTTGGAGTTCAAGTCGCAAAATGTGGAACCCCCTTACCTGGAGATCCTACGGTGGAGAACAGATCAGAAATATGGCAGGAGGCCACCTAGACGCAAGGCTCCGAATGGTCTGGGTTTGAGTACGGGCAGCAAGTCGGGTAAAGAGTCCCCCTATGGCAGCCCAACTCCTAGCGAAGAGCGTGGAAGGTCGCCGCATCGGTTCCCGAATCGTGGGTCTACCCAGAGCCCCAAGACTCAGTTTGGCATCTCAAGTCCGCTGGCTCGCGTGACAGAGGAAGCAACAAGCCCTGTGCACACCATTGTGGAAGCCGAGGTCCCAGAGCAGGCGGCTAAGGAGAACGAAGAAGAGCCAACGTCGGATGATTTGATGGAGGTAGCAACGCCTCGGATCAGTGGAAAGGAGAACGACGGAGTTGCCAAGAATGAGGACGGGCGCCAGTCATTGGAATCGGACAAGGCGCAAAAGCGTGAATCGAATCAACCGACTTCGGCCACTGGCTTGGACGCCGAGGTCTTGGGTGAAATGAAAAATGTAGCGATCTAGACCTCGTTTTGAGCGGTTGTTGCTTTGCCCCCTTTCCCGGCTCGCCCATTTCATCTTTATCATGAGCATCTTGCGTTTGCGTTACTAATGCGGAGTTTTCTGACATTGTCTCCCAGTCAAAGTGTACCAGGCGCCCGTATGAAGTCGATGGATTTGTGTGAACACTCTTCTGACCTACGTGTATAAATCCCTAGCATTGCCATTCTCCCTGATTCCTGTGGCCGTTTCTCCTTTTTCCTTCTTCTGTTGTCCTTTGCAGCTTCCAGCAGCCTTTATCTCTTTCTTTGCTCAGGATGGTCACCTGCGATCTGTTTCCTTCACATAGCTGTAACTTTACCTCAACGATGACGCTGTATTAGTTCACTTCAAGTCTCCTCCAATCTTGCTGTAGCCTTTCACCTTCAACATCGATACTTCCTCAGTCATGGCTGATTCTTAGCCTGTTTCGCTCTGTGATTAATCTAGTGGACTACGGTGTATCTACCGCCAACACCCAGTGATTAACTTGATATATTCGGTGCCGCGCCATATGCGCCAGTATTGATTCCCACTTCGAGTCCGATACTAGTACTGTTGCTTGCTCGCTCCGATTCTAGCCACCGGTTATGAACACGCATCAATTGGATACCACCGAAACGTATCTGGACCAGAGAGGTTCATGACCCGGAAATACGGGGCTTTATAATCCATCACCAGGTGAACTGCTGCGGGCGGTTACGCGCCTACGTCGGCGTCCATAGCCAAGTGTTGAATCTTGAGCCCCTAATCCTGTTTCTAATCCCGCTTGGGCTTATCGAGGGAACAGTTGCCTCTCGCCCCCAAAGCTAGGCTGCCTTGAGTGATAGGGCAGGTTTATAAAGGCCATTGAGTTCAATCCCAATCGTCATCATCGTCGTCATCGTGCCTGTAGTTCCTTGCGTTCCCGCTACGAATAGCTCGCTTCCCCCGATCTCTGCGATCCCCATCGTCGCTATCTTCCTCCGACTGGTCAGAGCCGTTGTCTCCAGCTCGGAATTTCTCCTGAGCGAGGATCCCTTTCCAAATGAGTCTCTTCTCGAGAGTCGCGGTGCTGAACCCGTCGGTGCCATCTCGACCCCCGGACGCAAGGCCTTCAAACCCGACTAGTCGCTCAACTCCCATCCCATCCTTGAAACCAATCACGCATGGCAGAACCCGGATCTTCAACCGCTCCACCACAAATGGAGTATTCCGCACATCCACCCGAGCAAAGCGCACCTCATGGTGCCATGCCGCTAGCGCTCGAATATGCTCGTCCATCGTGCTGCAGCGCGCGAAATCCGGATGCGCAAAGTGAATCACGCACCGGTGGGTTTGGGTTGTGAAGTCTAGCAGGGCCTGGTCACTTGCGATAGTGGGATAGAGGCTGTCTTCGACAATTGTAGGTGCGGCCGCATCACGAGGTCGGTTGTTGCCTTGGGCCGACGCAAATTCGGAATTGAGCTGCTCAATCCGGTGTGCTCGATAGGTTGAATCATCTTCGTTCTCTAAGGCGCTGAATAAGGCGTCGTCGTCATCGATATCATCCTGGTCTCGTGCCAGGGGTTTGTCTTCGACGGCGCGGCTCATGGTTGATTACTGTAGGGGACGTTCGCGAAAAGGTGTGAGGACGGAGGCGCAATCCCTGGAACACGGGGATGAGGTTTCTGACTGAGAGAAATGTGATCCTTCAGAGCACGAGGAGAGACAGAGTATAGATATCCTGTTGAAAGCGGATGAGGGGAAGCACACTGTGGGCCGTGGGGGCAATTAAATGTTTGGATGCTCCGCGAGAGGGTTTCAACAATTCGAGGCGGGATGAATCCGAGAATAAATATATATAGGTATCGAAAGATTCTTTGTCCAGGCAACGAGCCGGCCCTCTGGTGAATAATTGATGAGCGGGGGAACACGCGGTCGACCAGAAGTATCTATAAGGAGGCAGAATCTACGGCGAGTTATCGGTCGGTATCGATCGCTGGTACGGAGTACGGTACGGAGTATCGCCGGGGTTCCTGACAAAGGTACCGCTACTGCTCGGTACCACGAATGGGGAAATGGTCAGGTACCAGGTGTAATGTCTCGGGATCTCGATCCCCAGCCGCGGTGGGAAACAAGGTGAGTGAGTTACATTGAAGTATCCAGATCCTGATCAAGGCTCATCATAGCTGGGCAGATGAAAGAGACCAAGAAACCCACCAAACATGCAAGGCCAGCACCGGGGACGACGTATGCTCGTGTGTGTATGGGAGTCTCGGCCAAGTTTAAAAATAACCGACTGGATTCTTGCCGCTTCCGGAAGAGGCGGTTGTCCAGCCCAAGAAGGCAATTTCAAGTTCATTTCATCTCATTTCCCCCTTCATCCTTCGTCGCGATACTCTCTTCCTCTCCCTCCTCTTATTCCCCCAGCTTACCCTCTTCATTACCATCCTCTCTTCCCTCCCCCACCCACCCTCCTCTCCCCTTCCCCCACTTCCCCTTCTTTTCTTTCAACGCCTACCCGATAGTCTGAACATATTCCGGGCCGGTGTTGTTCGTGTTTCATTGCTTTTCTTTTCCTTTTCGACTTTCGCTCCTCCGGCGCCGCCACTATCGCTGCCACGCCTCGTCCCTTTCCCGCGGACGATATTGTTCTTCCTGCTCCCGTTGCATAGACATTCATTGAGTCGGTCACCATGGCGGAAGGCAAGAAGACGGACGACTACACGATCCAGATGGATTCGATAGACCAGGGCAACAAGAGTTTCGAGGCGCCGCCGCCGCCGCCTCAGCCTAGGAGTCCGCCGTCGGGCTCGCTCTCCAACAATCCCGTCTTGCCCGTCCTGGCCTACTGTGGATCGTCGATTTTGATGACTGTCATGAACAAATATGTTTTGTCCGGCACCGATTTTAACCTGAACTTTTTCCTTCTCTGTATCCAGGTATGTTGGTGGATGTCAGACACAGACCTCGGGGATGGGTGTGTAGTAGGTGAACAATACAGGCTGACCGCTGTTCGATATCCTTCTATAGTCTCTCGTTTGTATCATCGCGATTCAGACCTGTAAATCATGTGGCTTGATCACTTATCGTGACTTCAGTGCGGACGAGGCCAGAAAGTGTAGGTGTTCGAAGCAAGCCCATCTATGTTTAACCTTCGCGCTCTCGACTGACATGCCTTCGATCACGACTAGGGTTCCCAATCACTCTACTTCTGATTGGCATGATCTATACCGGCTCGAAGGCCCTTCAGTTCCTCTCGATTCCCGTATACACTATTTTCAAGAACCTGACAATCATCCTCATTGCGTACGGCGAAGTGCTCTGGTTCGGTGGCTCGGTCACCGGTCTTACCCTCTTCTCCTTCGGACTGATGGTCATGAGCTCCATCATTGCCGCCTGGGCCGATATCAAGCACGCTGTTGAAAGCACCGGAGATGCGACTGCCAAGGTGTCAACTTTGAATGCTGGTTATATCTGGATGCTGATCAACTGCCTCTGCACGTCCTCCTATGTGCTGGGCATGCGCAAGCGGATCAAGCTGACCAACTTCAAGGACTTTGACAGTATGTTGCTCATATCCAAAGTGTCTTAGATTGAGACCTGTACTAACTTACTGTCCTTGTAGCGATGTTTTACAACAACCTTCTGTCGATCCCCGTCCTGATCGTTCTGTCTGGCTTCCTGGAGGACTGGTCGTCCGCCAATGTCAACCGCAACTTCCCCCCGGTGGACCGCAACAGTATCGTGTTCGCTATGATTCTCTCGGGCTTGTCGTCCGTGTTTATCTCCTACACCTCCGCCTGGTGTGTTCGCGTCACCTCGTCAACCACCTACTCCATGGTTGGAGCTCTGAACAAGCTGCCCATTGCCATCTCGGGGCTCATCTTTTTCGACGCTCCTGTCACCTTCCCCAGTGTTTCGGCTATCGTTGTCGGCTTTGTTAGCGGCATCGTCTATGCCGTGGCCAAGATCAAGCAAAATGCCAAGCCAAGAACTGGTGTTTTGCCGACCGCCAATCCCCCCGTCAGCGCTAGCAGCCAGAGTATGAGAGACTCGCTGCGATCCTAAACGGAGTTTTTGGAGCATAACGAGGCAACCGGTCGTCGTGATCGACTTCATTCTCGTTAGGCTTTCTCCGTATCGCGAGCGAGAATCTACTCGTTACTCGCATATGATATGTGATGCTTGTTTCGTTGTAGTTGGCTGGGCTATTTTTTTTTGGCCCTGGAACACAGCTATCAGTCCTACCTTGGCAGGTGTTGGTAGTTGTGTATTATAATTTCACATGTCGAGCTACCTGAGAGGGCTTCTCGTACTGTCCTCAGCCTTTAAATTCTGTTGAGTATCTACCCCGATCATGACCTTTTTCACATACATTTCTTTTGCTTCGGGATAGCAGATGGCTTCCATTTGAGTATCATCTAGTAATGTTGTGGATTGATATGATATGTCTTTATTTCCGATCATGGCGTGTTCTATGCTCCCACCTGTGACGAGGCCTGAGGAAGGATTCGTGCGGTTGAGCATTCATTAAAAAAGGAAGGCCTGTGTTGGTGTTCAAGCCTGTATATAAGAAGGTTTTATGTCTTTTAATAAGCTTATAGAAAGCGTGTTTTGGATGACATGACAGTGGAACTTTCACCACACAGGTGTACAGGAAGATAGTAGCGGACAGATCCCGTAGTCTGCGTTCGGAGAACTTCCAAATTAATCCCGCCACATGAATAATGAAAGATATCACAAAAAAAGAGTGAAAACGAATTATGAAACTTCTAGCCATATACATATATATAACATCTCTACTTACCCTGCTCACTAGTACTCCGAGTCCCGACGACCCTTTCATTGGCCCAAGCGCAATGAGAATAGTATGTAAGATCCTCGACACTGCTGCTGCGACATGCACCTCGGAATATAAAGAGGGAAAAAAAAACTAACCACGACAACAACCTCCATCATCCACAAACCACCCCAATCAACCAAACACCAACATACAAGAACCACAACCAGCTCTTCCCTTCCCTCTCCTATGTATTACTAGGAAGCAAAGACTAAGAAACCAAGCGGGAAATATTGGAAGAAAAAAAGAAGCAATGCCCAAATTCAAAAAGGGAGGAGGTCCGGCCCCCGCCGGCGCCGCCGTTCACCAACATCCAAAGAAACACCGGAAAATGCACATGTTTTCTAAACTCTCGACGACGAGTTCTGCGGCTGCTGCTAAAGCTCCCCAGGGACAGGGAGTGGGTATTGCGCATCCGGAGAAGAAGAATGGCAGTGATGGGAAGAAGCCGTCACAGAAGCAGCAGAAGCAGCAGAAGAACCAGCGGCCTGTGGTGCCGTTTGGGAGGAAGGATCGTATCTTGTTGGTCGGGGAAGGTGAGTTGAGTCCCGTTTTTGTTTCATTTCACCCCCTGGCACCGGTCTCGTTGTTGGTGTTCATGCTATGGGTATGCCGTGGCTGGCTAGCACGCTCTCTAGATGCTACTGTAGAGTTTCCCCTGATGTGTTGTTGGATCCATTGAGTGATTGCGTTGGCCGATGGAACTCTTGATATTTTCGCAGACTGCCGGCCGCTGCCTGTTGATATTTCCATATTCAGAGCGCAGAAGTCTACAGTCTACTGAACCCAAGTTCCATTGATCCTCGTTTGCATCCCTCTATCTTGGTCCTGCAGGCGGGAGGTGCCGGAAAATCACGTCGAAGATTTGTTTCATTAGATACAGTCCTGACTAGATTGGTGTAGGCGACTTCTCCTTTGCTCGCTCATTAGTCCTTCAACACCACTGCAAAAATGTCATTGCTACATGCTATGACTCCAAAGAGACGCTCTACGACAAGTACCCTAAAGCGGAGCATATTATTCACGATATCCTGGATGCCTCTACAAAAAGGCCAACAAATGCGGATGTTCCCGATAGTAAGGGCACATCGTCCCCAAGCGCTGAAAAGGGAACGAACAATAAAGATGAGGTCGGGAATCATAACGCACAAGGCTCCATTGAGGACCAAACGCAACGCCGTGGTCCAAAAGTTCTTTATGCGGTTGACGCTCGAAAACTCGGTCTTCCTGGGGGTGGCGGGAAAGAAATCCGCTCCGGCTTTTCACGGCGAGAGCGTCAACGCCCGGCATGGAAAAAGGCAAAGGATGGTGCTTCATCTTCTGCATCAAAGGGTGGGCCCTGGGATGTGATCTGCTTCAACTTTCCTCATGTCGGCGGTCTCTCCACCGACGTCAATCGGCAGGTGCGCGCCAACCAAGAACTTTTGGTGGCCTTCTTCAAAGCGTGCGTGCCCTTGTTGTCGCATCGTCCCGAACCTGCGGGTAGTGATGATGAAGAGGATTGGGACGACTGGGAGAACTCTGAACCTGTACCAAGCCAAGACGAAGACGATGGTGATGGTGACGGCGACGGCGATGGGGATAGCAACCAACTGCGGTCGGCAAATACCACTGGTCAGGCAACATGCCAACCTAGAGTCGAACCCGGGCAGATCCTAGTGTCCATGTTCGAGGGGGAGCCTTATACCCTCTGGAATATCAAAGACCTTGCAAGGCACGCCGGCCTGCGGGTGGTCACCAGTTTCCGATTTCCGTGGGCTTGCTATAGGGAATACTCCCATGCGCGGACCCTGGGCGACGTTGAGGGGAGGCATGGGGGGAGAGGTGGCTGGCGAGGTGAAGATAGGGACGCAAGAATGTATGTATTCGAGGTCAAACAGGAAGACCATTCGGTAGGGAGGAGGAACTTCCCGTCCTCTAAACCTGAGACAAGTGTGAAAAAGAAGAGGTCAAGGGACGCGTCTGAGAGTGAAGACAGTGAATAGAAGCGTCAACGAAAATTTTTTTCGCTGTAGGTAGAGTCCCACGGTGCATATCAGCCAAAAAGGATAAATAGAGATAGGACCGACATCAATTGTTCACGTAGCCTTGGTACCTGCCCATTACTACATGATATAAACCTTCTTCATATCACTCTCATTGAAGACCTCACCGGTTGTGGGGTCCTTGACTTTGCCTGCTTCAACACATCCGACCTTCTTACTCATCTCCAACAGCCGCTGTTGACCATATATCCTACCATTGGGCAAAACAATCGGGTCGCTTTCAACGTAGCTCTTTGTGTGGTGCGCGTATGGCATGTTGCGAGCAAGTTCGTTCAGCTCGGTCGAGCAGATCGGGCAAACAGATGTCGTTGTGGACAGTGAGTTTGAACTGGAGGAGGTGTAAGCCGAATGGCACGAAGGGGTCTTGAGGGCCGACAATCCCGCAGAAAGAGCTATATGCAACAAAGGGCGAGATGACAAGGACAAGAGCTCGTGATGGGTGCGAACGAAGAGGTCCGACAGATATGTCCATCTCTCAAACGCATACAACGACTAGGACTGGGTTAGCTTGAGCGTGACGTAATGAATATCTTCATATTACCTTGTAAGGCTCAGCCTTGGTGTCGGGGGGAAAAGCGAGGAGCCCTGCAGCTCGATGAATTTCCATTGACTGTGTCTCTATATATGGAGCCAAGTATCTTTTGGCGTGGATCATTGCATCAACGAACTTCTCCTTATGTCCCGTTCTGACCATTTCAATGTATTGCTGCAACCGCAGTTCGAACTCTAAGTTGTACTGTATCCAACCGTCAGATTCGAAGCCGAAAGTTTGGACTGAGACGGTCGACAAATATTGTACGAACCTGGCTCTTCTTCAATGCTGCCTTATTTTCGCCGCACCATTGCAAAGCATCCTTTGTCTCACCACAACGGAGGCTCTCGGCGATCCGTTGACACTGCACAAAGACGTTGAGATCCACTAGATCCTCAATGCCTTTCTCATGGGCTAACTGCTGGGCACTCTCGGTATATCCAGAACGTAGCATATGATCCACTATGAGCCGGTCCAGGCGGACTCTCGCCCAGTTATCGTACTTGACATCTGCCAAGCTAGGAATCTGATGGAGCCTTTCCAAGTGCTGGATACGCTTCCGGGATTGCTCATGGATCTTCTTCTCCTCTTGATGTAAGTTCTCCATTTTCCGCTTCAGGCCTTGCATCCGGGAAATCATAGCATCAAGCGCAGCAAGGGCTTGGTCGGGCGTCTGATTATTTGACAAGGAGGCATTAGCGGTCTGTTTGAGTGCGGGGAGGACGTATTCCTTCTCCCGCTCGACGAGCCGCTGGACAGATTTGAAGTTACGTCGAGCAAGCTCGTGCGGCAACCGCAGGAGAGGCTGGTCCTGTATTGAGGCGACAAGGTCAGTATCTCAAATGCGGGGGCAAGCCAGCGAGAGGAAGAGGGGACGACTAGTGGATTACCAAGAGCAGATGGTTCTCCGCATTCAACCGGGTGGACGTCAATTCCGCGGCCATGGCGATCGGAGGTGGACTGGTATTCCGGCCGTCTTACGAGGTGCTTGCAAGGCTCACCGTCGATCGAATCGATAGTTACTGAGGTCTGGCTTTGGGGAAGGGTAAGAGAGGGGAGGGGGAAGGAGGGGGAGCAGCAGGTGGAAGTGGCCCAACGTCGTGACCGAGTGATGCGGAGACACCGCCCAGGTCACGGGCCCCTCCGGTCACGGTTACTCGGGCGCGACTACGAAAGCTCATATTCAAGGATCAAACTGGGGAAAAGTAACTGAAACGACTAACGTCCGACGTACAGAACCGCGACAAACATTTATTTAATAAATAGATTCCCTTTTCAAACCCAAGACTCCGACACAAAGAAACAAGTATGTTACAGGAATCATACCCAGGCGACGCTCTGACAGGCGAAGACGGATGGAATGGCGGCAGCTTTCCATTCCGAGGCAGGTAAAGTGCTTCCCGAAAGTGCTTAATCACTGTCATCACTCTCTTCCTTCTCCTGCTTAGACTTCCTGCGCTCCTTCTTCTCCTTCTTCTCCTTCTTCTTGCGCTTGCGCTCAGCGCGCTCCTCGGGCGTCTCTCCCTCGTGGCGCTTGCGCTTCTTCTTCTCATCGTCGTCTTTCTCATCATCGACATCCATCTTGTTGTCGGGGGATGAGGGCACTTCGGTCGGCTCGGCAGGAGTAGAGGTTTCTTCTTGAGCAGTAGATTCGGTCACGGCCTGCGCACTTTCTTCAGGGGCGCTGTAATCCTTGTAGTCGTTCTTCCACTTGGCGGGTGTGGCATCGTTAGTACGGCCGTACTTCTGTATTGGTTGTCAGTAAATCCAGCTCATATGTAAGTGTCCGCCGAGCCCAGGGAACTTACATCCAGCTTTCCTGCGGACTTGAGCTTCTTCTTCTCTAGAGCAACAGGTCCCAAGCCCCAGCGGCGAGGGTACAAGTCGCGCTCCATGATACAACGCTTGACCTTGGCAACAACGCCGTGGTCGCAGGTAGACAGCTCGACAGTCGACATCTGAGCAATACCAATGGCAATAGCCTCACCCTTGGTGGTCATGAGGACGACCTCCTCATTGACCTCAATACCAGCCTCTTCACAGGAAATTAGCAACCGCAAACTTGCATCAACATGGGAGAGGAAATCCTACCAAAGCGGAGGAGACCAGGGACCATGAGCTTAGCACCATAGCACACAGCGTTAACGGCACTGTCTTTGACAACAATACGTTTGTATGTCGTGAGGAGGGTCTCCAGAGGCTTAATAACCTTCCTCAGATAAGACTCGTCCCGTTGGTTGTCATACATCCATTGGGCGTCCAACACGTCGTGCAAGGTGACCATTCCACTGTTCTCATCCATAGCACCACTCCGTACACGGCGGAGTTCCTGCATGTGCGCACCAACACCAAGCAGGAGACCCAAGTGAACACAGAGTGTTCTGATGTACGTTCCGGCTTCGCAGCTAACCCAGAAGACACCGAGATGCCTCTCATTGTCGAATTCGTAAAGCTTACTCTCGTGGATTGTCCGGATACGAAGCTGGCGCTTGACGGCAGAGATCAATGGCGGCCGCTGGAAAAGGGCTCCGGTCAACGTCTCGAGGGCCCGCTTGAACTGTGCCTCTCCACCGGGGATCTTGTCATGAAGGCGGATCACGCAAACATATTCCTTTCCGGCACCTTGTTGGGACTTCACCAGGCGAGTAGCACGGTCAATGCAGACAATCAAGCAACCGGTGACCTTAGGATCGAGAGTTCCACTGTGCCCAGTCTTCTCCGCCCTTAATTCAACGAGTCTCAGTACCCTATTTTTTTTTGAAAAGGACGCGATAGAAATATTACCTCAGGATCCTCTTCATCCAGGCAACAACTTCGTGACTGGAAGGATTGGATGGCTTGTCCAAGTTGATGACACCGGAGTTGATGTACGACTTCAGGTCACGCTTCAAAGGAGTGCTACCGGCGGGAATCGGCGTGAAGTGACCGGTCCTGACAAGCACTGATATAAGAAAATCAGCACCAGCTACATTGATATGAGATGTGGCCTCGAAGTGAACGTACGCTTGTCATAATTCTTCAGAAGAAGCGGCCACTCCGACGTATCGATTTTAGAGGCACCTGCCTCAGGCTTGATCATGTAGTCCATCTCCTCCTTAGCCACTGCGACCGCCATTTTAAACAGGCTGGCTTGAAGGGTGCAGAGATAGCCGGGTAAGTGCGCGCGTTGAGAGAAGGCGCAGGAAAAATTGCACGCTCTGAACTAAAGTTTTGTTCTCGCGCTAGCGAGAAAGAAAGTCTGGGAAATTTTGAAGTGCGGCGAAAGCTCCTGCGACTAATCAGGTTAGAGCAAATTTTTCACCCGCTGCCCCAGCGTCCCGTGACTTAGTTTCTGCGCCTTGCAAAAAATGTGCATCTCGTAACATCCGTACAAGAAAGTTTCGGGACAGTAACATTGAAAACCATACCAAATACTGGGTGGTATCATATCGTTCCACTTGCATCAGTAGCCGCTACGGGTCTTTTACGCTCTAGTCACTAGGGCATGTCACGCAGCTTCGCAAAGAATTTGACTATCAACATGTACTGATCATTAATCGAGTGTTGTACTCAATTTGATAGCAGCAATTATTGCTCGCTTCGCCGGTCCTCCTGACCCAAAATCTGGTCGAGTTTTCGACGCTTTGGTATCGACGTCCCCTTGTTTAATCACCTCCAAGTCTTCGCCCAGGGCCTCGCCGGTTCCATGGACTTTGGAAAGACGAAGTCCAGCCACCGGAGGAGTTTTGGGATTGGTCCGCCGCACGATAGGCAGTTCCAAAGGCGCGCGCTTCACGTCGCGGGGTGTGGGCAGCAAAGAATCGCCTCACAAACACCGGAGTCACAAGATAATTCTTACCACCTCCGAATGTTGGATAGATACGGGTAAGAAAATCGTACATATGAGCGGCAACTATGCCCATGCCGTCTCTCAACGCCGCGGGCCATCCGGAAAGAACCAGAGTCAATGTGAGCATCGCCCACGGTAAGAACTCGACGGGTATTTGAACGATGAAGAAGCTCGCCTTCTTACCGCGGTTGTCTTGAGAATATGTGTAGACGAATGCAAGGATCAATGCTAAGAAACATCAGTATGAGCGGGCACGCATATAGTACCACGGAAGGCTCACCGGAGGTAAATATTACACTATTCAGGAGACAACCTGCGGTGACCTTTGGCTTGTTAGTTCCCGCAATTCAATGAGTCTATATGGAGAAGCGTGATTGAGAGATGTAAACGGTCTATGAGATATTGACAAACGAGTAGAATATATAGATGTAGGGCACCATAACCACCAGTGTGAACCGAATTCATCACACTAGCTATCTCACTGGTCGTCCCACCATACTTGCAACGCACATAACTCCGGTAAATCAGTTGTGGAGCTATGAGGGATGCAAGGGTGATCTCCCTCGTTTCCAGGAACCGCTTCAGCTGAGTATGCGCTGGGCGGGCAGATATTCGAGGTGACTTGAAGAAAAAACATAAAAAAAATAAAAGAAAGGAACTGATAGTGGAATGGCATATGCAAAGCAACAAGAGGCGAGGGACAGTGCCTTCTGACAAGATGACACAGAAATGGGAGGTTCCCACAACTTACCGCGATCGTGAACGCTACGAAAAACACATAGGTGAAAAAATCACCGGGTGCACTGAAGCGAGGGGACTCGGTCTCCAGGCGGCTGCCATAGGTAAACACTACCGGCAGTTAGCACGCCTGTCCACTTGACCAGCGCAATATCGTACTAAAGTAGAGATCAAAAATCAAGGAAAGGCCTGGTCCAGTGATCATGAAAGGTGTAAACAGCCTCCATATTTCGGGTATAGTCTTGAAGACAAGGTGGCGTAGAAATAACACATAATAACCACTGAGAAGACCACCATGTACAAATACAGACTGTAAAAAGGTAAGTAAAGTGAGAGTCCTGGATACAGTCAGTCAAGGAACCTTGTGGTTGAGGTCATGGTCAAGTACCTAGTAACAGGAGGAGCAGCCCAAAACTGGTCCATTGTAATTTATCAGTAACTGATATACTGAGCAGTCACAGATATAATTGTGTAGTAAGAGGTGTGAATAGATATTCAAGACACATCATCAAGTGTCCTAATAGAACTGCAGGGGTGGTTGAACAACAAGGGCTGGAGGGGAAAAGAAAGGAACAGAAAGCAAGTTCTTATAGTGTGTGTGGAAATACTAGCCTCATTCCGGCAGTTATTTCTCCGTTCCGACATGTGGGACCCACAGGGTTAGAGAGATCCCCTTGTCCGGTGAAGTACGCAAGGCCAGTGATAGTTCATCTTTCAAAACGACAATCGTTACATAGGAGGTTGCTAGTAGAGATACAAATCTCGCCATTTCGCACCAACAATGAAAAACGAACAATGACAAAAAAGCTTCATACCATGATGTCCATTTGAAGGTAACAAAACTTCACATATAGATGAGTTTTCTTAGCTCAAATGTTAAGTATAGGTGATTCCTAATCATGTTACATATGAATATCCCCAAAGAACATGTCCACAACACAACGTAGTTATTGATATGGGTCCTACTGAATGTATTCCGTACCGGTAGGACGAGTTTGCATACCCGCTGACTTGTCGCCAGTCTAACTTTCGCACACATCAAACCCATCTAGCATGTCTCGATATGCATGAATAGAGTTCATTCCCCATATGAGCGGCAACATATAGTGAGTTGCTTTTACCCAAGAGGTGACTGGAACTCGAGGCTGTAAGAGTATCGTTGCCAAAAATCCGCTTAACATGGCCAGTGGCTCTTTTTCTCTCCCAGTCTGAGCAGCCTCACTGCGCTCTTACTCAGACCACTTTTGGGCCCGTTCAGGTCATACACCATATTGAAGTGCCGGACTCCTTCCATTACCACGATCCCATCAGCTCTACGTAGGGCTAGTTTTGGCAGTACCGCGAACAGCAAGTCTCCCGTCCCTGCCCTCAATCCATACATCCCAAGCTGTGTGGCCTTTGCCGGGTTTGGGCTTGCCACAGACTCTTAATTCCTCTTCGACATAGAGAGGGACTATGTTCTTATACTCCATTCCAGTGATAGTCAATCCCAGCTTACACAAGTGGTCCTGCAGTGCCGTGAGAAGCAACGTTAAAGTCAGCGGTCCATGTACGAGGAGGTTCCGATAGCCTTCCACATTTTGTGCGTACGCCTTGTCGATATGTATTGAATGCGCATTGAATGTAAGAGCCGAGAAACGAAATAACAGGGCTTTATTAGGCGTAAGCCTGTGGAGAAAGTGCGGATCTGAAGGCGCTGTGAGCCACCGAGGGATGTTAGCAAGGTTATCGTGACTGGTAATGTTCATAGTCATGGCGCACATTTAATGGCTCTATCGTCCGTGTCAAATCTAGCCTTGTCATGACAGATTTGCTCTGGGGTTTTCTCGCGCATGAAGACTAGATTCCTGTTCTCAATGACAGAGGCTTGGCCAGTCTCATCCTCGGTTTCCGTCCATATCCGTTCTCTGATACTGCGATGGTCTTCACCCTCTTGGACCGTGCCGATCCGTCTTTCGATTCTGACGAGTACCTTCTCCTCCCCTGGCCGGCCTTTCACTATCACGTCACGAATAGTTTCGATGCAGGCGGCACGGTTACCGTTGAGAAGTAGGGCATTGGAAATCGGAAATTGGACATTGCCCCCAGCCCAAAGCCGCCTGCCAAAGGGACTTCCCGGGGCGTGCAAATTATCTGTACCGTCCGGCAGTAACTGCGACAGGGTGACTTGGGGAGGGAAGTAAACCAGATGATGGCCTGCCGGCATGCGAGATGGGCTGCGGGAGGAAGGAAGCTCATTCGGCGCTGGGGTTAGCGTGGGAAGGAGATCGGCCAATGTTAAGCTCAGGAGATAAGACGACTGGGGATGTATATAATCGAACGTCAAGGGAAGCTGTCGCGAGGTCAAGTCCTGATATAGCCGATCGGAAAGAGATGAGCATGCACGCCTTGTAGCTGGTAGCAACCTCGGTTGTTGTTGCTGCTGCCATGGGCACAGCAGTCGCCCCATCCGCCTGGGGTCGAGAGCGAACACACGCATGGGCTTCATTTGATAAGAGAACCAGGCCCTGGCGGACAGGTGAGATCATCCAAAAAAGAAAGCAACCCCTCCCGTGAACGGGTTCAAATTTTGACTAGTTATGTCAGCCGTAATGATTGTCGCAGGAACAACACACAACCTCTTGGCAAGAGTTCGGGATCGTGACAGAAGCAACCCAAGCCCAGTGGAACTACCACGAGCGCCGTCATGGAGCCTCTCAAGGTCGCATTCCTCGGCCCTGCCGCATCATTTTCTCACCAGGTCAGGAAACTGCTCGACCAGCCTTCGTCTCGTAGTGTCATTAACCCTGATTCTTATAGGCAGCGGTTGAAAGCTTTGGATCCTCGGCCGAACTATTGCCCCATGTGTCGTTCCCGGATGCTTTCGCAGCAGTGCAGGCAGACAGAGTCGATTACGCTATAATTCCTTGCGAAAATTCAACCAATGGCTCTGTTGTTCAGACCCTAGACCTCTTGGCGGACCCCAGCGGCCTTTACAGCGATGTGAAAGTGTGTGGGGAGCATTATTTGACAGTCCACCACTGCCTCCTGACCCGGAAGGGTCTTTTCCCACCAGGCCAGCGAGATTACAGCTCCATTACCAAGCTGTATACTCACCCACAGGCATGGGGCCAGTGTGAGGGTTTCCTTGAGAGGACTTTCAAGGGCATCGAGAGACAGGATGTCTCATCAACCTCCAAGGGCGCTGGGATTGTGTCGAAAGAGACGACGGAGCGAAGTGGAGCAATAGCCAGTCGATTTGCTGCGGAATATCACGGCCTGGATGTATCGGAGGAGAACATCGAAGACAAGGCTAATAACACCACGCGTTTCCTGGTGCTCAGGAACGTGAACTCGGAGCGTACAAGTCGACTGTCCTTTGGGGATGTCAAGGTCTCCCCGGCACAAGGGCCGACTTCGGTTACACCAACGGCGCAGAAGACACTTATATCATTCATGATTCGCCAGGACTGTCCGGGCGCTCTGGCAGATGCTCTTTTGCTCTTCAAAAACCAAGGCATGAATCTGACGAGCATTAACTCGCGGCCGAGCCAGATAAGGGCTTGGAAGTACGTATTTCTAGTCGAATGCCAATCCGTTCCATCCAGTGAAAATAAGGATTCGGTGTCTGAAATAATTGGCGGACTACAGGAGGTCACGGACGGTTGCAGGCACCTGGGAACATGGGCGGACCAATTCGTATCCGTCTAAAGTATAGTTGATAATATGGCGCGGGCGTGCCTACACTGCTTGTATCTGCCACACTTCGCATAGATGCATTCTATCCATACCCTGAACAGGAGCATGAGTTATAAAGCAGTTAAATTGCCAGGCAGGCCACTTATGTGATGCGCAGCCAGGTTTACAGGCATCTACAGGACCAGTAGTGACAGGGGAAAGGAAAGCAATGTTAGTTTCCTTTGTTTACAAGAATAAGCACACGCAAAAGCATAAAAATCACAAAAAGAATCCAGCACTAGCAAGTACTGGAATAAACAGTCTAAACGTGCTAGCCCAAGTGTTATACGCTCGACAGTCATCAGCGAACAGCTGTAGGTTCCACCTAACAGATCTATCATCCTTTCGAAATGAAATATGAAACCTAGTGTCAACCTAGACTGTCTAAGTAACCTGAGTGAACATGTTACGGAGCTTGGATGGCCCTGCTAGTATAGTGTGAGAAAAGATTAGTCGCTCTCATGGGTAAGATGAAATCGCATACCTCTGGGCAGCTTCACCGAATCTTGACTAGGCAACATCATGGTATCTACCATTGCAGCTATGTTGCCGGGAGAGCCGCCTACACGAATCATGGGGCGAGCCGTCAGAAGATCCACACCGTGAACTTCTGGCCGTTCATCCTCGCTCTCCGCGAGGTCGCTGAACCGTCAATCTGTAGGGAGAGAATAATCAGCACATGGAAGGGCTCATGATCTCTAGAGACATACCGTCATAGAATTCATCCTCGTCGTCATAATCAGCAAGCTGTTCAAAGTTGACCTTGTACCGCAGCAGGGCTCCAATACCACCGAAACCCTTGACAAACTGATTTCCTTCGCTGGACTTGTCGGAGACGAACTCCAGGTTCGCTCCGAAGTCCTTATAGTTTTCGGCAAGCCACTCAAGGAACGACATCTGCTCGTTGACTTCCATCTCGGTGCCAGTTTCCTTGTCCATGAACAACTCACGATTCTCCTCCTGAGCCTTTGTAACGTGGATTACAACATCCGAGCCGCTGGAGCTCTTGAGAACATATCGGGTGACGTCAAGGTTCTCATATACAATCAGAGTCTCCGCTGCGCCAAGTTCCAGTGCCTTCAGGGTATCTTCAATACCGTAGCAGACCTTTCCAGTATCCTGACTGATTTCTTCGAAATATTTCCCGATAAGCTTTTTCTCCTGAACAAACTTGACGTTGCTCAAGGTCTCCGAAGCCAATTCGATAGCTTGGTTGAACCCGTTCTCACCGCCATAAGACACATCGACGACCTTGATGACCTTAGCCTGAAGTCTCTGGTCGAACATATCGGACTGGTTCAGGTCATTCTTAAAATCGGCCGAACCGGCCAAGATGAGACCCGCAACATTGACCTTGTCATTGGTGATGTAGTTTTGAACGGCCAACTCAGCAATCTTGCGCACATAGTTGTGACGTTTTTCCTCACGGAGACGAGCGAAACGCAGTGCTGACTGACCACCACGGCCGTGTTTCTTGGGCAGGTCAACGCTCAACTTTTGAAGAATTTCTCTGGTGTTGCCGCTCAGCGTACCGAACAGTGCACCGTTTCCATCCATGACGATGAAACCAAACTTCTGATCCGATTCAAGAAGCTCACTGAGGGCCTCAGTATGGAACTTATTGTCACAGAGATAAAGAGAAGTGTTAATTGGTTTAAAGGGCTCGAAGTCGATGTTGATCTTGCGCTCCTTTCCTTCAGACGTGATAATTTCACCGCAATAAACTACCAAGCCATTTGGCGGAACCTTGTTGTAAAGCTTGAGACGCTGCTGGGTCGAAGTGATGGCGGACAGCACGGAAAGCCGGTTGACGCGGGATTTGATGTTAGACGCAGTACCCTGCAGTGTCATTAGCGGGGTCTAACAGGGACCAGCCTCGTCTCTTCCTCCGTCGGAGAACTTACGAACTCTTCGGCCAACATCTTTGCTGCTCTAGACACCTGATCCTTGGGAGCTGAGAGGCGATTAATGTTAGTGGCCTTCTAGCAAGGACTTGACTGGACGAAAGACGAACGAATGATAAGAGAGATCATGGAGGTTCCATTTCCTCTGGCAGCTTCAAGCCGTTTTATAAGCTTCTTCACCTTCCATATCTCAATATTCTTCTCCGCTTCGTTCGCCTGAGCCGCGCTCATGTTGGGCGAGGCGACAATATGACACGACCAGAAGAAAGTGGATGCGTGACTTGCTGGTGCTAGAATACCGTCAGCGGCAAGACTTTGGGGGAAAAGAAGAGAGCAGGAATTTCCAGATATCTATGAAGATAGACGGCCCAAGGAAAATTCAGGAAAATGTGGAGGAGCATTCAAGTCACATACCTCGCGGCTGGTCGATTTGCCGTCCAAGTCCAGCGGGGTGTTAAGCAATTTTCATCAGGCACCGTGGGGGGACGGCCAGCGACAAGAGCGACGAATGGGTCGGTAGTCGCCTGTTTACGATGACATAAGCGGGGCCTCGCACAAGGCACCGTAACTCGTTCTTGAGAATGATGTCTATATACTCCACAAGACGGAAATGCAGAAATGAGGCGACATACTCGCATTATGAACCCATCTCTTTGCAAGGAGAGTAGATATGTCTATGATACTGTTTGTGACTACGTACAATTCTCCAGGTACGAGTACTTAGAATCCATCCACTTACTCCGAAGTATGGTTCCTGGAAATACCATACTCCGTAGTGCGGACTGCGGTACTACTTTGTACTGTGCTCCGTATTCCAGGGTACAATACCTTCGACTTTGAAGCCTTGAAACCGGGGAAAAGTGGTCAGGAATCTTGCAAGGGGCTTTTGAATGAATGATTGACAATTGCATAGCAGCTTACAGGCCGTCTGTAGAGCTTCATGCTCATAGCATGGCATGGTCAATACCGAGTGCCTGGGGCATAGATGTGCCTGATGGTATGGCCTCATTAGTACTACGTAAGCTCATCACAATGCTCTGAGGTTGGCCGTGAACGGCCTAATCACCGACCAACCTGGGCGTGACAGTTTATCCCCATCTACCACATTTGGCGTGAGTCTAGGCCTTCATAAGTAGATACTAGTTGCTCGAACATTGGGGACCGTTCAGTATCCGAAAACCCCGACCGCATGTTGGGAGTTCACAGCCAGGGTTGGCTTGAAATTCTCACGCAGCCCCCGTGTACGTGCGGGAAACCGTCTCTGTTATCGCGGACATGAATTCTCTAATATAGAATACATAAATTAATGTGGTGAACCAAATTCCAGGGTTGCTTATCAACAACAAGTAGGATTAACTAAGGTGGTTGGAACTCCATACCTGCAGTAGTACTGTTCCAACCGTCTACCAGAACCCCACATCTCGTTCCCGAAATTCGCAGAGGCTCCCGAGGCCCCTTCTATCTTGGAATTATTTCTCATTGGACTTACCAATCGTGTTTCCCACCCTTTCCTTTTTCGGAGATTACCTGTTTATACCTGGTAGGTACGGAGCACGGAATCCTGTACTTATGCTTATCTATGTCCTGGCCATGGTTCGGGCTTGTCCATTGGTTGCGCCTAGAAGATATCACTGATAACGACGGCCATTGAACTCGCTTTCGCCAGGCTGAGATTACCGGCCACCACAGTGACGCCCTGTTTCCTTTCTGTTGATGGTTGATTTGCTCCCTAGGTAGTCGGAGGAGTACCACATTCGTGATAATAGACCGGGTCTTTCCAACATTTTCTCCATCTCGTCCCTTCGCTATCAATTCATCCGAAAGGTCGACCAAGCAATAACGTAGCTTGGATCACAGGCAGACACTATTGTTTCCTGGCAAGAGACCTGGGAAAGAGAAAAGGACTCACCCCTCCCACCACTCCAACAAAAAGGTCTAAAAAAGATACATAATGCCTGGTTTCTCAACGCCGGCTAGTGCTGGGGCTCAGGCCTCTAGCCCCAATAGGCCTATGATACAAGCCAGGTCGAGTGCCGATTCACCATTTGAATATGAGGTATACCCTACCGGGCTCGCAACCAGCAGTGATTCAAGAGAAGACAGTGGATTTTCGAGGTCCAGGCAAGTCACTCTCCCCGCGCAATGCGGACAATGCCCAGCCCCATAATAACGATATCATACGCCATACAGATCGGCTTCCTTTTCTGCTCGGTTTAGGCAGGCAGGGGGGGTCAACAGCATTGATAACTTTGCTCGGTCATGGCAACGAGCTGCATGCTTTCCAGAAGTCTTACCTCGGCGATCCTCGTTTGTCGCAGACTCCGACGAAGAATGGGCTGTTGCAAGAAGCGATTATCTCAGATCCCAAGATTACCCTACCCACGATGCCGATCTTACACGACCATTGTTGAGTACCGATGGAGAAGCAGAAGACAGTGTTTTGTCTGGCCAATTGTTGAGAAAGAGGGCTTCACATGCAGACATCCTTGAACCACCGCTTGCGGGTTCGTATGGCACGATATCTTCCCGTGTTAGCGAAGTCACACGAAGGCATGCAATACAGCTACATAGGGAGCAACAAACTCTTGGCGACGCATCAGTGGATCACGATAGGGAGCCCATTCTTGTAAAACAAGTGCAACATGACGATGGGACAAGGGAATGTGTTGTTGTTGGTCAATCTACTGTCCCACAGACGATCTTCAATTCCGTCAATGTTTTGATTGGGGTTGGCCTCTTAAGCCTGCCGCTGGCTTTGAAGCATGCTGGTTGGCTTCTTGGCCTGCTATTTTTACTCTTTGCTGCTGTGACGACGTCTTACACTGCTAAGATCCTTGCCAAATGCCTTGACGTTGATCGGAGTATTGTCACTTATGCTGATCTAGCATATATCAGTTTCGGTCATCACGCACGCTTAGTGACAAGCCTTCTATTTTGCTTAGAACTTATTGGGGCCTGTGTTGCCCTGGTAGTGCTTTTTGCAGACAGTCTACAGGCTCTCATCCCGGGGTTGAGCCTTCTCCAATGGAAAATAATATGTGGGCTCTTGCTTGTTCCCCTGAACTTTCTACCCTTGCGATTTCTCAGTGTGACAAGTATCCTCGGTATACTCTCTTGTACTTCCAGTAGGTGCCGTCCCTATCTGAGCCCATATGATTCACAGGAAACTAACGATATTGAAGTTGTTGTTATTGCTTGTATCGATGGATTCATGAAACCGACTGCGCCTGGGTCACTCCGTGAGCCTGCCAGAACATATTTACTGCCAGACAACTGGGCTACTCTACCCCTGAGTTTTGGGCTTATAATGTGTGAGTCAAGTTATGGATACTGACAAATTTAGAATGGTGACTGATTACTAGATAGCACCATGGGGTGGCCACGGCGTATTCCCGAATATATACCGGGACATGCGCCATCCACAAAAGTATGGAAAGAGTCTCTGGGTGACATATCTTTTTACTGTAAGTGATTGAACCGAAACATAGATGTGGGAATCAGTGGAAGATGTACAAAAGAAAAAACGCTTATCATGGGAGCGAAAGATAGATTTTCCAATTCTGACCTGAATGTTGCTTTAGTATTCCCTCGATTGTACAATGGCTGTTGTGGGCTGGATGATGTTTGGAGATGGAGTTCGGGATGAAGTCACTGCGAACATCCTACGCACAGAAGAATACTCGCAAGTTCTATCTATCTGCATGATCGTATTCATCGCCATCATTCCGATCACTAAAGTGCCACTGAAGTAAGTCTGTTTGATATTGTGTCCTCTTTTGTGTTCCGCGCGAAAAAGAAATAAAGACAAAGAAAAATTGGATGAACGATTGATTGACGGGTGCAGCTGCCGGCCACTCGTGGCCACGGTCGAAGTTCTCTGTGGACTTGGGCCACATCCCGAGCTTCAGACAAATCCCAAGAGCACGAAAGCCATGCTCCAGACATTGGCAAAGGCATTAGTACGCATACTTGTCGTGGTCACCATTGTTTTCATGGCAGTCCTTTTCCCCTCTTTTGACAGAATCATGGCACTGATGGGGTCGGCCTTATGCTTCACGATCTGCATCATACTGCCTCTTGCATTCTATCTGAAGATATTCGGCGATGAGATCAGCCCAAGGGAACGAGCACTGGACTGGTGCCTTCTGATATCATCTTCAGTGTTGGCACTGATTGGGACTGCATGGTCATTCCTACCGCAGGATGTCATCTCTGCACTGTGAGCCTCAGGGTAAAGGCTCTTTCTTGCTCACCCACACGACATCATCATGTCACTTGACGACAATTGCGAAATTGTTCCTTGACTTTCCAGGGTTCAGAGTCTCTTTTCTGAAGGGTTTGGGCTCGTAGTCGCCGGCATGATCCCATAGTTGGAATATTAACTTCGATGTTTGTTTGCTCTTTGCCAACACAAACCCCATACTAGACATGATGTCTTGCAGCCGACTTTCTGTGAGGTAGCGCGAATTGGTGACGCAGGCGACTGGCAAAACGAAAAACAAGCTAGGGGTGATAGCGAGAGAGGAGCCAGAAGGAGACGCCTTCGTCATAAATGATACGCAGCGTTTCAACATATCACCTCGACCAGCGGCGTCTGGAACATAGTTGAGCACCAAGGAGAGGCTGATGATATGGAATCTATCGCCTTCATCGTTAGGGAGCGGCCTTTCCATGAAGTCCTGCTTTAAAATGCCCGGTTCTTGAGAATTCAAATCTATCCTAGTGACTTCAAGACATTTGTTCATAGAACAAGCGTTTTTCGTACTTAGAGCTCCAATCTCGAGTACTCGGAGCTTGTAAGGCGTGTTTTCCAGCGGCAGTAATCGAGGAGCCATCCAATCAACTAAGACCCTACTAGAGTCACCTCCACGGTCTGAGGACTGGCCAAGTTTGCTTGCGAGCTGATAGCTTTTCAAGCCTCCATTCCCCCGAATCTGTGCATCGATCTTGCCAGCTAAAATGTCATCGCCAGCCTGTACAGCCTGGGCCCGCGCTTTGAGTAGTCGGTGGTGTGATCGGATGAGATTCCGAGTCGCTTTTGATGACAAGGCTGCATGTTTCGCCTTGACCGTCGGTGGGCGGCTGCCGGACAGAAGAGCGGGCCTTTTGTACCGCTGTCTATTGGAAGAAACCATAATCCGATTTAATCTCTTGTATTCTGGCACACTTTCCCGCGTATGGTGGTGTAAGCGCTCGACCAACTTGTCTCTTGTAGAAATTATCCATTCAGCTGCATTGCATGAGAAACCAGACAGCCACGTGATAGCCAGTGAAGTGAGGCACTTGCACTATGCCCAAAGAAGAGAAGCTCGATAGACTAGCCTGTTCTAGTTGTGGGTGCCAAGAGATCCAAACCTTCCGGCACAGAGGGCAGGTCAGGTGACCCACACAGCAAACCGTAGGGTTTTCAATAAGCGAATACCTTCCAAATATCCGACACTCGACACTGCGACAATCACCACGACAGCGCCGGACGACAGCCATGGCCCCTAAGGTGGAAAACAAGCAAGGTAGGTCAAATCTGTGCGATTCAGTTGTTTCCTTGAAGTTGCAGGTTTCTCCTCGTCGGATCGCGGTTTTGCGAGCGTCGAATGGTATCTACGAGTGGCGGTACTCGAACAAGGCCCTCCTCCCAGGATGAGCAAGAATACAACCCGGAACAAAATGTCACGTCCTTTTTTCCCCCCGCTATCATGAATCCACGCCCGCGCATATCTATTTGGACATGGAATCTTGGCCGGTTTTGTTCGAATTGACGGATGGGCTAACATGTTGGATCTATAGGCAAGACCAAGCCCAGCGGCAAGGCTGGTGCTGCCGCCAAGGCAGTCCTTAAGGGTGCTGGCGTACGTTCTCACCATACTCCCAATCCGCCTCTGCTCTGTTCGGTACTGAAAGTTATATGATTCTCCAGGCGCACAAGGCGCACAAGGTCCGCACCTCGACGACCTTCCACCGCCCCAAGACCCTTCAGCTCTCCCGGTCGCCCAAGTACCCCCGCAAGTCGATCCCCCATGCCCCTCGCCTCGACTCGCACAAGGTCATCCTCTACCCTCTGAACACTGAGAGCGCCATGAAGAAGATTGAGGAGAACAACACCCTGGTTTTCATCGTCGACGTCAAGGCCAACAAGCGCCAGATCAAGCTCGCCCTCAAGAAGCTGTACGACGTTGACACTGTCAAGGTCAACACTCTCGTCAGGTATGAGGATCTCCAAAAGTACAAGTGCAATGCAAAAATCGGGTTGTCTAACCTACTTGTAGACCCGATGGATTGAAGAAGGCCTTCGCTCGTCTAACCCCTGACGTTGATGCTCTGGACATCGCCGCCACCAAGCTCGCCATCGTCTAGAGAGGTTTTGTTTTGGGTCTGGGTAAACTTTTTATTTTGCGCGGTGGTTCATAAATATCAGTCATAAAGTTAGCTGCCAGTGCTTCAATGAGGGCTGAATGATCTTTCCAAAAAAGCAGAGGGAATTACTCGAATGCATGAATACCACGAACAAAACTGGTTCTAGGCCTCGTAGATTTCAATCGATGCTGCGGGCTCTAAGCTTGGTCTTCATCCTCTCCCTCCAGAGCCGGTGTAGGTTGAGGTATAGTAGTGCCCGATGTAATGGCACCAGCAGACTGGAGATCTGGTGCACCGCTCTGACTCCGTCGAAACGTACTCTTGAAAGCGAACTGGTGCCTATGGCTACCGTATGCTAGAAGTAAAGGCGTTGGAATAACATGTCTTTTTCTATCGACCTTATACATAATACATCCGTTTACATGCTGGCAGAGGGTAGGCGAGTGCTCTATGAATGAGCCCGCCATTGTTCATGGAAAATGCACCTATCCACGAAGGGCTTCGAGGTGCTTCAGGACTGCAAGGTTCGAATCCATCCACCGTTCCACACAATTTTGCGCGCATGTCTCCTCCGCTTGATCCAGGCGACCCGATGTAATCTTTCCGGTGATGCACTTCTTCCAGCAGACATCGGAAAGCGAATGGACAGCTGAGTGAGGACGGTTAGCGGATCAACCGCTAGAGTATTTTGAGATGCGCCCATTCGCGCAGACAAAGCGACTCGCTCATTGACTTACTCTGTTGAATGGTAGCCTTTTGCGTCTCGTTCGCAAGGATCTGGCTCAGCTCCTTCTTGTCGGCCTCATTGAGCTTGCTAACATCAACCTGGGTTTGGGCGTCCATTGTGCAGTCGGGAGTAAAAGAGTGGAATAGAGAGGGAAAATATGTGTGAACAGTGTTCAAGAATGGTTGTTCAAAAGCCACGTGTCTGAGTATGCTCGGCTCAAGATTTATATTGACAGAAGAGGCTTTTCTCTTTTAGATCGAGGCTCAAACCATCGGGATCGAGCCCCCAAAAGAATCGAAGGCGGTATGGCGTGGCAGATACGGCTTCAAGCTTGGAGCGCCCGCCGCTCGAACATGTAGGCCCATACCCTTAAACGATAATTTCTGTGGCTGCGGCAACATAGCAAACTCGGCCCCTTCTATTATTCTATATCTCGAAGCTTTTCTTTTCGTTCTCCCGCTAATCTGCAGAGCTTTCCCACCTGTATCCCTGTCGATCGCTACGCTCCGAACATGCCTCCGGTACGGACCTCCCGCAATCGCAAACCACCTCCGGCTGGCTTCGATGATATAGAGGACACACTACTGGAGTTCAGCAATAAGATGAAAGACGCAGAGAATGCATCTCATGATGGTAAAAAGAAGCATGAGATGTTGTGGCCCATATTTCAGATCAGTCATCAGAGTAAGAGACCTCGTGAAAGTTGCAGTCTAAACCCTTCAAGATCTCCATGTCGCTAATACCGTGTCGCATAGGGTCAAGATACATATATGACCTGTACTACGAGAAAGAGGCTATATCAAAGCAGCTTTATGAGTGGCTCCTGAAGAATAATTACGCTGATTCCAACCTCATTGCTAAATGGAAGAAGCAAGGCTACGAAAAGGTTACCATCAACCCATCTCATAATCTCACTCTGCCTTTCCGCCCCTCCCCTTTGCCTTTCCCTTTCCTTCCTCTCTCTCATCAATTCGCCTATTTCGCTGTCAAGATCATCAAAAATATCACTCGTCCATGCAGGGTTTAGCGGCCAATGTGCTGACTCATATTTGTAGCTATGCTGCCTCCGCTGCATCCAGACGAAGGAAACCAACTTCAACGCAACCTGCATCTGCCGGGTACCCAAAGCCCAGCTCAAGGAGGATCAAACGATCCAATGTGTCAGCTGTGGATGCCGAGGTTGCGCTAGCAGCGACTAGTAGAATTGCGAATATCATTTTTTTTGTCAATGTTGTTAGCGGATTCGGGTTTCATTTCGGTAGTTGAAGGACACGGTTTGCGGCTTCGACCTTATTGGTATGGCGTTGGGTCAAGAGTTGAGGACTCAAGTATCTTTTCCTTTTACTAACCGCTTTTCTGTCTCTTTCTTGTTTTCCGGGGGAATTTCTACGTTCCTGATTGCTCCAAGCATCGGCTCGTTGGGCCCAGCTCGCCCTAAAGAGCAATGTTATGCCGCAACGTATGTTGCCAAGTATCCCTCTTGTCACTTAGGAAGTTATGCAATACCATCCGGCATGCTTTCAAGGATAATCAAGAAACAATGCAAACTCTGCACTCTTGCGGTGAAAGCTAACTAAAATATGAGCTTTGTAAAACGCATTAAACAGTCCGATGACAACAAGCAAGAAATATCAAATCAGCACGCAGGCAAAAGGCACAATTTCAGGTTCGTTTAGACATCACATACTCATGTACATCTTACCAAATGTCGTCATAAAGGTCGTAACAAGGTCATCCCAGGCCCGGTAAATGTCAAACCCGACTGCCACCCAACCAACCCAAAAAGGAAAAAACTCCTAGAATCCAAAGTGCTCAAAACCGAAACGAACACACAAAAAACATGCATGAAAACCCAATTCTTACCCACGAAACCCGGTAGCTTGTCAGAGTACGCCATCCAAATAGAAAATACCCAAACTCCCTAGGCGCTGACTGAAATATCGAGTAATGTTTGGGCGTTGATCCGCTAGGGTTTGTTCTCCCTTAATATTATTCCTTGCCATTCGTTCCTCAAACCCATGCGTCCTGAGCATCAGAACAGCGATGTATTGCTTCGGTGACTACACGGAGGCCTTGGTGGATAAGGTTTAGACCTTGATTCTTCCTTGCTCGCACCCCCAATCTTCTGAAATCCTTGAAGGAGATCCACACCGTCAACTTCCCCAGGGCTTTCATCAAATAGATGAAACGAGAAGAAATCTTCATGCGCAGAATCAAGATATCGCCCTGAGTCGGGCATCTTGGAGGGCGACTCGGGAAAAAGAAGGCCTTTTGCTTTGGTCGATGACTGCAATGAATGCACACCCAACCTATTGTTGACATTCATAGCCGTGATATCGGCGAGTATGTTACCATTTGACCCGCCAACATCTGTTCGGGTGCGCTTGGCAGACCGCTTCTCTGGCGACCCGTATGCTGATGTCGAGACATTGTCTGTGGCGGAGTCTGCAAAAACGTCGAAGCTTGTATGAAGATTTTCATTTGGCGTGAATGTTTCATCTTGAATATTGAAGGCTGGGCTCCATGGGAGATCCTCGTCAGTGAGACCCAGATGCTTGATTGGAGAATTGACCATTTGTTGGATTTTTTTGCGGTGATTTCGAAGATTGGTGTTCGGTGATACCGAAGGCGGTGGCTTCGCAGGTTTTTTAAATTTAATGATAGGCGTAATGGGAGGGGGTAGCATGCTGACGTATTCACCGCGGAGTGGAGAGGACCCGACAATCATTCCTGAATCCTTCAAGATGCCACATTGACTTGGGCTAAGGTCATGGGACGAACTTCGAATCCGGGCAATCTCCTCCTCTGCCCGGCCACGTTTAATGCGAGGCGGATCGATATCCAAATCTGAAGTCAAGATATGCGCAGCCTTGCTTGGCCGCATAGCGGAAGACTCCAGCGATGAAAAGTATCCGCTATCATTCATTGCGTTTGATTTCCTCTTGTTGGATATAGAGATAATACCCGACGATGTGATAGGCTGGGACGGTGTTGGGGGGGTCCCTTGCCGGGTGTAACGGGGTGGCACAACAGGAGGCGATGAGTGTATGGGCTGGAGTGGAGAAGAACGGGGACCAAGAGTCTGCGGCATAGGAGGGTTATGATGTTCATCACTCGTGTCTTCCTGAAGAGCAGGATCAGAAGCCGGGAGTGTGGCGTCTGAGGATAGATCCACCGGTTTTGATTGCTTTGCTGCCGATTGTAACGTAGGTGGCGGGACTGCCCAGGTAGTCGTGCGTGAGCATTGCGACTGTGCATTTTCCTTCGGAGGCACTGCCGGGAGGGGGAGACTAGACATGGTCGCCCTACGCAGCGGCTTGTCTTTGAGGAACTGTGCTTCCATGCCAGGTTCAATGGCCCAGTAGTTGCCTTTACCTGGGTCATCCTTCGGCCGTTCTTGCTTGATAAACGCTTTATTCAAACTGAGATTGTGCCGAATACTGTTCTGCCAGCCTGGGTCACTATTTTTGTAGTACGAAAATGTGTCTGAGATCCACTTGTAAATCTGCGCTAATGTTAATCGCCTGTTGGGTGCTCGGAGAATAGACATGCCGATCAGCGTCGCATAACTATAAGGAGGCTTTGTGCCATCATCTTCTATGGTGGGCATTTCATGAGGTTCCGGTAAGCGCGTACTATAAGAACACTCGCGCTTCTGCTTTTTTGTTTGTCGTTCCTTCAGCGGCGCCGCTTCCATAAGCGTCCTCTTCAGAGGAGGCTTAGATATGAATGAAGGTTCCGGAAAGTCGGCAAAGTTATCGCTATTGGGTTCATCTGGAGATCGGGCTTCCTTTGGTGAATTTTTCCCGGTGTTCACTGTAGAGAAGGTCGTGAATAAAGCGGATTGGGGCATTGAAGATGACGCAGTTGCAGCAGTGTGGTGGTATGCGAAGGATGGGCGTTTAGACGGGGAATCTGTTGTAAACGCTGGCGGGGGAGGAGCGGTGATAGAAACAAATCCTAGCTTCCCACGTCCAGAAAACAAATTACTCGAACCGCGGACAGGTTTCGTGGGTGAGGGCTTGTGTGACTTGGCAGAGGCCGGATTCAGGGCACGGTCTTGGCCCAAAGATACATTCTTTATGGGCTGCAGAGGTAAAGGCGAGGGTTCTAAACGAGGACGGGGCTTGGAAATGACTTTGCCGTATGACGAAGGTTCAGATGTTGTCGGCGCAGGACGCGTCGGACTCATACTGCCACGAGCTATGCCCCCGTCTCAGTAACTCGATATCAAGGGACACCTGTTGCGGGACAAATGGTGTATGGCGACAGGGCAAGGATTTAGGTACCTTGGACACCAGTAGGGCACCACTAACGGAGCAGTCGGCTTGAAAACCACACCTCGCTAGGATGGATTGTGGAACGATCAACGCAGTGCTCAGGTGGCAGTGCAAGGAACGGTGATGATCAGAGCATTAAGCGCTCGAAAGACAGCAGTCCAGAGTCAAAGCAAGATAGAAAGGGTCCGAAAACAGCTGCTATCATTAAAGGCGTGACAGTAAGCCGAAGCAGAACGCAACTGGATTCTGCTAGCAGAGGCGCCTTTTTCTTCTGTTCCTCTTTGCTTATGAAGATAGGAGATGTGGGACGATAGCCGCGCGCACGAAGTGGGTAGTGATGTTGAAAGGTGGGATCGAAAGCTGAGCGACTGGAGAGAGCAAGTGGGTTATCGAAGGGAAAGAGTCCTAGGACATAGGCGGGAAGACGGTTCGACTCTAAGTTCAAATCCCTTTGTCCGGTAAGGTCCCTCCAGGCAAGGTGGGGGGGGAGATATGCGCAAGATATTTCGTGAATAATCCTTAGTTGAGTGAAGAATGGAAGGATAGAGCACGGCTGGCTGCACCTGTTGATTGCCCACGCGCCTCGTCGAGCCTGTATGGTATGGTTATGGCGCGTTCGCGTCACGCGTCGAGCTGCCCCCGGACCATCTAAGGCAGTGTTCCCGGTATTGTCACCAGTAACATATATTACCATTTACTAGTAGTACTTAGTACTCCGTACTAGTAGTGCTGAGGTATGCGGGCCTTGATCCCGCCCCGTGGGCACCACCACTAATAATGACCTATTGGACCGGCAATCCGTCCCCTTGCTCAGTCCCACCCAATCAGACGGCAGTTTCTGTAGATCATGGGTCTCTTGATTGATTGATGAAGTAGCCTGGAGGCATGTATGAGTCCCAGCCTACTAAAGTCAGTCTAGGCTACCTAACGAATTACCTACATGGATACCGTGCCCGTACTCCGGACCAAAGACAGCACTCCAGGGTCATGCATATGCTAACTCAAGTACGGAATACGGAGTAGGTGTCTCTCACATTAGACACTACCATGTACTCCAGAAGTACCTCGGATTCCTGATACATCATTACCAAGTCAGGCAAAATTTCACCAAATATGAAAGAGGTACGGAGTGCTTCGTGCTATACTCCGTACGCATTATGGGTATTTTTGATTTATATCGGAAGACTGCCTCGTCTCACAGAAGAGCAGAGAATCTCGAGCTAGGGGGCTTCGCAATAATGCGGCTTGGCCAAGACACTATCCGCCGGCCGAGCCATACTTACCGTCCTACTTGGCACGTCGTTTCTTTAATCCGGGCTACCATATAGCCAATCCCGACACCTCGGTCCCGAGTACGAAGAACCGATCTCAATGTTGCATATGCCATGCGTGAGGTGCTGGAATTTGGTGGGGGGGCACTTCCAGTGCTAAAATTTAGTCTCGGACTCATCGAGTAAGTTGGGTGGCTTGACATCATGCTATTCAAAGAAAATTAATGCCCGGACCAGTCAAATATATACGTAATAAATAATGCTTAGGGCCCCGGCCACTGATCGCGTACTATTGGAGCATCTAATCAAAAGGCCTCGGTAGTTATCTACATCACACAGAAACATCAATAAGAGGAGGTTATCAACATATAGATACGACATTCTACATTACGTTAGTCTTCTACAGTTCACTATGTGCAAGTGCCTTGAGCGTGTTAATCCTCGTCACACTCTCTACCTAGCGTCATTAGGCAGTTTATCTTTTATTTTCGTATTTCTAAGAAACTATTATCATTTCTTGGTTGTCGTTCATTGGGGGGAGTGCAAGGTAAAAGGGAAAAGATATAGGGCTTGTGTTCTGAAAATCTCAGGGCCTACTAGCACAGCCCACATGGGCAGTACTAGTAACTATAACCTTACGATCGTGATAGTGCCTGTTCGACTGACACAAGCTAAGGTAGTCGTCGAATGAGATTCCAACACTCGCATATAAGATTGAAAGGGTATTCTAGTCTGCAGTCACTAGTATGCATGCACCGATTCTGATTTCCAAAAAAAAGGTCGATTAGATAACCCGCCACACAACTTCAATATAATCACATATGGGGCCAATATAATGAAGAGACGCTAAAATAGTTCTTCAAGGGCGATATAAACCCAGATAAAGGAAAGAAAACAAAATGAAAAGGAAAAGAAATAAGGGTTAAAACAATTCGTGAAGAAGATGATGATGATGAAAAAAAAACATCAATCAAATTAAGTAAGTAGATCTATGTAATAAAACCAATCTGAAACCCAATGCGTGGAGAACCGAGTTTAATTGAAGAGGCCAAATAGAAAGTAAGAAAAAAAAAAGATAAGAAATAAATCTAACTGCATTGAACACATCTGCGACCAAAACAAGTAACTATCCACACAGCTGTTTACATGCATGTGATTGTTGCAGTTTTCAGGGACATGGTATTGTGAAGGATATCATAGCGTTAGAGATGTTGACACGGAATATCTTGACGATGCAAGAAAGTAGGATGGGCAAAAGATGAAGAAATTTTAGTCTAAAAATGTGAACATGCTGGTGTGAATAATATTTAAAGCACGATCAGCATCTCTCTCTTCAATAACACATGAGATGTTGATCTCACTGGCACCTTCAAAATGTATCTCATTAGCTCCTGTCCAGTATGCAAAAGGGAATTTCCATCATGACTTACCCTGGGAAATCATTTCTATATTAACATTATTCTCACCGAGAGTTGAAAACATCCGGCCAGCAACTCCGATCATATTTTTCATTTGCTTTCCAACAAGGCTAAGAATTGCCATCTCCGGGATGATGTCAACTGTGCCATATTTCTGCAGATCGCGCAAAGCACCTTTGAGATCCTCATCAATGACTTGGTATTCATCTCTTCCAACACCATTCAGAAGAGGCATTTCCGAGTGAAGAGCCATTGACACATGGACCTCGCTCGTGGATATCAGATCGATAGAGAGTCTCCAGCGGTCAAGGACGGAAAATATTCCGGCAAAAAATCCATGTGAAAGGGAGCGCTTGTTTGAATGTACATTAATTACCAATATCTTGTGCTTAATCGTCACGGCGGTTGGACGTTTGGGCCGCTGCACAAGACTGGGGCTCCGGGTACGGAATAGTCTGGGGTCGTGGCCTGGTGTCGTTTTTTCCAGTTCAAAGGTAGAGTCTGGGAAGATCACAGTGCCATCCCCTCTAGGGTTCATAACGTTCTTTATGCGAATCGGGATCTTGGCCCGGATGACTTGCTCCATGGTGAAGGGGTGTATCACTTCAGAGCCATAGAATGTCAACTCAGCTGCCTCGGCTGGCGTGATTGCAGGCAAAAGACGGGCGGTGGGCACCTTTCGAGGGTCTGCAGTAAATATTCCATCAACCTCCTTCCATACTTGCAGTTCCTTGGCATTTATTCCAACGGCAACGAGAGCAGCACAGAGATCGGTGTAGCCACGGCCGATCTGATCGAGGAGACCCCCAGGCACAGTTCCAAAAAAGCCAGTCACAACTGGGACTTTATTCTCACAAGCTCGAATTTTTCTGCCGAGGGCGGCGGCGAGATTGTTGTAGAATTCCTGGTCGAGGCCTTGGTTCGAGATTGGAAAATCAATGATCTCAGCCAGGTCCACATACTGCGAATCCACGCCTCGGTCTTGAAGATAAGCTGCCATAAGCCGGCAGCTCAGTTTCTCTCCCGTGCTGATTACTTTATCCACGCATCGTGCACTAATTTCCCCCAATGTCTGTGCAGCTTCCAGGACTCTGAGAACTTTGTCGCATTCGTTATGTATTTCTGACACAAGCCGCGATTTGAGCACACTGGAATGAATTTGGTCGTCGACAACCTGAATATGTTCCAGACGGACTGCCTCAACAAGGGAGGCATATTGTTGTGATAGAGCGTCCTCTGCGTCTCGCGCTGCTCGCAACAAACTGCATGATAACAAGTCAGTTTCAACATGGGACTCGCACCAGACAAGATATTTCAACGGTAGGATATATATAAGAAAGGGTATATACAGATAGAGGATGATAAGTGTGCGGGGAAGTCTTCAGAGATGTAGAAGACTGAGGCGTATGACTCACCGGTTCGTAGTACCTGCAGCTTTGGTCGAACTACTTCGCGCCGAGCAGACTATAGCCACACGATGTTCCAAAAGACTCGGTCTGACCATGGTTAGCATATATTGTCAACTTCAAGCACAGGGCTCAGAGAACGAATGGACTTACAATACCACTTGGTCAATAATATTCAAAGCGAATTTCCCAACACTAGTGCCTCCAAACTTTTGCACGACCCAATTGCTGTCTGAAGAGCCTTTGGGATCATTTTTGACCACCTGCGAGGGGTCTACCTCGTACTGCTGGTGGTCTTCCATGCTTGGTCACTTGAATGGCAAGTTGAAGCCTTACAGTTGAGAGATGACACACCCTTGCAATTGGCTCCGGTAGCGGGACAGCCTTTTTTTATGTGCACTGGCGGGGTTGCGAAAGCGGAGCACATGCCGATGCCATTAATGGACAAATGATATTGCTTCAATTCGTCTCCCGCCTTCCCCTCGCGGGACACGATATTGGGGCCCGTACAATAATGATCAGGATGGCAAAAGGAAAATAATTCTTATCGGCATATTACTAATAAACAACGGCTGGTTAAACCCGGAAGGAAGCCACCGGGGCATTAGTATCTACTAGTACCAAGGTAGCCTAGTGTTTTGGGTTTGTAAATTTTGAGGCAATGTTCCCAGCCTTGCTCGGTGCCTTACACAGTAAGGGATATCTAGGCCAACTGAGAATACCTCCATTACCTCCATTAATTCGGACCCTTCTCTATTCTAATGACACCTTTTCGTTGCTATGGCTTACAAACCCGGCCAGAAAAATGTAGCTAAGCGCTATCAGTAGGTGGCATACCCAGTAGTATCTAGTATACGTGAGACCTCCCTCAGCGTATCGTATCAGGATCGTACCATCCCATAAGGCGATACAAGTTACAACAATGTTAAATACTACTAAGGGACACATAAGGCCTACCAATACAATTAGTACTTCTTCTTTTTCCTTCGCATTACCGTGTAATTCCGGCGCCTGGATCGGACACCTCGCTCCTATGGTAGCAAGTTGGAAAGAAAAAGCAAAAGATAGATGGCTAAATAAAGATGATAATAAGAATGAAAATTAAAATATAGAATAAAGAATAAAAATAGAGAATAAAAATAGAGAATACAGATTGATATCCGTAGGCTAGGCAGTAGGACGCCGAAAGATCTGCAGAGCACCGTCACTGCACTCTGCAGTGCCTACTCCGTACATGATAGATAACACTAACAGCGAAAGGCGAGGTAGCGGTTGTCGGCTTAGATCTTTGATAAATCTGCCTAGCACATGATTCGTAGTTTATTTAAGTGTACCTACGACCTAGGGCCGTTGCCTGGTGTCCTGTACCCACCGTCACTCCTATTTTGGCCATACTTATCCGCACTCGTGCTCCCATTTGTTCTTTCCTTTGTCTGCATTATAGGAGGGGCGCCTAAGATATTTATTCTGCATTCATTTCCAAAGCAAATTACAGACTTTGGTCGCTATGGATCACCGAAACGATGGTGATCCAGCATGCCCATTTTGTCCTTTTTCTGATTCGGACATCAACTTCGTTGCAGAGCACGTGGAGGTCTGCCATCCTGAAGTTAACAGTCAACCTGGGCTTGGCGGATGGCATACCGAAATGCTCAAAGCGTCACCCGAACGGCAATGCTTACCACCGGCAGAGGATAAAGAGAAACGTTCGAACAATTATATCGAATGTCCACATGGCTGCGGGGAAATAGTAATCGATGCCGAACTCTCCGCCCACCTTGATATGCACTTTGCGGAAAGAGTTACCCTTGAAGACACATCCTCACCCCAGCCGGAATTGCCTTTCGATACCGATGAGTTGGCTTCAGTCTCTGGCACAAAGAGGCAGGCGCGGCTAAAAGAGCCTCTTTCGGGTTCGTCACTTAAAGAAGATAACTCACGTACTACATTGGTACGGTCCGGTGACTCTGAAACAGCGCACACTGGAGGAATCAAACGGCTTGGGGTAAACTAAGACCCTCGTTCACACTTCGTCTATTTGTCGACCTCGTATTATATGTGACATACTGACCCTCTACCTAGCGTACGGAGTTAGGACCCCATGCTCATGAGAAGCAAATGCCGTCATGGTTGCGAAGAATGTTAGAGAAGGGTTCTATATCAATTCTAGCGAAGAAAATTGCCGTGGATGGCACGCCTCGGAGGTGTGAACTGGTGGAGAATGAGACTGGTGATGTTATCCCTGTGCTTGCTCGCTTATGCGAGCAAGACAAATCAGTCCAGCGTGCCTTTTTTTGCAGCCCAAAGGTCCACCAGATTTCAAAGATACCAAAGGAAGGTGGATTCTGTGGCTACAGAAACATCCAGATGTTAGTCACCTACATGAAGGAAACCCGTATGGCAGGGCATGAGCGCTTCCCTGGGGACTTGCCTTCGATCTTCCAACTTCAGGACATGATCGAAGAAGCATGGGACAAGGGATTCAATAGCGTAGGGAGGGTCGAAACTGGAGGCATTCGAGGGACCAGGAAATACATTGGTACACCCGAGGTAAGATGACCCTGAATATTGCCGCTTCCTATGTTACTTATCGACCAATATGCAGGCACAAGCCCTCTTTTTAAGCCTCGGGATAGAGTAAGATTTTGCCTCCGATGCCGGAAATAAGGCTCTAACCCCCAGCAGGTGCGAAGCCAATAGTATCGGAGCGACGAAGGATATGCGTGCGCACGATGCCTTGTTCATGAATGTTGCAGCTTACTTTCGAGATGCATGTTCCTTGGAGGGTAAAAATAAAGTTATACAGACAAGCTTGCCCCCTATCTACTTTCAACACCAGGGTTCGAGAACACCTTTCTTCTAGGCATGAGACATGGTACCTAATATATGAACACGTGCTGCCAGGACATTCTTTGACGATCATCGGCTTCGAAATACGAGATAATGGTAGCGCAGGCATATTGGTTTTCGACCCTATGTTCCGGACACCCCCGGCAGTAAAACGTCTTAGGGGAGCCCAGACACTGACTTCAGACCCTGCGCGAATATTGAAGGGGTACAGGCGAGGAACGGCGTATTTACAGAAATACAAGGTGTTTGAGCTTCTAAAGTGAGTTGAAATGATGGTAGTGCTGACGTTGTCATTGTTGTTGTTATTGCTGCTGTTGTTGTGGGAAGTTGTCTAACCATTCTTAGACTTAGATATCAAACCAATTTGCCCGGGAAATAGTGCCACTCCTCGGCTTACCCAGAGGCGGAAGCAGCTTGACTTAAAGATGCACGGCATACCGCCGGGTCTTTCATGTCTGGCCTGAATCTCAGGCCACATTTCGGTCACTATGTTTCAATCGCCGTTGCCTACTGTCATCGGTGTTGGGAATGCGCATCATGATAGGCTCAGGGGAGCGCTACGCATCACCTCGAGTCTTCCACGGCATGTCGCCAACGAAGGATTATATTAGAGTCTGAATACCCTGGCTATTCTGATGCAATGTACCCATAAAGTACTGGTCTGTAAGTAGTACTGGCATGGGGATGTGGGCATGTCGACTGATGGTATTTTATACATACGTTGACCGAGTCCATGGTTTAAGACAAGGTGGCTTATCCTAAAAACGATGCAGCTGGTATGTGTTTCCATAGAATTAGAGCCATGGGCCCAGCGGCTTCTAGCAAATGAATTAAGTCATCACCAATGTCCAATTCAAATCTTGTCCAGTGCTTGGGTAATCTATCATGTAGATATCGGAAAGGTTGATAATCCGAAGCTGTGCTGATTTCGGGTTACCCCACGGAAAATTTCCCCTCGCTATTAAGACTTTATCGATTCTTATCGGGCATTCTGCAATAAACAATTCACATCAATTTTTAACTAAGATCAGAATGCGAACTTCCCCGAATGTGATAATAACAGGCACGCCCGGCGTAGGCAAAACCGTTCATTGCGAGCAATTGGCTCAGGAGACTGGTTTGCAGCATCTATCCATCAATCAGGTCGCAAAAGACCGAGGCTGTTACGATACCTATGACAACGAATTGCAATCCTGGGTCGTGGACGAGGACAAAGTACGTCTTGTGTAACGCTTACTCTAGTTTGATCTTCATTTGCCTGATAAGTCATTTGTTTTCATTCTTCTCGCATTCTGCTTACCCAACCTAAATGCAGCTTCTAGACGCTGTGGAGGATGAGGTGCTTCAGGGCGGATATCTAATCGACTGGCATGCATGTGATCTATTTCCCAAGTCCTGGATTGATTTAGTGGTGGTCTTACGCTGTTCATCCACATCTGTCCATTATGATCGCCTCGCAACAAGGTATTCCCCAGGGCTATTTGCTGTTCTCTGGCATTTTCATTATCTAGAAGCCTAACTGGAGCATGTCGGTTGCAGGGACTACAATCAAACGAAACTGCAGGAAAATTTGGATGCGGAGATATTCGGTATTCTGCTTGAAGAAGCCCGAGAAGCTTTCGATGAGGAAATTGTGGTTGAATTGAATAGTGAGAAGGACGACGATGTAGAGTCCAACTGCGCGAGGATTTCTAGCTGGGTAGAATCTTGGAAGAGAGACCGGGCGAACAAAAGAGACTGAGCCTCTTACAGTTATACAAGGGACCCCTTAATACCAACACTGACTGACCGTGGGCTCCACCGGTGAAATCAGAGACCTCCGTCGGTCAACCAATCCTGCAAACTGACCAGAGCTTTATATCTGTGTGAAATACGGTTCTGCTCCATCATCAGCGACCGGGAGAAGAGACTGGGGGGCTAATTCCAGTACCTTTTCTTCCTTGTCCATTTCAGCATAGGTCTTGCCTTGGTACTCAAATATCGGATCCCAACCTGGATGGACTTCGTGAGAGTCAATCCGTGTAAATGACAGTCGCGTGTACTTACCAAAGTTTGCAGGCCCTCTTGGTCTCACAATGGTTCCCTTGTAAAAAGACATCAGCATCCAACAAAAAATGTGGCGGTTCAAGCTAGTCCTTACCTCTGTTCTACCTTGAAACAGAATTGGGTCCGAACCAGGCCCGCTAGAGAATGCAAACGTGCAGACAGCCTCCGCACTTCTGGTCTCGAATGAGTCGAGCAATTTATTTAGACCTTCATGGCCCAAGGCATCAAGAAACGACTTTCTGGGTAGGTTTTAGCACCAGAGCCACAAGTCGGCCAAGGGAAAGTACATGTATGGTCCAGGAAGCCCTTTTAGAGCATGGAACTCAAGCGCAGTATCCTCCGTCAACACCGGTCCCCCAATCTGACCGAGGCGTGTCAGTATGATTTGTTTTGACGCGATGGAGGGCCTGGCCACTCACCACCTCTGCCGCTCGTCGACACTTCTCTCTGGCAATGTCTTCAATCGTGCCTTGTATTTCGGGTAGATCGACCGCTTGGTTCTCAACGTCGACCAGATTTCCCAATATCGCTTTCACTTCTGCCAGCTTGTTTTTGTTACCGGTGATAAAATTCAACTTCTTGGGGGTGGCCATGTTTGTATGCCACTAGACCAGAAGAGGACGGTTAGAGAAAGAAATTATCAGTTTTGAGTAGATTGGCGGACCGAAAAGGAGGTCTAAATGGCGAAGTGCTAAGCAGATGCTTCTGTGGCAGGGGCTCGGTCAATCTACCATCTGTACCTACTGTTTATGATTCTTGTTCCCCGTAGCCCCACCTCGCAGTTTGTGAAGGTCCGATGGAGCAGCAAGATGGGCCTCACTCGGGTGCTTACACACCCGGGTGCTTACACACCCGGGTGCTTACAAAGGTACAGGATAGTCAACAGGATACACTCCTCGTCATGGCTTCTTTAGGGATTGAAAGTCCACTAATTCTCATGTACAAGCACTAATCCATAGGCATTGTGCCGCCTTCCGTTATCTCCAGCCTCTCTTGCTGAGCCATTGCCTGGGCAGAAACAATTTCAGCCAGTCGCTTTAGTCGTGGTGTCTGGAGCCCTACAATTCGAAAAGAAAAAGAAAATAAAAGTTAGCGATAATCGGCCTATTGTTAACCAACTTGACTTACATGACGGTGTGTATGTCTCCAGAGCTGTAATAACACGTGGCTCCGCAATCTCATACGGACCACTATCTTCCATATCAACAGGTGTCAGAAGAAGAACGTCACTCTTTTCGGTGACGCGAGACGCCACAGCTTTCATAATCTCGCCATTGATAGGTTGCTCATAATCAGCCACCAGGTACTGATTCAGGAGTTTCTGAATTTGGTTTGGAGAGAGCCTAAATAGCGTCAACACTGCATGAATGTCAAGAGAACAAGGCAAGATCTCAAACTCACATCCAACAAATATCCTGGATGATTTCAATGTCATTCAAAGTGGCCTTTTTGAGCTGAAGAAGCTTGGTTGCTTGCTGCAATGACTCAACGTCAGTGATAAGCACCCATATGTGAATTGCATGATTTTCTTACCATGAGATGCTCCAGCTGAAGTGTACCCTCCGGCATATCGTGGCTCTTGCACCACTCTTCAATCCGGGTGATGTTGTAGTTGATCTGCAGACCACGTTTCCATGAGAGGAAGTTTCTCCGCATGAGAAGGTCATTGAAAGCGGTGACACCAACAAGGCGAAGGAGCTCAGTGACAGTCTGCGTTATGATAGATTCTTCAAGATAGAACGCCTTCATTGCCTTGTAGACATTGTTCAAGAGGCTGAGAAGGTTGTCCATACTGTAGGCAGGGTTGTTATTGGAAGGCAGGAGCTTCCCAAGAAACCGGTTTGTCTCACTTGTAACGAATCCAGGAAGGGATTGAGACTCGATGATAGCCGGTACAATCATCTTGTAAAGTTTCTTTTTCAGCACCTTCATCCATGTATGATATATGTTGAACTCGAGACTTTCGAGATCGTGCTTCACAATCTCCAGAAGACGGTCATACTCAAAATTATCTGTCTTCTGTGCTTCGTACCAGTCTTCGGCCAAGAAAACGAAAGACAACATTTCGTGAACGTTAGATAGCCAAAAAGCTCCGGGATTGATGGCATCGTCGCCATCGTGCTGCATAACCTCTTGTTGAATTGACTGCATCACGTTGGCCAAAAAACGCTCGGACTCTTTCACAAACCCATTGTTCCACATTTCGGAAGTGACCAAGTTTATCAAGTAAGCTGGGAATAGAACTTCCTTCTCCGTGGGCGGCGGGGTGGAGCTGGGTAGCGGAATCTTCAGGTTGCGTATCAAACCCATAGTCACCTCCTCATTGAGTTCGTCCTCCTCAGATAACAAGTTCTCGAGCTCTACCTCAACGGAATCTAATCCCGGAGAAAAGGCATTCCCTGAAAAGTGCTGACGTCCCATAGCTGAGCTGGGAATGGCCATCGAGACTGGCCTCGGGTTGTAAGCCCCACTGAAACGATCAATGTCAATTCTCTCAGCTCCAGCACTCCGTCTTTTGGGCTTAGGTTTCTTGGAAGAAACAAGATTTATCAAGCCGCTGGCGGGTGGCTGTATAGGCCCACCATTCTGCTGGTCTCCGTTCATGCCATTTGCGGGCACAACCCTCTTCGCAATCTCCAGTTGTTCTTCGAGGTCCACAATCTGCTGACGAAGGGACGCCTTTTCATTTTCAGCCTCGGAGTTCAACTGTTGAAGTCTCTCTAACTCCTGGTTCGCAGAGCGAATGGATTCCCGTGAAACCTTTTCTTCTTCTTGGAGACGCTTGATGGTTGCCTGTGCATCGATATGGTTCTGCTGTAACCTGTTCATCTCTTCCTCCATGGCAGTTAACCGAGCGGCAGTGATACCAGCTTGATTGGCTTCGGCCTGTAGTTCTTTCGATCGATTCTCCAGGGCATTATGACGGCTTCTCCATGACTTCAGCTGAGTCTCATAATTTTCCAGTTGCGAATTAAGTGATTTGTTTTCGCGCTTCAAGGACTCAAGGTACTGGGTCAACTCGACCACCTTATTTTCCAGCTTATAGGATATCTGCTTGAGGTCTCGTGCATCCTCGCGAAGCTTCTTGTACTCTCTTCTGGCCTCCTTGCCTCTCCAGAGATTCTGGACAATGATCACTTTTCTGCGGTACTGCCTCCAAGCACGCAGTTGTCGCCAAGAACGAAATGACCGCTGTATCACTTTCGCTGCATTGCCATGTATCGTGTCCAGGATACTCTGTCGACAGAGGAAACCTTTTGCGACTGATTGGAAAAGAACGAAATTGGCACGGATTCGATTATACTTCCGTCTCTCCTTCTGTCCTCGCCATACCCTTTGAATTGTCGTAGCCGCCTTGACCTGCCGTATCTCGGCTGCGCGCTGCCTGGCCAGGAATCCCCTTACCAGAGCTTGAGTCGTGAGAATAGAGGCACGAGCTTCGAGATATCTGCGCCGGTAATACTTGCATCGTAAATTTTTTTGAATCATCACCGCACATTCATTCAATTTGGAAGTGCGAAGGTTTTCAAGAAAGGCAAGCATGCCTGCCCGGAAGAATATCTTCGTTAGACCCAGCTGGTACTTATCTTGCTTCTGCTGGGTACCGTCCCCGAGGGCCTTCTGTAAAATGGCATGGCACATATCCCTAATTTCTGACGTCCATTGCGATGAGTGACATAACATGTAATATCGGATTGCAAATTCCTCGTAGGTCCAACGCGTAGGATACCCAGCAGTGCTAATCCGGACAGTTTCAAGGACACCACAGGCTCTCAGCTGACTGAGAACCATTGGCCCTTCAAACTTCCAAGACTCTTTGGCCTCATTAGGTTTGATACAGCGTATGTAGTGCACATCGGTAGAGTTAATGGTGTTCATAAGCTCAATCAGGGATGACTTGAAAATGCCTCCTAGAGTTGGTTTGCGATTGACAGCAACACCAATCTTTCGGCCCGGGGCAGCAACAGGCTTGGATGAAATAGATGCCGAATCCTTCTCACGAACAGCAGCAGCCGTATCCAGAATTTCTTTCACAAAGTCATTGGAGGAGCCCCGCAAGATCTCCATATGCTCATCTGGAACAGTGTCCCTGTTCTTCTCTATGAAGCCGTCGGACTCGTACGTTACATCAACTGCATAATGACATATCGTAAATGCGGACTTGCCGAATCGAGGCTTCTTGTAGAACTTCTGTTTATCTGCAGCGAAGTTGTGGTGCAGCTTGGTCACAAATTGCTCATCCGAGCCCATGGGCAGCCGAGATTCCTCGTCCAAAAGGGATAGGATACCCAACTTTGCCTCAATCAAGTCAATACAGGGTTGGTTATCTGAGAAGTCAATGAATGTCCAGTCTATCTGTTCTCGCACATATTCTTCTTGTTCGAGTTTGAACACGTGCTGGTTAAACTCCTGCTGCAATTTTTCATTGGCGTAATTGATGCAAAATTGTTCAAACGAATTCTTCGCAAAATGCTCGAATCCGTAGATATCCAGGACGCCGATGAAAGACTTGAACTTATTCAAAATGCTATCGGTTGCCAGACCGCGATTGATCTTATCGACAAGCCAGTCAAATAGGCTGGAATAAATGAACTTAGCGACCGAATCCCTAACAACCGTGGCTTGTTGTTGAGTCAAGTTGGATGTAATTTTCTCGCCTCTTGTAATCAGCTGTTTCTTGACTATCCATTTTGCGAACTCATTAGCGTCAATCCCGAGCATCTCACAAGCTCGAACAAGTGCAGGTTCTGAGGGAGATAAACTCGAGTCCGTCCTTGTGGCGGTTATTCTGACGTTTCCCAGATGCAACAGAGCAGCGAGCACCCGGAATATTTCGGCTTGCGTTTTCTCCGGGACCCCTATAGTGCTCAAGGATTTCTTTGTTGCATTGAATTCAGCCCTGTCGTCAACGCCATCAATCGTCGGGGTTCCACCTTGGTTGAGATAATCGAAATCCTCAATGGATGCAAGGCCAAGCTCTTGTTTTTCGAGTTCCGTTGCACCGGCAACAAGTTGGTAAAATATGTGGTAATTACGCTCTTTCAGCGGCTGAAACACAAGTCGGGATCTTTCCAGAAGATATGTTCGTATCTTGGCGCCAATTATATTGGTCCTGTCATCGAACATAATCTCGATGTACTTTCCGAAACGAGAAGAATTATCATTGCGAGTAGTTTTGGCATTGCCGAAAGCTTCCATGACGGGATTTGTGGCCAAGATTTGTTCTTCGGTCTCGCTGATTGCATCTGCTCGACTAGTAGTATACTTCCCGGGCTGATCTGAAGACTCCCGTGTGGCAAAATAACGCATGATGTACTTTGCGCTCACCGTCTTCCCGGCACCCGATTCACCAGAAACTACAATTGTCTGGTTCTTCCCGTCTCGTAGCATGTCACTGTACGATAATCTGTAAGCAACCAAAAAGGGACCAGATAAGAGAGCAGCTCTTACGCGAAGGCTTCCTCGGCGATGGCGAACAGGTGCGGCGCTTGGGATGCTCTATGCTTTCCAGCATATACTTGCACCATTTGCGGGACATAGAGTGAATCAACCCGAGCAAAGGGATTGGTAGCAATGAGGACAATTCCACTATATGTATATATTTCCTTTTGCGCATAACGTAGCTTTATAGCCTGCAAAACTTCGAGGTACTCAGCAACAGCCATAATCCTGGATTCAAAGACACACACACCAGCTGGTTCATTCAGGTGGGACAAATTCGTAAGGTCTTCACTGGCTTCGAGCATAGCAGGATTCATCAACGGAGGCAGTTTTGGATTGTTGTCTACCTGCAACTCGGCCTGGGTTGTTTCCAGAGTTTTTGTCTTCGTGCATAAATCCGTCAGTGGACTGCCGTGTCTGTCTCCAGAAACTGATGAAATCGTATACAAACCTCTCCATTTTCCATCAAGAAGATGAGTTGCACTTTATCCCCCTCGACCAACTTCTCTTTGACTTCAGATGCAACCCATCCCTCGGTCGGATCGGGTTGCCAGGCCCTCGTTCCGACCTCGTAATTGTGTACCATTGCGCTATGTTGTATGAAACTGTTGTCCTCCTATATTTGATTTTGACTGGAGCAAGCAAACCTATGCAGGACGTTCGTAGGATCTCTTTGAATGATCGATGTTAAAAGGCATCTAGTGAGGAGATAGGAATAAGGACAATCAGTTAAAGTCGAATCGAGCGGAACAATTCCATCCGAAGGTAGGCAATGGCGGGTTCTAATCTTTGATTATAAGTCAAAAACAGGCATCATGCTTCACTTCAGGGAGAAATTACTGAACTGGCTAACAGCTGGCGTTACCGAGCCGCAACCCCTGAAGCGGCGCCTGGAGAGCGGCGCCACTTGTCGACACAACCCCACAGTTGTCAGCACCAACGCCAAGAGCCAAAAAAGTATGGACATCACTCTGTACTCCGTACAGTTAATCATGAAGAAATATTCTTTGCAATTTATTTGGACATTCCATGACCTAAGTATAAGTATAAGGTTACTCAAAAGGGACAATTTCATCAGTACATATGCAGCTGCAAGTCTGAGTTTTCAGACATATTCTCTGCAAAGCATGAAGACTTGAGCCCACTGTGTTACAATGACAACATGGGGACAGAACAGGCGGTGAGAAGACACTAGTGATTAGTTAGTTAGCTTTGATATCGTAACTACCTTCAAAATGATGACAAACAATCCGAGATTTAAGCATGCTGTCTACCACCGGTGTACTCCGTACTCCGTACACACTGCTAGTTTCGTCAATAAATACATATAAAGGGTTTCTAGGGTCTTATTGGCAACAGTACACCCCGATGCTTAAGACTGTATAATAACGGCTATGATACTATAGATAAGGGTTGTTTCTTTTAATCTAGCAACCATCACGGAATCAAGCGGACAGATGGCCTGCGCATACTCATCGAACTAAATCCGAAGTATGTTCATAATTCACATCATTGCTTGGACGCAGTTAAGGACGGAAAGTAATTAGAAATTTAGTTCAAATAATAAGAGCAGAAATGCGCAGAGTGCCTTACACAAGGAAACGCCAATGGATTGATTGCACCTTAGAAGCGCTTCCCGGGACATTAAAACGACAATCTGGGGCCAGATCACTAGTTAGGCACGGAAACGTCAGAAGGACCCAAGGGCGAGGAGATTGTAAATAATGTGGAGAAAGGGGGAAAGGGGGAACAGGAAAATGACAGCAGGGAGACACCACAAAGGGCTAGGCGTCAAAAAGCTGGGTAATGCATGCTCTGTTACAAGCTTGATTTCCTTCATGCATGTCTACGAACATGCTCAGCTTTGTTTACATTCCGCTGCCTCCTTCTTCGGCTTCGAGGTACCATCCTGTTCTGTGGTTAGCAAGCACAAAATGGTAAAGAATAAGTGATCAGGTAATGATAGATGCGCACCTCTTCCTCAGAGTCATCGTCAACGTCCCGGTCGGATCTCCTATCCTCATCATCATCATCCTCCTCATCCTCATCTTCGTCGTCCTCATCGTCAAATTCATCTTCATCCATGTCATCGCCCAACTCCTCAAACTGAAGAGCCTCCCCCGTGAACCAGTCAATGGCTCTAGGTATGAGCTTCTCCTTGATATCTTCGCCAAGCTGGTAATCAAGTTCAAGTCGCTCCTCGATATCAGTAGCAACAGTATCATCATCATCCGTCGGGGGCTGCGGAGGAGAAAAGAAATTGAAGAATGACTCCGTGGGAACGGTAATCTTGACAACCCGGGTCTGTTTCGTATCTAAAGGAGTTCAGCAACAAGGTTCGTCCAACAGTGACTGCGCTGAAACTCACTCTTATTCCTCTGCTTTTTGCTCTCAATGCGGACAGTGAGATCCTGATCAGCCTTCCAATCGATCTTGGTGCCCTCAGCATGGTCGTAGATAAAATCACCACCATAGCCGTTCTCTTCTTTGTAGTAATAGGTTTTCGAGATGAGCTTGTTCGTGAAAAAGGCGTTCTCCGAAAATTCGAAGATAAGGCGGAAGCCTGGGCGATCGAGATATTCCATGCGGATATCGACAAGATGCTTCAAGGCATCTTCGTCCCGTTCAGTAATCATCTCTGCGAGAGAAATCTGGTTCTTCATAGCCGAAAGCCAAAATTCGGGAATACCGGCGACTGATGACTCTTGGTCCTCATCCTTGGTGGCTTCGGGCTCATCTTTAGAGTCCTCGTCCTCTTCATCACCCTGTCCCGCCAAAATTTCCTTATCCGTAGGCTCCGCAGCTCCATTAACTATCGTGGAACGTCTCGCGTACAAAGGAGTGAACTTCGCAAAGTACTTCTTCTCAAGTTCCAGGACTTCTTCTTGAAACTGAGCTTCCAATATGGCGTGCTCCTTTTGAATACCCTTCAAGCCAGCAACACGCCGGCGGACTGAGACGGGTAAGGATTCGATGTAGCCTGAAGAACGGCCAACAAGGGATCCCAATTTCCCCTGGATCATTGACACAAGCCCAGGGTTGCGTGCAAACAGGGAAGCCGCCGTAGCATGGTCAAGAGACTCTAGATTTGGGTTGTGTTAGATAGAAGAGGCACAATGCAAGGAAACTGTTGAGTTCACCTTCTTTAATGCTAGCGATTCCAGGCTGCTGAGCATGGGAAGAGATAGGAGCATTGTTGGCCGGAGTGTTCTGTGGAGTCCTGTAGCGGTCACATCTCATCAGAAATCAAGACATGGCATGCGGCAAATTTTGGTAGAGCTGGAAGCTCAGGAAGAAGGGATACTTACGGCGCCACAGGGAAATCCGCCTTCTTATTCCTGATGGGCTCAGACATAGTGTTGATGGTTTTCAAGGGATTAACGTAACAAGGATACGAGATGGCCGAGGGGTTTGTCGAAGAGAGTTAAGGAAGAATTTGATACGCTTCAGTTTTGCGAGGTCTGGAATACTGGCTTGGTGGGATCCTTAGCGCCCTTGGGCCGAGGGGCTTGGCGGGACGGGGGCGCTGGCTGTTGAGAACTTTTCAAAGCTCCCAACAATACTGTGTCAATTACTGGTGCCGGCAGACAAAAGGTGTTGTATCATCCCTTAAAACAAATATTTATCTCAATTAAAAGAATAGAAAGATAGTAGCCATAATCTCAGATTATACGTCTTACAAACAGCTTGAGTCCAGTTTTCCTTCTAGCATACTCACATGTATCCTTTTCTCTTGGCCTTAACATATTAACATAATACCATTGGTAAACATGCATTGCACCTTTTTCTTCACTCGAAAGTTGCTACTACTTGAAACAACTTCCTGGAACGTCCTGTCGCTGCTGGGCTATGTAGTTGTAACATTCTAGAGCGGACTGTTAGTAGATTTCACAAAATAGCTACTGCCTGTACGGAGTAGTACGGGGTAGAATAATATCGTCTTGTTTCCACTAGTAGTAATCACTGATGGTTTTACAATTGATATACATAGTATGTACTCCGTATAACGTACATCTCAAAGATCAATGGGCACTGGGAGAGGGTCGCTTGTACTCCGTACTCAGACATCAGACAAAAAAATTTGAACATGCATGAATTACAGTACATGGAACATGGGTTGGTTATCCACTATTTCACCAAATCAGTGACTATGACTAATATAACAGAGCAGGTTGGAATCCCTAGATAGTTGGATCATTGGTACGGAGTAATTTACGCGCTACATCATATCAGATAGGATCCCGCCATTCACGCTATCACGTGATGATAAGACAGTAAGTGAGTCGGTCCTCAATTGCGCCTTCCAGCCCTCCGTCTTCTCCATGCATATAAATGCAGCTAGTTAAACGACACAACCTGGATTCTGGCTGTAAGCCCGTGCTCAAAAGTATCAGGAGTGGGATCACTGGAAATGAAAACAGCCGCATAGTCTCTCTTGTCACCATTGGCTGCCCATTGATGTCATTATAAACAAAACTGATATTTCCACAGCGAGTTACACCAGGCATCCGAAAGCAAGTTGAAGGCATCTCTATCAACATGGAAAACAATGTGCATCCACCAATGGAGACCCAGCCTCCTATGCCTTTCATTGGAACTGACCATCGGCGCAACTCCATGAGAAGCAGGTTTTTAGCACCCAAAACAATTCTACTGTGGGTCTTACTGATGGCTTCCTAGCTATAGTGTTATTTCAGATGTCGAAATGGCTCGCAATGAGGTGCGTTCGTCAATTATATTGATGAAGAACCCAGGACAGTCAATGTAACTTTAATAGATATATGATGGGCCGATATCAGAGAGTATCCCTTCCAGCGTGGTTTCCTTTTCTCACCGTCGGAATAGGAAAGACTCTATCGCAAGCTTTACTTATTTTCAGGAAGATGAAGATCACATAGAGTGGCCAAACGAAGCTGCCATAGATGCCGAGAGTGATGTTGACGACATGCCTGATCTTGGAGTTAGTGTGACGAACGAGTCAATCAGATCCTCTAAACGTCCATCTTACTCTAGAGACTCTGCTGAAGATCCTCTTTTGCAGCGGTCGTTATCAGCTTCGTCTCATGCTCAAGGCCATAAAAGGGACAAAAGAGTAAGCCAAAAAGTCCACATCGTCTTAGAAGACTTGACTGTCGTTATTGCGGGGTTTTCGACGAGCCTCGCTGGCCTGATATTATATTACTCACTATGTGTATTATCGTTCGGATTCTTCTATCTCCTATTTCGATGGTTTCCAAGATACCGAGTCCGCTTGTTGGGAAAGCCTGCCCCTCTTCAAGTGTGCCAATGGGTCGCAGTTGAGGTAAGTACGCTAATCAATGATGCCGGTACTCCCTTTTATTGAGTCTGAACTAGGACCAATGGAATCAGTTTGGCATTTACACGGTTCTTAATGAAGAATACGGTCGTCCTCTTTCAACAGTCTTTGCCGACGCCGAATATCATAACTATGACGAAGACAATGATCCTACTATTTCTAGGTTGCGGTACATCGATTATAGATATCTCCGCCTCTTCTATCACGCCGTTGAAGACAAATTCTGTTTGGTCAATGACTGGAAAGACCCTTTCTGGACGAATGCGAAAGGAATGAGAGCTGGATTGGATGCCGATGACCGGGATAGCCGCGAACAGGTGTTTGGCAAGAACCTCATTGATATCCAACAAAAACCTATTATTCAACTGCTTATGGATGAGGTACTTGATAAACGACGTGTGAATGATTGCATTGACATACTTACAGTTTCAGGCTTTTCACCCATTCTATATTTTCCAGCTCGCCAGTCTTGTCCTTTGGTCACTCGATCAGTATTACTATTATGCAGTCTGCATATTCCTCATCTCTGTCATTAGTATAAGTGCTACTATAATAGAGACTAAAGCGGTATGCGGACCTTCATTAAAGCGATGTGCCTGTTTACTAATAATCTCAGACCATGAATCGCCTAAGGCAAATTTCATTGTTTGAGTGTGATATCCGTGTGCTAAGAAATGGCTTCTGTAAGTTTTAAAATAATCCGGGCAAACTTTGTATGATTAACAGGAAAATCCCATGGCAGGGAGATCTGTCCCTTCCCGGGAACTTGTTCCTGGTGATGTTTTTGAATTCTCTGACCCGTCACTGAATCATGTTCCCTGTGATTGTATATTACTCTCTGGTGACTGTATTGTGAATGAGAGCATGCTCACAGGTGCGATGCCCGATTTAATGTATCCACTAAGAACCTAACAAAAGCATAGGTGAATCTGTTCCTGTCTCCAAAGTCCCGCTAACGGACGATGCTCTCAATTACTTGGATTTGAGCGCCCCCTCAATCCACCCCGTGCTTGCGAAACATTTCTTATTCAGTGGCACGAAAGTAATCCGGGCACGTCGTCCACAAGGTGTTGATGATGATGAAGCTATTGCTTTGGCAGTCGTCGTCAGAACAGGGTTTTTGACGACAAAAGGCGCCCTTGTTCGATCGATGCTTTTCCCGAAGCCTTCTGGATTCAGTTTCTATCGAGACTCCTTCCGGTATATATCGGTTATGGCCTTTATTGCTATTCTGGGATTTGTGGCCTCGTTTGTTAATTTCATCCACCTTGGGGTAAGCCTGGCCTGGAAACCAAGCATATTTTATGGTGGCTAATAATTTCCAGCTCTCATGGCACCTAATCATTGTCAGAGCACTCGACTTGATCACGATCGTTGTGCCTCCGGCTCTGCCAGCCACGCTAAGTATTGGAACTAACTTTGCCCTCTCACGACTCAAGGCGCATAAGATATTTTGTATCAGCCCACAGAGGTAAGGTATAACCCAAAGGTCTCAAGGTAGGTTGTGCTAAGCTCTTCATTAGGGTCAATGTAGGGGGCAAGCTAGATGTGATATGTTTCGACAAGACGGGAACCCTTACAGAAGATGGCCTGGATGTCCTCGGAGTGCGTATTGTTGATCACAACAAAAGGTACATACAGGTGCATACTATATGACGTACCTGCTGACCATTTCTGATTTGACAGATTTTCAGACTTACTTCCTAAGCTTTGTCTCGATTTTCCAACAACGTCTCCTACAGACGGCATTCGAGGCACAAGCAGGTATAACAGCACCCTTTTCACCATGGCAACATGTCACTCTTTGAGAATTGTGGACGGTGAACTTCTAGGGGACCCTTTAGATGTCAAGATGTTTCAGTTCACTGGTTGGTCCTATGAAGAGGGCGGGGGGCATACTGAACAACTGGATTCTGAGGCCATATTGCCGTCGATCGCGAGACCACCCCTTCCTGCAGGCCATGCCGGCGGCTGTGAGCAAGCCAGTCTGCATGTTAGTACTCCCTTTTGATGCCGAAATGGTGTTCAGGTGACTGATACTGATCCTGAGTGTTTAAACATAGGTGCCATTAGAACTCGGTATTTTGCGTGGCTTCGAATTTGTATCACATCTTCGGCGAGCAAGTGTAATTGTGCGACAATATGGTGACAATGGTGCTAGCACTTATGTGAAAGGTGCACCAGAAAGCGTGAAAGCCATATGTCTTCCAGGGAGCTGTAAGTATGCCAATTCGGCTTGAGTTACATATTGAAGCTGACACAAAATATTCTCAGTACCACGTGATTTCGATGACCTTCTAAGTCATTACACCCATAAAGGTTATCGTGTCATCGCATGTGCGGCCAAATATGAGCCAAAATTGAGCTGGATGAGAGTCCAGAAGATGACCCGTGCTGATGCTGAGTGTGACTTAGAGTTCCTTGGCTTCATCATCTTTGAAAACAAACTGAAGCCAACGACTGCGGAGACTATTTCAGAGCTTAATGAAGCAGGAATACGCAACGTTATGTGCACAGGCGACAATATCCTCACTGCAGTCAGTGTTGCCCGCGAATGTGGTCTGATTAGTGGAGATGAACAGTGTTTCATTCCACGTTTCGTACAAGGTAAGCCGTGCTCAATAGGACGCTATTCTTAGTTAACCCTTCAACTAGGCCATCCTCAGGATTATGGCGCTGATGCTTCTCTTTGCTGGGAAAGTGTAGACAATCCAGCATGGAAGCTTAATCCAAGCACTCTCATGGTACGCCACCATCTTTTATATAGGGGCCACGGCTAATGACATGAAGCCTTCACTGAATTCGACGGCTCTTGATTTATCTATACCGGGCAATGCTTGCAGCCTTCGCAACTATTCCCTTGCTATTAGCGGCGAGGTATTTAGGTGGATTGTCGATTTTGGAAGCGAAACGCTTATAAAGAGGGTGTGTATCATCTCATCTATCTGCAAAAAAACCTACTTCGGGCTAGTCTGGCTTTTTGGAAACCCGTCCTGATCGTGCTTGCAGATGCTTGTGCGTGGCAAAGTGTTCGCGAGGATGTCACCTGACGAGAAACACGAGCTTGTGGAAAAGCTTCAATCCCTTGACTACTGCTGCGGATTCTGTGGCGATGGTGCAAACGACTGCGGAGCGTTGAAGGCCGCTGATGTTGGCGTTTCCTTATCAGATGCTGAAGCTTCGGTTGCTGCTCCATTCACAAGCCGTCGCTTTGACATATCTTGTATTCCGACGCTGATCAGGTATTAAATACCTTCTGTGATGCATCAGAGAATTCATCTAACAGAAAAACAGGGAAGGTCGAGGTTCCCTGGTCACGAGCTTCTGCTGCTTCAAGTACATGAGCCTATATTCGGCAATCCAGTTTTCGACTGTCAGTTTCTTATATGCATCGGCGTCAAATCTTGGAGACTTCCAGGTGATATTTCCGCTTCCCTCAAAGACAACTTTTTCCTCACTAACAGACCATTGGAAGTTCCTCTTCATTGACTTGTGTCTGATATTGCCAATTGCTATCTTCAGTAAGTGTCTTTGCTAGACTATGGATGTGGTTCCAGTGTCAAAACACCGCGGCAAACATACAGCTGACTTCTCGCCAGTGGGATGGACCAGTCCGTACCCAGTGCTATCTCAGAAACGACCAACTGCCGACCTTGTGTCGCGCAAAGTTTTGGTTCCGCTACTGGGCCAAATCACAATATGTGTTCTTACCCAGCTCGTGGCGTTCCAGACCGTCCAATTACAGCCATGGTGTGTGGCCTGCTTTCTTGTAAGTATACTTTTTCAAAGCCCTTGCTGATTTCAATCTCAGGTTCCAGCCTCCTCAGGTAGACTTGGAGGAGAGCAATATCGAGAATTCTGAGAACACCGTGCTTTTCCTGGTTTCCAGTTTCCAATACATTTTATCAAGCGTTGTTCTTAGCGTTGGGCCGCCTTTCCGAAAACCGATGAGCTCTAACAGTTGGTCCCCACTCGCATGTCCGGTCGTCACTCTACTAACAGCTATATATAGAACCATTCCTCTCCATGATAATTGTGGATTTAATGATTTCCTGCTACATGCTTTTCAAACCATCGCAATGGCTGAAGCACTTTATGCAGTTGACATATCTGCCGGACAGTTTCGCATGGTGGCTGTTGCTGCTCGCCGTTATGAGCTTCTTGTTCTCTTGGTTGGCAGAAAGAGAACTATTCCCTAGATTGGCCCGTACGCTGGGGCGCATGTACACGGCGTTGCGACCAAGTCACCCCAAAAAGCGCCGCCAGTACAAGGTACTCCTCGAGGAAATGCAAGGTTGAAAGAAGGTCATATTTTAAGCAAATGCAGAGGCGCCTCTTCCACTTGAATATGTATATCTGATTGTTTTCTTCACATATCCGTCATGGTGACCACCATAGTTTTTGTTTCCATTGACTCCTTGAGTCACGGCATAAAGTGCGTGGTTTTTGTGGAATTAACTTGCTTGAGATTATACAACGAAACCCGCCAACTAACTCAAACCCCTCCACTCGTGACCAAAGAGTTAGACATGTTCAGGAACGAGTGTATTATGCGGTCAATGGTCCCAAGGATGCTTCCAACCCAACAGGGCAGGACCGTCTTTCTTAGCTCTGTACATCAACTGCGACTCCGAAAAGAAATTTTATTGTTAGCATGGCCCATTACACAAAAATTGCGTGAGACCCGTACAAAGAACCACATGCTCGCTCCCAACGCAGTCGCCGTGAAGCGATAAAGAGGTCGTGCCGGATGAATATGAATTGGGTGATTTGCAGCCATTTCTATTCAATGCATGTTAGCCCGAAAGAGAAGATGTCAGTTATTTAACACCAGCGTCATACTTTTCAGTAGTCCAGAGACTCAAGAAACAAGGCCCACCGCTATGTAGAATTGTCGATGACTCTGAGAATTAGGCATCTGCTGGGAAGGTACGGAGTAGAAGCAGATAAGAGGTAATGTCACGTGATGCCAAGGACTCTGCCCCGGATAACAGAAGCCATGATAGAACTCGTACCTGAGTTGCGACTCATGCAATAACAGTCATACGGTATATTCACTTCACTTCATCAAAGCACTATGACACCTGAGGCTTTAACACCAGCTACAGAACAGCCTCTTATACTGCCTTAAAACACTCCTTTGATCTTCTTCCTACCATTCAGCTAATATTGTTGAATACTCACAATCCTTCTCTTAATACAAACCACCCGTCTGATTTCAATATTACGGGTTTTGGCACCGCGAGACTTTCAGCCGCAGCGCTACCCCATCTGAGGAGGCGCGCAGTGGTCGAAAATTCACAGCTTCTCCGTTGCTCTTGCACTAACAGTTCGTACCTAGTCTCCAGCTCCGTCTAGGTTTACATCAGATGGGCAAAGAAATTACGTGCCCCTACATCATACCACCATTTACATTCTTATTCACCTATGATCACTCTTGGTGAGAAGCAGAGTGTTGGCAGAAAATGGTCTTAGTATCACTCGAGAGAGACAGCAATGGCAACACTAGGTTCCGTGGGTGCACTAGTATCCGCGATTTTGAATTCTTGGGTAAACTTGGTGAAGGTACTTTTGGGTAGGTACTGGGAAGCCAAAAGAAAGCCATGGGCTGTCGTACTGAATTCCCACAGTGAGGTCTACAAAGCAAGATCAAAAAAGGACAATACCATCGTTGCTCTCAAAAAGATACTCATGCACAATGAAAGAGACGGGGTAAGACCACCAGGAATACCACATTAGCCCAGGCTAATTGATTCACTCGAAGTTCCCCATAACCGCTCTTCGTGAGATCAAACTTCTAAAAATGCTGTCTCACACTAATATTCTACATCTTAGAGAAATGGCAGTAGAACGGAGTAAAGGTAAGCAAGACGCCCTGTCGCATTTGTAACTGCGCTTATTCGAGCACAGGGGAAGGACGTAAGAAACCAAGCATGTACATGGTAACCCCATATATGGAACATGATCTTTCGGGCCTCCTAGAGAATCCGGCTGTTCATTTCACTGAGGCTCAAATCAAGTGTTATATGCTTCAACTCCTCGAGGGACTCAGGTATTTGCACGAGGTATAAGTTCTTGCGAGAAACGCTCTTGAGGGTTTGTCCTGACTTGTGATAGAATCGTATTCTGCACCGTGATATGAAAGGCCAGTGTACCATCAACAGCAAAGCAGAAAATTTCGGCTAACAACCCAACAGCTGCCAATCTGCTCATCAGCAATAAGGGCATACTTCAAATTGCTGATTTCGGGTTGGCTCGACCATACGAAGAACCCCCTCCTCAGCCCGGTAAGGGCGGAGGCGAAGCGAGAAGGGATTATACTACGCTCGTAGTGACCCGATGGTATCGCCCTCCCGAACTGCTTCTTCAACTCCGGCGGTATACGACGGCAATAGATATGTGGGGTGTCGGGTAAATAAAATGGCCAAATTCCGTGACAAGTTTGTCTAATATTTACAGATGCGTTTTCGGCGAAATGTTCAAGGGAAAGCCGATTCTGGCTGGCAATAACGATCTCAATCAGGCGCAACTAATTTTCGATCTCGTAGGTTCACCTACAGAAGAAAGCATGCCAGGGTGGACTTTACTACCAGGGTGTGAGGGTGTGAAGAATTTTGGGAACAGACCGGGCAATCTATGCGAAATATTTAAAGAGTATTGTCAAATCCCTCCTTTAAGAGACCAACCGTGAAAAAATTGGAAGAACTAACATATGAGCAGTCAAAGTGCCACTGCGATATCATTGCTTAGTGAGCTTTTAAAGCTCGATTGGCGGAAACGAATTAATGCGATGGATGCTTTGAAACATCCTTACTTTTTTAGCCCACCACTTCCTGCGCGGCCCGGTGAGTTGCCTTCTTTTGAGGACTCCCACGAGCTTGATAGGAGAAGGTTCCGTGGTCAAAGAGCACCTTTGCCACCACCGGCACCCGCAGGGGGCTCTATAGGAATCGGTGGACCGAACGGAAGCTGGGCAACAAGCTCTGGAAACAAAACGGGCGTCGATGGTAAAAATAGTCGCCTTCCAAACGCCATCCGTGTGGGTTGGAACAGTGGAACACAGGGAGTCCCTCAACAACGCTCTCTCGAGAATCGCAACTGTGAGATGCATACAGCTCGGTCGAGAACAGGTGTGGAGGAGCCCAGCCAAGGACCTTGGCATAAGAGTGGGCTACCACCTCGGCCGCCCACATCAAACCACCAGACATGGGCCTCGGGCAATATAGGCAGAGTGGGACGAGACAGGAATCACCAGGGTCGAGGACGGCTTGAAGGAAACCTAGACTCATATGTTCCAATTTATGATGGAAGCGAACGTCATTGGGAAAGGGATCACAGTTCGAATAACAGTATGGATCGACGCGAACTCAACAATGACCAGGCCCATCAAGTCATGCGCAGGGACTCTTCGCGAGAGAACTTTCCAAGACGAAGAAGCCGGAGCCCTAACTTAAGAGAAGGACCTCGTGATGTGGCTAGGGCATTCCATCGCAGATGACTAGTCTCGTATGCTAAAGGATTAAGTGTCACCCTGCAGTCTCTGTACTAGTATTCTCAATAGTTGGGGAATAAGTCTTCTTACCCGCCACATAAAAGCATGAGTCCAGGTTACTTCACACAGAATGATCAAAATACTCAACTAAGCGGCTGAGGGTAGTGTCCACTGTCCTCTATCGAACTTCTGGGAATTCTATAGCGTGTCAGTGCTAAGACGTTAATTACATCTTTCTGAAGATTTAAGGGAATAAATTGACTCCGTACTCCATACTCCGAAGTGACATCAACTTAGCGCCTGTAGGCCCCTTATCTATGGAGTACGGAGTACTCCGTACTACACCGGTAATTATAAATCTGTAACAAAGTAGATAACCCGTTAATTAATTACAGGCCGGTCTCGGAGGTTGAAACCATTTACACCTGAGTGCATACAGACCAAGCCTTGCTTTTGCACCGGATGAGTACCGTTGAGGGACATCTGCTGGAAAATTGATGTAATCACTTGTATCAGTCCTTCTTTCTCTTCCATCCCTTTTGTTCGCTTGGAACGGTATTGCTGCAATCCTCATGACAGAGAGGTTGGCGTGGCAGAATTACCAGGTTTTAGTACAAGATGCGGGTCATGATTCGAGCTAAAGTTCGGAGGGGAATATCAGTTAGTGAGGTGTCCATCAAAAGTGAAGAAAGTGATTTCATACATCCGAGGCTCTCAAGCCTCTCATATAAATCCTTGATTGTCGTATTGTCGACGTTGCTGATATCAGCCATTAGGTAGGCCACCTGAACATGGTCAGCCCCGTGTCCAATAGAGCCGTCAAGGAATAGACACATACATCACCTCTGCTATCAGTCATTTGCTTGTCGACATTGTGATCGCCAAGGATTTCGTTCACTGGTATTCATCAGCAAGGCAGACAAGTCAGTGTAGATTCAGTGTACCTACCTTTCCGTAGTACACCCGGAACATTTTGATGAATAAAGATGACCTTTAGGAACAGTCAGTCATCGTTGAAATAGCGCACGAAATTGCCATTACTCACCCGGGCATGGTTGGGCTCATCCATTGTCAAGGACCGCAGAGCAACCTCCGGGATGTTAACAGCCCCCAGTGTTGTGCCTTCATTAACATATCTCACTAAGGCCTCCGCAACCTCAATTCCAATTGCACGCTGCGCCTCCTCTGTGCTACCACCAATATGCGGAGTGAGAATCAAATTCTTAAGATTCCTTAAATCTGTCGCCCACTCATTGAGGCCTTCATTGAAATAATCACCATTGCCAGCAGGCTCATTGGGGTAGACATCAAGCGCAGCACCGGCAACCTTGCCAGACCGCATAGCGTGGATTAGAGCAGGGATATCTACAACACTCCCTCGGCTGGCGTTAATCAAATAACTACCAGTCTTCATTTGTTCGAATTGGCGTTGTCCTATCATATTCCGTGTTTCTGGAAGCTCAGGAACATGGCATGTGATGAAGTCTGCCTCGGACAAAAGACCTTCGAGGGTCGGCACTTGGCGAGCAGTACCCAAAGCCATAAGGTTAACAACATCGTAGAAGATAACTGACATACCCATGGCCTCTGCTAGAACCGACAATTGAGCGCCAATATGGCCATAACCGATTATACCTAACATGAGGTTTAGCCAACAGCTGACAGTGACTGATGAAGGGCATACCAAGGGTCTTTCCGCGAATTTCCCAACACTTGTTGCTGACTTTGTTCCACGTTCCGTTGTGCATCTCATTGGAACGATCACCCAATTGACGGGCAAGGGCGATGATTTCAGCTATAACCAACTCGGCAACACTCCGAGAATTGCTAAACGGCGAGTTGAAAACTGCAATACCATGATCGGCTGCATATTGTAAGTCAACCTGGTTGGTTCCGATGCAGAAACAACCAATGACAATGAGGTTGCGGGCTTCCTTCAAGACACGAGCACTCAGCTTTGTCTTCGAACGGATTCCGATCACATGTACATCCCTATTCATGAGCGAACGAAGTCAGTAGAAACGTTAAGAACAGACATTAGGCTGCTAACCGAATTTTTTCAATGAGCTGATCTTCTGGGAGAGAAGATTTGAGGAATTCCACCTGATAACCCTGTTTGGTGAGAATGTCCCTGCCGGTTTGATTAACGTTTTCCAGAAGCAGGACCTTGATATCCTCCGTGGCGAAGGGCTTCAAGTGTTTCGCATTGGCTAGAGGGATTGTGCGGCTTCCCAACACTGATCCTCCGTGACTGGAGGGCGCAGACTGAAAAGAAGTAGTGGGAGAGGTGGAGAAGTTCAAGCTCTGAGAGGCATCTTGATGGGGCTTTATGTCCCTTGCAGATGTAGCCATTTTGAAGCTCCTATAGAGAAAGATGACAAAGAAGAGTATAATGTAGAAGGTAGGAGATATATTTTGAAGAAGGACCGGTGATTAAACAGCGAAGTCCAGAGTCACAAAAGAAGGGGCTGAGTTTTAAGTCCTCCGGAACCGGACTTGAGCAGCGGTGTTCCACAATTTCTTTGACTAGTTATGGTGTTATATTCTTTTTGAGTCATCACATGGTATAACAGTTGCGGAGGGGCAAGCAAGGGCGGGGCCGAAATATCCTTCCCATCTAGCTTTCACACAAATGAACTTAAATGTCCTGGGACACACCTATTTACTCTATACTCTGCCTCTTACAGGATGGTCAAGGTACGGTACTGTGGGAATGCCTCATCAGGCAGTTGACCCAAGACAGCATTAGCCTCTATATTCATGCAATTTATTTAATTTTCCTCATCTACTTTATATCATGTGTCCCAACCGATATAATCCGCCGATCGGAGTGCCTGGGTCCCCCCACTACTCCTTTCACTGGCTGACATGCCCAAATAAGTAGCCATTGGCCCATTAACCATTCTCGTCGTGTCTAATGACATTAGACTGACCACGCTCAAACCTGAAGGCCTTCCAGCTTTTTCGCAGTTTCTTCTGAGCCGCTCGCAGTTTTCGAAGTCTGCTTAGCTTTGGACTTGTTAGAAGTACTGTCCTTCGGCAGCTCCTTGGTATATGGTATGAACTCAGGGGCGCCCGGAATATATTTCCTCAGAGGCTCCGGCACAATAATACCCTAGAAAGTCTATCAGCACTGCCAAATATGAATATATGTTCAATCCAGGACGTACATCATCAGTTTGATAGTTTTCGAGTACACAGCATAGTGTACGCTCTGTAGCACACAGAGTCGCATTCAGAGCATGAACATAGGACTTCTTTACATCAGTAGCCTTCTTCGTGCCATAACGAATTTCAAGCGCCCTGGATTGGTAGTCTGTACAATTGGAACAGGACACCAGTTCCTTGTACTCCCCTTGAAATGGGAACCACGCTTCGAGGTCATACTTCTTCGAGGCGGCATTGTTCAATGCCCCGGAAACAATAGCCACAACCTGGTACGGCAGCCCAAGAGATTGGTAGAACTCTTCCGATGTTGCGATCATTTCGTCAAATGCCTGCCAAGAGTCTTCGGGTTTTGTGAGAACAAATTGTTCAATCTGCGCCAAGGTAAGCTAACATACACCACTTGTGGTCCAGAGCTTATCACCTTCTCGAACTGATGAACGCGAAAGATACCCCATGCATCTTTACCGTGGGCACCGGCCTCTTTCCGGTAACATGTGCTGTACCCAGCATACCTGCGTGGAGATTAGCCCAAGGCGAAAGAGAACCAAAAATCAGACGCTGACAATGCAGCGACAACTCACTTGATTGGAAGATCTTTGTCTTGCAGCCATTCCCCATCATGAAGAGCAGATAACGGTTGCTCTGAGGTAGCAATGAGATACTTGTCGGTGGACTTATCTTCGCTTTCTGTGACCTTGTATAGCTCCTCGTCGAATTGTTCAAGTTGTGCTGTTTTCGCCATCATTTCCTTGAGCATAAATTGCGGGGGTTGGTTGGGCTTGTAGCCTTTCCCCCACAGAAACTCCAGGCCATAATTTATGAGTGCGAGATTGAGAAAAAGGCCATAGCCTGTCAAGCAATAACCGCGGTGACCAACCACCTTGACACCACGCTCTGGGTCAAATCCATCAAGACGTGTGAGTACCTCATGATGAGAAAGGCAGTCGCGCTTCTCAACCTTGACATTTTCTGGCGTCCACGTTCTTATTACAGCATTGTCATCCTAATCATGGTGATTCGGTCAATTGGAGCCTCTCCCCTTTCACCGAGGGCAACACCTACTTCATTGTTGCTGACGGGGACTGATTCATGAACCAGGTTACCGATCGTTCGGATTTTACCGTCCCTCTGCTTTTCCTTTTGGAGAGCGAGTTCCTCGGCATCCTTCTTGCGCTTCTCCAGGTCGGCCTTTTGCTCCATCAAGTCACTTGCATCTTCCTTATTCTGTTTGAAACACCAGGTTAGGAGAATGCCACTGGCCCAAATTATTAGAGTAGCGGGGTTTGGCCAGCGAACCTTCTTTTTCTTGCCGATTTCCTTTTGAACTGCATTTAGCTGGGAGTTTATCTGCATAACCTCATAACGTGCTACAGTACGTTCATGATCAGTCATTCTACTATGTAAATGTATGCGGTTGAACGAATGTAGCATACCGCGCCGCGCCTCTTCATACAGGGCGAGAACTTCATCAACGACAGTTTCCGGTGCGTATCTTTTCCGCTGGCTTTCTTTGATTTTGTTTGGGTTTCCACCGCGGTCACTGATGAAGTCCGCAAGATCGAGCATGTTGCTTCCTGTACTATACAAGTAGTTGTACGTGAAAACTTAATCAGAGTGAACAGAAAACAGTTGTCAGTTGGCGCGGGGGAGGACAGTTTGTTGATAAATAGGAGAGAGGGGCTAGAGAACTCTGTTGGCGTTAGGATCAAATGGAGGGGTAGAAATTTAGGGGCTTGACCGATTGGGTATAGTATACCAATAAGTGGAATTCGCGGTGGGCGGGCAGGGCAGCTCTACAGTCTGCACAGTCTGCATTTGGTGGTCCTGTGAAAGGTTGACTCATAAAACAGTCCCCTATGATTAAAACACTACTGTTTGATTTAATGGCGGTTCTCATAACATGGCCTGGACTGGGGAAAGGTATTAAATAATGTAACAATTAGACTGGTGACAGAAAATAGGAAGGGAAATTGAGCGCCATAGAAAATTCACATCTGCACCAGTAGGCAACAACAAACATGCAGGAATCCAGACATATAACAACTGAAGGAGATAGACACCTATGGGACCTTTCCAATATTTGGAGGTTGTATCTAACAGTAGCGTAGCCATCTTCCAGGCCGCCCAGTCGGACACTTGATCCCGTTACATCACAAATAGGCCTTGAATCACATTACAGCGCATTTGTTGCCTCCTGCGGGTTGCGATGGATTTTGCGACTTTTCAATTTCCCCGATCATTAAATCAAACGCTTTCGCAACATTGTAATCGAGGCGAGCACTAGCTTCGGTAAATGCACAATTGAATTCCTCGCACAGCTGGCGGCCTTCATCCAGCGACACCTGGCGTTGTTCAAGCTTGAGATCGCTCTTATTTCCGACGAGTACAAGGGGCACATGATCAGCACCCTATTATTCACGTTAGTATTGCATATTAAGGCAATTTCAAGCATAGATACTCACAAGGTGGTTTAGGATCTTATCCCGTATAACTCTCACCATGTCAAACGACTGACGAGAAGCCACCGAATAGACAATGATGTATCCATGTATTCCAATGAAATGCTTCGAGTTCAATATACTGTACTCATCCTATTGCAGAATTAGCCATCTGCTGTAAACAGCAGTTTGGCACCGATTCTTGTGTTCTCCTTACTTGACCAGCTGTATCAACGATCTCAGTCGCGTAATCTTGGCCGTTATATTTGATGATTCGACTGAATGTGTTTTCAATCGTCGGATAGTAGCTTTCTACAAAATGATGTTCAACAAATCGAACTGTAAGAGAAGATTTACCTAGATGAAGTGTTAGTGAATATGCGAAGATAGGGGCTCGAAAAAGCATGTCAAGTAAGCAGAGCTCATAATATAGATAGAGATCCATACCCACAGAGCGACTGCCAACAATAGCTATCTTCCGCTGCTTCGGTGCACTAGGCATCTTTCTTTTTAGATACGGAGTGGGATAGTGGCTACCGACTAGATAGCAAGGGTTGCGAGATGTTGTTCGATGAAGCTAAGGATTGCGTGTTTGAAGCACAGTGAGAAAGATATAGGCTACCTGAGGACATTAACAGATATCTCGGCACAGAAACCACGGTTGTTGGATGCCCCGATAATTTAAACCTGGTGATCAAGCTGCACTTTCTTAAGCTAGGGATGGCAGTCAAATAACAGATGAGCTCACCCGAGAGTGGCAAACAGCCATTCTGGAGCGCAAACAAGTCAAACGGCAACCAAAACACATAACGAGCAGGTATCACATTAGGTCAGGACAGTCAAATATAGTTTGTTTACACAAAGTTCCCTAGGCCACAATTCGAATTAATTATATGTAATATGTTTATCAACAGATTAGTAACAAGAAGTCCCGTTCCTCGATAACCTACAGAAAACTATTTATCTTTCTCGATGCTCTCGATGGCCCACGGACCTAGAATGTGGTAGGAGCCCATTGCACCAAGAAATGTAAAGTAGCAATCGGAGAGCAAAGGAAAGAAAGAAATAATACGAATTTGAGTCTTGCATTTCTACAGGGATGCTTTCTGTCGTATTTGACTCAGAATATCCTTCAGGTGCGTGGTAGACCTACTTCCACCTTCACTCCAAGTCTCAAAAAGTTGAGATTCTTGCTCGACCTTTTGATGATATTGTAAGAATTCTTCAGCCGTTGACAGGACTAATGGGAGTCCTTTACCACACGTCGACTCTCTAATCTGCGTGAATGCATCCGCATCGAGGCAAAGTATAACCAAAAGAATCGACAAATACCCAATTACAACATTGTGATGCACTTCGGAAACAGAGCGAGCCTACCTGCATTAGCTACAGATTTCCAACATCAGATTATAATGAATCTTACCTGGTCAGCAAACGCAAGACCCGCAGAAAAGTGCTGTATAAGAGATTGAAGCAAAGATGTGGAGTCGGATATTGGCCTGAGAAAGGCGGCTCGAGAAGCCTTGCTCTGTTCTGACAAGTTGATGAGAACGCCCAAGGCCAGTATCGCAACACTGCATGGATTGTCTTCCTCCATATTTGTATCCTTGTGTATCCCGGGCGAACTGGTGGTGGCAAGTTTGACAAAGTCGAAGATCATATCAGGGGTAGCAAAGTTTTCGCAGAGTGAGGGCTCATTATTGGTAAGATTGAGGACCACCCTGGTATATAACATTGAAATATGCTTATCCCGGTCACACTGCCCATAATGGAGGAATTTATTATGGTGTTCAAAAAGCGATTGGAAAGAATTGCGATGATCATAACGCATTGTTCCTGGCAACATCGAGTAAGTTTCCAGAATCAAGAAGGACATTTCCATTAATTGAAAGCTTCCAGGGATCGTCATAGAGCTTGTATCATCATGTTGTGAAATGACCAACTCGACGATTTGATCTATTAGTGTGGCTGGCAATGGTCCGGTATCATCCCCCTTTTCAAGAAATGTAGTAAGGCAGGCCTGGATGCAGGAGAGGGTTACTGAGCAAGGAGAAAGCCTAGGGGGTGGTTTCTGCTCGAAGATCATAGAGGAGATTTGGGGGAGAACCTTCTTTAAAGACCCCTGCACAGCTTTGGACAGGCCGGTGGTTCGCCCAGTTGCCAGAACCGAGATATCATCTTTCACACTAAGAAGCTTGTGAGAGATTTGCAGGATTTTGGCCCAGAAAGATCTCAGACTCGTATGTGAAGAGGATCCATTCAGGCAGATCAATCTATATGCGCATAGTACCAGGAATGTTGTGAGGATATCCCGGTTGGCCGTTGTGCAGCTAACAAGACGATCGCTGAATCCATACTCTGAAAAACGACGCACAAAGGCAGGTTCAAGAAGCTTTGTGCATAGCTGTGTCAAGCTACTACATATCCCAGAAAGTGAGTTGAATGGATCCTCAATTTCTTCAAAAATCGCTTCAACTGACTCCCGAAAGCGAGCATTATCGCCAGCCTGTCTGAGCTCATGTATGCTGCGGACAGGCCTAGAGTCAGTTTCATCGTCATCAGTGTTTGAAGTTCGGGAGGCTTTCGGGTCTATTATATGCGCTTGTCTTGCTCCGCCATGGTCTGGAGAGGAAACTGACGCATCACCATGCTCAGCGGCTTCATTTTTTAGCGGGTCACCCAAGAAAGACCGTTGGCGTGCATAGGTGACCCTAGAGCCTCGTAATCTAGACAGCAGCGGTGTGACTGCCTCATGAGTATTTCCCGTGTCAAGCTTCCCTAAGTGCTCTGGAGCTTCATCTGCCCTTATGCACGCAACATTGACCTCTTGTGCAGCTCCGATGTTGTGCGAATGTTTGCTTTCAGCTACAACTGAAGCAGGGTTGGTCAACCTAGTATTCTCCGAGTGCGCTGTAGCACCTAGCAAATCAACTAGTCTTTTCCGATTGGAGACCGTTCCCCCATTGTGCCCGGCTCCCGCCGTCAGTTGTTGTGAATCCCCCTTAACTTCACCCGCAAAACTATGGTTTGGGGTGTTAGTCTTTGGGATCAATCGTTTCTTATGGAAGGCTCTTGACAATCCGGGTGTATATGAAGCGTAAATAGACTCTGGCTCTTTAATATCATTAGCGGATATGCGTGGAGGGCGGCGAATTTCTTTTTTGGGATTGTCGACTTCATAATCGGCATCAGCCGCAACTTTGCCCGGGACTTGTGCTGTATAAAGAGCCCCATCATACACGGTCTCGCGACCATCAGATGGGATGTGGCTGCCACGTCGTAAGTCGCTTTGGTCGAGGCCTGGCTGCAATTGCTGATGGGGTGCGTATTTCCTCTTCTTTGGGATGGGCTCGGCTCTGTGCGGACGTGTGTTCAAAGGAATATGAGCCTGTTGGTCTCGATTCTGGCTCGTGGAAACCCCGCGCTTGTTAGTCGTGGTGTGTAAATCATTCGTATTTTTGAACGCTTGCGATTGAATGTCAAAAGAGAACCCCGCGGCTGGACTGCCAGAAGGCCCCAAAGCTCTTCGGCCTGGATTATTATGCGACATGTTGACAAAAACTTTTCACCAAATTAAGGCCAGCACATTATTGCTCAACCTTGGTGGAGTGCAAGGCACCTGGTATATAGATTAAGGTGGCATCCAAATCTCGTGGTAGCAAACGATAACAAACGTACCGATGATACTGAGTTGGGGAAGTGGTACTGAAATCCACCTTTGTACGGAGCACGGAGTCGGGCGCTTCGGGAAATGACCTGCCAGTTCCGCATTGGCCCACCTTTTTAGTTCTTCCATGGGTTATCTATGGCCCCGGGGTACATGCGTGCTCCGTACGGAGTGCTACTAGTAGTACTATATATATATATATGATTTATTTCATTTGTAGCCAATCACAATAAAGCCACTTTACACTTCAATGTTATTTTATATACTGTTGCGTACTAGCTATCTACTCCGTACTCCGTAGTGCATATCTCAAGAGTCTATGGAGTTCATTGTGGGAATGTCTTGCTATTATGTACCCAAACTACTGTCAACTAAGTTCTAGTAGCCTGCTATCAACATCGGTATGACCAACCTACACAATGTATAGCCAAGTCAGACTTGCTGGCTAGCTAGCTGGTTAGTTATACCATCATGCTTAGTCACCTTTCAAGCCAAAGGGGGTAGTGATAGTAAATCGTACTATTGATCACAAGCCCTTCGATCCGACGTTGTTTGTCATGGAATACCATTGCATCCTTCTCAATGCATCGGGGCTCGTATGGCTATAAGTATAGATCAATGCTGTCGTAGAAAATAGTTGGCGAATTCCCTTTCTACATCAGCACGCGTAGCTACAGACTAAGTTGGCTGGGTATGCTCCATAATGACCACTCGGACCCTTGCGTTACGTAAAGGATTTCATATAGACCAAGAACGGGCCCATAAAGGGGCCCCAGCATTGTCCGCTTATAAAGTATGAGGCAGGTACTCCGTAGTAAGTAGTATGTATGGGCTCTACACTAAACCTATACGAAGTACATTCATAGAATGTATACACAACTAAATAGTGTACTTTAGGAAGGCCCAATTAGAAAGGTCTTGGATAGTAATAATAAAGCTGCTCTGTGAGGCAGCAATGACTACAGTATATCTACCAGCCTTTTGGTTGCTAAGTCGCCCCTGCAGAGTCCTACATTGTCCGTCAAATCATTTTGACTACTCCATACGGAGTACACCAGAATTACTATGCAGTATAGACGTCTGGCTCTATTTTTATTGACAGTCCTCGGGTGAATTTGACGATCATGAGCCGGGCTCATAAATTTTAAGCATCTAGAAGGTACCTTAAGCAGTGCTTAACAGACGGGGAAGTTTCTATGCTAGCTGAAGGTACTATGTAGTTTATTGGTCTTCTTATCTCGTAAAACTTGAGTTGTATTTGAATATGGGGTAAACTGAGCCGGTTGATAATACTGACTAAGCACATTGCTAAAGCCAATTAAATGAGCAGTACTCCGCAGCACGAATCGATATCTGGTAGCGCTGTGTTCAAGGCATTGTCTTTCCCACTTCTGCTCACCTGCCGGAAACATCGCAGTTTGCCACAGGTGTTCTCTCTTGTCTCTAATTAACATATTTTTTATATAATTTTCGGACCCGTGAAAAATAAGAAAAAATATATAAAAGGGGAGCAAAGGAAAAGAGGGCACAACGCTACCTACCATAACCATGGCGAATGACCTGTCGGAACCCATTCCCTCCCCTGCGCAAGGTGTTGGTCCCATCTACAGACCTGATGGCGAAAAGCCCACAGCAACAGTGTCTAAAGACATACCCTACGAGAATGTCCACGTGCTGCCTCAATCCCCCCAATTGATCGCTCTGTTGACGTAAGATAGAGGCTGAATTAAGATATCCAGGCTGATATTACTGGTCAGTAATGGATGCTAACCTATTCGTAGCATGATCAGAGATAGAAGAACTAGCCGTGCCGACTTCATATTTTACTCAAACAGAATCATTCGTCTCCTTGTGGAGGAGGGGCTCAACCATCTGCCAGTCGTTGAACAGTCAGTCACAACACCTGTAGGTCGCGTCTACCTCGGTGTCAGATTTGAGGGGAAGATATGCGGTGTGTCCATCATGAGAGCAGGCGAGGCAATGGAACAGGGATTGCGGGATTGCTGCCGTTCAGTCCGAATCGGAAAGATTCTCATACAGCGGGACGAAGAAACATGCAAGCCAAAGCTATTCTATGAAAAGCTTCCTGCTGACATTGCAAATCGATGGGTGCTCCTACTCGATCCTATGTTTGCAACAGGCGAGTTTGTCACCATGGGTAGCCGAATTGCACTAACTTTGACTAGGGGGTTCTGCAACACTTGCCGTTGAGGTCCTGAAGGCAAAGGGTGTCCCAGAAGATCGCATCTTGTTTCTTAACTTGATAGCGAGCCCTTCCGGGGTTGCGGATTTTGCAGAGCGATTTCCCAAGCTAAGAGTAGTTACAGCCTTCATAGACCAAGGCTTGGATGATAAAAAGTGAGTCCTTCGAATTTGCAAGGCTAGAAGGACATTGCTGATAAAGACCATTTTAGATACATCATCCCAGGGCTTGGGGATTTCGGCGATCGATATTATACTCTTTAGCCAACAAACAGGTGCTCCCAATCATAAAATACTCTCCGTGATTTGGATCCAATGAATTACAGGCTTCTATCTCAGCAATGTTAGTGATGGATTTCATTCACACAGCATTTAAAGTATAGTATTTTCCACTAGATATCATGACGCGGGAATTTCTTTGGGCCTTCATTTTGTACGTTGCGGTATACTCTAAGCATAGAGTCAGTAATTATCAGCATATGCGTCGACGTGTTCCGCATCCTCGAATCCAATATCTCGAGTGCTGGGAGACGTAGCAAAGTCATTTGAGCGTCTGACACGGGCATCACTCTCCTCATACTTGGTAACAGTATCCTTGGCAACGGCGTCACAAGCATCCACCCAATCCGAGTATACATCAACAGCAGCAGAGAGATCTGAAAGGCATCATAAGCAAGGTCTGCCATATAAGAGTACTTGATCACTAGACTTACAATTTATGCCCGTTTGGAATCTTTGTCCACACACTTTGCAAGACAAATTCCCTAAACCAAGCTTCTTGTCCAGTTTCACGACGATGGAATTTTCGTGGTTGCAGAAAAGGCAAGCAAATGTTGTAGGCAACGGTTCTTTCTAGTCTCCGCATCAGCGACAGCAATTATGATAGTCTTCGAGTCGGTCACCTTTTTGGGTTGCGCTGGCTGCCTGCTGGACTTCTTCCGCTTACCCTGTTGCAAGCAAGACTTAGGAAAGAGGTACATAAATCAATTAATGAATGGCATACCATGCTTCAGATTGACTTAGTAGCCTGGCCTGTGACTAAGGTCGATTATTCGAGGCCGTTAAACGTTTATCACCCGTGCGCGTCACGAGCCTATCGATTCAATGACAGAGCTGGCTTCAGTACGGAGTGTGGTAATGGACAAAAGCCGGCGCAAATCCCCCACAAATTTACCTGGTGGAGAGACGAAAGTCTAGTTAGACGATGTGGTAGTGGCAAACAACTAGATCGTTGTTAGCTGGACTGGGTTGGCACCCTATTCTGGCTGTTTTAGTATCTCCGCAAACAATTAGAGACTTTCTTGGGTAGGTAGGTAGGCAGATATATACGGATTACAGTGGCGCAAGTGTTCAGAAGTTGCATCTAGGCGCAACAACCAGTGGTCGGTAAGTTACTAGCTATGTTAGTAATACGACAATTACTACTAGAACATAGCTAAAGGTAGAAAATCCCAGATCCTGGCTTTCTACGATTTAATGGAAATTATGCAGTCGATTAAAGGAAACCAGTATCCACGAGCAGATACTGCATGAGAGAAAACAAATTCTGCTGCGGTCGTCACACTATACAGCTAAAGGAACGCATTCTGCCAAATAAATAGAACCATAACTACATAGAAGATCTGGGATGAGGCAGTGAAATCAGATATAATCAAGGAGACAGAATCATACATAGCTTCATTGACTGGATTACATGGCCTGGCTCTCATGATCTACTACATATCGAAGTATAGTACGTACCGGGAATAAGCAGACTGGGGGTACCTAGTACCCAGGTGTAACCCGTTTGGGCTACTTATTCCCGGAAAGTACAGCAGATTCCATGGGGTCATAAGGTACGGGTCTGTAACAAAGACAATAGATCATGTGACCTGGGAGGATATCCTCCAATCAGAAAAGTTTTTAACTGAGTTTAGTGGGGAACCCAATATTATGTAACTAGATAGGGCCGACGCCTCGCTTAGCCGACTTTTCTGTGGGATTTCGTTTTCTACTCTTGTCCCGCGATCGAGCAGCGAGCAGCAAGCAGCGACAATCGATTCGACTCACCTCCACCAGAGCGTGTGGTGTGATATCCTAGTCTGTCTTCAACCCGTGCAAGATAGACCTGAGTCGCAAATATGGCCGTTGGAAAGTACGCCAGTGCCTATCCCCGTCCGACAATCGCCTGTTGGAACGCTACCAAGTCGATCTTTGCGCCGTGTTGCTGATATTGTAATAGGAACAAGCGCTTGTCGAAGGGCAAGAAGGGTATCAAGAAGAGGACCGTTGACCCCTTCTCCCGGAAGGACGAGTATTCCGTGAAGGTAGGCAACTAGGATTGAAAATGGGTAGAAGTATGCTGACATGAGTAGGCTCCTTCTACCTTCCAGATCAGAGAGTATGGCAACGCCCCCCTTTACTCGATTGTGACATCTATCTTTGTTTCCGCCTCGTTATCTGCTATTAAAATGTCTGCGCGTGCTCCTGACCAGGGACTGACAAATTCGTTTCAAGTGTGGGAAAGACTTTGGTGAACCGCACCAGTGGTCTGAAGAATGCGAACGACTCCCTGAAGGGCCGGATCTTCGAAGTCTCCCTTGCCGACCTCCAGAATGACGAGGACCATGCCTTCCGCAAGGTCAAGCTTCGCGTGGACGAGATCCAAGGAAAGAACTGCCTGACCAACTTCCATGGCTTGGATTTTACTACCGACAAGCTCCGATCCCTTGTGCGCAAGTGGCAGTCGCTGATTGAAGCCAACGTGACCGTCAAGACGACTGACGACTATCTTCTCCGTTTGTTCGCCATTGCTTTCACGAAGAGACGCCCCAACCAGATCAAGAAGACTACATACGCTCGCTCGTCCCAGATCCGCGCTATCCGCAAGAAGATGACCGAGATCATCCAGCGCGAGGCTGCTAGCTGCACTCTTTCTCAGCTTACCACCAAGCTGATCCCCGAAGTCATTGGCCGCGAGATTGAGAAGGCCACACAGGGAATTTACCCTCTGCAGAACGTTCGTTATCCCGATGACCCTTAAACAGGTATGCAAATCAGCGGCCGTCTAACTCAGATCTAGGTCCACATTCGCAAAGTCAAGCTTCTCAAGTCGCCCAAGTTCGACCTTGGTGCCCTGCTTAACTTGCACGGCGAGTCCACGACTGATGATAAGGGACACAAGGTTGAGAGGGAGTTCAAGGAACAGGTGCTTGAGACTGTTTAAGCCCTGGGTATTCGCTGGTGGTGGATTCTGGTTTCTCTGCCGTCTCGGGTTAACGGTGCCACTGCTCCAAGTACGATAAGTTTATGTTAAAAAAATGTAGTGTCATTAGCCGATGAATGACAGTATATGCAAGTTTCTGTCCTTAACTCCCGTCTCACCAGGCACACCAGTTTGTCTTTGGGCATGGTGGCGCTCATGGTGCAAGAAAGGATATAGACGTTGGTATTTGGTGTTAACTATTCAGGCCATGTAGTGTCTTGTATATGGTTATTATCCATAGTACTTAAGCGAACCAACATTAAAGTTTGATAGATTATCTACTTTATATTACCCAATGCCATGAGGGACTGACTACGAATTTGATTCACCTCAACACTCCGTATTACACCGCAAGTCAACGTGCTTGTTGGAAGGTCCCTGAATTACATAAATCTATGCATAATAAAACATTGAGACGATTTCTTTATTCTTTACTATATCAGTGTTAGACACGTCAGGTTAAGCAGAGGTGAGTGGTTGTAAAATTTTAGGTGCCTCAGGCAGCAATCCTAGAGTCACAGGACGCGCAGAAGTATGATCTACTCGGCACCTTCATTGCTTGGCTGCCCCACACCTCTTTGGGTCCTCACAGTCCCATACATGACCAGCCCCAGGCAACTACTAACCATTATTAAAAAAAATTTACCAGCTACTAAGCGGGACCTCGTGAATATAATAAAATCTTTATAACTATTAAAAAAAGTATTTTATTAATTTATCTTAAAAAGAAGAAACTTATCAAGTATCTGAAAAAGGATAGACCGTATCAGCTATTTAGAACTAGAATATCTCTAATCTAGCTTATCTAGTTCTCTATTTATAAAGAAAGAAAAATTCTTCAAAAATTTTTCTAAAAAATAAAAAAAGGTTTTCTAAAAAATAAAAAAAGGTTTTCTAAAAATATATAAAAAATTATAATATATTTATAAGTATTTATTACTAAATAAGTTTTTATTGAATTTAACTTCTTTAAATTATTATATATCATATAATAAACAAATTTTTTAAATTATAATAATTTTAAATTTATTTATTAGAAGAAACTTATACTAATTGAAAAAATAAATAATAAAATAATAAATATTCCTAATTATTAAGAAAACCTTACTTAGATAGACATGTTAGAATAATTAACGGATAAATAAGATAATATAAAAAATAATATAAAAAATAATATAAAAGATAATTTAAAAAATTATGTAAAAATATAATATATAATCCACATTAAAATAATAAAAATAATATAATAAATAATAAGATTAAAACTAGTTTGAAATAAATTAGAAAATTTATTAATAATTAATATTTTATTTTTTAAAATCTATTAAAATAAAATAATTCAATTTTATAATATTTACAGTTTTTAATAAATTAGATAAGAATAAATTATTTAAATTTTTTAAGAATAAATATAATCATTTATTTAAATTTAATCTACAAACACCCTACTTAGTAAAAAATAATTGATAAATTATTTATATTAAAATAAAAAAGTTTAAATAATTAATAATTTTCTAATTAAAACCAGTGGGCATATCTAAGAAAGCTTTAAATAAAAAAATTCTATTATATTAAATTTTTAATAATAAATTTACTAGTAGAGAGTAGATATTAAATAAAAACTAGATTTTAAAAAGATTTATTAATAAATAAATTAAATAATAGATAAGCTAATAAAAGTTAATAAATTTTTGAGAAATTATATAAGATATTCTAATATTTAAATTAAGAATATTAATAGCAAATTACTCTAAATAATATTATAAATTGAAACTCTATTAGAATAAGTATAAATCTAGTTGATTATCTTTAATAGATATTAAAGAATATATTAATTCAATAATAAAAATTTAGATTTTAATTACATTATAAGATTTTAAATTATTAAATTGTTAAATATCTTTATTTATTTTTATAAAGCTATAATAGTTTTAGAAAATTAAATATATTTTTAAGAAAAAGATTTATTAGATTTTACTAAAATAAAAAAGTAATCTCATAGAAGAAACTATTTAAATTTTGAAAGTTTATTTTATTTGAATTATTTAAATTATTTAATTTATTTAGTAGGTTCTGATCTTAAAAAATACTTAATTTTTCTAACTTATTATCTAAAAAAGTATATACCAGTTAATAAAGATTATAGAAAATTTAGAAAGAATTTAATATTTTAAGAATTATTAGTCTTTTTCTATTTTAAAATTAAATTAATAGTATTGATTTTAAGAAGGCTCTTATTATTTATATATTATATAGAATAATTAATTAAAATTTTATAAATTAATATAAACTAAAGCATATGTTAATTACTTTTTAAAATATTAAAAAGTTTAAAAAGAAGATTCAATACTAATAATAAAAATAGTAGTAAATATTAAAAACAATTTATAGAGAATTTTAAACCTTTTATCATGTTTCATATTTATAAATATAATATTATATTAAGACTCCTATAATAAAACATTAAAATATAATATCTAAGTAAAAGATTTTATTTTATATATTTAAAATATAAAATTAAAAATATAATATAAATAAAAATAAAGTTATATCTTAATTCATATATAATTTAATTAATATATAGAAATTTTTAAAAATTTAAAAAAAAAAGATTTTATAGAATTCTTTATAACGAGTCGAATAGATATTGATAAAACTCGTTCTAAATTTAATTAATTGAAACATTTAATAAAAGCAAAAAATAGATTATTAAAATCTTACTATAAGTATCTACATATTTTTAATAGGATTATTATAGACATTTTATTATTTTATTATTTAAAAATAGATTATACTATCAATCTAACTAAAAATATAGAAAATAAAAAAATAAAAAGCCTTATAAAATCCCTATACTAGATGAATTAATTAGAATTTTTAATACTATAAAGAATAATAATTAGTTTTTTAAAGGAAGGTTTATATAGATTAATAATTCTTATATAACTATTTTAATTTTATTTATTTTGAAATTAAGAAAAACTTATAGTTTTATATAGATTACTAGATCTTAAATTAAACAATAAGAAAAATTATTTGATTTATTATTATTTACTTAAAAATACTTCTAATATATTTTAAAAGTTTATAATTTTATTAAATAAATGTAATATAAATTTTCTAATTTCCATTATATCTACATTTAGAAAGAAGATAAATAAAAGATAATATTTTATGATTATTTTAAATTATTTAAATGATTACTAGTTTTTTCTAAATTTATAAATTATTATAATATCTTTGAGTATTATATTAATTAAATTTTATAAGACTTTCTAGATAAATTTTATTTTATTCGTATTAATAATATTCTTTCTTATATTTATTAATAAAGACTTATTTTAATATTATTTATAAATATAGTAAGTCTTGAAATATTTATAAAAAAGTAATGTTTAAATTAATATTAAAAATATAAATTTAAAGTAATCTTTGCCTGAAGAAAGTTAGACCTCATTAGCTATTTAAAACTAGAATTATACTTATAAAAAAGATATTCAAAAAAAGAGTCTCTAACGAAATAGAGAAATATCTTTTAAAAAAAAGGTTCTAGAAAAATTCTCTAAAACTATATATATAAAAAGATTTATAAAATAATTATAATGATCTATAACTAGCTAGCTTTTTAATAAATTTAGCTTTCTAATAAATTTAAAATCTTTTAAATTATTATATTTTATATAGTTATTAGGCTTTTTAGTCTATAATAATTTAAATTTATTTATTATAGAAGTTTATACTAATTAGAAGAATTAATAATAAATATGTCTAGTAATAAAGAAAATTTTATTTAAATAGATCTAATAAATTAACTAACTAAATAAATGAAACGATTAAAAATATAAAATATTAATGTATAGTATATTATCCCTTAATATAATAATAAAATATATAATGAAATTAAAATTAATTTAAAATAAATTAAATAATTTATTAATAATCAATTTTTAATTTTTTTAAAGATTTATTAAAGCATTTCCAGTTATCGTAATATTTTTTAAGAATTAATTAAAATAAAAAAAACTAAAGCTTCTTATATCTATGATGTTTAATAGAAAGAATAAGAATTGATTTCATAACTAATTTAATATTATTTAAATAAATATTAAAATTAATTAAGAGTTTATTGGTATTTCAAGTAAGTAAATTTAATATATTTCTATATTTTTAAATAAAAACGTCTAAACTAAGATTAATCTATGAATAAATATAAATTTTGAAAGATCTAATTACTAAAATAGATTTAATTAAATATTTAAAATCAATTTATAAGAATCATATCTAATAAAATAATATTAATAAATTATTTATATTAGCATAAAAAAATTAATCATATTAAGTTTTTAATAATATTATTTACTAGTAGATAGTAGATATTAAATAAAATTTAAATCTTAAAGATTTTATTAATAAATTATATAAATAGTAAAGAAGCTAATTGAAATTGTCAGCTGGAATTTCCCAATTCATCAACTGGCTAAATTCAACAAACCAACTGGCCAATCAAATCACCAACTGGTCATCTCTGCAGGAATCGGCCATCTCCAATAATTTGACTTTTACGGGCCGGTTTCCCAGCCAACCAAGTGAATACTCGTGTTTCCCCGCTTATATGAACTCATTATTTCTTCACTATGATCATATTCACTGAAAAAACTTGTTTTCCCCCACTTTACCTTACGTCCTAATGATTTCATGCCTTTCTTGATTTCAAAGCATTCTGATCTAGACCTGATTCTTGATTATTCAGCCTGACAGATGAATGAACATAAATATGGCCTCAATCCTCGTTCATTCACTTCATTTTTTATTCAAGTGATTCAAGCGATTCAGGCAATTCACTTCAGAATCATTTCTTTGATCAAGTACGATCACTTTTTCTTTCCTATTTAGGAAATATATTGAATCCTTCCCTTTGACTACTTTAGTCAATTGTATTCAGAAGATACTAGACCCGATTAGGAATTTCCTTTTTTGGTTTAGTGTCTCCTGGTTTTCCAACAATAATTGTTTTAATATATAATTATATTATTTAAATAAATTAATATTTTAATCATTTTTTTAATTATATGTATGTAGTATTTTATAAATTCTTTAATAATTTCTATTTAACATATTTAAATAATTTTTTATTTTTTGTTCAATAATGAATTCTATATAAAGTATATTTCTTAAATATTAAAAAAACTTTGAAAAGTTAAGCTTTATATAAAATTATTAAGATATTTACTTTATTAACTTCAAGTTAAATTTTTAAGATACATTATTAATACTAATAACATATTTATAAATCTTTAATAAATAAATAA